TCCACTGAGAATCTTCTATGTGGTGATCATGTCCCCTCTAACTTGTCTCCAAGTGACGTGAGGTTTACCGTAGTTCCCATAGTTTTCTCCTCGTAGTTCATACCCCTCAGTCCGGGTACTAGTCTGGTGGCACACTTCTGAACCTTCTCCAATTTAGTCTAGTGTTTTGCGAAATACGGACTCCATGCTGGAGCTGCATACTCAAAGATTGGTCTGACATATGTGATATACAAGGTTCTGAATGATTCCTTAAACACGTTTCTAAAGCCAACCTGGCATATGCCGCTTATGATATCTTCTTGATGTGGGCTTCAGTGGAGAGGTCTGGCGTGATATCAACCCCCAGGGCTTTCTCTGAGAAATTCTTGAAGAAAAGGGCGAGATTGAAATTCTTTAAGAATCTCATCTCCCAAATGGGACCTTGTGTCTGGCCTCCTGGTCCCTACACCTATTTTTATTACTTTACATTTGCTCGGGTTAAACTCTAACAGCCATTTGTTGGATCATGGTGTGTGTGTGTGTATTTAACCGGATGTAAGGGGACTACTCCCCTATTTCAGCCGTTGTTTAAAGGCTGAAATAACAAGCTGTTTAACAAATACAGACTAAACTGCTATAATCTAGAAAAGATGTACAGGTTTCGTAAATTGTTACGCAAATGCTTAAGGAATTCTGGCCCAGTAGAATAATAATGAGCTAGTGTAGCCTTGTCTTGCCCCACTGATTTAGACGCCCTTGTCTTGGCATCCCCCACTCTAATTCTAGCCACAATACATCACATGCCAGTCACCGCATTGGGCAATTTCAGCATCATGGCGAGGGGGACTTGCTGCATGGGTAACAGCTTCTCCATATCGACCAACCCAGGCTTTGCGCCCTGGAGAGGCCACTTCTGTCTCGACAACCCGAGCGCAACTCCATAGTCTCCCAAGACTGTTGGATGCCTGCTACTATCCACTACGGGTTCACCATAGCCCGTGCTAGGTTATCTTGAGGTTATCTTGAGATGATTTCGGGGCTTTAGTGTCCCCGCGGCCCGGTCCTCGACCAGGCCTCCACCCCCAGGAAGCAGCCCGTGACAGCTGACTAACTCCCAGGTACCTATTTACTGCTAGGTAACAGGGGCATTCAGGGTGAAAGAAACTTTGCCCGTTTGTTTCTGCCTCGTGCGGGAATCGAACCCACGCCACAGAATTACGAGTCCTGCGCGCTATCCACGAGGCTACGAGGCCACCCTGCTACTTGAAACTTTTTTCTTCCGAGTAACTGAATCTAAATCAACAAAACTGGGAAATGACATAATACCATATAACTGAAATAGGGCACACGTTTGGAGAGGAAAACGTGTGAATGGCCGGGCTGGTCGACAATGGAGCAGGTGGACAGGGGCCACTAGACCCTTAATGCCTCCATTATCCCCCCACTCCCAAACCAAAAACGATTATCCGAGTTTGTCGGTTTATGTGGCAACCCCTCCACCGCCGTCCCCATGAACCCAACACTGGCTGTCACAAGAGACGGTATAATCCGATTTGTCAGCGATTATTTCGGCATGCAAGTCACATCCATACGCATTGCCACTGAATTTTTGAAATATAGCTAACCTATCGTAAAGCAACGTGACCTAGCTCAACCGAGCCTAACAGTCTAAGGTAACGGAGCCTAACACAGCCTAAGCTAACGGAGCCTAACACAGTCTAAGGTAACGGATCCTAACACAGCCTAAGCTAACGGAGCCTAACACAGCCTAAGCTAACGGAGCCTAACACAGCCTAAGCTAACGGAGCCAAACACGCTAAGCTAACGGACCCCTAACCTAACGATAGCGGTTCTGACAATCAGGAAAGTGAGCTTTGTCTAGACCCCAGTGTTCAATTTGACCGTAGCCTGTAGGTTCGACACGCCGCGGGCTCGGCCTGCTATAGCCTCGTCCGGTCTGCAGAAAAACCTCACAGGAGTCAGCTGCTGACATTGTGCGGACATGGCCATGAATATAAATGGCTGACACTGATTGTATGGTATATGTTAACGATCACAGGCCAGTTGTTCTCCCAATGATTGCTTATTGGCAATAATTCCCCAAGCTTTGGTCGTAACTCGTAGCCTCATTAGCATTTTGAGCGGGCCGTAACTTGTATTAACCACTTTTATCGGCTGCTCCGGAATTTCATCAAGGATTCGAATTAAAATCTTGTGAAATCAAAAGCTTCTATTCCGATAAGAAAAATTAATTAAAATTTTAGGGTAATTAGATTTGGAAGAGAAAATGTAATTTTTTTTAAATTTTGCCCCGAGGGGCGAGTTTATTGGGCAGCGCCACTCATCCTGTGAGTGGACACACCGCCATAGTGACAGTATTGGGCAGCGCCACTCATCCTGTGAGTGGACACACCGCCATAGTGACAGTATTGGGCAGCGCCACTCATCCTGTGAGTGGACACACCGCCATAGTGACAGTATTGGGCAGCGCCACTCATCCTGTGAGTGGACATACCACCATAGTGACAGTATTGGGCAGCGCCACTCATCCTGTGAGTGGACACACCGCCATAGTGACAGTATTGGGCAGCGCCACTCATCCTGTGAGTGGACACACCGCCATAGTGACAGTATTGGGCAGCACCACTCATCCTGTGAGTGGACACACCGCCATAGTGACAGTATTGGGCAGCGCCACTCATCCTGTGAGTGGACATACCACCATAGTGACAGTATTGGGCAGCGCCACTCATCCTGTGAGTGGACACACCGTCATAGTGACAGTATTGGGCAGCGCCACTCATCCTGTGAGTGGACATACCACCATAGTGACAGTATTGGGCAGCGCCACTCATCCTGTGAGTGGACACACCGCCATAGTGACAGTATTGGGCAGCGCCACTCATCCTGTGAGTGGACATACCACCATAGCAGCATGTACAACACTCCCCAATAGGAAGAAAACCCGCTGGGTTGTTCATCCTGTCACTTGTACCCAGAAAATGCAATCTGTTATATACATGCTCATGAGCGTACGCACTCACACACATATATTCGGCCAAAGAACTAGAGCTCAACTTCCGTAAGCACAACTAGGTACACGGGCTCCACCCTTCACAGCCTCTTCAGAAGCCCCACACTCCTTCAAGAAATCCCATTGTAACAGGGGGGGAGGCTAGAAACACCTGCAGTAGGCCAGTAAACAACTGCAGGAATCCCAAAGTTCCTCTAGAAGCCCTATAACCCCTAGAGGTGCCCATAATCTCCTATAGTATGCATAAACACCTGCAGGGAACCCATTAAGAAAAGTAGGTGTTTGCAATATGACATTAGACTGACATGGAGGCAATGACATGACAGGCAATGCAAGGCAATGCAATGCAATGAGGCAATGCAATGAGGCAATGACATGACATGACATGGAGGCAATGTCAATATTGCCTCCATTTTGGCGGCCATGTTTGTAATTTATCCTATGTCTGGGGTTGTCTCATCTGGACAAAGTGCATGGCAATGTGGTATGGATATGTTCACCAAACCACACACTAGAGAGTGAAGGGACGACGAGGTTTCGGTCCGTCCTGGGCCATTCTCGCTCGACTTGAGAATGGTCCAGGACGGACCGAAACGTCGTCGTCCCTTCACCTTCTAGTGTGTGGTCTGGTCAACACTAATGCGTATAGAGCATTTCGGACATATTAAATATGGGATAGGAATAATGGGTTTAGGAACTGGATTTCGTGCTTTTAATGTTTAACAAGTTACAGGTGTGATAAACTAGTTTCAGTGTATATTACCCTATCATACACATATTTCAGTAGGTGCAAAGTTTACAAACTTTAAGGGGGGGGGGGAGCGTTAGGTACCGATAGGCTATCTGAAAAACTGACGTTTGATGGATATTGTATGTTTTATGGTATTTTGGAGATAATCCTATTTTAGAGATTATAGTGTGTGCTATTATCCTAACCCACTCTCTTTAGATAGTACTTTTGTAACTTTGCACTATCGTACACATATTGACGTAATGGATAATTATATATTAGAAATTGGTACTATTCACTTTATAAAGTCTAAAGTCTATAATAAGATATTATAGTGATTATCCTAATCTCTAAAATGAAAAATTAATAATGTCTAAAATAGAACATTATAGACATTAGGATATCTAAAATGAAAAATTAATGTCTGAAATAGGAGCGCTTAAACGAACACAGTACTAAATATGGCTGTGGCTTGCGCTTAACTTGACCTGTTCCTGGTTATGGCGGCAGCTTAAACCCACAAACACTCAGGCTTATGGGAGTGTGTGAAAGGTGGCGGCTGAGGACAATGAATCAAGGCAAAATGGGCCGAACCATTGAATAACTGGTTATCCGTAGAGTCCATTGTCGGGTCCCAGGCAGCCTCTCCCACGCTCTCTGAAAATTACTTTATTTGTGAGGGGAGAGAGAGGAAGAGGAGGTGGAGAGAGTAGTAGTTTTTTTTTTAGTAATAGTGGTAGTGGTGACAGGAGGAGGAGAAAAGTGTGTAATTACCTAAGTGTGTAGTTACAGGATGAGAGCTACGCTTGGAGACACTACGAGTGCTGTTATTGCTCATCAGCCCGATGGCAGCACAATTCAAAGATATATCCGAATTAGTAACTGGGCGTCCACAATGCAAGCCGAGTTGGTAGCGATACTGGTAGCACTCGAAATTATTGACAACAATGGGGACAGCTTAATTATTTCTGACTCCCTATCCTCACTACGAGCAATAAACAGTTTGCAATCAAGTAATAACGTGCTTGTCTTGGAAGCTGGACGTAGATATATAAGAATACTTAGCAAGAGGGTAAATATAAAAATGTTGTGGATTCCTTCTCACATTGGCCTGCAGGAACATGACAAAGTTGACGCCCTTGCTAAGGCTGCAGTAAATAAAGACAGTATTGAACGGAATCTTGAGTTATCAAATAGGTCCCTTAAAAGTGTCATTAGACGAGAACTCCTGGATGGATTTGAAGAAAGTAGAACAGTGCAAACTGGAACAAGCAGGTCCATTGTTCATCACAATGAAATGTGTGAAGTAAAACATGTGTATGGGGCAAGTAACAAAGTCAGTAGACTAACAGATGTTGTCACAGCTCGTATAAGACTTGGCTACAAGTATCTCTGGCAGTTCGGCTTGTATAGGGATCTAGATGAAGTAAAGTGTAAAGTGTGTGGACATAGACAGGGACACACACTCGAACACTATATCTTGGATTGTAGTAAAATTGAGCCTTTTAGAGATAAATCTAAGCTCACTCTGTATGATATGGCAACCTATCTTATTACCATGGATAAATTACCTGAAATCCTTGCACTGTACCCACATTTCGCTTCCAGTAGATGAACGACATATGAGATTCAGAAACAAGTGGTGTATTGTGAGGACTAATAATAAACAGAAGCTCCCCTATGACTCTGTAATATCCCCATTGGTCAAATTATTATGTATTAGCGATAAGACCTACCATTAATGTATGATGACTTACTGTAAATATGTAGCTCTTGTAATAGAACATTCTCTGTAACTAGCTGACATTGTAACTGTAAGGTGTGAAGGATAGATGAAATTGTTTATGTAATAATCTAAGATGAGGTCTGATAAAGACCTTTTGTGCCCTCTGTAATGCTTTTGCGCTACCGCTCACAGGATGAGTATGGGGTGCACAATAAACTAGCCGTCTTCGGCGGCAACAATCAAATCGTCATCCCATCAATTTCTAGTGTGTGTGGTTTGATCAACATTAGATTACAATACTTAATAACAGGTGTATATGACGGTTGAAAGCATGTGTGTGTATGGTGGCTTAATAGATGTAATTCCAGGTAATAGCATGTGTTTGTATACAGATGTGGGGGCCAGGCGGAGTGCAAGTTCAGTGTGTGGAGCCACGTGCCCAGCGCCCAGGTGGCCCAGGACGCCTGGAAGGGCGGCGTGCTGTGGGCGGCGTATGACTGCGTCAACAGTGAGTATTGATTGATGAAGATTAAGTCACCCAAAAGGTGGCACGGACATGAATAGCCCGTAAGTGGTGGCCCTTTGGAGCCATTACCAGTATCATTAGCTGATACTGAGATCTGTGGAGGTGCGACTGTACCCTACGGAGAGGTCGTGACCTCTCTGCATGTACGTCGAGCAGGTCTATATTATATATAATGACGATTGATTGAGTTATGAAGATTAAGCCAGCCAAAAGGTGGCACGGACATGAATAGCCCGTAAGTGGTGGCCCTTTGGAGCCATTACCAGTATCATTAGCTGATACTGGAGATCTGTGGAGGTGCGACTGTACCCTACGGAGAGGCCCTGACCTCTCTGCATGTACGTCGAGTAGGTCTATATTATAATGACGATTGATTGAGTGATGAAGATTAAGCCAGCCAAAAGGTGGCACGGGCATGAATAGCCCGTAAGTGGTGGCCCTTTGGAGCCATTACCAGTATCATTAGCTGATACTGGAGATCTGTGGAGGTCCGACTGTACCCTACGGAGAGGTCGTGACCTCTGAAGAGTGAATAGTATTCACTCACATTGTAGGTTAGGTTGTGGTTTTCTATTCAGCATTTCAAGGTAAACTCAAATATTCACAATAAATTAGTATGTCACATATGCACTTATTCATAAGCACGATATTGACTCAAGCAAGTGCGAGAATGGGTTGCACACCCATCTAATGTCTTCTCTTGTTTTGTATATCATATTTATATGTAAACTCGTTTATTAACCTGCCTCCTTTTTATAAACTCTAATGCTAATAATACTTATAATTAATATTTATAATGATTAATACTCATTATAATTATTAATCATAATTATAACATTAATAATTAATACTAATTAAAATTATAATTAATAATTATAACATTGATAATTACAATAATAATAAAGTTAATAATTAAAATATTATTAATAATAATGACTAATAATAATACCTAATAATAATAATAATTAATCATAACATAATGCACAAAGAAATCACATAAACTTAATACATCATTGAGAAAATCAGTATGTGCCATGAGGAGGATTTAAACCTATGCACTGGGTACTCCCAGGCACACACAATAGAACCACTGCACCACGACCTGGTTAAAGCATTGCTACCTGCGATTCAAGTCGTAATGGCTTGGCATTTTCTCTTGATAGTTCCCTCCCTCCCTCAACTGTAGTGGTCTAGACCATCTGCCTGGGCTCTGTACCCGGGGCTAAGGCTCGAATCCTTCTCACGACACATACCGATTTCCTCGCCGATACATCACGTTAATGTGATTTTTTTGTGTGTTTGAAGAAAGGTGTAGGAGGTAGAATTCCTAGACTACATGCTAGAGTGCATGGTGGGGGGAGGGCATTGTGTGAAACCCTGATTAGGCTTCAGTTGAAGCCTCAGGAACCCTAGAGGATTCAGTTGAATCCCAATTTGCAATGCTTTTACCATGTTGTGGTGTAGTGATGTAGAGCGTGCCTGGGAGTACCCAGTGCATAGGTTCGAATCCTCCTTATGGCATCTATTGATTTTCTCAATAATAATAATTATAAATCATAATAATAATTATAATCATAATTCATAATGTTCTAGAGTCTGACTTCCATCGGGTGTGTGGGAGTGAGGTTTGGGCCCAGTCAGGGTGGATGCAGAGCATTGGGTATCCGCAGTACTACCTGGGTGAGCCAGGTGTGTGCACCATCACTATCCGTGTGGATGAAGGCCAGCACATCCACCTCACCATCATGGATCTCAGTATCAGGGGTAATTATGGTGCTCATGCAACCCGTCCTCTTTAAAATAACGTCACTTTTCGCTCGTATGTGCACTATGGCCAAATTTGGACGTAATTTGAAATAAAATAGACTCACAAAAGTGACGTACTGTTCCATTTTCTGTTTGAGTCGTCCGGCTTACTTGGTTAGGTTAAAAGAGGAAGCTTTCAATTAATGTTTTGAAACTTTATGAAAATTTCCTACCCACCTAACCTATCAGAGGACCCTTAACTTACTGTTGTTTAAAAAAAATCCCAAATTTATTTTCATTTTTTTTTCATTTTCAAATTACGTCCATTTTCAGCCATACTGGCAAACGGCCAAAAGCAACGTTAATTTTAAGAGGACAGGTTGGTTCATAACTATGCAGATCAATTTCCATACTATGATATGCGTGGACCTACAGTAGAAGTTTCCTACTACAATTCTAATCTTCAAAAACAGTAATACCGTACATTATATCTAGAATAAGTGATAGATCTGAGATACTATTTACAAACACAAAACGACATTTTTTCACTACAAAACCACTTTAATGTCACTTTAATGTGCATGATGATACACATTTAAAAAAAGTCATAAAACATCTTTGTAAATTATAGAGCGTGTTATTCACTTGTACATGAAACACACACTCTTAACTAGCCCAAAATTGTACTAATTATACATTAATCTTAAGGCAGACTTTATACACCACATAATTAGTAGCTTTTTATAAATACAAATGCCCATTAAATATGCCCTGTACTCAGATTCTACTCTTTATTATAATTATTATTATTATTTGCTTAGACATTAATATTCTCCTTTAAATTAATGTAATGCACAATTTGCCTTTTCTAGAGATTGTCCAACCAAATGAAGACAGTTGTCGGGACAGTGTGTCTGTAATGGAAGGAAGCAAGCAGCTGCTCCTTCGTTGTGGAGAAGCTAAACAGCCTCTCAGTGTTATCTCAGAAGGTCCGGAGCTCAACGTTACTCTCACTGCAACAACAAAGTTATTCCCAAAGCGGGGATATGTGGCACATTTTCAAGGCAAGTTATAGGTCAATCAATTACTGGAAAATGCAGTATTTCAAATCCACTCATAAAGACTGAAATTTTCACCGAGTTGAAATGCTCGTTTCATAATTATACATTTAATTACTGTACAGTATATACATGTCTTTATGTACTTCCATCCAACATGGGTAAAATTATCTTCCAGGCAATAATGTTCATATATAACTCTTCACTGCCACATAATACATCCCACCCTCTCACAAACTCCTGTTGCTCTTGGAAATTGGGTTGCAACAAGCAACCACCTTCTCTTCTAGGACAAATAACCCAACTCATGCATATGAAATTAAATAAAAATGACGATGTTTCATTTAAGAAAGCTCATATATATATTCAGAACATAAGAGTTCATAGTTTAACTTAGGAAGAACCTCAATAGAAGCTTATGTACAGGCTTACTCTCCCCTAACACTTTTCCTACGTACTGCTTTCTTCTGTAGTTGTCTCATGTCTTCACTGCAGGTCGGCGTTCAATCCCCGACCGTCCAATTGGTTGGGCACCATTCCTTTCCCTCCGTCCCATCCCAAATCCTTATTCTGACCCCTTCCAAGTGCTATATAGTTGTAATGACTTGGCGCTTACCCCTGATAGCTCATTCATTCATGTCTTCACTTCTCTCTCCAGCCTTATTAGTGCACACTTAGCCTCGGAGGATCCATTTGAGCAGCTCGCACACCTTGTTTTTAAACCCATTGACAGATTGGTTAGTAATACAACATTCCTAGACTTGCAGTGTATTTCCATCCTAATACTTCATGACATTCTCCAAAAAGCAACATGTCTCGACTTACACCCTGACCCTCCCCATGACCCAAGAACTGCAAGTGTCATTTACTTGCATCCTAACCCCTATCATGCGTACAACTGTTAACAACAAGCATACATTATCCTGCCGCAGCTCTTGGTTGTGAGACGCCTTCCACTCCTGCCGACGGTTACATGGCTTATAGGAATGCTACACATGCTGAATATTGGTGCTGTGTACATCACGTGTTCCCAGACACCCTCGCCCGACGCAGGCTTCTCCAGTGTACCCGGGGGCATTCTTGGAATGACACACTTCCTGACTGTATTGGTATGTGCTCCTAGTTTAGTAACACAGTAATGTTTGCCATGTAGTTCTCCAAAGATGTATTTCATGAAACAGATTTATTTCACAACTCTTTAAAAGAGGAGCTAAAAAAGATGTATTAGATGAGAAGTCTATGAAGGGGAATGGTTTCTTTTACAAGAATCTATTTGCATTATTTATTCTAATTCATAAATTACAACCAATATTGACTGCAAAGCATGATGATGATGAAAAACTTTTCTTGATGCACAATTTTATTAACACTAATCTGAAACTATACATTGTAGACCTTGAAGAGCTGCTGGAAGAAGGCAACATTACCGAGACACAGTTTCATAACCTAGTCAACGGAAGCTCCACTGAAGCTCAGGCAGAAATGTTACGGCAGGCACATTTGGTCTATGGTATGCTCACTATAATGTTGATTTTTACCTTAAACATTCAAAATATTGTACTGTTATTATTACAATGTAAAAAAATGCTCTAGTGTTAACTTGATTGAATGAACTAATTAGGACTAGTTACATTAATAACTATAAGGTTTCTATTAAAAAAATGCTATAAATTATTACAGGTATTTTCTTAATGCAAATGATAGAATGCATAACTATAATAGATTTTGAATACTATATAAATTATTTTGCTTCATGAACATAAGGCATGATTGAATATAAAAAGTCAAGTTTCTAAGCAAGAATTCTGCCATTTCTTAAGGCATCATCCCAGTATTGTAGACAGTTGTCCTGCCTGACATGCTGTTATAAATAGGGACTTGTTTATGAATAGCAAAATATATTTTGAATGTATTAGAATATATTATATTCCTACAGCCCTAATAATACAGTATTTCCAAGCAGATAATTAATGGCAACAATAACAACACCTATGACAAGAACAATACTTATTACAAGACTTAGAGGAAGATCAAGTGTAACATTTCTAGTTGACAATAAAAGCACACTCATCCATCCATGTAAATGTTGTTGTGTACAATATACAGAGCTGCATTCTTGTGTTCCAACAGACCTGGTGGTGCCAACAGTGATCATGTCTGTACTGGTTCTTGGCAATGTTGCTGTCGTCTTTCTGATTATATACTGCCGCAGGTGCGTTAAACTGAGTTAAAGTTTTACTCGTTATTGTATTTAGTTACCGTTTGTAACTTTATTATATGTATACAAATAGTTTAATTCATTTAAACTGAATTAAAGTTTTACTCATTACTGTATTTAGTTAGTGTTTGTAACTTTAATATATGTATACAAATAGTGCATAGTTAATTAGTAAAGGTAGTTTACATCTGAAGTTATAATTTCCTACTTGGTTTATATTCACATCATAGATTGCCATTCTCTGCACTGCTTCTGAAGGCAAACAATATTCCATTGATCCAGTATACAGTATAAGGAAAATATTGTATTTTCTTATACAGTATACAGTATAAGGAAAATACAATATGCCTCAAATTAAACACTAGAACATTGCAGTGTCATTGTGCTTTTTACATCGTAATTAAGAATAAAACACAGTTGAACTGGAATTTACTTTACCAGAAAACATTGGTAGCATTAAATAAATAACTCATCCCACTCACATTTAATGGAAGTGAGAACATGGCATCACTACATGATAAAATATGTGATGAGCCCTACATAGGGATGTCGCCCTTATCAGAAGGATGTGGTCAACTTTCACTACAGGATTGAAAAGAGCATTACTCTGCTATTCAGCAGATTTTTGCAATTGCTATACAGTATAGTTTTTAACCCATGTTTTATGAGAATATAGCAGCAGCTATAGCATGGTGTTCTCTCTCTTTCATATTAATGAGATGCTTGTGGAACAGCTTCCCAATTTCATGGGTTGGTGAGGCATTTCTTCATGAAACTCAGCAGTGCAAGAAAGTAGTTTAAGATACTGTAATATCACTTACGAGGGATGGTCTGTCACCGCTACACCCATCCTTCCCCAAGGATGGATGTACCAAGGATATTTAACAGTAAATATGACAAAAAATCTGACATCACTAAACTTCAACACATCACCCACAGCAGCACACACTGTAGGTCCATAAAATTATCCAAACTTCATAGAATTACATAAATTACACGTAGATGCAGCAAAGAAATAAATACACAACAGTGTGAACTAAACAAAATTAAGAAAATTGCATTTCATTCAAAGCTAAAAACTAAATTTGTTCCCATAGCCAATGTCAGTTAAAATACAAGAAAAGAAAACAAACAGAAATGACTAAAGTAATTTGTGAGGAACTAAATGCCAACTTACGTGAGGTGTTCACGGCCAAGCTGGAACAACTTCCAGTGATGAGCAGATAGCTCAGTTCAGGTGGTCAGTGTAAGTCTAAACAAACACAAAGGGTTTTTCTATACACCCACACAAACACGTGTGTGTGCGTGTGCAAGGTTCGCATATATAGAATAGGTCCACTGTTCTAATGAAACACCAAGTTCCTTAGGATAACACACTCAAGTAATAGTTTTAATGTCACCCTTGGCATACAAGCTACAACTGGGGTCAGTCAGGTAAGACTGTGGTGAGGTTAGGTCAGAGGGCTTTGTTATGGTGTCACTGCTGCCACCTGGTGGTGGTCAGGGGCAGTGAACTTAGCAGTCACTGGATAGCTAAGGTACTGCTTTGTGGCTCCTGAGATGTCAAGTACCCATTGGAAAACTAATGTTTATGTGAATTAATTACTTATCTGCATTTTAGGCTGCAATAAGTACTGTATAGTGTTGCTCTAGTACCAACATGTCATGGCAGCTGAAATTTGTAAAGTTCCTGCTGATCAGTATAAAATGTCAACCTCCTTTAACTGTACTAGATCCTAGCAAGGAATCGGTAAGATCTTTTCTTCGGTATCATGTAGTAGAATGTCTCGGATAATGTACCAAGTTGCTAGAAATGGTGAACTCATCTTATTGACTTTTGCACTCGATGTCTTTCCACCATATTTTCGTTTATTATTGATCTATTTAAACTTGCTTCTGAGATTGTCTATTTCTACTGCTCAAATGATGGAGTTTTCGTGCTTCTGCCACAGGAGCATCTCACGTGTGTATGCAAGAATATCTAGTAATACCTCGAGCAGCCCCTCTAGCCAAAGGTCTAACTTTATGTCATGCTGGGACTCATACTGCCAGAGCATACATTCAAATCCTCCTCACGGCTCCTACTGATTTACTCATTGATACATCATGCTAATGTGATTTCTTTGTGCACAAATATAAGTGTTAATAAACTTAAAGAAACACATACAAAATAGTTCATATGAATACATCATTATAAACTACATTTCCTTTAGTGTACTGTATAACATTTGTTTTAGCTCACTTGTAATTTTTTTTTTCAGGGGTGTGATCGAGGTGGGTGTCCGATGTGAAGAACTTGAGTCCATTAAGGCTAATCCTGAGCCAACTGATGTGATAGACAGTGAACCATGTAATGTGTAGCATTAGGTTGTCTCACATGGCATTATTAATAAAGGCCACGTCTGAAGGAGCGCCGCTATGTAAGACGTAGACACGTAATGTGACATACATGGTTCCCTTGCTACAGTCATTTAAGAGACTCCTAGAACAAAATTGAAGGCAGTTTGTAATACAGCTTTCCTCTAGCAAGCGGTACATGAAGATTTCACTTAAAAAATACAGTACTGTATGCAAAATACAAGAACCTTTGGCATGAAATTGTGTAATATTGTCCAATTTAATGTGACAAAATAAAATTCAACATTCTGTTACGATTACAGTATTGATACGTAAAATTAGATTAGAACACTTCAGTCATTGAACGAAAAAAGACATACATTTTTATACTTCTTGAAAATAACAAATCCTTTCAAAACATAAAAGGATATTTCATAGAAGGAAGTTTTAGTGTTATTACCAAACAATCTAGTCAAAAATGTCTGGAGTTATTGATTTCCATTTTGACTACAGTATATGAATCTCAAATATTCTAGTCTTACTATGTGCCAAATAGCTCTATCATCTCTAAACCATTTTTTCCATATACTCATTACAAAATCTCTGACAATATCAATGGCACTAAAATGTACTTAAAAAGGAACAAAATTATAAATTAATAATCTGTTCTGCTTCTATTTGAGAAAAATTTTCTCTTATAAATTCTATAATCTGTCTAATCTTAAGCCTTAATCTTAAATGTACATTTATAGGTTAATTGTAGATGAACACAAAACATTGCTTAAACAGCACTTGTCAAACTTTTCCACTTTAGTGTAAAACTATAGATATGCATGTAATAATACATCAAAGAAACTCAGTTATGCTATTTTAATAAGAAATAATCAAACTGCACCTAAAACGTGACATTGTCACCACAACCATCTTGTTCCAGGCAAGTTGCAGCCATCGATACAAAATGAGGTTATAACACTCTGGTACGAGTGATTTAAGATCAAAATATGTTCTTTAGTGATGTGTTGAATAATAGCACAGTATACAGTGCCTATGTCACACAAGTGTACAAGTGAATACATATCCTAAAGTACAGTGCTTTACAACACTGTATAATCAGTACAGTGCTTTAAGTAGTAGGCACCCATCAGTCTCAGGAGACTATGGAGTTGCGCTCTGGTTGTCGGTCTGGAGTGGCCTCACCAGGGCGCAAAGCCAGGGTAGGTTGATTCGGGGGAGAAGCTGTTACCCATGCAGCAGGTCCCCCCTCTCCACGGCGCTGAAAGTCTCCAATGGAAAAGCATATGCCAATACGATTGGTTTCAGCACTGTCGCAGGAACTGTGAGTTCCGGGGTTGACCTTGAAGGTGGTGAAGAAGGGCACAGGGACCTCCAAGCACTGTACTGATTATACAGTGTTGTAAAGCACTGTATAATCAGTACAGTATTGCTCTTACAGCTGCAAGTTTTGAGATGTTTCAGTGGAATGTCTTGTGAAGTATTACTCTAAAAGATAGTTTCTTCCATTGATACATGTATTCATATAGCTGAAAACATTCCATAGTTATGTTTGTGTAACGTACCCAGGAGAACATTTCTCTAGTGGTGGTAGCTTAGATCTCTTTAATTATCCACCATTAGGTAAATTTTCTCACACCATTTTGAGATAAAAACTAGTCATTCTTTTAAACATTTAATGAATTTAATTGATTGAATTGTTACATGTGTACTACCTACCAGCTCTTCAGTGTTTATCAGTGCTAATATACAAGTCATTCTAGAATACGAAAGTCCAAGGCTAAAGTATCTACAATTAAGTTAGTTTTCAGGTTGACAGTTTACCCAGCAAGAAGAGCAGTTACGTAGTGCAATACGTAAGAGCCATTCTAGAAGAGCAGCCTTAGGTATACTCAACAAAATTTAGAAAGATGGAATTATAAGTTTATACAATGTTGGCATTGAGCTTACTTTTAATTAAAGATGAGTTTGAAAAAGGAATCTCTTAGACTAAGGGAAACCCCCCTCCTAGCCCCCATGATCTTACAGGCCAAGGCCAGGGCTCGCTAAAACATGTGTGTCGCCATTTACAAAACCTCTCCGTCTTTCTTCAATTATGGCGGCCTGGCTTGCATTTATTAAACAGTTTAAGACTTCCAAAGCACTATGAGGTTATCTATAACAATATTAACCTTTGGTTCTGAATTTTTGAAGCGTGTAAACTATTTACTAAATACTGTATAGACTAAGACTATGATTGAAGAAAGATATACAGGTTTTAAAGCGAACACACAAATGCTTGATGAATCCTGGTTCACGGGCCACCTGTAAGGGCACGGGGGCTTTTCCTGCAAGGCCATTGGTCCAGGGGGTTGCCTATTTTGTTTATGATTGTGTCATTGGAGGAACAAAGTAGCCTTCTCCTGCCTACTTTCTCCCTTCTATAGCTTACAACATTATCATTTATTAAAACTTGCTGCTATTTCAGTCTGATATTACATTCCATCTGATTTGCTTTGAAACCATTAATCTTAATCCTTTTTTTAATAAAACCTTTTCATTAGCAACTTGGTCTTAATGACAATCCTGGGATACACAATTCCTTAAATCTTGGTGACATTAATTGCCTACAATGTATACTGGCCATATTCATTTTGTCAGTTCTGATACTGACTTGTATTGTACAGCATATAGTAGCAGTGTGTCAATACTGTACATTACAATACAGTACAGTATCAATGTAACAAAGCCTGAGTCAGGAATATACTTTGCAGACAGTATGTAATGAAACATGCACCAATAATAATAATATGAAATTCTCATGCAATCCCTCGCAAAATATGTATTACTGATGAAAGTGGTTTGCATTGCTTAAGTTGTGTAAGTTCGATGATGGAAAGCTACCTCAACATTCTAAATGCATTACTCCAAGAAACTTTCCTTCCCACATGGAAGTACAGTAATGAGGACTGCCAAATGTATGCAAGAAAGCAGAACTTGAAGATGGCAAAAATATAATTAGTATACAAATACAACATTTATGGGACAACAGTATTCAGTGAGAATATATTGAAAATATCAGTGAAAGGTAAATGTCAGAGAAAAAGTTAATACCTTGTACAGCCAGGAAGACAGACACTGGTGCAGTGCAGAGAAGTCAAATATTATAATCAAATACAGTACAGTGAAAATCACAATAACACAAAGCTATGAATAAATATTGAAGCTGTACAATGGAATTGAATCTGTGGCCCTGATCACTTCAAGTACACTCGCTGTTGACTTGATCATGGTGAGTTATTTTCATCATATTAATGAGACAATGTATTGTACTGTGTTTCATGTTTGATTAACCCTAATATATCTGTCCTACAAAATAACAACAAACAGAATATAACTATTCCAACAATGACTTTGTGCAATGTAATGTCTCATATTAACTATTTCTTTATTTAAAGATGTTTCTTAAAGACGGTTACGTAGTCAATGGTTATTTTCAGCCCTTGGACATTGTTTTCAACACAGCTGTAACATCAACTGACCAAGTGTCACTTCATTCATATCAAAGATTACTTTATAGTAACCATAGTAAATTATGAAGAAGGTTAATTCAATTTATAAATACTGATGTGAAAAAATCCGTAGTTTCATATACAAGTTGTAATTATTCATACCTATTATTTGTGATACAAAGGAATTAGTTTGTAATGCTGTGTGCTTGTGGCCTAGTAAGAATTTACAAGGCTATAGTTACCCAACTTCCTGCACCTTATTTTGTAACACTAATACTAATGTATTTATTTACTGTACTGATAATTTTTTTGTTATTTTAAAATGTCTCAATATGGACAAAAATACAAGATAACTTAGTATGATATTATTATTCCCATAACGTGATGAGATGATACTCATGTCAATAAATATATGAATTGGTAGATCAACATGTGCTACATATTCAAACAGTTGCACTGTATATTAAAAGTGTGTATTCACCTAGTTGTGCTTGTGGGGGTTCAGCTCTTTTGGCCCGCCTCTCAACTGTCAATCAACTGTTACTAACTACTATTTTTTTTTTCACACACACATCCTCCAGGAAGCAGTCCATAACAGCTGTCTAACTCCCAGGAACCTATTTACTGCTAGGTAACAGGAACATCAGGGTGAAAGAAACTCTGCCCATTTTGTTTCTGCTATCACCGGGGATTGAACCCGGACCCTAATCCAGAGCGCTGTCCACTCACCTATCAGCCCCCCTCCCCATGTGTGTCATAAACCAATTGTACCATACTCAATTTTGTGGTCAAGCCCCAAAAATGAGCAGTTACTGAAGATCAAGACTGAAAAATTTCACCTTACGTTTAGTCTTTGATTTAGTCTCTGAGAGTCAGATGCTGCTTTACGTTAACCGACAGGCAACAGATACTAAATTCCATACTAAATAAAAAAAACTGTGTTATGATGCATATTTTTGTTATTATAAGGATTAAAATGCAAATAACATTTGCATGGATAGCTACAATAAGTCCTTATTGTGTACACTGACCTGCGTGTTGCTGGTGCTTGCAGTCGTCTTGGGTCAGTAAGAAGCGAGCAAACATGCCTCAGTACAACTAACTCCTGCATGGTCAGGTCAGTGCCAGATACTGGAGCATCACTGGGTGGCTGGACTTGTGCATTCTCCAAAGAACGTTTGCATAATAAAGGCAGTCATATGATAGTGTAGTTTCATTAACTTAGAAATACAGTCCTGAATTTTGCTGAGAAGGCAGAAACCAGTCAAAATGGTTTAATAATAATAATGTTTAATTCACTTTCAAGTCCTTTTTATTAAATTTCACATACATTAATGGTTACATAAAGCCATTGCTTAAAAGGGCTGAAAATGTACCAAGCTGTGTGTAAATGTATCATTAAAAAGTGAGAGCTGTAGCATATCCTATGAAACACCAATACTGTATACTGTAATGCTAGACAAACATTTTAATAAAAATATATCTACAGGATGAAAATTTGTCAATGTTCATAATTTAACACATAACGTTAAGAAGTTAAAACATGTATTACTGTACAGTCAAGTTTGTGGAAGTGGAAAAACACAATTCACTAATAAGGTAAATGTCAGGATACCTGCCTAATGTTAAGCTTACTCTCTATGAAAGGAATCACTAAAACTTTGTATAAACTTTGAGGTGTTATTTAATGTGGTGTATGATATCTACATTAAAGTTAACTGTACACTGGGCTCGGTACAACCACAAGTCACCAACAACGACGGTACAAGTTAGTTTTGTACCACGTTAAAATAAAATAAAATACTGAAAATTAAAATTCTGAAATAGTCTTTCAAATGTAATACTGTACATGTATGAATCTTTATTACTCATTTCAGTACTGAATCACATCACATGAATGAACTGAAACATGACAGACAACTTAGGTGTAAAATTATTATTCACAGGTTATATTACACTCTTTATACTTGTTAGATTAAATACCTGTAATTATTGGCAATTACAAAATACACTGAATTCTTAATTAAATCAAATCTTAGATTTTTAATAGGCTTTCAACTACCATGCAAAATGTACAAAATAATTTTCTAAGAGCATTTGCCACAGACACTACAATATAATCAATTCCCTGGTGAACTCTTGGAATTAAACTATCACTTCTGATGATGGCTTGACATGTTCTGGAAGTTTCTGTAGCTCGTGCTGTAAAGTAGAGAAAATTGGGATTAAAACTATCTACAGTATCTATGAGCAGTGCTCTTGTCAAACTATCTACAGTATCTATGAGCAGTGCTCTTGTCAAACTATCTACAGTATCTATGAGCAGTGCTCTTGGCAAACTATCTACAGTATCTATGAGCAGTGCTCTTGGCAAACTGTCTACAGTATCTATGAGCAGTGCTCTTGGCAAACTATCTACAGTATCTATGAGCAGTGCTCTTGTCAAACTATCTACAGTATCTATGAGCAGTGCTCTTGGCAAACTATCTACAGTATCTATGAGCAGTGCTCTTGTCAAACTGTCTACAGTATCTATGAGCAGTGCTCTTGTCAAACTATCTACAGTATCTATGAGCAGTGCTCTTGGCAAACTGTCTACAGTATCTATGAGCAGTGCTCTTGTCAAACTATCTACAGTATCTATGAGCAGTGCTCTTGTCAAACTATCTACAGTATCTATGAGCAGTGCTCTTGGCAAACTATCTACAGTATCTATGAGCAGTGCTCTTGTCAAACTATCTACAGTATCTATGAGCAGTGCTCTTGCCAAACTATCTACGGTATCTATGAGCAGTGCTCTTGGCAAACTGGATGAGCTGGAACACATACACACTAACTGAGAAGGTTCTTGCCTCCTACACTTCATACAAGTGGCTTCTTGAGTGGCAACCACTTACATTAGAGCACTCTAGGGCTCTGTCTTAGCTAGGGCCTTTGCTACTTGCTATGCTCTATATATAAACAATTTAGAAACATGACTTAACAGAAGCATTTGCAAATTTGCAGATGATACAAAAATAGAGCTGAAAATAACTTTAGATGATTCAAAATCATTGCAAGATGAAAATAGATCGACTTTTAACATAAAAGAAACATTGGCACATGCAGTTTAATGTTGATAAATGTATGGTTCTCAACCTAGGTAATGATAATACCTAGGTTGAGAACCTAAGATGATAATAAGTTACTCAATATTAGATGGACAATGTTGAAATTGTCACATTTGAATGTGAAAGATTTTGGAATCATGATAAGTAGGGACCTAAAATAAAAAAAATGTGTAAATGTTTGGAATAGGCCAAACTGAATTACTGCAATTATGCAGATGAAAAGTCACAATAATGTAGCTGAAAAATGTTGACCAAACCACATACTAGAAATTGAAGAGACAACAACAATTAATAATGGTCCAGGACGGACCGAAACGACGTCATCTCTTCAATTTCTAGTGAGTGGTTCGGTCAACATATTGGAATTCATATCTAGAAGCATTAGCAATAATATTTGTAATACACAAAGAAATCACATTAATATTATGTATCAATGAGAAGATGAACAAATCCACAAAGGCCTTGATGGGGGGGTTGAAACCCATGCACTGGATGTTCCCAGACGCGCTCTAGTCAACTGTACCACTATATGGTCAAAAACAGTTGACTAGAGCACATCTGGTATCAATCCTCATCAAGGCCCTTGTGGATTTGTTCATCTTATATATCACATTACTGTGATTTCTGTGTGGAATGAGAAGATCAGTAGGAGCCATCTTCTTGAGGTTATCTTGAGATGATTTCAGGGCTTTAGTGTCCCCGCGGCCCGGTCCTCGACCAGGCCTCCACCCCCAGGAAGTAGCCCGTGACGGCTGACTAACACCCAGGTACCTATTTTACTGCTAGGTAACATGGGCATAGGGTGAAAGAAACTCTGCCCATTGTCTCTTGCCGGCACAGAAACAATGGGCCATGAAAAGGATTCAAACCTGCACACACAGTAAACCACGAGACAATGATATGCTACGCAAGTAATATAACCTGGGATTCAACTGAATCCTCTAGGAGTCCTGAATCATTCAGCTCATACCAAATCGTGCTTTCACACACAACCCCAGCACTCTCTTCAATTGCACAAAGAAATCACATAAACGTGATGTATCAGTGGGCATATCATGGTCCAGTAGTTGAAGGCAGTGTGCAAACTGGTACTCAGTAAAACCAGTACTGTATTGTTATCATACTTAATGCCTTGATATTTTAAGTACTTATTGTATTATTGTGATACAAAGGCGCAGTTCTTCTCTTTATTTATAGTATAATAAGAGAGATTGGAAAGGATTATACAGTAGATACAAATACAAATAAATCAGTGATATTTTGGCTTGGTGATGGAAATGTCAATCAGGCTACAGACCAGGAGGCCTGGTCAGAGACCGGGCTGCGGGGACATTAACCCTTAAAGTGCGCATCACGTCATATGACGTGTTGGACGTTGTTCCAGTCAACTGTGCATCACATCATATGACGTGTTGGAGTACTACGCAAGATTTAAACGGCCCGCAGATACACAGGGTTCACCACACCTTCATCAGGGCTCTTGTAAACAGAAGCCATTTTTTAAAAAAATCGTGGGCCAAACTCCCGGGTGTTATTGGCCTCAGTATTGAGTGAGCAACCAAGCCTGATGCACGCAGCATGAGCTAACAGCACTGCTGTTCAGCTTGTGACCACAGCATCGCCTAAAAATGCCAAAATATACTTGTTCATGCTATTATGTAGCAATGATATTATTACAGAAGACCCCTGACTGATAAAACTGACCAGGGTTCTGATAATAGCAGGACTGTGGTGATATTTAGCGCTGTGCACCATGGAGGGAGGAGTAATGCTGTGGGAGGGAGGGTGGTGGCGATGTCTTCTGACTGTGTGTGGCCACCTTTTATTGACTGCACTCACCATACCAGCTTAGTGGTTCGCTATGGTGAACACAAATGTAGATACATATATATAACGTGTGTATAGAGGGTATAAACAGCAAGAGAAGGTTGGGAGCCGCCATTTTGGCGAGGGCGGTGGCGTCGTGCAGACGACGCCACCGTGCAGACGACGGTGTTGTTTACTGGTTACCACGATGGTCTTTGGGCACCATACCAGTTTATTTGTATAAGTATGGTGAATAAAACAAGTAGATATTTATATATAATGTGTGTATATAGCGTAATAACACCACACAGTATTGTTGGAGGAGAAATATTAGTGTGCCTGGCCTTGAGGGCGGCAGCCATCAGCTGACTGTGTGGGGTCCTACGTCTTTGTGCCTTTACTCACCATACAAGCTTAGATGTACAGTTATGGTGAACAAAACATGTAGATACTTATATATAACGTTCGTATATAGTGAATTATAGCAAAAACAGTATTGTGGGAGGAGAATGTGGGTGAGTCAGATGACTTGAGAGAGGGTGGGAGTGGCTGGCTGGTACACGGCGGTCACTCCTCGCTACTTTTTGACTCATAATAGCTACTTAGTGGTTCGTTATAGTGAACAAAACATACAGATACTTATATATAACCTGTGCTTGTAGTGTAATAACCGACAAAGTATTTGTTCACTGATTGATGAACATAATTGAATCAACAATATGCACACCATATTTTTGAGTATAGCAATGATTCACTCATTTTATTATATAAATATATCAAACTACACACTATTGAATAATATTACAGCAAAAAAAACTATGAAAAATCAATCAGAGACATTGAAATAATTAGGTAATTATCTCTTTGTGGCAACTCCGGCCTGACAGCTGGCGAGCAACAGACCACCTGGGACGCACGCTGAGTCAGCGCCTATAATTTGCCAGATTTCCCCGCCCTATATCGGGCAATATATGCCACTTACGATTTTTTTATTATTTTTCCCGTGATCAGTGAACACAAATTAACAGGTTAGGAAGAAAAAATAATTTTTTTTTTTCAAAATTACATGCGCCTGTGGGGATGACAGGATATTATACCCCTAGCATGTTAAGGGTTAATCCTCAGAATCATCAACAGGTATACGACAGGTAGGCCAGGCCCTTCCTTTCATCAAAAGACACTGTCCACTCTGGCAGCAAACAATCATTTTCTTAAATTTTTCTCCCAATTGGCATAACATATTTCCTCCTTAAATTACCTCTTGCTGATATATTTTACCTTGGGATATGTGTAGAGGGTGGGAGTACATGTGAGAGCTCCATCAGATCGCGCCAGTATTTGGCTGAATGGAAAAACTAGGTCTCTTGTGTCACAGGGAGCCACAAGTGTTTCAGCATCTTTTATTTATTGTGTCAATTATCCCACGTATTAGTACATTTTTGTAAACAACATATAGTATGTGAATTGTTTTAGGCAGTGCATGTGCAAATTCAGGATCAACCGTGCAAACAACTCAGGAAAACTAATACTCCAAGAATTAATTACTGTATATCTAAAGAACTTAAATTAATGCAAAACGAAGAGAAACAATCATCAGTCAACTTACTGTTGTGACTTTCATGGATACTCCTTCTGGCAGGTTTCTCTGTATGTACTCAAGAAACGTATCTGCTGTGGACCCTGTTAGCCTTGCAAACTTCATTATCAGAAAGTGTGTCCTCACTTCATACTGCACACGATGATGCTTATGAACATGCACTGATTTAAGTAGGGTCCATCGATAGATTTGTTTCTTGGGCCATAAACTGGAAATAGAAAAATTTATGAAATACATATATATGTCAAATGGCATGTGTCTACTCTTTTCTACCTACTCACTCATACATGATGTAATGATCTGAAGGGTTGACAGATCCCAATATCAACAACCAAGAGAACTGACCTATCTGCATACAGTAGTAACATACACGAGAGCTAATGGACTATAGACACAGAGTTTATATAAACACTTATCTCCCAATTATTTATAATAATTGCATATTATAATTATAATATATGCATATGCTTGCATATGCTATATATATATATCCTGCACAATATATTCTTTTAAATATTATCTTTAAGAAAATTGATAATTTGGCCATATATAGTTAATAAGTTTTATAAACCCAATATCTTCTACAACACAGAAAGAGTTGCATGTCAACTGCTGTCATTTCACAAATATAATTTATGAATTTTTTGTGCCCTGTGGTCATTTATATCACAAATTTTATGTTTATCAATGACTTCCTTTAATAGTCAGTTGCCAGGTCATAGAATAAAACTTTAGAGTATAATATTTGACTGTTATGATTATAATTTAAAATAATTAATTACATGAAATAAAATATTTATTTTGTTTTCAAATGATAACAAATTGTTTTAAGAATTAGGAAACCTTGATAAATTTCTCTCAATTCTGATTACTGAAAAATGTTCGATCCTTTCAATTCTCAACACAAATTCTGATTAATCATCCCATCAGTAAAATTGAAGCTAAGGAAACAAAGGTTACAGAGTTTGAACAATTTAAGGAAGATTGCCGTGGATGCCAAAACCACCAACAGTTTCAAATTGTCAGGTGACAAAGACTATAGTGAATAGCTCTCATTCTCTGATTGCACTTAGGTAGTTACACACAGCAGGGCACTATAATGTAAAAGAATGAGCAATCATACATGTCTTGGACAGAAATCTCTAGATGGGCAGCAGTCGCAGACACAAATGTTTGGTATGAGCGCAGTACAGCAGGTTCATGGCTCCGACACTCAACTTCTACCAAGCTGTACAGTTTGTCTGCTTCTTCTGCTTGCAAATCCTAAAAAGAAATGTGGCTATCAGACATGGATATACTGTATATGTATAGTATTAATCATTTAATAATTTATTACTGCAAGGAGACCTCAAGTCAAACAATGTACTGTACAATATGAGAATATTAAAAAGACTCCTATGCTAACACAACAAGTGAAGTGTTTATAGAATTTTGCTTGCTGGAAATAAATGGGTTTTCTGTCTGATCTCTGAAATGGGATGGATAGAGAAGGGTGAAGGAGTGGGACTATTGGGGGAGTGGGAAATACTGTAAATTGAATCCATTTATCAAGATACATATCTGGAAAGAAAAATATAAATTGTCAAGACCGTGATTTATACAAACATGTTGCATTTATATTGGATTGGTAGACACTGTGAAAAATGCAATGTATTGGTGAGAGGACTGGTTTGATGGATTCAAGTATGCTCTCCACTAAGCTCTGCACCCCTTGGATAGGAGACAAGACAATTTGCAAGGAAATTTGTCCCTATAGGGTGCAGAGTTGCTCAGAACCAGAAGATTTAGCTCTTCTGCATCCATCTGTAGATGGACACTGCATCCACCTCTGGGTGGATGCAGTGTCCATTTGTCCTTGACACTGACACTGCACTGACACTGACAATGCAGTGTCCTTGACACTGCATCCACCTCTGGGTGGATGCAGTGTCAAGATTAAAGAGAGTTGCCATGCTCAGAAGCCATGCTCAGAAACAAGGATGAAAGTATGAATAAGGGAGATATTTGATTACTAACAGTACCGTAGTGGGAAAGAGCATGTCATGATAATTACTGGAAGAGTACAATAAATACATGGGAGTTCCATTGCAAAAGAAGTTATGGGATTCAGATGCTGTATTGCATTAAGGCATCTAGTGGATACCTTACCTTGAGGTTACCTTGAGGTTACCTTGAGGTGATTCCGGGGCTCAGGATAAAGTATATGAACAAAATTGTAAGATGCACATGGCCTTTAAGGACTTAGAAAAAATGTGAAAATGTGTTGATTATGACAGCATCAATGATGATATGTTTTAGAGAACTTGTACTTACACTTGATACCTGTGACTCGGGTAAGGTGGTTGTGTTGAGGGATCTTGACGGTAGGACAATCTGCGGTAATCGGGTTCTGAGTGATGGAAAAGATGTATTCTCAGATATTTGGGTCCCACAGCCTGGAGCTAACTGCATCAAAGTCCTTGGCATTATACCCTGACCAAACACGCTTCCAACAGCCTGTGGGTTAATAATTTTTGCTGCATTTATCTAAATTAGGATTTACTGTATAGCTTAACACTACAGTTAAGCACAAAATATACAAAAATCACTAGCCATCCATTGAGCTATGCAAAGAACAAAAGTTATTAAAATTATTATTATTATTATTATATATATATATATATATATATATATATATATATATATATATATATATATATATATATATATATATATATATATATAATGTACGAAAGATTGAGAAAATTCGTGTTAGAATTATTAATCTTACTTTTTCGGTCATATTTAATAATATATGTCTACAGGAAAGACTGCTACCAAAATATACTAATATATATATATATATATATATATATATATATATATATATATATATATATATATATATATATATATATATATATATATATATTATAATAATATATAGATACATACACACACACATATATATGCATATACACACACAAATTATGTAACCTATAAATAGTCTAAAAGTTTACTTAGACAACTCCCTAAAAATTTGTTTTTTTTTTTGCCCTTTCTATTTATTACTTATTATTCATAGATTCCACATGTTAAATGGATAAAGCTATATACTGTAATAGAGAGGCTTGATAAATGGCGTCAATGAGAAAACAGACTAACAAACATGATGCCCTATCTCATCCTTACCATTTAGCAAAGCCACTTTTATTCCAAAGGTTTTGGAATTAATAGGTTATATTCACTTAGACAAAAGCAAGGCTCACTTTGGTTAGGAAAAAGTTGTAGGGAATATATGTGATTACTTATTATGATTATTTTAGGGCTTCTAACACTTTGGATAAATGGCAAATTGTCCATAGATGGACAAATTTAGTGACAAATATCTGGTTCAACAAATTTTGTTTAAGCAAAGTTGCACTGCATAATATGTTAATGGACATTGACTAAGCCAGCAAAGAAGCAATGTCCAGATTAAGAAAAACCAAAACAAGGGAACATACAGAAAAAAGATAATTATGAGATAAAACATTGTCAATATGGCTATATAAAACTTAGAGGTGCAGTCATTAGGAAGAAACCTTCCCACAAATTGCATGTACCACAAGGTAGAACTTTGAAGGGATATGAGGACATGCTAAGAGTCGAGATATGAGAATGGAATTAACACTTTCGCCCAGGCATGATGCAGCATTGCGTCATCCGTTTACTGTTGGTAATGCTGGGGATGACGCAGCATTGCATCATCCACTTTAAATAATCGCCAAAAATCAGGTTTTTATCCGATTTTTGGGGGACTGGTTTTAAAATGTGCGCCGATGTCTTCCCATTTTCTTTGTTGAGCCTCGTGGCCCTCAGGCGGCTTGGCACACGCCGTGGGCCCATTGTTTTCGCTCCGCTGTTGTGACCAATGTCGCCTCCCCTTGCATCTCAAACGTGTGAACATTTCGGCTATTTTCCGTGGCTATATTTCTTACTGCGGCTTTAGAAACTATCTACGCTTACTGCATGATGGATAGTGATCATGAACATGGCCCTTCTAGGAAAAAAATTGTGAAAGAAAGGCTTGAAAAAGGCGGGAATTGGGAGTGTAGCTGGAAGGCGTCTGAGCGCTCACTTGCGGCTAACGCGTGATCCGTCTTCAACTCGTCGGCGGTTGGAGCGTGACCAGGTTTTTTATTTTATATGCTAATGTTCCTCTAGAGAATTCTATTGCAAACCCATTGAGACCAAAATGAAAGACCTAGGACGAAAATTGAGGTGACCAGAGTGAAAATAGTGAAAACATTTTATCGCGTTTGCGCGCTCCTGGGTAACTCGTTCGCACTTTCTCTGTTTGCTGCGGGTAATTAGCCAGGCTTTTGGAGTTTATATGCATTTAGTGCTGTAGAGAATTCTATTGCGAACACAGTGATACAAAATTTAATCTCGTAGGACGAGAATTAAGGTGACAAAGTTGAAGAGAGTATACACTTTTCAGAATTTACGCGCGCTCCTGTGACACCCTGGGACCCATATCGCACAGTTGAGGGGTGGCGCGCGGGGTAAGCCAAAGTGTTAAGAAATTGCTTAACTACTTGGACCATTGGGCATTAGTCCATTAAACACAGATTTAGCTGAAGTCAAAAAGGCACCAACAGTCATTCTACATCATCTCTACTATTTAAATACAACAAATCCTAACCTAACAAAAATATTGAGGTTGTACCTTTCATATATACTCTGTGAAATGTATCATGATGTAATCAAATTGCATCCAGGAATCTTTTTGACTACTACTGACTGGTCCGTCTAATTACCCAGCGCTTCCTAGCATTATGTAAGTAATGAAGAAATATGATATATTTACTCACTATAATGTTGGTGCTGAATGTTAAATATAAAAAAAATATATATTTTTACTCTGAAATAATATAATTTTTATAACAAAACCGAGTCATTCTAATTACCCAAAGCCACAACAGTGTTGCTTGGATTGTCGACTTCCTGTGGTGTCACCTGCTACTTAGTTTCGTCTAATTTCGTTATAACATGATAATATTTCAGAGTAAAAATATGTTTTTTCCATGTTCTACATTCAGCACCAACATTATAGTGAGTAAATATATCATATTTCTTCATTACTTACGTAATGCTAGGAACCTTTGGGTATTTAGATGGACCCCTACTGACTGAGCACGTATTAGTACTGGCACCCAAAACTTTATGTATTACCCCAAGTAATACTAATCTTACTAATATTTACTAGTAATTTACTAATCTCTCTCATCTCATTTTTTTTCTTCCAATGTATCTGTTATCATTTTATTAATTCTGCTAGAATTTACCTACTTAAAATTATCTGTTAGATTAAGGACCTGCCCGAAACGCTGCGCGTACTAGTGGCTTTACAAGATTGTAAATACTGTACTATGCTATGTATTCTCACAAACCCAATGTACCTTCTTGTATATAAATAAATAAAAATAAATAAATAAATAAAGTACAAATGTATACCCCACATCAGTTTGTCAGATTTTGGCTAAAATAACCCTAAAGAATAATGGGGGATATTTAATAAGCCTCAAGCTTCCTGTCCCTATTCAGACCCTCTGGTTCGGGCAGGTTTCCTGCCCGAAACGCTTTGCGTAATAGTGGCTTTAGGCATTGTATGTACTAGTTCTATCTATAAATCTATCAATTTTTGTATAACCTCTTGTATGTATGTACCTTACATGAATAAACATTTATTTATTTATTATTTATAGGTAAATACAAGAGTGCCGGCACCCATTGTTAGGTGTTACACAAGGTACAATTCTTACACCGTATCTGTTAGCGAAGGCGACACCTGAAATGGCTATTCTCCTCATCTTGCAAACTGTTTTCGACCAATGAGCTACTGTATTGGTGCCAAACACCTGTTACAGTGGAGCACTTGTGTTACAGTGGAGCACTACAGCTGAGCAGCCCTCTTCCTGGTGGCATGTAAACAAACTGAAATATAGCGGGAACTGCTTCCTTAAAATTTAGCAGTTCTCGCTACATTTTTTTATTAGTCAAAAAAATTCAAATTAGAAAAAAATTAGTCAGAAAACTTTGCTAATTTTAAGGAAGGAAGGAATTATCAGCTTTACCCTGATAATTCCTGTCTTTCTTATTTAAAATTAGCTATTCAGATAAAGCTTCCTTGCTGTAAATGTTCGATTTTATCTTCGCTACATTGTTAGTAAGTAAATTAACTTCATCATTGCTAACTTAATATTTGTTAAATTATTGAGTACTTTGCATGAATTAAATTGCTGACTTGGCACGAATTAAATTGCTGACTTGGCATGAATTAAATTGCTGACTTGGCATGAATTAAATTGCTGACTTGGCATGAATTAAATTGCTGACTTGGCATGAATTAAATTGCTGACTTGGCACGAATTAAATTGCTGGCTTAGCATGAACAAAACTGCTAGCTTGGCATGAACAAAATTGCTAACCTGGCATGAACAAAATTGCTAACTTGGCATGAACGAAAATGGTTAGCTCTGCATAAACTAAATTGCTAGCTTGACATGAACTAAATAGCAAACTTAGCATGAATAAAATTGCTAACTTAGCAAGAGCAAAATTGATAACTTTGCATGAACAAAATTGCTAACATTGGTATGAACAAAATTGCTAACTTGGTATGAACAAAATTGCTAACTTGGTATGAACAAAATTGCTAACTTTGCATGAACTAAACTGCTAACTTGTCATGAAGTATTGGCATAACTTGTCCTCTTGTAATGCCAACTGATCAGTCATATAGCTGAATTTTCCTGAGGGCCACTACCAAGTAGCCTCGACGAGGACAGGAAGACAGCGGCTTATCACAGGTTCCCCCATTTGCTTTGAAGATTTTTATCAGCTGGATCTAAACACTTAGCACAGTTTTGTCATTGGCGGGTAGGCGGTTCCACGGGGCTAATAACCCTGTGAAAAATCATTCCCTGTTCTCAATGCTCCTTGTTTGTGTTACATCTGATCTTTTGAGGAAATTGTCTTCGGTATTTTAAAGGTTTCGATGAGATCCGGCCTGTCATGCCTGTAGTTTGCAGGAATGACAAGTTTGCCACAATGCAGGACTTAAAACAGATGCTTTTCCACCCAATGGCTTATAAACCCATGGAACCTCATACCCGCCGAAGCCATAAATTCCAAAACACTGTTGCAATTCAAGCTCGATAAAATCATCAGAACAAATGGAGGGGACATTTAACAAGTCGCCGATCTAATGCCCTCATCGAAGCCACTAGATAGATAGTAGTCCTCAGGTAAATTCAGGCAAATTATTAATAGTATTGCCGGAGTGACGTCGTGAACGCCTCTGGCGCGACATGTGGCCACGTTGGTCCCGCTCCTCTGCCACCCGCACGATTCACTCATCCTTATAAACTTATGCATTTGTTATACCTAACATGCACTTCTGTGCCTTACGCAGATTTAGAAGTACTCTTTTAATAATTAATGTAGCATCGGTTTAAATTAAAATTATGTGTTTTTTGTTATGAAATAAATAAATAAATAAATTGTTCAGTTTTTCCGTAGAACCAGCGATTAGTAACATAATTTACTCACATATCATTTCCATTACAAAATAAAAGTAGGGAAGTGTTTAGCTATTATCAAACACATCTCAAATATTAACACACGTTACATGAAACGATTATTTTTATCTTTTGAGAGATTTTTCCATGCGGAAGATTTGCCCGTGGTGATGAGTACGTGGACAGTCACAGGCAGGACGCCGCCGGGAGCAGTACTGCTGCCGCTCTTCTGGCTAATATGGCATCAGAGAAAATTAAAAAGGGCGGAGAGAAGACGAATAATATCGATATTACTAAGAAAAGGTAAGATTTGTGTACCTTGTATTGTATCATACGAGTGTACTGAAGGCTGGACTCTTTATGCTAGTCTGTAAACAATTAATAAGGTAAAACCTGAGATGACACGAGGTTTCTATAGATATTTAAATGTTGCAATTTAAATATTTACAATATTTTGTTAAATATTTAAATTGCAAATATTTTTCCAAGCCAATTTTAATATTATTGTCCTGTTAAAGTTTATATATTTCCCTTTTTCAATTATTGCTTCAATTTATTAGACTATTGCTGTTTCAATCCTACTCTTATGGTGAATTAGAAAAGTAGCAAAAATAATATTATTGATGCTACTTCTCTAAAGTCTACTTTTGTTGGAACTGTTGCTGCTACTGTTACTTGCTGCCACTGCTGCTGTTACTGTTGCCATACCGGCTCCCATAACGGGAGCCGGTCGGCCGAGCGGACAGCACGCTGGACTTGTGATCCTGTGGTCCTGGGTTCGATCCCAGGCGCCGGCGAGAAACATTGGGCAGAGTTTCTTTCACCCTATGCCCCTGTTACCTAGCAGTAAAATAGGTACCTGGGTGTTAGTCAGCTGTCACGGGCTGCTTCCTGGGGGTGGAGGCCTGGTCGAGGACCGGGCCGCGGGGACACTAAAGCCCCGAAATCATCTCAAGATAACCTCAAGAGAGATATACCACTGTTGCTGCTACTGTTACTTGCTGCCACTGGGGCTACTATTCTTCTGTTGCCATTGCTACTGCTACTGTTGCATTTGTTACTGCTGAGGGATTGGTGGTCTCCACCAATCCCTCACTGTGAGACACCACCAGAGAGTGAGTTACTGTGTGTGTGTGTGTGTAAACATCCCAGTAAGGAACATTTACAAAGGTATACAATGTACAGACCTCTCCTTACAGATGGCTGACAAGTAACGTGATGTGGTGGATGACTCTCACCCTCCTCACCTTCCTGGCTCTTGTCACCCGTCAGGCCTCCGTCTATCTGCCTCCAGGCACTCTGTGAGTAACTGTCCCCGTTCCCCTTCACAATACACATTCTCTAATATGTAGATTTGTATTGTAAGTTTAATTTAGCTAAAAGGAAGTTTTAATTGTTGATAAACGATGAAGTTAGTTTTACATATGTGGTTATTGATTTATTGTATAATATATGTATAATGTGTGTGGGTCATTGATGACGCTTACCCGGCCACCTGCAGGTGGGATGAGGTCCACTTTGGGACGTTTGCCAACCACTACCTCAACCGTACATTCTACCACGACGTCCACCCGCCCCTGGGCAAGGTCAGTCCCTAGCGTCCACCCGCCCCTGGGCAAGGTCAGTCCTGGCGTCCACCCTCCCCTGGGCAAGGTCAGTCCCTAGCGTCCATCCTCCCCTGGGCAAGGTCAGTCCCTAGCGTCCACCCTCCCCTGGGCAAGGTCAGTCCCTAGCGTCCACCCGCCCCTGGGCAAGGTCAGTCCCTAGCGTCCACCCGCCCCTGGGCAAGGTCAGTCCCTAGCGTCCACCCTCCCCTGGGCAAGGTCAGTCCCTAGCGTCCACCCTCCCCTGGGCAAGGTCAGTCCCTAGCGTCCACCCTCCCCTGGGCAAGGTCAGTCCTGGCGTCCACCCTCCCCTGGGCAAGGTCAGTCCCTAGCGTCCACCCTCCCCTGGGCAAGGTCAGTCCCTAGCGTCCACTCGCCCCTGGGCAAGGTCAGTCCCTAGCGTCCACCCGCCCCTGGGCAAGGTCAGTCCCTAGCGTCCACCCGCCCCTGGGCAAGGTCAGTCCCTAGCGTCCACCCGCCCCTGGGCAAGGTCAGTCCCTAGCGTCCACCCGCCCCTGGGCAAGGTCAGTCCTGGCGTCCACCCTCCCCTGGGCAAGGTCAGTCCCTAGCGTCCACCCGCCCCTGGGCAAGGTCAGTCCCTAGCGTCCACCCTCCCCTGGGCAAGGTCAGTCCCTAGCGTCCACCCTCCCCTGGGCAAGGTCAGTCCCTAGCGTCCACCCTCCCCTGGGCAAGGTCAGTCCCTAGCGTCCACCCTCCCCTGGGCAAGGTCAGTCCCTAGCGTCCACCCTCCCCTGGGCAAGGTCAGTCCCTAGCGTCCACTCGCCCCTAGGCAAGGTCAGTCCCTAGCGTCCACCCGCCCCTGGGCAAGGTCAGTCCCTAGCGTCCACCCTCCCCTGGGCAAGGTCAGTCCCTAGCGTCTACCCGCCCCTGGGCAAGGTCAGTCCCTAGCGTCCACTCGCCCCTGGGCAAGGTCAGTCCCTAGCGTCCACCCTCCCCTGGGCAAGGTCAGTCCCTAGCGTCCACCCTCCCCTGGGCAAGGTCAGTCCCTAGCGTCCACCCTCCCCTGGGCAAGGTCAGTCCCTAGCGTCCACCCGCCCCTGGGCAAGGTCAGTCCCTAGCGTCCACCCGCCCCTGGGCAAGGTCAGTCCCTAGCGTCCACCCTCCCCTGGGCAAGGTCAGTCCCTAGCGTCCACCCTCCCCTGGGCAAGGTCAGTCCCTAGCGTCCACCCTCCCCTGGGCAAGGTCAGTCCTCAGTGAGCCTTTATTATAAAGCAGTCACTAAGAGTAAATAAAACATGTAGATACTTTAATTTCAGTAATAGTAAGTAATAAGTGAGAGTTCGGGGGTAGAAATAGCCTAAGCTACTCTATCCCTTTGTGATGTATTTGTTGTCTTGTCTTAATAAACATACTTGTACTTGATAAGTGAGAGAGGAACACCTGTCTCCACAGATGGTGATCGCAGGAGTAGCCTGGCTCTCTGGGTACGACGGCACCTTCGACTTCAACGAGGGCAAACTCTACCCTCCGGAGGTCAATTATGTGGCTATGAGATCCGTGAGTAGCGCGCCCACACATCATGCACAAATATATGACCAGAGGTTTTTCCCTGGTGTAAATAGGAGTTAACCTTGCAGTAAATAGGAGTTAGATAGTGGTTATTGACTGCATATTGGGGGTATGTGTGTGTTGTTTTTGGGGGGTCTGTGTTTCAGGTGATGAGTGTTGAGTTTCAGATGATGGGAGTGATGGGGTCGGCGTTGGTGTCCCTGAGCTTCCTGCTGGTGTGGGAGCTCTCCTCCTCCCTTCGGGCTGCCTTCCTGGCTGCCCTCTGTGTCCTCACAGGTAGGCACTCCCCTCCCCTACCTTTCCTTTCCCCACTGCTCCTGTTCCTTCTGCTTCTCTTATCTCTGGTTTAGGTAAAAACCTTAAACTTTCTCTGTAATTTTCTATTTCAATACTGCTGTAACTGAAAAGGAAAGTCCCATTACTGTCCTTCGTCAGACGTTAATCCCCTTACTAATCCCAACACGTTCAAATTCAAATTCAAATTCAAATTTTTATTCAGGTAAAAGTGCATACATTCATGAAGAGTTCACGTATTTAAAATTCTGATAAAATCTTATTTATTAACATTAAAAGTGTGTTTGTGTCCAATATTTATGTATTTGATAATAAATGGGGCATATATTAAGTGAGGAGGGAGAGAGTAGTAAGACTTGAGGCGGTAATGGCGGACAGACACGCGCCAAGTATGTTTATTGAGACGAGAACAAAATACATCTGAAAGGGATAGAATAGCTTAGGGTATTTCTACCCCCCTAGACACGTTCCTGCAGCGGCTGAACACCCTTATCCTGCTGGACCCGCCCCTGCTGGTGGCCATCCTCGCTAGCATCTACGGCATCACTAAGTTCCACAACCAGAGACACAGGTAAGTCAGTGCTCGCTACACATGTGTCTCGTTGTTGTAGGATACATACGTCTTACAATGTGTACCTGTACTGCAAGGTTGGTAATGTGTACCTGTACTGCAAGGTTGGTAATGTGTACCTGTACTGCAAGGTTGGTAATGTGTACCTGTACTGCAAGGTTGGTAATGTGTACCTGTACTGCAAGGTTGGTAATGTGTACCTGTACTGCAAGGTTGGTAATGTGTACCTGTACTGCAAGGTTGGTAATGTGTACCTGTACTGCAAGGTTGGTAATGTGTACCTGTACTGCAAGGTTGGTAATGTGTACCTGTACTGCAAGGTTGGTAATGTGTACCTGTACTGCAAGGTTGGTAATGTGTACCTGTACTGCAAGGTTGGTAATGTGTACCTGTACTGCAAGGTTGGTGAATCTGATTGTACTTGTAATGAACTATCGCCATTTGGTATGGAAATTGCAATGGCACATTGACCACTCAAATGACAACCCACTATTTAGAAGACAGAATACGAGTAATATAAGACTGGATATTTCGGTCACAAGCCGGGACCCTCTTCAGCAGTGAGCAAGACTGATAGGTCAACCTATACCTATTATAGGTATAAGTTAAGTAATAATTGTAATTACGAAGCAATAAGATGCTTATCTTAACATACTAAGAAGGTTAGGTAAGGTCGGTTTTTTCTATGAAGCTTTTCAAGGTAAACTAGTATGTCATATATGCACGTATTTAATAAGTCAATATTGACTGTAAGAAAGTGCAAGAACGGGTTGGATAGGTAGTTAGTTACATGATCACTCACCAAATCTGGTAACCATTGTTCTGAGGAAATATTTCAAATTTAAGATTTATAAAAGGAGATTCTGTTATTTTTCTTTCGAAGCTACAATGTTGAGGATAAATTATACAAGAATCTTCTCATATATTTTGGTGCCTAGTGATTGTCTTATAACAATTTACTTTCACAGTTTTCAAAGGTTCATCGAGAAATAAATTGGGTTGCCCTGTTTTGTTTATATGTAAATTTTGTTAATTTCAATGTCTAGTTACTGAAGCTACAAATGCATTATGAAAGGCTCGAGGCAACATTGTTTTGATAGGAAATGTAGATGTTTATCTCTCAGAATTTTTGGTAATATGTTTATTGCTTGTGATGTGTGTCTATGTATGTATTAACACGATGTACTGAACGGGGTGAAAATAGCTTGAGCTACCTCATCCCTTTGTGTGTATTTTACCTCAATAAACTTATTTCAATTTCAATTTCACATTGTTTTGTGCTCTATTAGGAAGCCTACTACAGTCCCGGAGGCCGCTTCCTGTATGTGAATATTTTCTGTAAACAGCGAGGCTGAACGAGGTGTTGTTCTTTATTAATAAGACATCTTAGAAGGGTATTTGTCAACTATAAGTGTAATACTAAGGACTAGACTACAGATTCCAAACTGTTCCAAAAAGTTTGAATCTTAAACGACTTCTACGCCTAACTTGTTCCACCTAAACTTATTGCTTTATCTCACACTCATTTTTTATTTTATTAACTTGTTCAAAGTGCAGTACGCATAATATTGTATTCCCTTGCATACGCTAGTCCTGACTACCTCAATGAGTTGGCCTTGTTTGAGGTAGGTACACTTACATGAGCACTGATAAGCTCCGACGCAGTTTACCAGTAATGTTCAAAGTTTGTGTCAAGGTGCTCTCAGCTAGGCATTATAAACACACCAACTTCATATTATAACATTCTTATGACTTATGTTCTCTAAAGGTGAAAGTATTTCACTATTGAGAACCTATAAATGCATTGTTCAGTAAGTTAAGTTTTTTTTTTTATATATTTTGAGTACTTTAACAATCTCCGTGGTGTAGTGGTAAGACACTCGCCTGGCGTTCCGCGAGCGCTATGTCATGGGTTCGTATCCTGGCCGGGGAGGATTTACTGGGCGCAAATCCTTAACTGTAGCCTCTGTTTAACTCAACAGTAAAATGTGTACTTGGTTGTAACAACGATTCTTCGCGGCGGGGATCGTATTCCAGGGACCTGCCCGAAACGCTATGCGTACTAGTGGCTGTACAAGAATGTAACAACTTATTATATGTTATATGGTCATGTTGCCACTAGATACGTGTATCTAGTGGCAACATCTAGTATCTACCATTATGTATAGTTCACTATACATAAGGCGTCACCCAATGTACCTAGTAACTGATTTGTATTATATAAAATAATTTGACATGTGTTTTAAGTTCTTTCCCTCCTCGTTCCTCACCATATCTAGGCATAAGACAGTTGTTGTTGTTATAGATTCAGCTACTCGGAACAAGTTCCAAGTAGCACGGGCTATGGTGAGCCCGTAACTTACCTGGCACAGGAGTGGGGCAAGTAGCACGAGCAATGGTGAGCTCGTAGTGGACTTACCTGGCACAGGAGCGGGGCTGTGTCCATAAGACAGTGTTGGAAGGGCTGTCTCCATAGATGGTACTGTTGTTGTTGTTAAAGATTCACTACCGGGCTATGGTGAGCCCGTAGATGGTACTGATCATAACAGCTCCATGATGATGCCCCAAGATGTGCTTCTCCACTGTGTCCTTCAGCTTTTCCTTCTGTCTCGTCACCTCCTGTTAAGTTCTATTTACGTGTGATTAAAATCCCCAAATATTAGAATTTGCCGAATAATAGTAGAAGTGATAGAATCTCAGCCCTCGCTTTCCTTGGGACGGTAGTTATTTTGTCTATTGCCTCCAGGAAGATTGCATTCCATTTATTATATTCCTCCAAAGGCGTTCTTGTGTGTAGTTGACAAGTTGTGTGTAACTTCCACTGTTATCTTTATGTTCCTTACTGTTGGTATTCCTTGTAGTGCTCTGTCCGATTAGTTTCCCTGATAATCTTGCTTCCTCATTTTTATTTATTTACTTATTTATATACAAGAAGGTACATTGGGTTTGTGAGAATACATAGCACAGTATTAACAATCTTGTAAAGCCACTAGTACGCGCAGCGTTTCGGGCAGGTCCTTAATCACTCCAGTTCAGCTGTAGCAGCAGCACAGCTCCTCCACCCATGCTAGTAATATCCTTTCTTATTACTTGGATGAATAATATAGAGGATACAGTTCTTTCAGGAAGAACTGTATCTTCTATTACAATTATCTGTTTCGTTGTTATTCTGATGTGTGGTTGGTTTTCCCACCGCTTTTGTTTACTCTCTTATTAGTAATTTTATCTGTATTCCTGTACATAATTTTTATGCTACTCGCCTCAATTGGTTTGTTTTGGTTTTGCACATGGAGTGTTCTGATTGTTTCAGAAACAGTCCTGAGAGAGGAAGGGGCCAGTTATTGGGCTTGTTAACCCTGCCTGCCTATTTGGAAGAGTGCCTCAATAGCCTAATTTGACACAACATTTTGCAGTTTTATATTCTAACAACATTTTGCAGTTTTGTATTCTAACAACATTTTGCAGTTTTGTATTCTAACAACATTTTTACAGTTTTGTATTCTAACAACATTTTCAGTTTTATATTCTAACAACATTTTGCAGTTTTGTATTCTAACAACATTTTCAGTTTTATATTCTAACAACATTTTGCAGTTTTGTATTCTAACAACATTTTGCAGTTTTATATTCTAACAACATTTTGCAGTTTTATATTCTAACAACATTTTGCAGTTTTGTATTCTAACAACATTTTGCAGTTTTATATTCTAACAACATTTTCAGTTTTGTATTCTAACAACATTTTGCAGTTTTGTATTCTAACAACATTTTGCAGTTTTGTATTCTAACAACATTTTGCAGTTTTATATTCTAACAACATTTTCAGTTTTGTATTCTAACAACATTTTGCAGTTTTGTATTCTAACAACATTTTGCAGTTTTGTATTCTAACAACATTTTGCAGTTTTGTATTCTAACAACATTTTGCAGTTTTGTATTCTATTGTCTGAGTTGCCTGTCATGTGCACTGTCCAGTCTTCTTGCGTTATTTGTTAGTTTTCTTCTTTAAATTTCTTCACTTCCTCCCAATCCTTCTGTTATGTCCTGGCTATCGTATTCTCTATGGCAAAGATCTGTCTCTCAATTTCCTCTTTTCATAATATATATTCCTCTGAAGCAATATTCTCAACGATGACCTTTACTGGTAGATTTCATCGAATTCGAAACTTCCCAAGCCTACAATTACAATGTGTTTCCTAGCTGCCTGACTAGCAGCTAGGAAATAGAATTATATAGATATATACAGCTTATATAGAATTTATGAAAATACTTATTGGACTTCTTATTCACCATGTGTCATCCTTTGGCTCTTGGATATTGTGTGAGTAGCCGGCACTACAGTGTAGCTGTGTTGCAGGTCTTGGAGCCTGGTGTGTTTTACAGTGTAGCTGTGTTACAGGTCTTGGAGCCTGGTGTGTTTTACAGTGTAGCTGTGTTGCAGGTCTTGGAGCCTGGTGTGTTTTACAGTGTAGCTGTGTTGCAGGTCTTGGAGCCTGGTGTGTTTTACAGTGTAGCTGTGTTACAGGTCTTGGAGCCTGGTGTGTTTTACAGTGTAGCTGTGTTACAGGTCCTGGAGCCTGGTGTGTTTTACAGTGTAGCTGTGTTGCAGGTCTTGGAGCCTGGTGTGTTTTACAGTGTAGCTGTGTTACAGGTCTTGGAGCCTGGTGTGTTTTACAGTGTAGCTGTGTTGCAGGTCTTGGAGCCTGGTGTGTTTTACAGTGTAGCTGTGTTACAGGTCCTGGAGCCTGGTGTGTTTTACAGTGTAGCTGTGTTACAGGTCCTGGAGCCTGGTGTGTTTTACAGTGTAGCTGTGTTACAGGTCTTGGAGCCTGGTGTGTTTTACAGTGTAGCTGTGTTACAGGTCCTGGAGCCTGGTGTGTTTTACAGTGTAGCTGTGTTACAGGTCCTGGAGCCTGGTGTGTTTTACAGTGTAGCTGTGTTACAGGTCCTGGAGCCTGGTGTGTTTTACAGTGTAGCTGTGTTACAGGTCCTGGAGCCTGGTGTGTTTTACAGTGTAGCTGTGTTACAGGTCCTGGAGCCTGGTGTGGTGGTGGTGGATGGTGTTCACTGGCATCAGTCTGGGGACAGTAATGAGCATTAAGTACGTGGGAGTGTTCACCGTGGCTTATGTCGGCCTCCACACTGCTCACCAACTCTACTGCCTCGCTGCCGACCCTGCCACGCCACTCGTATGTTGTTACTACCTTCTACTACCCTAAACTACCCTTCCAATACCACTCTCACTGCCCTGAACTACCCTTCCAATACCCCTCTCACTGCCCTCGACTACCCTTCCTGCCCTCACCTACCCTCGTACCTATACTACCCTCAGCTATTCTACCCTGAACTATTCTTCTACCCTGAACTATCCTTCTACTGACCTCTACTACCCTTCCACAAGCTACTCAGCTTGTTAATAAATATTAAGGTCTTGTTCTGAGGCAGCATTATCTAGTTTTAAGTGTTTTTATGCATTTATCGAGATGTGGGTAACGTTTTTTTTTCTTCTAATTTGTCATATTTTAATTTTTGGTTCTCCAGAGGACTTTGTGCAGTGTCTCTGCTCATAGGGAAGGTTCACTGGGACGACCACTGCTGTCTGAACGTGTCCTTGTGTGCTGTCTCCCACATACATATATAAACTAACCTGTAGCAATATTTCTGGTGTTCATTGTTTATAATTAATATACATTTTCAGTTAAGTATCAAACTTATATGTTTAGGCTTATAATAGCATCCCTAGTTCAAATATATAACAATTTACGTGAACGCAGATTTTGAATTATATTTATTTTGTCATTTTGCAGTTATTAAAATTCAAAAATAAAATAATTAGTTAAAATAAAAGAAGAGCATTTATTAAAAATCGGAAGAATATTGGGTAGTTATCGCTCTTTGAAGGATTGTAAGTATTAAAGAGATGAAGGACAAGACATGAGGATTTTTTTATATTATTATTATTATTATTATTTTCTACCACATACGTGGCCAGACATTTACAATGCTAACCAGCATACATTCATTTTCTTCTGTCCTCCATGGACAGGGTTAGAGATCTGTTAAACATATAGTTCAGTCATTTATTAAACAACCACAGAAGGTGTTCAATAAATCACTGAAGTGGAAGCCTCATCCTCCCCCGAGCCACTACCCAACCTTGTGGCCATAATACACAAAAGCGACGTCAATTTAACGCCAAATCAACGTCATCGACGTTCGTTTAGCGTCGAAACAACGTCACTCTTGGATATTGTGACCACTGGATTACCTTCAATACCTGTGTGTTGATCATAGCGTTGTTGTTGTCCAGTGGAAGGTGGTGCCTCATACTGCTGCCCGGGCTGTTGCTCTCATTATTCTCCCTGCTGCTGTCTACCTCTCCACCTTCGTCATCCACTTCTCCATCCTCACCCGCTGGTAAGTCAACCGTGTCATCCACTTCTCTATCCTCACCCGCAGTCTTTGACATAAGTTATCATGAGTTCAGTTCAGTTCGAAGTCCAGAGGGAAAGAATCCACAGGAACAATTGGGGGGACCTTCGATAAGCCCTCGGGTAAATTAGTTTACAAGTGCTATGGTCTTTGCAGGAGTGTGAACGGTGGAGGCTTCTACCACACTAGGTTCTTCGCTGCCTTTGACGGCACCGAGTATGACAACACAAGCTTCCCGCAGAGTAAGTCTTCTGTTGCCGGTGTCACACTTGATGAGTGCAGGGGGGAGTTGTGTAAAACCCTGGTTGGTGCCTCGGAGAGGCTGCAGGGTCCAGTAAGTTCAGTAGAACTTCGGTTTCAACTCTTATATATCATGTTGTAGCTCAATTGATTAAGGCAGCGTTTGGGATGCTCCCGGACGTGGGTTCGAATCCTCATCATGGCCCTTGTGGATTTGTTCATTTGATGAGGCTTTTTATAGTGTCTGTACTTTCTCGTTAATATAAAATATATTTATAGTTCCTAGGAGCTTGTTCAAACTCTACATGGCGTGCACACGAAAATACAACTATTCAAATCATCAGATCTAAGAAACTTTTCCGAGGTTACAAAAATACTAGAATGGCACATTGTAAATAATGAATGAATGTTGTGCATAAAAGTTGTTCATGCGGCGCCATGCAATTGCATTATGAGTGTACCCTGACCCACAGACGTGCACTATGGAGCCAACATCACCATCCAGAGCAGCCGACCTGTCTGTGGCTTCCTCGAGTCGTGGTACGACCTCTTTCCCTCCGAGCTGACGGCTCCCTGCCAGCAAGTCACCACTTCAACCATCAGAGATGACGAGGCGCTCATGTGGTCAGTGTTTCTCTCTTGCTCTTATTCCCCTCCCTCCCTCCCCAAACCTTTCCATTACATATATAATAAGTATTGAAAAAACATTATCATGAACTACTTTGAAAGTTATTTTAAAGACCATTTCATTCATTAATGTGTGACTTCCGCCCAGCGCCTGGCGGTGAAGATCGTCAGTTATGGGATGAACTGCCGAGCATTTTCTCACCTTAAAATTACTGGGCATTATTATTGTTAATTAAAAACCAGTAAAATATTTCCCATGGGTGGAACACACTAATCTTCCCGCTGTGTCCTGGAGTACAGGACCATCAAAAAGGTGGACCTTGAGGCCGGGTCAGTGCAGGACGGGCTGGACCCCCTGCAGGAGGCGCTCCTTGTGCGTAATGGAGACTATGTCATGCTGACCCATGCTGAGACTGGCCGCTCCCTGCGCGCCCATGGCTACCGCGCCCCCATCACCAAACGACATTTCCAAGTCTGCGGCTACGGAGAGGTTAGCTTGAGTCTTGTTCATATATAGGAGTGGGTGTGCGCGGGAGGGCGGTGGTAGTGTGATGATTTCAACAGCAACTCTCCGGAAAAAATGATCGGTTCTGCACACTTGAAATTTTAATTACAAGGCAACAGATACAACAAAGCTAGTAGCTGGGGCATGAACAGCTAGACCTCACGTCCCCATACACAGCTAATAATGAATCTATAGATATTCGCAAGTATTTACATGATAGTAATTATTTACATTTCCACAACGCCTAGGGCTGTGTGGGTTTTTTAACCTTTGAAAAGCTGGTGAAAGCTATGGACCTCCTCCCTGGAAAAATGCACATAAACACAACTCTGTATGTAATGAATATAAATATTAAATTTGTATTTGACTTTCACGGACCCCCCCAAGCCCATCCATTGACCACAGACTAAGAACCCAAGCCTAGCATCTTAAAGCCTAATCCCCGGCCTTGTCTCTGGAACTCAACTTAGCTCTCTCAAATTACTGGCCAATATTAATTACTTCATAACACAAATATTCTACTCGCGATACCAGTTCACGTATTCCACCAAAGGTCTGCACTGCTACAATGAGTGTGGAAATTGAAATAAGTTTATTGAGGTCAAATACACACAAAGGGATGAGGTAGCTCAAGCTATTCTCACCCCGTTCAGTACATCGTGTTAATACATACATAGACACACATCACAAACAATAAACATATTACCAAACATTCTGAGAGATAAACATATACATTTCCTCCTTTACACAAGTAATGAGTGTGGAGGTCTACCATCTGAGACATGTCCCTGTGCTCATGTGTCCCACTCCTCAGCCCATCCATACCGCTCGCAGATCACAACTACTTGCCCCTCTCCCTTGAATTAAATATCTCATCTCCTGTTCCACATCTGTGACATGCCCTCTGACCCTCTACCACAATTCATCGTGACTCAGCTTCCCAGACTATAGTTTCCCATCTCCAACAGGACCTTGAAGTACCGCCATTGTACTTCTGGAACCTGTTGGCAGTACTTCAAGGTATTGCCAACAGGTCCTCTGTGCCAATTATGACCTCTGAGAAGCTGGCATGCCTAGATTTCTTGACAACACCTGCTTCCCCACACAGCTTATTCAGTCACACTCATAAACACCTGCAGCCTCATAGCTTGATAATCTAATTTATTCATATTAATTTGTGTCACAACATGTACTGAGCCATTAACAGCTGTGTGTGTGTGCTGCATGAGGGTGTACTGAGCCATTAACACCTGTGTGTGTGTGTGCTGCAGGAGGGTGTACTGAGCCATTAACAGCTGTGTGTGTGCTGCAGGAGGGTGTACTGAGCCATTAACACCTGTGTGTGCTGCAGGAGGGTGTACTGAGCCATTAATAGTTGTGTGTGCTGCAGGAGGGTGTACTGAGCCATTAACACCTGTGTGTGCTGCAGGAGGGTGTACGGAGCCATTAACACCTGTGTGTGTGCTGCAGGAGGGTGTACTGAGCCATTAACACCTGTGTGTGCTGCAGGAGGGTGTACTGAGCCATTAACACCTGTGTGTGCTGCAGGAGGGTGTACTGAACCATTAACACCTGTGTGTGTGCTGCAGGAGGGTGTACTGAGCCATTAACACCTGTGTGTGTGCTACAGGAGGGTGTACTGAGCCATTAACACCTGTGTGTGCTGCAGGAGGGTGTACTGAGCCATTAACACCTGTGTGTGCTGCAGGAGGGTGTACTGAGCCATTAACACCTGTGTGTGTGCTGCAGGAGGGTGTACTGAGCCATTAACACCTGTGTGTGCTGCAGGAGGGTGTACTGAGCCATTAACACCTGTGTGTGTGCTGCAGGAGGGTGTACTGAGCCATTAACACCTGTGTGTGCTGCAGGAGGGTGTACTGAGCCATTAACACCTGTGTGTGTGCTGCAGGAGGGTGTACTGAGCCATTAACACCTGTGTGTGCTGCAGGAGGGTGTATTGAGCCATTAACACCTGTGTGTGTGCTGCAGGAGGGTGTACTAAGCCATTAACAGCTGTGTGTGTGTGTGCTACAGGAGGGCTCAGGTGGACCGTTCGAGACATGGGAGCTGATTGTGCCGGGGGCGGAAGCAGGCGAGCCGCTGCGAGTCGTCGAACACGACTTCCTCCTCAGACACTACAAGATGAACTGTTTCCTTAAAGCCAACGAGAAAGTTGTCTTGCCCAAGCACTGGTGAGTACCTCTCTACATGTGTGTGTGTGTGTTTGCCACTGGTAGTATTGTGGTAGGGTATTGTGCACTCCATACTCATCCTGTGAGCGGTAGTGTATTGTGTGCCTCATACAATCATTGCTGGCAAGTTATGTCTCATTATTCTCGATGTTCTTTCGGGAAGCTGGAGATGAATGCTCATATTAGCGGCCGAAAAGTTGATATTGCTTTTGAGTGTGTGAGATTCGTGTTTATGTGTTGACTGTTAAATGTCAGACAATGTAGAGAGATAATAAGACAATATGATCACCAGGGAACACTTGCAGGGCGTTCAATGGTGCGAAGGAGGTGACGTGTACCAAGAATAAGGAGCAACTTGGCACCGATTGGCATGTCAACTGGAACATCAGCCCCAAATGTCAGTACTACCATCACAACTGTTCGCTCACGCTGGTTACCGTGCCTATGACAGCCTCACTCACTGACCTGTTGGACTTGTGGTAATGCTGGTTCTGGGAAAACTAAACAGGGCAAATACCATTTTCATACCACTACCAGGGCAAATACCACTTTCATACCACTACCAGGCAAATACCACTTTCATACCACTACCAGGCAAATACCACTTTCAAAAGTCACTTTAATCCCACCAATTCCACGACTTTTCTATCCTTACCCCCTCGCTAGCCTAGCTGTTTACCCGCGACTGACGAAATAGACTCTTGACTATTTTGGAATAGGCTAATTTATTCGTTTTGTGGACTTTCCTAAACTAACTCTTCGAATCACCATTGTTTGGACTGAGACTTTAGACGTCATTATTTGCTGAATGACAGTGATTCATTGAGGTAACCAGACCAGCTTTCACAGGACTTTTATACCTTGTAAGATATTACAATTACGATGACACACTTAGACCGTTCTTAAAGGTAAAGTGGTTATTTAATGAGACTTATAGTCCTGATCCACTGCCTCTTTGTTCAACAAAAAATAGAGAAATTGTTCATGATTGTTTATATAAATGTTCTAAATTTAAGGAAAGTAATTAAATAACTGTGTTGAAGTTACTGATATGTACTTGTGTTGTTCAGTGAACAAGACGCTGTTGGTACGAGACAAGACGGTGGGTCTGTGGGGCAAGATTGTTCACCAACACTGGAACATGTTCATCAGCAACGGTGTTCTCCTGGGCAGCCAGGAGGAGGCCGAGCGCTCGGCCAGGCCCTGGATGTGGCCAACACTGTATCAGGTAATACTTCATCATCTTTCCACCAATGTTTTTCAATGCTTTCTGTTAATATTGATATATACGTGTGATATACATATTAGCAGGGGGTAGCCGGCGGTGCCCGGGTCTGTCTCCCCTCTACCCCCAGCCGGAAGAGGCAGGGTAGGGGCTAGTAGGATAGAGGCTATGACCCAGCCCCCCCCCCCCTAGGTACCACAACCACCCAATCTGGCAGTTTCATATTTCAACTAATTACAGGCAAAAAATAATTCAGAGTCGTCAGTGGTATGACATGACTTGTCATGGTGGTAAGTTTGGGACAGTATCAAGTGGTACCCTATTCTTTGATGCCTATCCCAACCGCCCATGTGGGTACGTACCCCCACAGTAATTACTGGGAAAAATTGGGGAAAGCTAGCCCTTAGCGTCTGGCCTCCAACCTAAGACAGACATTTTCACTTATAGTTAAAGGTATGTTTGGTGTAATATGTGTGTATGGGGAAACAGTGGAGATGCCACACCAGACGGCACCGCTCCTGTGTCAGGTAAGTTCACTACGGGCTCACCATAGCCCGTGCTACTTGCCCCGCTCCTGTGTCAGGTAAGTTACAGGCTCACTATAGCCCGTGCTACTTGCCCCGCTCCTGTGCCAGGTAAGTTCACTACGGGCTCACCATAGCCAGTGCTACTTGCCCCGCTCCTGTGCCAGGTAAGTTCACTACGGGCTCACCATAGCCCGTGCTACTTGCCCCGCTCCTGTGCCAGGTAAGTTACAGGCTCACTATAGCCCGTGCTACTTGCCCCGCTCCTGTGCCAGGTAAGTTCACTACGGGCTCACCATAGCCCGTGCTACTTGCCCCGCTCCTGTGCCAGGTAAGTTACAGGCTCACTATAGCCCGTGCTACTTGCCCCGCTCCTGTGCCAGGTAAGTTCACTACGGGCTCACCATAGCCAGTGCTACTTGCCCCGCTCCTGTGCCAGGTAAGTTACAGGCTCACTATAGCCCGTGCTACTTGCCCCGCTCCTGTGCCAGGTAAGTTCACTACGGGCTCACCATAGCTCGTGCTACTTGCCCCGCTCCTGTGCCAGGTAAGTTACGGGCTCACCATAGCCCGTGTTACTTGCCCCGCTCCTGTGCCAGGTAAGTCCACTACGGGCTCACCATAGCCCGTGCTACTTGCCCCGCTCCTGTGCCAGGTAAGTCCACTACGGGCTCACCATAGCCCGTGCTACTTGCCCCGCTCCTGTGCCAGGTAAGTCCACTACGGGCTCACCATAGCCCGTGCTACTTGGAACTTGTTCCGAGTAGCTGAATCTATAACAACAAACAATGGAGATGGTGAGAGCGCAAGTAATGTTGTCTTCCACGGTTCGCAGGTGCAGCTGATGGGGTCGTACCCAGTGAACGAGACGTCTCAGGCAGGGAACGAGACGTCTCAGACAGTGAAGGAGACGGAGGAGCAGGGGATGTTCTCCGTGGGGATGACCAACCCCTTCCTCACCTACCTGAACCTGGCGTGTCTGGTGGGGGTGGGGGCGCTGAGCCTCGCTCACAGCTACTGCAACTCTCGCTGCCCCCACCACAACCCACACCTCGCAGGTATATACCCTCCCACATGTATTTACCTCATGGTAAAGCAGTGTCCTACTGTGTTGTAGAGTGTGCTAGTGTGTTGGGGAGTGTCCTACTGTGTTGTAGAGTGTGCTACGGTGTTGCAGAGTGTCCTACTGTGTTGCAGAGTGTGCTACTATGTGTCAGTGTGTGTGCTAGTGTGTTGCAGAGTGTACTTACAAAATAAAGAGTGTGTACTTTACTAAGTGAAGATGTTTTGTGTTGGTGTGTCAGGCGGGCGGAGGCGGACGCTGGTGGCGTGCTGGTGGCTGAGTGGGTGCTGGGCCGCCCACTACTTTCCCTTCTTCTTCATGAGTCGTGTCCTCTACTACCACCACTACTGCCCCGCCTACCTCTTCTCCTGCATGATCACCGGTAAGATCCACACCACCGCCATGCCTGCTCTCTCTCTCACACACACACACACACGCACACACACACACACACACACACACACACACAGGAAAGAGATGGTTGGGTTGACTGCATCTATCTGGACCTAAAAAAGGCTTTTGACAGAGTTCCACATAAGAGGTTGTTCTGGAAACTGGAAAATATTGGAGGGGTGACAGGTAAGCTTCTATCATGGATGAAAAATTTTCTGACTGATAGAAAAATGAGGGCAGTAATCAGAGGCAATGTATCGGAATGGAGAAATGTCACAAGTGGAGTACCACAGGGTTCAGTTCTTGCACCAGTGATGTTTATTGTGTACATAAATGATCTACCAGTTGGTATACAGAATTATATGAACATGTTTGCTGATGATGCTAAGATAATAGGAAGGATAAGAAATTTAGATGACTGTCATGCCCTTCAAGAAGACCTGGACAAAATAAGTATATGGAGCACCACTTGGCAAATGGAATTTAATGTTAATAAATGTCATGTTATGGAATGTGGAATAGGAGAACATAGACCCCACACAACCTATATATTATGTGAGAAATCTTTAAAGAATTCTGATAAAGAAAGAGATCTAGGAGTGGTTCTAGATAGAAAACTATCACCTGAGGACCACATAAAGAATATTGTGCAAGGAGCCTATGCTATGCTTTCTAACTTCAGAATTGCATTTAAATACATGGATGGCGATATACTAAAGAAATTGTTCATGACTTTTGTTAGGCCAAAGCTAGAATATGCAGCTGTTGTGTGGTGCCCATATCTTAAGAAGCACATCAACAAACTGGAAAAGGTGCAAAGACATGCTACTAAGTGGCTCCCAGAACTGAAGGGCAAGAGCTACGAGGAGAGGTTAGAAGCATTAAATATGCCAAAACTAGAAGACAGAAGAAAAAGAGGTGATATGATCACTACATACAAAATAGTAACAGGAATTGATAAAATCGACAGGGAAGACTTCCTGAGACCTGGAATTTCAAGAACAAGAGGTCATAGATTTAAACTAGCTAAACACAGATGCCGAAGAAATATAAGAAAATTCACCTTCGCAAATAGAGTGGTAGACGGTTGGAACAAGTTAAATGAGAAGGTGGTGGAGGCCAAGACCGTCAGTAGTTTCAAAGCGTTATATGACAAAGAGTGCTGGGAAGACGGGACACCACGAGCGTAGCTCTCATCCTGTAACTACACTTAGGTAATTACACACACACACACACACACACACACACACACACACACACACACACACACACACACACACACACACACACACACACACACACACACTCACACACTCACACTCACACTCACACTCACACTCACACTCACACTCACACACACACACACACACACACACACTCACACTCACACTCACACACACACACACACTCACACTCACACTCACACACATCATCACATTCAAGATTCTCAAGGGAATCGACAGGGTAGATAAAGACAGTCTATTTAACACAAGGGACACACGCACAAGGGGACACAGGTGGAAACTGAGTGCCCAAATGAGCCACAGAGATATTAGAAAGAACTTTTTTAGTGTCAGAGTGGTTGACAAATGGAATGCATTAGGAAGTGATGTGGTGGAGGCAGACTCCATACACAGTTTCAAGTGTAGATATGATAGTGCCCAATAGGCTCAGGAATCTGTACACCTGTTGATTGACAGTTGAGAGGCGGGACCAAAGAGCCAGAGCTCAACCCCCGCAAGCACAAGTAGGTGAGTACAACTAGGTGAGTATACACACAAACAAAACTAGAAGATAGACGAAAAAGAAGTGATATGATCACCACATATAAAATACTATCAGGAATCGACCAAATTGACAAGGAGGAATTCCTGAAACTACCAACATCACGAACAAGAGGTCACGGTTTCAAGCTAAGGTAACACAGGTGCCCAAAAAAAATTAGAAAGTTGTATTTTGCAAGCAGAGTGATAGTTGGTTAGGACCAGCTAAGTGAGAAGGTGGTGGAGGCCAAAACCGGCAGTAGTTTCAAAGTACGAAATACAGTTTCAAAATACGACAAAGAGTATTGGGAAGACGGGACACCACGAGCTTAGCTCTCATCCTGTAATTACACTTCAAATCAAATGTTTATTCAGGTAAAAAATCAGGTATTGACTTAAGTAATTACACACACACACACTGCAAGGAGTAGCGACGTATAATCCTCCACTTAATGCCTGAAAATACAGACTGGAGTATGACTGGAACACCATGGATATTACTATATAAGAAAGGGCAGCATTAGCCACCGGTAGGAATGGGTCACAATTATTAACCATAGATAACTTCAACCATGGCAAGATTCCTTTAAGTGTTATGTCGTTTTCAAATTGTCTCTCTGCTTCTCTTCTACCTCTGAAGTACTCATTCCTGGCCCTCTAGCACCTCCCTTATGGTGAACCCTCTAGCACGGGTTCACCGTAGTCCGTGCTACTTGGAACTCTTCTTCCGTGTAGTTGAACCTTAAACAACAACAACACAACCTGTTATTAATCGTAATCCTTCTTTCGTGGTCTGACACTGTGTATATATATATATATATATATATATATATATATATATATATATATATATATATATATATATATATATATATATATATATAATATGAATAATATTGTTGTATGTGTTACAACACAATATATAATATTCGTGTTGTCAGTTGATTGCTGGATGTACTAGCCTAATACTGACTTTTTACGTCGGAGATGATCTATGTATTGTCATACATTAGGGGGAGATTGGTTGATTAACACCAGTCACCATAAATATAATGCTGAACAACTGAACCAGAGAAACTGAATGTAAACATACAGTTCCGTCTTTTCTTTCATGCATCTCCGTCACCACCACCACCACCATTATCACCACCTCCGTTGCCACCTCCGTCACCACCGCCGTCACCACCACCACCTCCGTCACCACCACCGTCACCACCACCACCTCCGTCACCACCGCCGTCACCACCACCACCACCGTCACCACCACCGTCACCACCACCAACGTCTGCACCAACGAAGGGGTTCTGCTGTCGTGGGTGTGTGAGGCTGCGTCAGGAGCAGCGAGGGCTGCCTGGCGAAGGACGGTGTTGTGGTCCCTGGTGGTGGTGACCTCCGGCGCCCTCCTCGCCTCCTACGCCTACTTCTGGCCACTCGCCACCCACGTCAGGGGCGAGATATTCGAGAGTAACCCCTCTCTCAACCCTGGCCTTGACTACTTCTACCTGGGGCAGCTGTGGCCCGAGTTTGGCTACAGGAAGAGTGAATACCTCAGCATCGTCGCTACGCATGTAAGTCTGGCTTGTGCTCTTGAGGTTATTTTGAGATGATTTCGGGGCTTTAGTGTCCCCGCGGCCCGGTCCTCGACCAGGCCTCCACCCCCAGGAAGCAGCCCGTGACAGCTGACTAACACCCAGGTACCTATTTTACTGCTAGGTAACAGGGACATAGGGTGTCCCTTTCCCTTTCCCTGTCCCTTTCACATAGGGTGCAAGAAACTCTGCCCATTGTTTCTCGCCGGCGCCTGGGATCGAACCCGGGACCACAGGATCACAAGTCCAGCGTGCTGTCCGCTCGGCCGACCTTGTCCAACTTCTGCCCCAATGTCAACCTCGCATCATTACTTCCAGCAGTTAAATTATTAAATTAAATTAAATTCTTTATTCAGGTAAGGTACATACATACAAGGTAAGATACAAAGTTGATGGATTTATAGATAGAGCTAGTACATACAATGCCTAAAGCCTATGTAATTAGTTACTGAAAATCATGACCATGCCATCCCACGCCCATCCAGTGGGGGGTGGTGGACAGGTTAGGCACAGGCCAACCAGTTCTCAGACCTAGTCCATTCCATCCAGCGGTCGACCCCAAGGACGCTTTCATCAACATACTGGTCATTCAAAATGGCCATTTTCTCAAATATAAATTAATATTGTTATATAATAGGATAATGTGCATGTTTACGCATTGGTTAGGTTAACTTAGGCGTTTAGGTTCTGTTGGCGATTATTTACCACTAACCCTAGTGGCCTCGACGAGGACAGAAAGCTGGCGGCTTGTCGAAGGTCCCCCCTATTTGCCTTGATGATCTTTTCCAGCTATATTTTAATTAAAACCCAACATAGTTTTGTTCAGTTACGGCTTCGGCGGGTAGGCGGTTCCATGGATTATTAACCCTGTGGGTAAAATAGCATCTCCCGTCTCAGTCCTACAATGTAACTTGTTGAACTTGAGACCGTTGCTCCTTGTTTGTGTTACATCTGACTTGAAGAAAATATCCAAATCAACATCCTCTAACTTGTTCAGTATTTTAAGTTTCAATGAGATTCACCCTGTCATGCCTGCTTTGTAGTGTTAAAAATAAATAAATAAAATAAAATGTTTATTTAGGTAAGGTACATACATACAATAAATTTTTACAAAGATTGGTTGACTTATAGGTAGAGCTAGTCAACCCGTTCTCGCAAATTCGTAAAGTCAATATCGACTTATTAACTACGTGCATAGGTGATATACTAAACATAATAGATACCCCTAAAAAGATTCATAGAAAACACCGACCTTACCTAACCTTGTTAGTATCTTAAGATAAGCATCTTATTGCCGTACATACAATGCCTAAACCACTATTCAAAGCGTTTCGGGCATAAACCGGCATATTTCGGGCATGTTGTTAGTCTGTGGCCCTCAACCGTTCCTGATACGAGAGTAGACTTAGCTCTGGAATGATTTTTGTTGCCCGGTGTTGCACCTTCTCCAGAGCAGCTATATCCTTCTGAAAATGAGGTTTCCATGCTTGGATCTAAGTGGGGGGCGCACCAGAAGTTTATACAGTTGAACCATTACCTTTTTTTCCCCTTATAGTCAAAAGTACGCTTGATAATCCCAAGAGTTTGGTTAACTTTTCTGACTGCTGCACCCACCTGTTGTGCACGTTTTAGTGTGTGTTGGATCTTGACTCCAAGGTCCCTTTCTTCATCAGTCTACTGTAATGTAATGTTCATCTGCAGGCGAGGAGTCACAATAACGTGGCTAAAGTATGATGACCAGACCACACAATAGAAGGTGAAGGGACGACGACGTTTCGGTCCGTCTTGGACCATTCTCAAGTCACAATCGACTTGAGAATGGTCCAGGACGGACCGAAACGTCGTCGTCCCTTCACCTTCTAGTGTGTGGTCTGGTCATAATGTAATGTTATTAATATGGTAGTTGTGGCGTGGGTTATGCCCCACATGCAGGGTCTGGCATTTGTTGATTTGTATTTGTAGTACGTGGGTGAAGCATTTACAGCGTTGTGGTTCGAACACAAGTCGTCAGTGAAGCACTTGTTCCGGAAGTGTTCGGACGTCATCAGTTGTGAGTCGTGTGTAAACTGTTTTTCATTAATAAACAGGGGGTTTGGCGGGTGCATGGAATGGACATTCGACATATACTGATGAGGACGGGCTGCTGCTACTACACACGACTCACAACTGATAACTTTCAAACAGTGCTTCACAAACGTCCTCTGTTCGAATCATGACTCTGTAAATGCTTCACCCAAATACTGCAAGTAGATATAATTACAACCAGAAGTTACAGCAGCCAGGAGCACCCTGCTCCTCTGACAGCTGCTGCAGCCAGGAGCACCCTGCTCCTCTGACAGCTGCTGCAGCGTAGAGTGCGACGCAACACGTTGTTGAAGGTATAACTCGGGTGCTGTATCTTTGCAGGTGGACCGTTGGTACGATGACTTCCTGGAGAACCCTGACCTCAACGCCACGCTCTTCTACCTGACGAACCTCAACAACACCCCTGGTCTTCCCAGTCTCATCCATCCTGTCCATGCCTCAAACTTTAGTCTGTGGAGGCCCACCACTCTCACCCACCTTCCCTGAGTCCCTGAGAGGGCCCACCACTCTCACCCACCTTCCCTGAGTCCGTGTGGGAGTCCACCACTCTCACCCACCTTCCCTGAGTCCCTGAGGGGGCCCACCACTCTCACCCACCTTCCCTGAGTCCCTGTGGGGGTCCACCACTCTCACCCACCTTCCCTGAGTCCCTGTGGGGGCCCACCACTCTCACCCACCTTCCCTGAGTCCCTGTGGAGGCCCACCACTCTCACCCACCTTCCCTGAGTCCCTGTGGGGGCCCACCACTCTCACCCACCTTCCCTGAGTCCCTGTGGGGGCCCACCACTCTCACCCACCTTCCCTGAGTCCCTGTGGAGGCCCACCACTCTCACCCACCTTCCCTGAGTCCCTGTGGAGGCCCACCACTCTCACCCACCTTCCCTGAGTCCCTGTGGAGGCCCACCACTCTCACCCACCTTCCCTGAGTCCCTGTGGGGGCCCACCACTCTCACCCACCTTCCCTGAGTCCCTGTGGAGGCCCACCACTCTCACCCACCTTCCCTGAGTCCCTGTGGAGGCCCACCACTCTCACCCACCTTCCCTGAGTCCCTGTGGAGGCCCACCACTCTCACCCACCTTCCCTGAGTCCCTGTGGGGGCCCACCACTCTCACCCACCTTCCCTGAGTCCCTGTGGAGGCCCACCACTCTCACCCACCTTCCCTGAGTCCCTGTGGAGGCCCACCACTCTCACCCACCTTCCCTGAGTCCCTGTGGGGGCCCACCACTCTCACCCACCTTCCCTGAGTCCCTGTGGAGGCCCACCACTCTCACCCACCTTCCCTGAGTCCCTGTGGGGGCCCACCACTCTCACCCACCTTCCCTGAGTCCCTGTGGAGGCCCACCACTCTCACCCACCTTCCCTGAGTCCCTGTGGGGGCCCACCACTCTCACCCACCTTCCCTGAGTCCCTGTGGAGGCCCACCACTCTCACCCACCTTCCCTGAGTCCCTGTGGGGGGCCCACCACTCTCACCCACCTTCCCTGAGTCCCTGTGGGGGGCCCACCACTCTCACCCACCTTCCCTGAGTCCCTGTGGGGGGCCCTGTGAAAAGGGAAATCTAAACATCTAGGTTTCAACAGTTCATTTTAAAACTTAACATAGTTTTGTCCAGCTACGGCTTCGGCGGGTAAGCGGTTCCATGGGTTATTAACCCTGTGGGTGAAATAGCCTATGGTTGATTGTTCAGTCATCAATCCTTTTGTACGAGGTCTCTTGATCTTTGCAACTATTTCATCCATTCTTGCGTGCTGAAGACGTATTCTTACAGTATTCTTTATAGTCTCCGTGGTGTAGTGGTAAGACACTCGCCTGGCGTCCCGCGAGCGCTTTGTCATGGGTTCGTATCCTGGCCGGTGAGGATTTACTGGGCGCAAATCCTTAACTGTAGCCTCTGTTTAACTCAACAGTAAAATGTGTACTTGGTTGTAACAACGATTCTTCGCGGCAGGGGATCGTATTCCAGGGACCATAGGATTAAGGACTTGCCCGAAACGCTAAGCGTACTAGTGGCTCTACAAGAATGTAACAACTCTTGTATATATCTCAAAAAAAAGTAAGCCGCCCTGGGATTAATTGCAAGTGCCGGTTAACAGACATCTCATCACTAAATACATGACAAATTAGATCATGCGCAATACAGGTCATAGTTTAGGATAGTTGAAATTAATATGTAAATTTACCGTACAATACAGAACAAGTTACTGTTGCATAGATAAGGGTAGATAAGGGCTGGAGAGGACATAATAATACTGTATGGCTTATTAAGTTATAAGACACCTATTGAAATAAACATTTATAAATAGCTTGCAGAAGCTTAATTGACAATGTTAAAATTGAAAGAGGTTACCCCCAAAAATCTACTTGAGAATGGTCCAGGACGGACCGAAACGTCGTCGTCCCTTCACCTTCTAGTGTGTGGTCTGGTCACCAGGTCACCCCCCATGCTGCCTTTTCTATCTGAAGCTATACGACACTTCCCTTGACATGGTGACCTGCCACAAGCCTTGTCTCACAGGAGACATCTCCCGTCACGCAGGGTGCAGTCGCACCTCCACAGATCTCCAGTATCACCTCTTGATACTGGTAATGGCTCAAAAGGGCCACCACTTACGGGCTATTCATGACCGTGCCACCTTTTGGGTGACTTAATCTTCATCTTAACACATTCACAAGGGAGACATCTCCCGTCACGCAGGGTGCAGTCGCACCTCCACAGATCTCCAGTATCACCTCTTGATACTGGTAATGGCTCAAAAGGGCCACCACTTACGGGCTATTCATGCCCGTGCCACCTTTTAGGTGGCTTAATCTTCATCTTCATCAAGCCGTGTCTGCTGTCAACTGTACTCACCTAATTATGCTTGCGGGGGTTGAGCTCTGGCTCTTTGGTCCCGCCTCTCAACTGTCAATGAACTGGTGTACAGATTCCTGAGCCTATTGGGCTCTATCATATCTACATTATAAACTGTGTATGGAGTCAGCCTCCACCACATCACTGCCTAATGCATTCCATCCGTTAACTACTCTGACACTGATAAAGTTCTTTCTAACGTCCCTGTGGCTCATTTGGGTACACAGTTTCCATCTGTTGTTCGCGTACCACCAGTGTTAAACAGTTTATCTTTATCTACCCTGTCAATTTCTCAGAGAATTTTGTAGGTAGTGATCATGTCCCCAGAGGCAGTTCCCGACCTGACCTGAAGGCAACCTGTTATAATTAACACCTGAAAGGCATGACTTTAGACCGGTTAGGGCCGACGACCTGACGCCACGGATATCCTGTGTGACTGAACTCTCGTAGGTCATACGAGATACATGAACTCTCTCATACGTCACGCTGCGAGCAGCCGCGTCCAACAGCCTGGTTGATCAGTCCGGCAACCAGGAGGCCTGGTCGACGACCGGGCCGCGGGGACGCTAAGCCCCGGAAGCACCTCAAGGTAACCTCAAGGTAGGTTAAATATTAAATAAAGCCATTTATGGTGTTACAAGGGTCGGCCTACCCGCTGAGGCTTGCAAGATGAGTGAACACTACCAAGGTCCGGAACGTGGTCACGTGGCAACCCGTTCTCGCACTTGCTTACTGTCAATATTGCCATATTTAATAAGTGCATATGTGACATACTAATTGATTGTGAATATTTTAGTTTACCTTGAAAAGCTTCATAGAAAACACCGACCTCACCTAACCTTCTTAGTATGTTAAGATAAGCATCTTATTGCTTCTTATTTACAATTATTACTTAACCTATCAACGGTATAGGTTAAGTATGCTACTGTGGGCAGGCCACCCCCTAGCTGAACCCCATAACGTGAAGAACACAACCCAACAACTCCGTGGTGTAGTGGTAAGACACTCGCCTGGCGTTCCGCGAGCGCTATGTCATGGGTTCGTATCCTGGCCGGGGAGGATTTACTGGGCGCAATTCCTTAACTGTAGCCTCTGTTTAACGCAACAGTAAAATGTGTACTTGGATGAAAAAACGATTCTTCGCGGCAGGGGATCGTATTCCAGGGACCATAGGATTAAGGACTTGCCCGAAACGCTACGCGTACTAGTGGCTCTACAAGAATGTAACAACTCTTGTATATATCTAAAAAAAAAAAAAACCAAATAGGTGCTACTATAGCCGCTCGACCCAACCCAGCAACACAATGGCAGGTTGCAGACGAGGAGTCACAATAACGTGGCTGAAATATGTCGTCCAAACCACACACTAGAAAGTGAAGGGACGAGACGTTTCGGTTAGTCCTGGACCATTCTCAAGTCAATTGTGTTTCAACATAGGTTCCCTCGACCTAGCACACTCAACCCGTCCTCTTAAAAATAACGTCACTTTTCGCTCGTATGGGCGCTATGGCCAAATTTGAACGTAATTTGAAATGAAATCGACTCACAAAAGTGACGTACTGTCCTGCTGCTCTCTCCAGCACCAGTAGCAGCCACAGCAGGAACGGCTGTGATAACACTTCAAACAAGACGGTAAACCTTTCATGCTAATTGTGACACTAAACCCTCCCATACCAATTAACTGGCAAAATATGTATAAATATATTTATAATGTATTATAATGAACACACATACGAAGAGGACAATTTTCATTTACTAAATTTTTTTTTAGAAAAATGTTAGTCTTTTAAAATACTCAGAAATGTGCAGAACTTATACTATAATGATATAGTTAAACATGCTAATTTTTAACTTTACTATAGATTTTCAAATGCAAAGTTAAACACAGCAAATAACTAAGCTATCCATGCTTAGCTAGAACATTGCATCTCTAAGGCCAATGAACCCATTGATATATATTTTGGTCGTGCGGGTGAACCTGAAACACCATACGCAATATAATTATTTACTATTATTAATTAATTAACATCTGCAACTGTATTCTACGAGGAGCCATTGACTAGCGGTGTGCGCGGCAAAAGTTAGCTGGTGCTGTCATGGCGCCCGTCGCTCCTTGCTGACAAGTGCTAGGCGTAAGGCGCACCGCTTCACCCTCCACCAAAAGAATTCTCTTCAAAATTGAAGCACATATATCTCAGAGAGTGTAGAGTTCAAAATTGAAGAAAAAGAACACCACATATATCTCAGAGAGTGGAGAGTTCTCACAAGATCTTCACCCCAAAAATTACCCTCAATTTGATGATTCTTTACAGCAAAATACCCCCCCCCCCTCATCATATTTCAGTAAAACAGATGGGCAACAATATCATATTGATCATACATGTATTATGTTATACTCTTATAAGTATACATAATCTAATACATGCAGCTCTTGACAAAATTGAGTACCCCATAGGTTTGTTGACCTGCCTAAGGCTTTGTTGACACTTGACCACAATAACTTCAAACTCCAACACTATATATGGAGTCAGAGGTCACTCCTAAGGGGGGTAGAAATAGCCTAAGCTACTCTATCCCTTTGAGATGTATTTATTGCTTATCTCAATAAACATATTTGAACTTGAACCCTCCAGTACTTGCAATCTCACCTCAGAGGACAGACAGCAGTATGTTAAAATGTTTCAGTGAACGAGGCTTCTTCTCCCAACTGTCAATTACCATTGGCGTTCAGCAAGGTAGTTAGTATACTTGGTCCACTCCTCTTTCTCATATATATCAGTTATCTTCCAAATACCACCCAGCATTTGAAGCCAATTCTTTATTATGATGTAACTACTTGTACTGAATTTTGTAACTAGCTCATCAAGATTGTAACTTGCTTAGCTAAATGAATTGTGGGGTTCAGTCCCTGAGCCCATTATGTGCCTCTGTAACCCTTTCCACTACCGCCCACAAGATGGGTATGGGGTGCATAATAAATGAACTAAACTAAAAAAACATATGCAATATGTAGCTAAAAAATAAAGTTTCTAAAACATTAGGCATTCTCTCCAAAGTCAGATACCAAGTTCCTCACCCTGCCTTAGTTACTCTGTGTTATTCCCTCATTAATCCATATTTCACCTATGGTATGTGTGTTTGGGGATCTACTACCCTTAATTACCTCTGACCTCTAACAACTAGACAAAAATCAGCACTTAGAACAATTTATTTATTTATTTATATACAAGAAGGTACATTGGGTTAGAGAGAATACATAGCATAGTATTTACAATCTTGTAAAACCACTAGTACGCGCAGCGTTTCGGGCAGACTATACAATAACAGATCCCAGTCCCAAACACTACTCTGCTCCCTTGCTGAAATCCTTGAACATGATAACACGTCTCTGAACATACTCTCAAGCGTTCTCCATATCTATAAAACTCTGAATTGCAATGCCAATCCTGACGTAATAGTGCACTGCCAAGTCCTGATATTCCTTAAGCGCTTCCGAGAAGTCTGTAATAGAACTCAAAGTCACCACACTAGGAACAAATATCTCTTGATATACCTGGAGTGAGACTTAACTAAGGCAGAAATGCTATGCAAATCAAAGGTCCGAAATTGTAGAATGACCATCCAAATGTAGTTAAAAGCGTAAGTCTTTTAACCAATTTAAATGAGTAAGAAAAAATTAATTAATATACTTAATATTTATAAACAATATCATGTAACTAACTTCTCTCCCGTTTTCCATAATTTTAAGGTATTATATTTTCGCAAATTGCATTTAGTAATAAATATGTTCTTTCTTCATTATTATCTAAATTTGCACTTCATTTATAACATTTTTACTTATATCCTGTTTTATTCTTGTTTATCGTTAAGTGTTGACCGCCATTAAGCTTATATTATACTTTATTACTCAGTTATCTTATTTTCCAGTTGCTTTTCTAAATTACTCAACGGAAATAATTTTTTAAAATACCACAACGGAAATGCATGTATTTGCGTTGTGGTATTAATGTAAATAAGCAAGAACTACTGACTCCATAATGTAATAATTTAATATCCTGTAATCCTTAAGGATCACCTTTTATTGTATGCATATGTTACTTTTCATACTTTTGTTCTATATTGGTTATCTTATTTCTTATTTGGTATTAAAAGTTTACCGCTCACTCCTTTAAATATTTTTTTTTTCCAATTTATCTTAAGTGTTCTGGGAAGCGCTTTGCGTAATAGTGGCTTCGTTAGCGTATGGAACGCCTGTCCAACACAATTGTTCATTAATCTTATTTTTTACACATGCTCGATAACCACTTGGGGTGGACGGTAGAGCGACGGTCTCGCTTCATGCAGGTCGGCGTTCAATCCCCGACCGTCCACAAGTGGTTGGGCACCATTCCTTCCCCCCGTCCCATCCCTAATCCTTATCGTTCCATGTGCTATATAGTCGTAATTAATGGCTTGGCGCTTTCCCTGATAATTAAAAAAAACACGCTATGCGAATTAGTGGTTTTGCAAGAATGTAAAAACGCCATTCTTGTAAATAAATAGATAATTATACTTGGCCTTTAGTGACTGCTCTTTTGCCATTTTTTATCTACACTTTGTAGATCATATAGAATAGGTTAGCAGCACATTGCTGTATATACCTAAGTTTATTAATAACAAATAAATAAATTTGTTAGATAAATTTCTAAAAAATAATCAGATGGCGCGAATTATTTGTATGACTATATATGGTCAGATTTACATCTATAATTAACTAGCAATATAAACTTGAATGGAAACTGGCATAGATATATAAGTGAGAAATAGATCAAGGGAGGTCATATATAGTGCGTATTAGTAGTTTTAGGTATTGTATGTACTAACTCTATCTAGAAATCACCCATTATCCATTATATTTATAACTCATCTTGTATGTATTTAATTTTACATGAATAAACATTTGATTTAAGAAGAGAAGAGCGTGTAAGTCAGCTGTGTGGCCGGCCATGTGGCTCCTGGTGGTGGGTGAGGGGCAGCTATGGTCTCAGTGTCGTCGGTGTCGTGGTGGGGTGCACACGTGTCGCTGCTTCACGCAGTGAGGCACGTTGTTGTTGTTGTGGGTGTGTGGGTAGGTGCCTGGTGGCCCTCACCTGCCCTCTCTTGGCTCCTTGTTTAGTGTCACCCTAGCTTGTTGCTTGGTGCCACCATAGCTCGTTGCTTAGTGCCACCATAGCTCGTTGCTTGGTGCCACCATAGCTCGTTGCTTGGTGCCACCATAGCTCGTTGCTTGGTGCCACCATAGCTCGGTGCCACCCTAGCTCGTTGCTTGGTGCCACCTTAGCTTGTTGCTTGGTGCCACCCTAGCTCGTTGCTTGGTGCCACCTTAGCTTGTTGCTTGGTGCCACCCTAGCTCGGTGCCACCCGAGCTCGTTGCTTGGTGCCACCTTAGCTTGTTGCTTGGTGCCACCCTAGCTCGGTGCCACCCTAGCTCGGTGCCACCCTAGCTCGTTGCTTGGTGCCACTCTAGCTTGGTGCCACCCTAGCTCGGTGCCACCCTAGCTCGTTGCTTGGTGCCACCTTAGCTTGTTGCTTGGTGCCACCCTAGCTCGTTGCTTGGTGCCACTCTAGCTCGGTGCCACCCTAGCTCGGTGCCACCCTAGCTCGGTGCCACCCTAGCTCGGTGCCACCCTAGCTCGTTGCTTGGTGCCACCTTAGCTTGTTGCTTGGTGCCACCCTAGCTCGGTGCCACCCTAGCTCGTTGCTTGGTGCCACCCTAGCTTGGTGCCACTCTAGCTTGGTGCCACCCTAGCTTGGTGCCACCCTAGCTCGGTGCGACCCTAGCTCGGTGCCACCCTAGCTTAGTGCCACCCTAGCTCGGTGCCACCCTAGCTTAGTGCCACCCTAGCTCGGTGCCACCCTAGCTTAGTGCCACCCTAGCTCGGTGCTTGGTGCCACCCTAGCTTAGTGCCACCCTAGCTCGGTGCTTGGTGCCACCCTAGCTCGGTGCTTGGTGCCACCCTAGCTCGGTACTTGGTGCCACCCTAGCTCGGTGCTTGGTGCCACCCTAGCTCGGTGCTTGGTGCCACCCTAGCTCGGTGCTTGGTGCCACCCTAGCTCGGTGCTCGGTGCCACCCTAGCTTGGTGCTTGGTGCCACCCTAGCTCGGTGCTTGGTGCCACCCTAGCTCAGTGCTCGGTGCCACCCTAGCTCGGTGCTTGGTGCCACCCTAGCTCATCGCTTGGTGCCACCCTAGCTCGGTGCTCGGTGCCACCCTAGCTCGGTGCTTGGTGCCACCCTAGCTCGGTGCTTGGTGCCACCCTAGCTCGGTGCTTGGTGCCACCCTAGCTCGGTGCTTGGTGCCACCCTAGCTCGGTGCTTGGTGCCACCCTAGCTCGGTGCCACCCTAGCTCGTTGCTCGGTGCCACCCTAGCTTGTCGCTCGGTGCCACCCTAGCTCGTCGCTTGGTGCCACCCTAGCTCGGTGCTTGGTGCCACCCTAGCTCGTCGCTTGGTGCCACCCTAGCTCGGTGCTTGGTGCCACCCTAGCTCGTCGCTCGGTGCCACCCTAGCTCGTCGCTCGGTGCCACCCTAGCTCGTCGCTCGGTGCCACCCTAGCTCGTCGCTCGGTGCCACCCTAGCTCGTCGCTCGGTGCCACCCTAGCTCGTCGCTCGGTGCCACCCTAGCTCGTCGCTCGGTGCCACCCTAGCTCGTCGCTCGGTGCCACCCTAGCTCGTCGCTCGGTGCCACCCTAGCTCGTCGCTCGGTGCCACCCTAGCTCGTCGCTCGGTGCCACCCTAGCTCGTCGCTCGGTGCCACCCTAGCTCGTCGCTCGGTGCCACCCTAGCTCGTCGCTCGGTGCCACCCTAGCTCGTCGCTCGGTGCCACCCTAGCTCGTCGCTCGGTGCCACCCTAGCTCGTCGCTCGGTGCCACCCTAGCTCGTCGCTCGGTGCCACCCTAGCTCGTTGCTCGGTGCCACCCTAGAAATAAATACCTTTGATATCCCCAGAGTCAAACTAAATCTGTGCAAACACTCCATGCAAATAAAAGGACCCAATCTATGGAATTCACTCCCCAATGAATTAAAAAAAATTGTCCAACCTATGCACTGTTTAAAACTAAAACCAAAATGTACCTAATTTCATCCTCATAGTTTCCTGCCTTGTGCTTCAAACTCACACTGTATCTTGTACTACCCACTTCCCCTATATTAGTACTTAAGACATATATCTTCACCAATGTAATCTTCACCCTGTCAGTTTATATTGTAGTTACGTATATGTGGATATAAAACTTTGCTATGTTGTTCTGATAATGTTTATTTAGGGAAAGTAAATACATACAAAATTATTTACAAGCAGAATGTTAGATTTAAACATGTAGAAATCCATGACCTCTTGAAGTTCCAGGTCTTGGGAATTCTTATCTTATCAATTTTGTTGATTCCCATTACTATTTTGTACGTTTTTTTTTTTTTTTTTTTTGAGATATATACAAGAGTTGTTACATTCTTGTACAGCCACTAGTACGCGTAGCATTTCGGGCAAGTCCTTAATCCTATGGTCCCTGGAATACGATCCCCTGCCGCGAAGAATCGTTTTTTTTTTCATCCAAGTACACATTTTACTGTTGAGTTAAACAGAGGCTACAGTTAAGGAATTGCGCCCAGTAAATCCTCCCCGGCCAGGATACGAACCCATGACAAAGCGCTCGCGGAACGCCAGGCGAGTGTCTTACCACTACACCACGGAGACTGCTAAACGTATTGATCATATCACCTCTTTTCTTCTATCTTTTAGTTTTGGAATATTTAATGCCTCTAACCTCTCCTCATAGCTCTTGTTTTTCAGTTCTGGGAGCCATTTAGTTGCATGTCTTTGCACCTTTTCCAATTTGTTGATGATGTGCTTTTTAAGATATGGACACCATACAACTGCTGCATATTCCAGCTTTTGTATCAGAAAGGTCATGAACAATTTTGTCAGTATTTCATCATTTATGTACTGTATTTCAAAGCAATTCTGAAATTAGAAAGTGTAGCATAGGCTGGTCATACAATGTTCTTTATGTGGTCCTCGGGTTATAGTTTTCTATGTACAACCACCCCCTAGATCTTTCTTTATCTGATTTTTTTATAACTTTTTCACATGTCGTAATGTAAAGGTTGTTTTGGATCTGTTTTCTCATATTCCACATTTCATAACATGGCATTTATTCACATTAAATTCCATTTGCCAGGTGGTGCTTCATACAGTTATTTTTTCCAGGACTTCTTGAAGGGAATGGCAATTGTCTTAAGTTTCCTACCCTCCCTAATATCTTAGCATTATCAGCAAACATCTTCATATAATTCTGTATTCCTTCTGGTAGGTTATGTAGACAATAGACATTACCAGTGCAAGAACTGAACCCTGTGGTACTCCAGTAGTGACATTCCTCGAGTCCAATATATTGCCTCTTCTTACTGCCCTCATTTTTCTGTCCGAATTTTTTAATCCATGTTAGCAGCCTCCCTGTCACTCCTCCAGTGTGTTCCAGTTTCCAAAACAACTTTTTATGTGAAACTGTCAAAAGCTTTTTTTTTTAAAGTCCAGATAGATGCAGTCAACCCAACCATCTTTCTTCTGTTAAGTGGTGCCTGGTTAAATATTCCTTCTCTTATCTTGGGAACATCTCCTTGCTCTAATGTGAAGACCTGATGTGACCATTAGAAGACCTCTAATGTGAAAATCTAATATGGGAGCCGGCCGGCCGAGCGGACAGCACACTGGACTTGTGATCCTGTGGTCCCGGGTTCAATCCCGGGCGCTGGCGAGAAACAATGGGCAGAGTTTCTTTCACCCTATGCCCCTGTTACCTAGCAGTAAAATAGGTACCTGGGTGTTAGTCAGCTGTCACGGGCTGCTTCCTGGGGGTGGAGGCCTGGTCGAAGATCGGGCCGCGGGGACACTAAAGCCCCGAAATCATCTCAAGATAACCTGGAATTTCTTATTGAGTTCCTCACACTTCCTTGTCATTTGTAGTGAACCTGTCTGCCCCATTCCTCAGTTTCATTACCTATTCCTTCACTGTTGTTTTCTTCTGATGTGGTTATGCAGCAATTTAGGTCGAGTCTTTGCCTTACTTGCTATGTTTTTTTCGTACTGTCTTTCTTCTCATCCTGAGGTACTCATTCCTGGCCTTCTGGTATCTTTATCTGCTCTCTGGTGTTCTATTATTTCTATAGTTTCTCCATACTCTTGTACTTAGTTGCTTTACCAGCTTACATTCTTGATTAAACCATAGGATTCTCATTTGCATTTAGTTTTTCCTTTTAGACTGGGACAAACTTTGCTGCTTCCTTACACTTCTGCGTGATGTAGTCCATCATGTCTTGGGTTGTTATAGTATTTATACAACAATGTATTATATAGAGTATTTTTTCAGCTATTTTTCTTTAGCTGTTGGATCTCATGAAAGCAAAGTTTGTATAATAATTCTCTGGTGATATGACTTGTTTTGTTTTTTCCAGAAAAAAATCTTGTGCCTATGTGTGAAGAGTAAACAGTGAGACATTGTGAATCGGTTGCCGTCAATTCTAATATTGAAGCTACTGCTCGCGTTGAATTATTTACAGCTATCAATGAACAGGATATGCTGTACAAGCTATATTGAAGCATAACACCTAGAAAAAGGATGGATTTCAGTGTAAATTTAGAAATTGTTCAATCAAAGCTTTTGATTTTGGATGTGAAAGAGATGCACACAATTTAAGTGATGGACCCCCTTAGTGTTGGCTGGTGAATGTGGTAGAAGTGAGAGATGTGTCCTAGGGCTTCCCTAGCTCCTATCCTAGGCCCTTGTAGAAGCTGTGTGCAATATACATAAGTCATTGGCAATAAGGCTCAAAACGAAGGTGTAAAAATTAAACCAAATCAAATGTTAAAAGATTAAGTAGCACTAAATATAAGGCATTGGACTTGCTTCAGGTCACCACTAGAGGGTAGAAGCATAAGATTTAACAAACCCTAACTTGAATGATACTGCAAATGATTCTGGCTCAATAGTTGGGCTAAATGTACCAAGCTTGGCAAATGTTATAAGGGTTAAAGACCCAAGACAAAAATTATTCAGAAACGTGCAATATAATGTCTACCGTGAAATCTTCCCCAAGTGCCCCATTGAACTCGGCATCAAGTTTTGGCAGTAATCCTCTAGTTGATGGGAGCCAAGTTAGGCCAAAAACCTCAGAAACTGTAGTAGTAGTTAGAACTGTCAGGGGCTCTATGACAGAGGCTAGAAAAAGGAAAGCCAAATGTTTGAGTAATCTAAGTAATGACATTTCTTTCAAGACAAATTCAACAGATGTCAAGCACCAGAGAAGTCCAACATTAGACAAGGCTGCTAGAAAACCTAAATCCTTGTGTGTTGGTTCAGATGTCCTGCCACCACCTGGTGGCAGGACATTACCTGGAATTCAGGACGTACCTGGAATTCAGGTTGTGGAAGCTTCAGGTAACATGAGGTAAGTAGGGTACTTTATAATGGCTTTAGGCACTGTACTTGACTTTCTTACAGGATACTTTTGATATCGTTCGCCTTATGCGTTTTTGTTCTCGTATTGGCATCCTTGGTGATATTTAGCGCCCTCTAATACATATTAATACAGATACATATGATCTGCTTTTGTCCAAATAAATATTATTACTACTACTACTACTATTAGTATTATTATTATTGAGAAAATCTGTAGGAGCCGTTCAAACCTATGCGGTGGGTGTTCCCACACACACACACACACACCCTAGTCAACAGCCAGAGTGCATGGGGAGAAGGGAGGAGTGTGTGAAACTCCTGTTCTGGCTTCAGTAGAAGCCTCAGGAAATCCTTGTGTGTTTAGTAGAACTCCAGGTTGTGATCTATATACCATGTCGTGGTCTAGTCGCTAGCGTGTGTGCGTAGGAACACCCACCGCATAGGTTCAAACCCTCATCACGGCTCCAACGGATATTCTCATTGATGCAGTCATGTTAGTGTGATTACTCTGTGTATTATTATTATTATTATTATTATTATTATTATTGAGAAAGTCAGTAGGACCCATGAGGAGGATTTGAATCCATGCACTGGAGACTCCGAGTCATGCTCTTGACCACTGCACCACGACATAGTCAAAAGCATTGCAATCTGCTTTTGCAATGTGGTGTTTTCATTGATGCATCACATTAATGTGATTTCTTTGTGCATTATTATTATTATCTGATAAAACTTTACATTATTTGATTATTGTATACAATACAGTGTATATACATTCATGGTCTTTACATTATTTGAATATACAGTATACTGTATATACATATTCATGGTCTTTACATTGTTTGCATATACAGTACAGTATACTTCATATACATTCATGGTGTTTTCGTCAACTTTATTAGGGGGGCAATATTAATGATTCTGGGCTGGAAGTTTTACGAATTTAAAAAGTCCTTGAAAATGGAAGTTAATAACTAATTGAAAAGAAGTCCATTCAAGGATGTCAACCAACAAACTCACACTAAACACAGAAAATACCTACTACATTTTATTTGGAAGTAAATAATCAAATCAAATTCAACTTCAGATGGACAATATTAATGTTAGCAATAAAAATTATTGAAAGTTTCTTGATCTATACATGTTAAGAGATTAAACTTCAGCACCCACATACAACACAGCCAAAAAAAAAAGTATTAAAACTGTCGATATAATCTTTAAAATCAGATATGTTCCCCACTCTGCTCTCCTCTCATTATACTACTTACTAATCTAGCCCTATATTTCATACTGTATCTTTGCCTGGGGTTCATCCACTCACTGCAATTACCTCAAGCTCATCATCACTTGGCAAAAATCTGCTGTCAGAACTATTACAAACTCTGTCTTCAGACAACACAGCCCCTGTTTAAATCCCTAAACATACTAAGCATACACTCAACACATTTTCTTGTACTATTACATGTACAAAACCTTGTTTCTAAATGTTAATCCTGATCTGAAATTCTTCCTTGATATAATAGAACCCATGAGCACCACACCAGAAATAAATATCCGATATCCCCAAAGTCAAACTAAATCTGTGTAAACACTCCATGCAAATAAAAGGACCTAATCTATAGAACACTCTCCCTAATGAATTAAAAAATTGTCCAACCTATACCTTATTAAAACTATAAAACCAAAATGTACCGAATTTCATCCTCATAGTTTCCTACTTTGTGCTACGAACTTACACTGTATCATGTGCTACATATTCCCTCAATATTAGTACTTAAGACTTGCAACTTCACCAATGTAATTATTTCTGTCAATTTATTTTGTAGTTATGTTGAACTTAAATTTTGCTACAATGTACCTATTAATAATTTTACCTTATATGTTAGATTAAGGACCTGCCCGAAACACTGTGCATGTTAGTGGCTTTACTAGAATGTAAGGACACCAATGTTATGTACTCTCACAAACCCAATGCACCTTTTTGTATATAAATAAATAAAATAATAAATAAATAAATAAATAAATAGTGTTCTGTGCCCCCTGGAGAGAGTTTAGTATTCCATGTGCATTGCTGTGGTGCCGAAATGTCTTTCTGCGAGTTCTGACTTTGTGTTAACTTAGGGCTTAGTGTCTTGCTGGCTTTCAGGTGTTTTCCCCTACTTCTCCAGGTTTATTGTTCTTGTCTTTGGGGTTTTGCCCTAAACTTTTCTGGCTTGTAACCATGAGGTTTGTGTAGAATTACACAAATTATAATTACACAACCCCTGGTACAGTTACACAACATGCCTACTGCTCTGTGGAAACTGCCTCCTTTGCCTTTTGGGCATGATGGCCCAAGTCTTTTGGGCTGTGTTCATTGGGAGGAGGGGTGTTCTGTTTTTTCAGCTGGGGGCTCCAGAACCCGGGGTTGGCCCTTAGGTCTAGTGGCTAGTGCTCTGGAATGTGGGGCCCCAAGGCTCTGGTACCCATGCCTAGTTTTTTTTCAGTGGTATATCTTCCCTTTCCTGGGAAGGTTTCTTGTGGCTCTCAACCACTTGGGCTGGACGGTTGAAAGCGGCGGTCTCATTTGATGCAGGTCGGCGTTCAATCCCCTGACTGTCCACAAGTGGTTGGGCACCATTCCTTTCCCCCGTCCCATCCCAAATCCTCATCCTGACCCCTTCCCAGTGCTACATAATCGTAATGGCTTGGGGCTTTCCCCAGATAATTCCCTTCCCCTATCTGTTGCTAACAGGTAGATGGTTCCACCCAATTGGAATTACACCAGACCCTTGCTAGTCATTCTAAGCTAGTATATACAGTGGTAGGTACTAACTATAGAGGACAGTTTAAATGTTAATGATAAATTATAAATATAGGAAGAGAAACTACAAGCATAGTCCCTCGTGTAACTACTGTTAGGTACATGTACATCTGAACCGACTGACTCAGAAAGTAGATGATAGTTACCATATATATAAAGGAGTTCTGAAAGTAGAACAGAGAGACTGGAGATTATTTATTTTGCTCTAGCTAACTCCTCTTTGGGTGCTGTTGACTGTACCCTGGAGATACCTTAATCACTGCACTGCGCAAAGCGCCTTTAGGCGCTCTGAGAGTTGTGCTATTTTTTTATAATTAGGCTATATTTTAATGTTTTCATTACTCTCTGTTTTGAAATGGAAGTACTGTAGTCGAGTTTGGAAACATTTTGACATCAACTTTACCTGAATATTTATAAAATCAACAAAAATGTGTCCTTGACAATTGCACTAAGATGTTTTTGCTGAAACCAGGTGCACATACCATGGTTTAAGCACCTGTGGTATTTTCATTGATGAATTCTTTACTCTAGTTTAGTCTTTTGCAAGAAGTAGACTTGAATTTTTATTTATAGTGCAGAGTACTTTTCTCACTTAGCAGGCTTTTGTGCACAAATTCTAGCAAACTGCAAATACTTGACATTTTTTGTTTATGGTGACTTATTTATATACAAGAAGTATATTGGGGTTGTGAGAGTACATAACATTTGTGTTCTTACATTCTTGCAAAGCCACTAACATGCATAGTGTTTCGGGCAGCGATGACATGATTCATTGATCTGAATGCTGTACTGTTGTTTCATTTTATTCATTGCAAAAACTGAAACTAAAAAAAAAATACTATTTACTTTACAGTGACAGTATTCACAGTACTTAAGGAGTTAGGGCTATTATTATTTTTCATCTCTACTTCCTTCTGAATAATTATGCCTTATTAATCAAGAATTGGATAGAATAAATCTCTTAAAAGTATTATTTTCTTTCAGAGATGGATATGATATGAAGCTGGGATTACCCTTATCAGAAAAAATAGGCAGTAATTCGAATCTGAAAAATAATGATGCTCAAAAATCAAGTTTTGCAAGCATTTCCAAGGTGCATAGCAATAATATGTCCAGAACTATAAAAAATCCCCAACATTCTGAGTTAACTCTGAATCATCAAAATATAGATAATGTCCACAAGGAAATGCATAGTAAATGTTTCATCAATGCTTGCAACACAACTGTTAAGGTGTCATGCACATGTGAAGCTTCCTTATGTGATACAGGTGGAGTGGAGCCCAGCAAGGACAGCACTCCTGACATGGATGATGCACACTCTAAAAAATGCAGTGTAGTAACTAAACAGAAAAGCAATTTGTCATCTGTTAATAAATGTAAATTGCAAATGGCTACCAACAAACCAAAGCAAACAGGTTCGCAAAACATGACAAAGAACTGTAAAAAAATTGGGTTATTTTCACCTAGGACAAGTAGGCCCAAAGTGCAATATTCGCAATCAATTTCAAATTTACCTTCTGATTTTAATAGAGATGAATCTTCACATTTCTTGAAGGATTTAGAAGATGCAGCAAGGGAACCCAAGTCCCAGAGACTTAAGTTAACAGTAGATGATAGTACAAAGAGTCAACAAGAAGACGTGTATAAAGACGGAGAGAACACTCGAGCATCGTTCTCTGACTCCACACGTGTTCCTGGAAATGTAATTTTGGAACCCTCGGGTGAATGTAACAATACTTGTAATGGTACTTGTGACAGTAGCAAAGATACGGCAATGGTTGATAACACATGTGAAAGTGATCTCAAAAGCCAACATACCAAGAGGCTAGTTTTAAAAGGAAGTAAAGATAGTGTTCTTCCAAATAAGGTAATGTCAAAAATTTGCAAAAAGGTTGTTGGACATAATGGAGAAATTAAGTCCAGGAATGTGGGAAAACTAAAACATGGCGTAATATCTAAGGTGATCAGAAAAAAAAATAAAAAAAATATCGAAGAAATATCTACATGTACAACCAATGGATCAAACAATATAAAAACCAATAAAATTCCCCAAAGAGGAAATGGAGATGGCTCCAAATGCAGTTTCCATAATGAACAAACCAGATCTGCGAATGGTGTGTACGAAACAAATTGGACGACTCGAATACCATTTGAGGATGTGATGGCAAGTGTAAACAGTAGGAAAATTGGGATGAGAGACCACATACACAACCGTGTGGAGGAGAGACGAAGGAAACTCATGAAGGAATGTTATGATGCTTTAATTGGATCTACGAGACAGTCACACAGACACATTGCAAAATTGATTGGACAAGAAATTGAGCTTGAAAATGAGTTATTAGAATTTGATGGTAGAGATCAAACACTGGAATGTAGTGAAACCGATGCTGCAAAAGTTAAAGAAAATAAACTGCTTCAAGATAAACAGAATTCTTTTATTGCTCAAAATGAAAATACTGTACATTTGAGGAGTAAATCTGATGAATTAAGAATCAAAGATAACAATAACAATTCTGATTTAGAGATTGAGGAAATTGAGACTTCAATGACTTACTTTTGCACACCAAGTATTAGAGCTACTGCTACTTCAACACAACCTCGATTTTCCATTAGTAATATTTTCTCTGATAGTGCACTGGATGACTCCAGTGCTACCAGCACTGGAAATGTGACCAAAACTACATTGAAAGACACTGAAGGAACAAAATCAGTTACTTCCCTTCCAGCAGCTCCAGCTACCGCAGGGGCTTGTGCCCAAACATGTGTCTTACCTAGTCCAGCTTCTGACAGTAGAAGGGGACGGAAGAGAAAATCTGGATCAGTCGTACCAATTGATATCCCAAGGACTAAAAAGACTGGAAATTATGGTAGGATAAGTGATATATCAGAAGAGCAAGCTGGTTGTCAGGTGTCTGGAAAAGCTTTATTAAAACCTAGTTCTTTAGATAATTCTGTACTGTCATTGAATAAAGAAGAGTGTTCACATTTGGACAATCCAGCTTCATTATATACCAAGGAAAATAATGAACATTTGAAGGGTAGGGTAAATAGGTTTCGTGTTTTTGATAATAGCAACTTTGCTCAAGGTCCTCACAGCACTGCAAGCACTAATATGCCAGATAATGTTCTAAACTCATTATTATTAGAGAGTTCTGCATCAGGTAATCGAGATGGGGTTGAAAAGTATCCAGAAGTGTACTTAACACCCACTGAAAACAGGCTAAATGAAATGAGCTTCACAAATGTTGAAGAATTGATAAATCATGATGCAAATGGATCATCTCTTTCAAATAATATACATGCAGAAAAATGTGATCAAGAAAAATATATTAATCGGATGTGTGTCCCTCAGAGTCGTATCATAGCTGGTGCGAGAAGAATATCTGAACCAGGATCAAGAGATACAGAGAACTGCAATAAATTTGTTCCACAGGAATGCAGTGTTGCATATGCAGCAGAGAATAATATAGAGAATGCAGGTAATTTGAAAGGAAGAAGAATAATAAATGATGTTGGTCAATCTACAAGTAAAGAGATGGCAGAAATGGATACTGCCATTAGTACTGCAAATTCAGACGAGTGTTTGGTCGTGGATGTGTGTACTAGTTGTGAATTTGATTCTTCTGTGGTCATTCAGGACAATCATTTACATGCTACAGTTGAGGCTGACATACACTGTGTACAAACTGACAATGTATTAGACAATTTAAAAGAGAAAGAAGATGTAGTCACTGTAAAAATACAAGAAAGAAAAAGCCAGAACCAAGATGCATTATTCCCTGCTAAGGACATATCTGAAGAAGGTATAGATGTGCACTCATGTCAGGCAGAGATTCCAGGGTCGAGTGCTGCTTATTCTGATAACCGTAAGTACTGTAATATTTTTGTATTTTTTCTTAATTTATTTTCCCTGTATGTTGTGTGTGTATTTAAAAAGCCATTCTGTTTTTATAGAATGTACTACAGTATATGCCCTAATAAAATGGCTTGAATTGATCTGTTCAGCACTTGATAATAATGAATTCTGTCTTCAGTAGTTACAAAAGGTTCTCAACACTTGATTATACAAATCGTGTATTTAATGAAATGAAATGCCCTTTTCTAGGTAGCCTCAGTTGCATTGGCTCTGGTACCATATCTTGAGGTTATCTTGAGATGATTTCGGGGCTTTTTAGTGTCCCCGCGGCCCGGTCCTCGACCAGGCCTCCCCATAGAGACAGAGACACACCCACAAAACACCCAGGCCTCTAGACTTGCATATGCCTACTGAACACCAGGACCAGAATCTGGTGTGCTCATAGGGGCCAGAGGATCATGGGGGATCAGCTTCATAACTGATTAAAACTGGCCAGAAAGTATAAGCAAAGCAAAATAATGTATCTTGATCAAACAAAGAGAAGATAAAAATGGGGGAAACGGTAGTTTGTCCAATATCAACAAACCAAATACTTGTTTCCCAGTGCATCACTTGATGGCAGCATTGGTCATCCTCAGGGGCCAGATTCACGAAGAAGTTACCCAAGTACTTAAGAACGTGTATATCTTTCCTCAATCTTTGTTGGCTTTGGTTATATATATTAAACAGTTTGCAAGTATGAAAACTTCCCAATCAACTGTTGTTATTGTTATGAACAGCCTCCTGGTGCTTTGGAGATCATTAACTGTTTAATAATTGTAAACGAAGCCGCCAAAGATTGAGAAAAGATGGACATGTTCGTAAGTGCATGTGTAACTGCTTCGTGAATCTGGCCCCAGTGTTCCACTTACTCACCCAGTTCATTTGCATGCCTGGCAACAAACCCAGAACTTCTATTGGTATCTGCAATCACCACTATTTTTTTTAAAGCCAAGTGGTGTTAGTGTTCCTTTTGATTTAAATGTTCCGCAGGAATCATGATTAGCATTTCCTTTTCATAATGCTGCACAATTGTGTTTATGCTCCTCCTCTGGCAGGTATGGAGCCTAGTAGTTTACCAATGCCTTTCAGGTTATCAACCCTAAAGTTGGCTTGCATTTCTCAGTTTCTCAACATCTCAATATCTATGATATCTATATCTATGATCAAGTGTCATACTACTTGAGTGCCATCAGTTGCAGAGTTCTTGTTGTCTATTATATAAATTGTTAATTTAGAATTTTTTTTACAAGTTATATATATATATATATTATATATATAACATTAATGTTTTTCCTGCCCAAAACGCTTTGCGTAATAGTGGCTTTAGGCATTGTACTGTATATACTAGCTCTATCTGTAAATCGATCAAATTTTGGAAAATCTCTTGTATGTATATAACTTACCTGAATAAACATTTTATTTTATTTGTTTATTTTATATATATTTTTTTTATCTGCAGGTCCATTGGAACCTTTGCTGTCAAAAAGCACATCTGACTCAGAAGATGATGACGTTCTTTCAATATATGCTAGCAGCTGGACTGGAATGTAAGTTGCAACCCTATGTCAAATACTTGGATACAAATTTTTCAATTTCATAATAATCTTCCATGACAAAGAAGGGTGGCTAAGACTTACTGATGACTCAACACCATGTACGTAATTTTAAATGCTGGAGGATTGACAATATTTTTGGTACACTGACTGGTACCTCAGGATGTCCTAAATAACTGAAAATCAAAATAGTAATCGAATTTGCTAGTTTAATATTGTTGTATCGTTTAACATTTCAGAGACAGTGATGCAGAAGGAGAGAAAGATAATCTTGAGTATCAAAAATTAATTGACCCAAATGAGATTACAAGAGATTTGGGCCAAGAACAAACGTACTCCGGAAAGAGCGGTAAAGTGTGTCTTGATCAATACACAACAAAACACGCTAAAGAAAATACACTGGATTTTTGTAATGACAATGAAACGGTGTGTAAAATATCTGGAGATGCACATTGTACACAAGATTTATCCATTAACAATGGCACTGCCACATCTGAAATAAGCTGCAGAAGAAACACATTGATTTTAGGTAGTGATCAGAGCTGCACTAGGAATGCCAGTAGTGGATTATATCAAGATAAAGAACCAGATAAATTAGACCAAATTTCCACCTTGAATTTAAATCAAAGTTTGCTAGAAAGTGAAGAGCATGACAATGTGAGAGAGTTGCTTCATGTTACCAGAGAAAGTGGTCAAGAGAATAGGTCATGTGAAAATGGTGACAAGTCAATTCCTGTCCAGTATTCAAACATGACAGCAGAAACTAGAGCTGAACACACAGAATCAAACATAATATTAACATTGAAGACAAATTTAGGAGAATCTTTATCTACTGTGGACAATTTGCATATACCTCATAACTCACGACATACTATGAGTCAAGAGAAAAACATCGTTACTAAGGAAGACAATCATAGAGCAAATATCTATGGATACTTGCCAAGTTCACCTGACCTCATGACAAAGCAAACAGATAATGTGAATGTAAACAGCGGACTTTATCCTAGAGAAGGAAGGCCAACTGGTGATCACAATTCACACCGCAGCCTAAAGTCCCAAAAGTTTTCTGAGAAGGGGCAGAAATATTATAATATTAATATTATACCTAAGCCACCCACATATAATTACTGTTCCCGCTTCATCCACCAGGGTGTCTGCTACCAACCTGCCTGTCTCCTTCAACATGAGGTATGTTGTTTAGTTTTACAACCTGTTAAATAGATTTACCTTAGCAAGGTCTCGGTGACCATCCCAGACTGAGCTTGACGTTCACAATGCCTTGTTGGGACACCCAGGCTGTGCTTTACCTTAGCAAGGTCTCGGTGACCATCCCAGACTGAGCTTGACGTTCACAATGCCTTGTTGGGACACCCAGGCTGTGCTTTACCTTAGCAAGGTCTCGGTGACCATCCCAGACTGAGCTTGACGTTCACAATGCCTTGTTGGGACACCCAGGCTGTGCTTTACCTTAGCAAGGTCTCGGTGACCATCCCAGACTGAGTTTGACGTTCACAATGCCTTGTTGGGACACCCAGGCTGTGCTTTACCTTAGCAAGGTCTCGGTGACCATCCTAGACTGAGCTTGACGTTCACAATGCCTTGTTGGGACACCCAGGCTGTGCTTTACCTTAGCAAGGTCTCGGTGACCATCCCAGACTGAGCTTGACGTTCACAATGCCTTGTTGGGACACCCAGGCTGTGCTTTACCTTAGCAAGCTCTCGGTGACCATCCCAGACTGAGCTTGACGTTCACAATGCCTTGTTGGGACACCCGGGATGAGACCGTAGCAAGGTCTCGGTGAATGACCTAGGCTGTGCTTTTACTTTAGTCAGGCTTCGGTGTGGTGATCATGTTGTTTTAGCTTCAAATCACATGTGTTCAATTATTAAAATGTTTACTTTAACTTTTCAATGAAATACTATACTGTTCAGTAGGTATGAATTATTCGCTTGTGATTTCTGAAATGTGCTTTTATCAGATGAGCCAAGAATTGGAGAGTTACTTGGCTCAGCTTATTCTGCACTACGTAAGAAGTAATCTGGAGCGTGAAGCCTGGAGCCTAATTGACCGGCACACATCTGCTCGGCAGAACTCTACTTTGCTGATGATATCGCTGCTCAAGGCTCTGGCTAGACACATTGTTGAAATGGAAAGTATCAACTTGTTTCCCAACATTAAGGTTAGTGCATCGTTAGTATTTTCACTTAAAAGTAAAAAGTATTATTGGTTTCTTATTATCAGGAACAGGAAGTCTGTTGAATTATTGAGGTTTACCTTGGTCTACTGTGAAATGGCACTTTGTAAGTGACACCTTGGCAGGATGTAATCTTGTATAGTATTAGAGTGGTGGTTCCTGTGGAACTGAGATGTAAGATTTTGGAATAGCTGCATGTAGCCCATAATTGGCATAAATGCTACGAAAGCAGTAACTAGAATATGGGTTTGGTGGCCACAAATGGAGCAAGATTTTGCTGAAGTAACTAAGAATTGTCACACTTGTTTCAAGATTTACCAGAAACCCCCAAGCTTCAGTACTTTCCTGCCACTGCACTGGGAAACCCTGCTCTAGACTTCATATAGATTATACTGGATCTATTGATAATAAATACTTTCTTGTAATTGTAGATTTACACAAAATTTATGGAAGTTCATGTATGTAATTCCAATACATCATGTGAATTGACATGTGAATTGCTTAGGAAAACATTTTGTAATTTTGGATTGCCAAATATGGTTGTGTCAGATAATGCTCCTTTTTGTGTCTAGGGAAATGGAGGATTTTTAGGAAGAATGGTATCAAACATATCAAACCTGCCCCTTATAATCCTTCTTCAAATGGTCTGATATAAACCGCAGTAAAATCTTTAAAGTTTCATCACCTCAAAGTACCACATAACACAATCAGGTCCCGAAAAAAACTCGTCTCCATTATTAAATTAGGAGTGCTTTCACAATGCATCCACCAGCAACCAAACCTGATCCAACACTGTAATGTTATTGTTTTATTGAGTACTATCCTATCATTTTGTTGCAGCCATCTATAAAACATTTAGGGTCAGGTTAGTAGCACAGTTAGTAGTTTTTAAACTGACATGCTTCCCTGGAAAAGATTAATTTGAAAGAAGATCCAGTAGTAATGTTAATTGCAAGTTTGAATATTTCCAGGTACCTTCACATATTGCATCTCCTTTGAACATAGCCAAGGTTGAAACACTATGTGATTTCCATCGTGGACAAGATGCCTACAGGTTGCTCCGTCAGTGCTACAACAGTGCTTCCCTGTTCAGTGCAGAATTACTGATCACCATATTTATTCGGTAATGCTGTATTTTTTGTTTGCAAACTTTAATGCTGAAATGTTCTTGTAATAGATGCAAACATGTTATGAAAGAAGGTTAAAGAGCTGTTAATATAGCATGTAGAGAATGCAGGCGATGAGTCACAATAACGTGGCTAAAGTATGTTGACCAGACCACACACTAGAAGGTGAAGGGACGACGACGTTTCGGTCCGTCCTGGACCATTCTCAAGTCGATTGCAAACTTTAATGCTGAAATGTTCTCATAATAGATGCAAACATGTTATGAAAGAAGGTTAAAGAGCTGTTAAAGAAGGTTAAAGAGCACAGTCGACTTGAGAATGGTCCAGGACGGACCGAAATGTCGTCGTCCCTTCACCTTCTAGTGTGTGGTCTGGTCATCATGTAGAGAATATTTGCTTTGTGAAAGAAATAAGTTTAGAATATAATATACAAGTATCAGGTGCCTATTTTACCCGGATTCTTAGTAGTAGCCAAAATCAGTGAATGCAGGCAGTTATTTATTTTAAAAGAATGATTAGTTATTTGAAACATACTGTGAAGTTAAAGTATATTCTGCATATAAACTATACAGTACAGGTAGTTTTCAGATTACCAAACAATTGTTGTAGAAATTGGATTTTTTATGACTTTCTAACTATTGTACTGCACAGGTATAAAACATGACACGCTATGGGTGTACAAAACAAATATTATTCCCCAATTTTTGTTTTCTTGTTTTGGTAAAATGTGTTCTTTGATCATGGAAAAAAAAAATGTTTGCAGCATACTTTAGCTGTAATGGGACACGAAAGTGTGAAAATGTTCACTCACTGAGTGAAGAGTTTGGCCACTGTTTTGTATATTTGGGTTGTCATAGAGCTGTTCCCTGACCAGCTCCAGGGTGGCCTGGACGCCTTGCCTGCTGTACCTGTGGTTGTGGCTTTTGTTGCCTGCAGTTGGGACCTTGGAGGTGGTGCCCAGGTTCTTTACTCCTTGTCTTTGGGAGGTGGTGCCCATGCAGCTTCTTTACTCCTTGTCTTTGGGAGGTGGTGCCCATGCAGCTTCTTTACTCCTTGTCTTTGGGAGGTGGTGCCCAGCTTCTTTACTCCTTGTCTTTGGGAGGTGGTGCCCAGCTTCTTTACTCCTTGTCTTTGGGAGGTGGTGCCCAGCTTCTTTACTCCTTGTCTTTTGGAGGTGGTGCCCAGCTTCTTTACTCCTTGTCTTTGGGAGGTGGTGCCCAGCTTCTTTACTCTTTCTCTTTGGGAGGTGGTGCCCAGCTTCTTTACTCCTTGTCTTTGGGAGGTGGTGCCCAGCTTCTTTACTCTTCCTCTTTGGGAGGTGGTGCCCAGCTTCTTTACTCCTTGTCTTTGGGAGGTGGTGCCCAGCTTCTTTACTCTTCCTCTTTGGGAGGTGGTGCCCAGCTTCTTTACTCCTTGTCTTTGGGAGGTGGTGCCCAGCTTCTTTACTCCTTGTCTTTGGGAGGTGGTGCCCAGCTTCTTTACTCCTCTTTGGGAGGTAGTGCCCAGGTTCCTTACACCTCTCCTTTGGGAGGTGGTGGTAGGCTTTTATTTTTTCGTTTGTTTTGCTGATGGTCCATGTTGATCCTTTGCAGTAGATTCGGCTTCGACCTTATCTCGAGTTCTGGCCCCACTGCTCTGGGGAAGTGTTACCAAGGCAGGTCCTTGCCTGTTGTTGGTAGGGGTTGGCTTCTGGATGAGGGCTTCACTTTTGCCTCTGGAGGAAAGAGGTCTTCCTTAGCATGGCCCACATCATGTAAAACCACCTGAAATCTGGCCCACAATAGCCAATAACAGTGGCCTACCTGGAACGTCGGCAACTGTTGTAGTTTGTATCCCGGGGAAGGTGACTAGTTTGGCCTTGTGGGCACCTAGAAGTACAAAGTGGTAAAAAGATTAGTACATAAGTGATTGACAAGTGAGTCACGTGTATATTATGCATATGTAGGACAGAAAACAGGAGAGGCCTTTGTATCACATGGTAATAAACCCATGGCAAGCCTGCTCACCCAAACTGTAAATACCGAGTTTGTCTCGGGACCTGATTATGCTGTGAACTTTCGTCAATTCATAATCAATTTGGAAAAACTCCTCAGGTGCAATGTGGAAGCTTTGAGAAGCCTCTGGCTTCCTGTCCCCATCAAGGCCACTAAAGAGAGAGAGTGGCTTTCAGGTAAATTCACGTAAGTATTAAAGATTAAAAGTGTTAACAAGAAAAGAGATCAACCATTCTTTATACCCATAGGTACTGTGAGCATTGTCCAGAGAGAGAAGCTGTGAGTCCTTGGGAGAAGATCTTGCTTTGGCAGTATGAAAAACCGGGAAACCCATTTGAAGAAAAACTGAAGGATATGTTTAATTTTGGGTGGCTGAAAGTTCACATAAACGCCAGGAATTTTAACAGGGTAAATGTTTATAATTGGCTTTGTGCTTGCTTTTAAGCATAATATTATGCTAGGCAACTGTTTTCATGCAGAATATTCCAATATTTATGTCACCGTGGTAAATAAATTAAGTATATTTATTATTTATTTATTTAAATACAAGAAGATACATTGGGTTTATGAGAGTACAGAGCATTAAAGTTTTACATTCTTGGAAATTCAGCTTATTATAAATGAGAACACCGAGGAATTTACTATCTACTTTGTTACTAATTTGGATATTGTTAATTCTTAGATTATGTGGAATAAATGGTAAAATACTAGAATGGATCAAACAATGGTTTGATCATTGATCAAGAGCTATCCTAACTCTCTACTCCTTTTACCAGTCAGCCCAACACAATATATCCTTAATTCAATCACTTAAAACCAGAGCTGGGAACATTAATGAAATACCACTTATGATATATAAGAGTGCTGCTCCTGCTCTTGCACCACCCATAGCTCTGCTATTTAACAAATCTCTAGCGTCATACTTTTCCTGATATCCTTAAAAAAAAGCAAGAGTGACACCAGTTCATAAATGAGGCGAGACAGCTGACATAAACAATTACAGACCAATATCAAATCTACCTATACTTTCAAAAATATTTGAAACAATTATTTACAAACAGCAATATTCCTCTTTTGTAAAACTTGACGTATTAAGTCTCTACCAGTTTAGTTTCTGTTCCCAAAAAGAGTACCAATGTTGCCATTATTAGTCTGCTTAATATAATCTGCACAGCCCTTGACAAAAACGAGTTCCCAATTGGTCTCTTCATTGACCTGAGAAAGGCCTCTGATACTATAAATCATAACTACCTCTTTCTTAAACTTCACTACTATGGTATCTGAGGCCTTGCTCTGGACTATATTCATTCCTGTCTCAGTGACAAACACCAGTATGTAACCATCAATAGCATAGCCTCCCCCACTCTACCATTGACACTAGGGGTGCCACAGGGCAGCATCTTAAGACCTCTCCTATTTCTTATATACATCAATGATTTGCTAAATGTTTCTAACATTCTTAAAGCTATACTATTTGCTGACGATACTACCCTATATCTATTCTGACCTCAACCCCCACACACTAAATAATATTGTCAACAATGAATTAAAAAAAGTCCACTCAAGGATGTCATCCAACAATTTGCAGCAAGAACAATGCTTATACAGTAGGAAACATGGTGGACATTACCTGTATCAGTGAAGATGATGATGACAGAACATGTAATGCTTGTAAAGAACATGGAAGAGGTAGAGAATGCTTTGCAGAGGTGGCATTATTTACACTAAATATAGAAAAGACCTTCTACATTTTATTTGATAGTAAATCATGAAGTCAGATTCAACTTCAGATAGACAATGTTAACATTACCAATAAAAATGAGGGAAAGTTCCTTGGCCAATACATAGACAAGAGACTTAACTTCAGCATCAACATACAACACATTGCTAAAAAAGTATCAAAAAAGGTCGGTATACTTTCAAAAATCTAATATGTTCCCCACTCTGCTCTCCTCTCATTATACTATGCACTAATCTATCCCTATCTTACATACGGTATCTGTGTATGGGGTTCAACCACTGCAAATTACCTCAAGCCTATCATCACTCAGCAAAAATCAGCTATCAGAACTATAACAAACTGTGTTTTCAGGCAACACACAGCCCCTCTGTTTAAGTTCCTTAACATGCTAAACATACACTCATTCCACACATTCTCATGTGATATCTACATGTACAAAACCTTGTTCCTAAATGCTAATCATGAGCACCACAGCAGAAATATATATCTCTCTGATATCCCCAGTCAGGCTAAATCTGTGCAAACACCCCATGCAAATAAAAGGCCCAGTCTTTGGAACACTCCCCTGATGAATTAAAAAATGTACCAACCTATACCTTGTTCAAAAGTAAAACCAAAAAGTACCTAATTACATCCTCATAGTTTCCTACCTTGTGCTTCAAAACTCACACTGTTCTTGTACTACCCACTTCCCTAATATTAGTACAGTACTTAAGACTAATTAAGTACTTAATCTCTACCAGTGTAATCACCTCTGTCAATTTATATTGTTGATATAAAACCTTGATACAATGTACTTTTTCACCTTACCTGAGATGTTAGATTAAGGACCTGCCCGAATTGCTGTGTGTGTTAGTGGCTTTGCATGAATGTAAAAATATCACTCTAATGTAATCACACCAACTAATGTACCTTGTAAATAAAATATTATTATTATTATTATTATTATTATTATTATTATTATTATTATTATTATTATTATTAATGGCTACAACAAAGAAAGCTTTGAGTCTTCCTACGTTGAAATAAATATACGTAACTAGAAAAATATAGTGTGTGGATTATGGCAAATTTCCATGTTGGGACCAACCCCTTTTTTTGTCACATATATCAGTGTTATAGATGAGAATATTACAATCCACATCATCAAATTTGCAGATGACCCCAAGATCTGTGGTAAAGCAAGAAACAAAAGGAATATTGAGGCCTTACAAAGAGAACTACATGAATGCCACAAATGGTCAGGAGACTGGCAAATGCTTGTTAATATTGAACTGTATACAAGTCATTACTATAGACAAACAGGCATTCTATTTTGTTGATCAAGATTATTACATTCATTCTAAAAACAGATCCTCATTTGACTTTACAAGTGTGAGAAAGTGTGAGATTACTTGCAAAAATAGTTTTATACAGTATCTCAAACCCTCCAAAGTCATAAATAGCAAAACTGTGCTATATACAGTACGTACTATACAGCTGAAAACGTTCTTGATAAGAATGGGAGGACCTTCCACAAGGCACCAGTTTCCTGACCCAGTTGAGGCCAGTAGAGATGGTGGCCGTTAGGTAAATATCCGTAAAAAAAAGTATATGCAAGGCTCAGGATTCATTCCCTTCAAATAAGTAAGGGTTTTCTTATATTTCTTATTTATATATCTATTTAATAAACTCGCACAATAAGTCCAGCTTGACAGCATTCTTTTCAACATTTTTGCTAGAGTGAGTCAACCGATTTCATATAGACATTGTTGTACTTGCAGGTGTGTGAAGTCTACAGCCACCTCTGCAGAACTCTCTCTACCCCTTCCATGTTCTTCACAAGCATTACATGTTCTGTCATCACCTTCTTCACTAACACAGGTAATGTCCACCATGTTTCCTATAAGCACTGTTCTTGCTGCAATTGATATTTTGTGTTTTGTCACGTGAAATGTCAATTAGAATATAATTAATTTGTAATGGAATGCAGTTCAAATCTGTTTGATAAGCAGTAATATTTATTTAGCATTTTACATTGGCATTGGTGTATGGATAATGTATGCATCACTCCACCACTTGGGTTAAGCACCGCTGGATTTTCTCCACCTTCAGATTATAATTTCAATATACTGTATTGCTTTTGCATTTCATTATTTACCTTTATGCTTTTTTATCTTTTACTATTGTGTGCCTCTTATCATCTCAATAGAGTTTTTGCTGAGGGCAGGGTTTGTTACCCTCTACACACTGTACTCTCATGCAGTAAGATGGCTGCACACCTCACAAAAACAATTACACAGATATAAAATCTACCAATATCATCAAAAATATTTTAATAGATTATATACACTCAGCTGTACTCCACTATGATGAAGTTCAACATGCTAAGGGTCATTGTACACGTCATCTGTATGCAAAAACCAAGACCAGCCTGGAGAGAGGCTGGGAACAGCTTGCTCCTTTGAGGTCACTTCAGTGAGTGAGTGAGTCTCCTAGTCAGTGACACGGGCTGTCCTACATGACATCATGCCTAACTGACAGCACCCATTGTCTTTAGTCCTACCCAGTGTTGTTGTGTTATGTCACATTTCAAGTATGCTGTACAACCTTCTCAAAGCTCCTCGAATCCGTTTGAATATTAGCAACTGACAGATCTGCCAAATACATATTGGGCTACCTAACTAGGTTTCATCTCCACCTACATGTACATAAACAACCATAAACATTGAGATAAAAAATAACTCACAGAGGTTAGATGTGCCTTGTGGATCATAACTATTTGCTGCTTGAACATAGGTATTAGGTGAAAAGAATGTGCCCACCCGTCTCTGTCCTTCACAGGAATTGTACCTGGAATCATTTCACTTTTGTTTGACCTTCCCCAAAGGTTAGACAAGTACTGTACTTTGTGTCTAACTGGCACCAGTGACCTCATTGTTATGGTGCCAGAGAAACTTTTATGATTTCATTGTAGCTGAATCTTATCCCATTAGGCCAAAGAAAGAGAAGTTTCTGGGTGCTGGATGAAGTACGAAGGTTGAAGGCAAATGACGCTTCCATCTTCATTGCTCTCATACCAACAGATAAGGTAAACACACTAATAGAATTATCTACAATTACATTTTGAATTATATTATGATTAACTAAGATTATAAAAAAAGACTGATCAGTTATTTTCCTATAATTCAATCCATTTATTACAGGCAAACACCATTTAATGAACAAGATGCATTCTCCGCAATGTGTTTGATAATGCGATACAGTATTTACAAGTATTTACACCTACAACACCCACAACCTAATGTGTGTACTCTTTTCAATTTGATAACATCAATTTTCGTGTTATGTCGTTCATTTTGGTATCAAATTGTTTGCAATATCAAATGATAACATATACATTTATGCATGTTTAGACACTAATAAATTATAAACAGTGATTTTGCATGCATATAAGTAAACAATTTATTGATTAAAATTGTTGTAGCACAGACTGCTATTGATAGCTAGCAGGCAACAAAATGTATGTGCATAGTGCTATATCATATCTCTTGAACTACTGCAGTCATCCTGAACTGGTCATCAATCCCCATGGGTTATGGCATTCTTTTAGCTGCAGTCTGTAATTGCATCACCAGCAGCCAGCACCATCCAAATCCTCATTCTTAGGCTTCTAGGATTATTTTCTGGGAGGACCTCTCAGTAGCTCCTTAAGTTAAAACCTGGACACAAGCAAGCCTTGAGAAGCACACCACAGCTGTTATGCCCTGTTAATGCCTATTGGACGATTAGGCTATAATTGAGGATCTACTCGGGACAGAACATTTTGCTCAGACCATTTTTTATGTTAATTATACTTATTAAAAGCATAGAATTATGAACGTGCTTTTTTAGACTGCTAACATTAAACTCTTATTATTAATGTACTGTAGTACTGTACTCCAAAAACCTTCACAGGAAGGATTAATTCCTGTTATTTTATCCTTGGTACATCAGCACCCGCCATCTTAACTCTGATGTACTGTATTAGCACCTGTCTTTTTCTATTGTGATCAGGAAAGTGCCATGTGTGTTCTTCATGAACTGTCAGAACTGAGTCAGCTGGTGTGTGAGCTGCGTGTTCCGCTGCCTACCTGCACCTGGGACTTGCTGTTCACGCTCATGATCAATCACGCCAATTTTACCCTTGCTGTCAGTCTTCTCATTTGTGCCATGCAAGTAAGGTTTACATAAATCATTTTTTTTATCATATATCAGTCATGTTAGCAAAATAATTTGAAAAAATGATTACAGTAATTGCTAAGTGTTGGCATATTAATAGCCAGCTGAGCATAATTAGAGGCTACAAATTTTAAATGCAAACTCCAACCATGTAATATTATTACATACCCAGTTCTCTATGTAAATAATTAAAACCTCTTCAGGTTCAGTCTTGGCTCTTATCTATGGCAAAGAAAGGCTCCATGAGGTAGAGAATGATCCTCGAATTTTCAAGAGTAAACATCTTCACTGGCCAGAGTTTCTGTGCAACAAGGTTATCCATTGTCTGTTGGGTTTTGACAGGACTCTTGACTTCTTCCTTGATTTCCATAATAGTTTTTGGCACATCCACATTCATACAGAATTCTGGGACTTGTTTAGGTGTTGTGTCAGCAACACAAGCTACCACTTACAAGCGTTTTTCTTCAGGTTAAACTTGGCTTCCTTGACGTTAATGAAGCTCACCAAGGTGGTGCTTTGTGAGCAAGTCAGGGGAGTGCAGGTCCTATCTCTCTCAACAACTGGCTCATCTGAGCACCAAGTAATTACCTAAGTGTAGTTACAAGATGAGAGCTACACTCGTGGTGTCCGGTCTTCCCAGCACTCTTTGTCATATAACGCTTTGAAACTACAGTACATGTACTGATGGTTTTGGTCTCCACACCTTTTCACTTAACTTGTTCCAACCATCTACCACTCTACTTGATGGGGTTTTGGGAGTTCTTCTACTCCCCAAGCCCAGCTCAAGGCCAGGCTTGACTTGTGAGAGCTTGGTCCAACAGTCTGTTGCTTGGAGCGGCCTGCAGGCCCACATACCCACCACAGCCCAATTGGTTCGGCACTTTCTTTAGAAAACAATCTAGTTTTTTCTTGAAGATGTCAACGGTTGTTCGTTGTTGGCGAAAACGAATTTTCTTGTATTTCTTCGGCAGCTTTGTTTATTCTTGAAATTCCAGGTCTCGGGAATTCTTCCCTGTCAATTTTATGGATTCCCATTATTATTTTGTACGTAGTGATCATATCCCCTCTTTTCTTTTATCTTCTAGTTTTGGTATGTTTAATTCCTCTAGCTTCTCCTCGTAGCTATTGTTCGTCAGTTCCAGGAGCGATTTAGTTGCACCTTTGCTTATTATTAATCTACAATAAAACCATTGACCGAGGTAATATTGGGATGTAAGTACGTTATTTAATAAGGCTTCCATCCTTAAGAAAAAATTTAATAATTTATACATTTAATTTTGTGATTAACTGTTTATTTCTGATTTTTACAAATTTTGTATAGCCTTTACTATTTTCTGTTTCAGATAAGCTTATTTAGACCAGAAATAGATGTTCTGGAGAAAATTTTGTTTGATTGCTACAGAGGTGGCCCAATGCTAATGCAACCTTTGTCCAACCTTATTCGTGCATTGCCTGCAGAGTATCTCAACAGGATGAGGCCATCACTGCATAGGTTGCTCACTTTTCTTACACATGAACCACCCCCTGCGCAGCACATCAAGGACATCATCATTCATCAATGTCAGGGATATGGAATAAACCTCTTTCCTAACTCTGATGTTTCAGGATACAAGATACACAGTGAAGGTGGTACCAATGCACACAGTGTCATGCAGTGTTCCCTGGGAGTACATAATGTAGATGGTCGTGTTGCACAGTATGGTACGGTGCCTGGTGAGCGCGACACTCGGCACGGTCACATGGCAAGCGTCGATGTGTCCTCCAGTTGTCACAGATTTTCAAGTTTAGAAAGTAGACGCTCATTGGGAGCTTTTGAATATCAAATGAATCGTATTAGAAATAATGAAAACACACAGTTAACTATAGGATTTGGTAATAGTAAAGATTCAAATATAACCAAAAAATTGCCAGAAAACTCTGGAAATTTCGGTAGAAGTTTTATAGGTAGTAGCAGTTTTACTACTAAGAAAATGTCATTTGAAAGCAGATGCAGCACAGACAGCATTTACAGCCAGGAGTTGTGTAGCCGAAAGAACATATCAAGAGTCTATGCTAACCAACATTCTGTGGCATCATCAGGTCCTAGATTACTAAAGAATACAACATATTCATCATATCTGAATCAAGAAGAATCATCGGCTCCGACTGGCTCTGACTTTCCAAATCGCCTAATGCATGTGTCAACAACTACTACCAGACACGAAGAGCAACTAATATCGCCAGCACCTGTTTACCATGGTAAGTCTTATACAGTGAATACTGCCTGTCAGGATCTACTTAAAACTCAGACAGAAATTTCATCATTAGGTCTCCATTCCCACAAAAGATCCATTAATTTAAGCCAAGAGGATTTGCCTGGAGTACCAGTTGACAAAAGGGAACTTGCCACAGGAAACCATAGGTGGAGGGTTTCGAAGAAGCAGGAGGTGGACTTGAATACCCAAGGAAAAGAATCCGAGGATTTTAATGTACCACAATGTCAAGAGTCATATGATCACACTCAAACTAATGTTCAAAAGAAAGCTTCAAAGTCTGTGCCAGGATATAGTCAGACATACAAGGAGACTCGCTGCCAGGGGTCTCTGTCCGAGGATGTTGCGGGTGTTGTTTCAAGGCATGTGTCAGCCCTATCAAATTCTACATCACTTGGTTCCTGCATAAACAGTGACAAACAAGAGAGAGAAAAAATACCCAAATATGACAAAAAGAATGTTTATCACAAGAATGGGCAGCATAAATTGAGTTCTGAGCAGCACGCAGAGTTATGCTCACCTCACGGCACAGGAAGTGTTGTGCAGGCACAGGGAGGGGTACTACAGTGCTCATCAGAGAACACAAGGCTTCACTGTGATAGCAATCAATCGGGCAGTGCTTCAGAGTTCCCCACAAAGCAAGTACCTTTATCTAATGCTGAACCAAAACAACTGTGTAACTCAGTACGTGAATCTTCTTCAAAAGTTAAAATGACAGAAATGTCATCTGCTCTTGGAGCCCAAGGTAACTTAGCGACGCAGACTGCTGAGCAAGGCAAAGCTAGTTGTAATAGGGAGCACAGTAATGTTCAAACTTGTATTCAGAAGACAGCAATGGTTAGCGAAGCTGAGGCATTGCCTTCAAATACAGCAATAATTTCTAAATTTAAGGATGGAAACTACAGCTTGAGGTAAGACAAAAACTATGATTATCGTACACTGATGCTAATTTCAAGTCTTTATTTCTGTAGGTATAATGAGTCTTATCCTACAATTAGTTATTATTGTACATGTTGAATATTTCCTCACACTCCTATGGTTGATTGTAGGTTTACTGACCAGTTATTATAGATTTAAACACCTGAATTTACCTAAAGGCCACCATCTGAATTTTACCTGAACTTATCAGAGGGCCACTAACACACTGGTGACCTCAACAAGAACACGAAGCCGGCAATTTGTCAAAGGTCCTCCCATTTCTCCTGATTTTTTCCTAGCTGGATTTTAAAATTCAGCAGTTTTTGGCATTAATGGCTTTGGTGTGCAGGCAGTTCCATGGGTTTGTAACCCTGTGGGTGAAAAAGCATCTCCTGTTTTCTGTCCAACATTGTGGCTTGTTTAGCTTGAAACCGTTGCTCCTTGTTTTTATTACATCTGACCTTTTGAAGTAGTTACCTGGATCACTATCCTCCAAATTGTTCAGAATTGTAAAAGTTTTGATGAGATCGAATCGAATCGAATGGTGCTCCAAGGAATCGAGCACCAACTGAAGCTGTAAATGCTAAGACAGTACTGTAAGAGCTCGCTAATCTAGACGCGAGCTCCAGGTTATCTCCTGATAACCTGGACCTTTGGGTGATCCAGCCAAATTGCATTTGATTTTTGTTTGCCAAACTTTGCCAACCTCAAACAGAAATCTGGGTTACCAAGAGTTGGCCAAGCTACTGAATGATATCGGGAGATCTGTACTCACCAGAAGAAACCTTACCAGCTGGCAGTGAAAACTGACCTTGCCAATATACCCTTATCATGGAAATTTATGTTTATTGCATGTGGAAATATAAATTATGTTGGGTGTGGAACAAAAATTGTGAATACTGAATGTTCATTTTTGGACCTTCCCAGTAAGAAATCCTGCTAATCCAGATATCTGGCTAACTCGGGAGAGGGGGTGAACCCCATATGATCAGGATTAGTGAGAGTTATCAGTATATACTAAAGGAATATTGGGGGGGGGATCGTTGACAAGCAACTAGCTTCCTGTTCCTATCATGAGTACTTGAAATGGTGGCCCCAAGTAAATTCAGGTAAAATTCCAATTGTTGGACGCGTAGCCGCCCTCTTCCTTGACCTGTTGACTACTGTAGATATATAACTTTCTAGTGGCCACAGTAATTGCTACAAAGGTGACTGTGCTTGGGTAATTACAGAGTAGAGTACTGTATAAGTTGATATTATGCTGGTAGTGTAGATATTAACAGTGATTCTATAATAATTGTGAATTGATTGAATGTTGCAAATTTTATTTAGTGAAAAAAGGTACCCATAAAAGGCAGGTATGTCACTTGATCATTCACAGGATCTTCCTTCCTCTCTTCTCTATTTGTGTCCCATATGTCTTAGGCTTTTGTGAAATATCAACGGTTTGTTTTTATAAAATATCAACGGTTTGTTTTTATTCCAGCTGCTCTGTCTCGCATGTGACAAAACAAATGGGTCTTTTACAAAGGACTGTTTCAAAGAAATGTGTACAGAAGAAGCCAGTTACGGTGTCAAAACCTTGTGTCTCAACCACACCAGAATCAAGAGACCTGCCCTTGCCTGGTGGTGTGATGATTGATGTTGAAGGATGTTCATATTCTCCACAAGCTTATGAAGTAAGTATTTCTGAGGTCAATATAATAGAAGATATTAGGTCATAATGCTGTGTGTTAGAGAATAGATTTTGCCTTTGTATTGCTTTCAGGGCAAAAATGTATAAAATTATCCTAAAAGAACTATCAACTGTTCAGATGGTCTCTTACATGTCTCGAGGGAACTGGTGGTAACAAGACACAAACAATGTTAGCAGCATATATGCATGTGGAACACTATCAGCATTCAGCCTTACACATGGACCTACGTCAATGACTAGCACCATACATGGAGGTTAGATGACAGAGGAAAAAGTCATTTAGCTTCATAGTAGATGTCAGCTCTGTCTTTGGAAGTTTAGCACTTACCCAAAATATTTCTTGCGGGAAGTTTGTCTTGTGACCCCTCCCCCCCATCCTTTTATGGCTTTGAGGGCAGGCTCGTATTGGGTTGATCTCAAATCTCCATAAAGCTCTCATCTTGTAGAGGGGGTGAGGGAAGGTTGTATGGGCCGTTATCCCTGGTGGGCAGTGAGGATCACGGGTACCAGGCATTAGGTAGTCTAACTGATAATGGCTCAGGGGTGTTACTAAGAGGGCTGCCCAGAAATGGTAATCATGAATATAGCAGGTTATCTTGAGATGATTTCAGGGCTTAGTGTCCCCGCGGCCCGGTCCTCGACCAGGCCTCCACCCACAGGAAACATCCTGTGACAGCTGACTAAATCCCAGGGACCTATTTACTGCTAGGTAACAGGGGCATCAGGGTGAAAGAAACTCTGCCCATTGTTTCTCGCCGGCGCCTGGGATCGAACCCGGGACCACAGGATCACGCGTCCAGTGTTCTGTCAGCTCAGCTACCGGCTCCTGCATTGGTATTATTTGTTATTAGCAGTGGCATTATTTGTCATATACAGTACAGTACATGTAAATATGTTGACGTGTCTACTTAATTCTAAATAAAAAAAATTTAATTGTGTACGGGTTGTGATTTTCTCTGTTAACCTTCATAAAAATTTTAGTTTCTCTAAAGGATTAAGTTTTATAGTTTTAGAAGGACAAGACGTAATACTGAATATTGTTTTGCAGCTTGAAGGCTACGGGGATGAACTGGACGTGGAACATGTGGAGTTTGCAGCAAATGCATGTCAAAGCATTCAAGTTAACCAGATTGTTAGAGATCTGCGCATGATAGCAGAGTTAAACTCGGAACGCCTCAAGAAGATAAAACTTGTGAAAATATTTAATCTTCTGACTAAAAAAGATGACATCCATTCAGTTGGAGCAAATTTAGCCACTATCTTGAAGTCTGTGTCTGGTGAGAGAAATATAAATCTCAATTTTTATACAGCTTTATGTTGTAATTTTCAAATTATAATATTCAATATTATATTGGATTGGTAAAAAATTACAATTTAAGAATTTAAAGAAGAGTGATGTTAATGAATTTTAACAATTGTGATTACTGTTAAAACCTGTTGTCAGCATTAGGTGGGTATCAGTGTTGTTCTGTATGAACTTAAAAGATCCTACAGCAGAAGTGTTCTGACTTGTTGCTCCCTACAAAATTTAGTTATCAAATATTGCTCTATTTGTTTTTCCCAGTGAAAATTTGCCAGTCATTTTACATCCAGGTCTCCCATTATTACTGGCCAGGATTGAACAGTGAAGAAGCGGTAAGCTATCATCACACCCTGCACGGATTCAGGCCCAGATTTTGTGTTTACAAGGCTGGCTTAAATATGAGTAACTATGGGGGGGAGTGTGAGATCTATCTCATCATGCCATCACCTAACCTTTCATACCTGGCATGCTTATTACCCCTCTTATAGCTCTGTCTTATTTTGTCTTTTATGTTGACAATGGAAGTGACTTTGGCAATTTCTTTTTATATTTTGCATGCCAACCACTCATACAGAGTATAAGAATTTCCTTACATCTCACACTCAACTTTATATACCTGATACAGCTTCCCCGCATGTCCTTTTAATCTTCCACCTTTCAGGTTATATTGGTTGCCCGTATCCACCTCATCTATTCCCCTCAGTACAGTGGTACCTTGGTTTACGACTGCTCTAGAATACAATTTTTTGGGTATTTGATACCAAATTCATCGTAAAATTTGAAATGGTGTACAACGTTTGCCTTGGAACACGATTCGTCTGTTGATACTTGTATGGGTGGAGCGAGCTCGGGGTTCTGTTGGGAGCAGGCGAGGCACGCTCAGTGTTTACCAGTGTCTTCTGCCTAGAGTGATGACCGCACTTGAATACTTTGTAAAGAATTTCATTGTTTTTCTGCTTTTTTATTTTTTGAACATAAAAGTTATTATTATATATCATGCCATGGATCCCAAGAAAGACAAGTGGTAAAGTTCAACCCAAGAAAATAGTTATGAGGATGACGATAGAGGATAAACAAAGAGATGTGATGTCTCACCACAGACAAATGTTAAGATGTAGGGAAAAACAAGTGTCTGCTGTATACAGTATAAAGGTTCTTAGTGAGACAAGGAAACAGTGAGCCACAGCCAGGTCCTAGTGGTATGCCTGCAAAAGTAGGAGAGAGAGTACCTCAGAAATGTCATCACTGCCTGATGTTATAATAGAATGGGACTTCCCTTCCAAGCACTAACACCTCTGTTGACTAAACCACATATTAGAAAGTGAAGGGACGACGATGTTTCGGTCCGTCCTGGACCATTCTCAAGTCGATTGTCGACTTGACTTGAGAAGGACTTGACACAATCGATTTGAGAATGGTCCAGGACGGACCGAAACATCGTTGTCCCTTCACTTTCTAGTGTGTGGTCTGGTCAACATTTTTCAGCCACGTTATTGTGACTCATCGTCTGCACTAACACCTCTCCTCCCTTCTCCTCCTCCTCACCGTCTTCCATACGCCAACAAGAGGTCTCAATAAAGGTAAGGTACCTGTACAGTATAGCAAAAAATATGAGTAGTATTCTGTATAAAATTTAATTTTAAGTTAATATTTTTGGGTGTGTGGAATGGATTAATTAAATTTACATTATTTCTCATGGGAAAATTCATTTTGGTTTACAATTTTTTGGTGTACGATGCATCTCTTGGAATGGATTTAAATTGTGAATGAAGGTACCACTGTATCTTGTATGTTATGATCATATCACCATGTTTCTTCAGTAAGAAGGTAAGGTTTATTTCCCTTATCTTGTCCTCATAGCTGAACCCTCTCAAATCTATTAAGAGTCTAATTGTGGGAACCGACCTGTGAGATTTATATTTATTTAATTTATATGAATTTATATAGAATTTATATTTACGTTAATTTATATACTTCGATAGCAATTTGTATAATGTTAAGTGGACTGTATTTCTGCAATAATCTCTTAATCTCACAAATCGATCCTCTACACATTAGGGGGGGTTTATATTACACATATGCAGCCAATCAAATTACAGTAATAGCTACATACATTGATGAGGTTCCTTCTCTTATAGTACAGCAGGTTAGTCCACCAGGTATAACTAGAGTGTAGACACCAAATTATCCTCTTTGAGGTAGCTTCTATCATCCAGTAACTGGTGCACATAATCTTGCATCCTCGTCTTGACCTGTCAAAAGTGCGCTAGCTGTGAAGCCAGAATCCTATATATGACAAGCTATATCAGAGAAAACACTATACAGTACATGGAACATTAAAGACCTGGCTTAATTACCTTTAGTATGAGGCGATTTCGCGTTCTAACCGGCTAACCCTATATCCTGACATTAATGGCCATAAATGAATGATAAACGGGTTTCGGATAGACACTTAACTTGTATTTGTAGACAGCGTGTTGACAATGGTACACCTTTGGGTTCCATAACACTACGTCCAAGTAAATTTAACAGGAGCCGAATTTGCTCCCGTGTGAGCCTCTGGTCTCAATAAACAACAATGGCCGCCCTCCTCCTCACTCTGACGCCTGGCTTACATTGTCCAGATTTCGGAACGTGATAGAAGGGTCACATTTACTCTACTTTAATATTGATAATTAAGTTAATTTATATAAGATGTTTTTATGATGGTAAAGTCCAAAGACTAATGTATTTAAGAATAATTCCCAGCAGAATAGCTGGTGAATTATAATGGTATGTGGTGATGATATCCCGTTTTCTTTAGATGGTAATTCCACTACAAGTTACGTTTTCTATGGGTTAACTTGCTTATACAACAGCAATTATCTGTATGATATATTAAATGGTGTCGGATTTTCCGACATAATTCCCCAGGGGGCTGCTCACGGGTCGAAGTCCTCTTTAGAACAGACGAACACCGATACTCCTCCTTCGAATTATTTGATTAATTTGATGTTAGTAGTTAGTAATCACACATTTGTGTGTCTGTTCGTACAGGACGGATGTCCCGTACTAGAGTTGCAGGGATTAGAAGTCTAATGCGATTTCATTTCCCTGTCAACTCTTGAAAGGCTAATATTCAAGCCTTATTACATATTATTTAACCCAGAAGACTGGATGTGATCAAGTACTACAGTCAAGTATGATTCAGGGACTGCAGTGAGATCAGTGACATTAGATATAACTTGAAGTTTCTTCAGGTAACTGGTCACTGATATATAAACACTGAGGCCCATGGAATACATCTTGATTAAATAATAAATGTATCAAATCAGTCATCAGATTTATTAGGGTTTAATTTAGTTAATTGATTCAGAAGATTGAATAGCTCATCATTAAAGTAAAGTATGGTTCTGAGACTGCAGTGGGTTCAGTGACATTGGTCGCAGTGACTTGTAGCTGTTTTAGGCTACTGTTCACTGATTTGCCACTGAGGCCTCATGAACTCCTCTTCAGCTTTAAATGATGATACTAACATCAACCTCTGTTGGTATAGTCAGCTGTAATCTCCTTAGTATAATGCTACTGGAGAAATATAATCAGCTGACAAATTTAGTTTTCTATTGGTATTGTTTATCTGCAGGCATAGGTCTCCTCAGGCTTGATACTGGGCCTGAGAGTAATTTACCTCCTGCAGAGTTTAACATGGTTATACCCTGATATTTAGTAGGGCTACCGATGAATTGATGGTAGTAGTCTGTCCCCACAAGGACCGCTATTTGGCATTTGATTTGCTCAAATTTACCTGCAGCTGCTTGATAATAGCTTTCCAGGTCAGCATAATCAACTTGAGATTGTTGTGACAAATCTTCACATTTCTTGATCTGTCTTGTTAAGTGGCCTTTAAGACCTGCAAGGGTTCTTTTCATTCTCCCTGCATTATCCATACTGGCTAGTTGGTGAAGCCTTGTGGGACTTGTACTTGGGCTGCTCATAATACTGAACAAACACTAATGGTAGCCTAGGGTAAATTCTGCACTCACTAGGCAATAATCCTACCTCTACTAGAGGTTAGCACTTAAAATTAATACACATTATATATATACAATCATACACACTAATGATTTGAGTGATAAACCAGTGTCACTGGAAGTACCTTTAGGTTAGCTCTTCTATATCACCCCAGGATGGTAGAGACACTAATTAATCACTCAAAGGTGTAATGATCATAAGTAATTATTATATATACACAACTCAATTCGAGTTGATAAAAATTACACCCAAAATAGGGTCTGGACCATTCATTAATGGTGTTAGGTTGTTCAATATAGTACAACTGACTATGGTAATAATGGGACTAGGATGAACGATAATAGTTCAACTAGTCAATGGTTAATATCCTACCCTGTTGTGGGTTGGCAATTAGTAAATATTATACTGTGATCACTAGTGCAATATATATTAAATAATTCTCTATCTTGGAGAAATAATATACACAATTATTGATAATAGCCTCTTAATTAGCCTCTATGAAACTTCTAATATTATCTAGAAGTATTAAATGTTATTAGTGACCTCGCGAAATAAAGTCCACAAAATTCGTGGATAATCTCTCGCGAAATGTAACACCACGAAATCCGTGAACAATCTCGCGAAGACACAGTCACTAATTTGGTTGGTTTCTATATTAGCGCTGTCATTTCACGAAATAACACGCCACCAAATATCTGTGGGTGTGCATGAAACCGCTGATGAGGCAGATCTGAACTTAGCGGGGCTCGTGAACTCGCACGAGGCAACGCCGCCGTCATGACTGCTGGCTTTGTTTAAATCACACTGCACTAGATATTTAATGAATCCACTGGTTAACTGGTTCATCCGGTACTAAGATGACCAAATGTGGGTTCATAGGATCAAATAATCCGTCATCCGGTTCGAAGATGACCAAATAATGTGGGAACCGACCTGTGAGATTTATATTTATTTAATTTATATGAATTTATATAGAATTTATATTTACGTTAATTTATATACTTCGATAGCAATTTGTATAATGTTAAGTGGACTGTATTTCTGCAATAATCTCTTAATCTCACAAATCGATCCTCTACACATTAGGGGGGGTTTATATTACACATATGCAGCCAATCAAATTACAGTAATAGCTACATACATTGATGAGGTTCCTTCTCTTATAGTACAGCAGGTTAGTCCACCAGGTATAACTAGAGTGTAGACACCAAATTATCCTCTTTGAGGTAGCTTCTATCATCCAGTAACTGGTGCACATAATCTTGCATCCTCGTCTTGACCTGTCAAAAGTGCGCTAGCTGTGAAGCCAGAATCCTATATATGACAAGCTATATCAGAGAAAACACTATACAGTACATGGAACATTAAAGACCTGGCTTAATTACCTTTAGTATGAGGCGATTTCGCGTTCTAACCGGCTAACCCTATATCCTGACATTAATGGCCATAAATGAATGATAAACGGGTTTCGGATAGACACTTAACTTGTATTTGTAGACAGCGTGTTGACAATGGTACACCTTTGGGTTCCATAACACTACGTCCAAGTAAATTTAACAGGAGCCGAATTTGCTCCCGTGTGAGCCTCTGGTCTCAATAAACAACAATGGCCGCCCTCCTCCTCACTCTGACGCCTGGCTTACATTGTCCAGATTTCGGAACGTGATAGAAGGGTCACATTTACTCTACTTTAATATTGATAATTAAGTTAATTTATATAAGATGTTTTTATGATGGTAAAGTCCAAAGACTAATGTATTTAAGAATAATTCCCAGCAGAATAGCTGGTGAATTATAATGGTATGTGGTGATGATATCCCGTTTTCTTTAGATGGTAATTCCACTACAAGTTACGTTTTCTATGGGTTAACTTGCTTATACAACAGCAATTATCTGTATGATATATTAAATGGTGTCGGATTTTCCGACACTAATTGCAAACCTCTGTACTTAAGTTTGCTTCTGTGCTTCATGAGGTGCGGATTCTATTCTAGTGTCACATATAGTATTCCAGTACTGTAATAGACATTAAAGCCTCTTTGTTTATACAGTATTTATAAAAGTTTGAATCAAAATTAATTGTTTTTATGTTTACCAACTTCCCATATACTGCTGATGTTATCCTATTCATTTGAGCTTTTGGTGTTAGTGTAGAGATTATATCTACTTCCAAGCCTTTTTCTTATATTTTTATGTACAGTAGTTGCCTTTTCCATGTGGTTTCTGTAGGTCTCCTGTCTGTTTATCATCATTATCTAACATTTGTTTAGATTGAATTTCAACAAGCATTTATCTACCACTTCTGAAGTTTGTCAAGGTCTTCCTTCAGCACTTAACTTTCTCAGTTCTCACCTCATTAGCCTTGCATCATTTGTTTGACCTTTAACATAAATTAAGAAGAGCCCTGAGGGATCCCACTTTGGAGGGCATAGCATGGAGGGCTATGCCCACGTGTCATTCGGAGGAAGGGAGCAAGGGTATATGCATACTTGACTGCCAACCCACCCATCCAAACCCATTCACCTACTCACCCACACATCGATCCCAACCTATTCACCTACCCACTCACAAACTCACCTGCCTCAACCAATACCTACCTCCTCTAATCCCATCTTGCCTTTCCTCCCACACATCCAACCAACCACCCACTCACCTGCCCTGTCTAATTCCCACCTTCCCTAATGCATGCACAACATTCCATCTTTCTGCCCTCTCACCCCGATACCCATGGAAGCATTAAACCAGTATGCCTTGGTGACCCTTGAAGGAATCATCATGGGGATGATTATTTTCTTTGGAATTACACTTGCACATTTTGCTTGTCACCATAAATGAAGGTACCACTGTATCTTGTATGTTATGATCATATCCCCATGCTTCTTCAGTAAGAAGGTAAGGTTTATTTCCCTTATCTTGTCCTCATAGCTGAACCCTCTCAAATCTATTAAGAGTCTAATTACACACATCTTGCTTGCTAAGGCAGTCCTCAACCATTCCATACTGAAAAGGAAGGATTCATGATTTGAATTATATTTTCAGGTAAGAGAAGTCGGGTGTTTACACCAGCCGAGGAGGAGTTGATTGGGCGGTTGGGTGTCTCACTTATGGTGAAGTGTATCGAGCAGTGCTACCCTGACCAAGCACTGTGTGTCATCCAAAGTCTACATCACCACAAGATTTCTTTCTATAGTTGCATGGTAGGTAAATATTTTTTTTGTTTCTGATAGAAAACATTTCTGAGAGAAGGGGAAAGGGGAGGAGACACTGAGGGGATAGGGACAAAGGGGTCAAGGGAAAGATAGGGTGAAGACTGGGAAGGGAAAGGAAGAGACCCTGTCACTCCAATATGTTGCAGTTTTCAGAACCTCTTATGTGGGATTCTGTCAAAAGCCTTTTTTTAAATCCAGATAAATGCAGTCAACCCAACCATTTCTTTCCTGTTTAATCTCTGTGGCTCTATCATAGAAACTCCTGTTAAATCTCTGTGGCTCTATCATAGAAATTAAGTAGATTAGGATCTTCCAGACATAGGAATCTGGAGGACCCCGGGATCTCCCAGATCGAAACCCATCCCGTCTGTCGGTTATTATATCATTTCTCTCCAGATGTTCTACCCATTTGGTACCATCCAACATGGTAACTATAGTGCAGGGAACTAACTGGTGTTATGCTATCATATAAACTAATTAGATATAGCATTAATTATTTACATGTCCCAGGGGCAGCTGGCAATTGTGTGTAACTTCCCGCCATGTGCACAATGTTTTAAGTTCATGTTCCGTGTCATTTTCACTTTGCTGTTAAATGTGTGCATCCACCTTGAATAATTTCCAGTGTAAAGTACAGATGTGGACTAGAGCCAAGTAAGAACACTCTTCAAGTGTACAAGATTAAGGTACTGGTGCTAATATATTGGAGCTTTAGAGTATACTTGTTTGTTGATTAAGTCCAAGGTTTGTGGGACTAGTAATCTTTTGTAAAGTCCTTGTTCAATAGTGTTTATGGCTACGCTCCAGATATATTTTGTACCTCCAAGCTTAGGTCTATAGAAATATTGTACATCCTTGTGTAATATCAGAAGCTGTTATTTTCAAAAGCCTTTTTACCTTATATAAATGTCTTTAACTTGCAGTATAAAATATGAGCTCTTGTATAAGGTATGTCCTGAAAAACCTGGTATAACACTGAATACAGTATAGCAGTCCTCTGATGAGAGCTTACTAGTTTCCATAGAGATTGCTACATTTATCCCCTTCTTTAGTAAGAACAAGTAGAAACACGTTCGTGCCCTTACTAGAAGAGCTAACGTCTAGTATATGTAACGATTATAATTACACTTCTTTATCCTGAAATTGTCTATGTACACAAAGTTGGGATTAACAAATTCACCGCTCACTTTCTGTCCAAAAATCGGTCAATACTAAATTGTTACTTGTATATAACTTATCCCCCAAAATTTCTTTCATACAGCCGATCAATAAAGAGAATCCTCCATCGGAACACAAATTAGCAGTTATGGCTCTGGATGTCCTTCATCAGATGCAGAACTTGAAGCTGTTTACTGACATTCTGGAAGGTAAATGTTCTACCCTCTCACTTTAAATAATGCATGCTGTAACATATCTAGTGGAAACCCATATAAACAAAACCCAATCCAGTGGACTGGGATGAAATGGAAGGTTTGAGTGCCCCATGGCCTGTGGCCAGTAAGAGCACGGCACAACACATTACTGAGCTGTGGCCAGTAAAGGGAATTTAATTCTGCTGTGCTCTCATCTTCCGCCCCCTTCCCAGCTTCCCGAGTAGGAAGGGCACTTACAATCTGTTAGACCCACCATTATTGTAATGAGAAAGAAAATACTGTACTAATACATTAATGATTTATATTGTAGTCTTTAATCTTTTACTGAAAGTCAATAAAGCTTGTGTTATAAGGTCATTGATTTGTTACTTCCAATTTTAACTATATTAGTAATTAACAAGAATTTCATCATCAGCTGTTTGTCAACTATTACTTGGTGTCAAAATTATTGCTTTATTTTTAACTAATTGTGTTTGCATTTCTCTGCATGCAGAAATATACTGGTCTGGAGGAACAGAGGATGTTAAATTACGTCTGAATATGCTCTCAAAAGTCCTAGGCACCTGTTTCCATTCGTTAGTGAATGGTAGTGCCAGCATCAGTAAAGAAACTTTATGGTTCATTATCAAGATCTTGGCATCTTTAGTAAAGTATTACCAGCATGACGTGCAGACCATCAGTGGTGAATATAACAACATCATGGGTAAGTTGACTTACTCTCTTATAGTAACTGCAGAAGTGTATAACAACATCATGGGTAAGTTGACTTACTCTCTTATAGTAACTACAGAAGTGTATAACAATATCATGGGTAAGTTGACTTACTCTCTTATAGTAACTACAGAAGTGTATAACAATATCATGGGTAAGTTGACTTACTCTCTTATAGTAACTACAGAAGTGTATAACAATATCATGGGTAAGTTGACTTACTCTCTTATAGTAACTACAGAAGTGTATAACAATATCATGGGTAAGTTGACTTACTCTCTTATAGTAACTACAGAAGTGTATAACAACATCATGGGTAAGTTGACTTACTCTCTTATAGTAACTACAGAAGTGTATAACAACATCATGCGTAAGTTGACTTACTCTCTTATAGTAACTACAGAAGTGTATAAGGTAGCATGCTAGCACCTCTCCTATTTCTTATATACACCAAAATGACTTACTAAAAGTATCTGATCTTAAGGGCCCTTTTCTACTTTTAAGGACTGGACTATTAATTCTCCTTTCATAGCAAAGGAAAGAGTAGATTTTTAGCTACATTTTAATATTTATTTGAAAGAAATCAACCATCTCTTAAGTATATAATTTTGAGAGGCCTTTCTATAGTTCCCTGGTGCTACAGCCTGGTACTGGTCAAGACAGGAGTCACACAAGGCCTGATGAATCACAAATGCTTACCAGGGACCAGTGTGTATGCTGTGTACCCAGCGTTCTCCGGCCCTTGTGCCCAGCGTTCTCTGGTGCTTGTGCCCGACTGTCTCTGGTGCTTGTGCCCGACTGTCTCTGGTGCTTGTGCCCGACTGTCTCTGGTGCTTGTGCCCGACTGTCTCTGGTGCTTGTGCTCGACTGTCTCTGGTGCTTGTGCCCGACTGTCTCTGGTGCTTGTGCCCGACTGTCTCTGGTGCTTGTGCCCGACTGTCTCTGGTGCTTGTGCTCGACGGTCTCTGATGCTTGTGCCCGACAGTCTCTGGTGCTTGTGCCTGACAGTCTCTGGTGCTTGTGCCTGACAGTCTCTGGTGCTTGTGCCCGACTGTCTCTGGTGCTTGTGCCCGACGGTCTCTGATGCTTGTGCCCGACAGTCTCTGGTGCTTGTGCCTGACAGTCTCTGGTGCTTGTGCCTGACAGTCTCTGGTGCTTGTGCCTGACAGTCTCTGGTGCTTGTGCCTGACAGTCTCTGGTGCTTGTGCCCGACAGTCTCTGGTGCTTGTGCCCGACAGTCTCTGGTGCTTGTGCCTGACAGTCTCTGGTGCTTGTGCCTGACAGTCTCTGGTGCTTGTGCCCGACAGTCTCTGGCCTTTGTACCCGATGATCTCTGGCCCACGTGCCCAGTGGTCTCTGGCCCACGTGCCCAGTGGTCTCTGGCCCTGTGCCTGGCGGTCTCTGGTGCCTGTGCCCGACGGTCTCTGTTCCGCGTACCTGACATTCTCTGGTCCACTTGCCCAGCGTTCTCTGGTGCCTGTGCCCGACTGTTCTCCAGAATGTGTTGCCCAGCCATGTTTCTGGGCTGTCACTGGGCTAAGTTTTTGGGCTTTGTTGCCCAGCTGAGCTCTGGGCTGTTGACACCTGGCTGTGTACCTGGACTTTGTTGCTGCTGGAGGTTGTACAGTTTCAGTCTGTAGCTGAAAGAATGAGCATTGAAGACTTCGAGAGCAGTTCAGGGTGACAGCAAAAGTTTACCAGGCATCACAACATAGCACTATAATCATATTTTGTTTTGCCTTTGAGTTACAAAATGGCAAACAATTTTTTCATATTATATTTGCATATTTATTATTTATATGCAAAAATACTCATTATTTTTATATTGTATCTTAACATATTAAAACATATAGGGTATCGTTTGCTATAAGAAAAATCTAGACTAATTGGTCATTAATAGCCCCCAAAAAATCACAACTACAATGGTGCCTCGGTTAACGAATTTAATTCATTCCGGCACCGAGCTCGTCATGTGAAACACTCGTCTTGTGAAACAACAACACTACTGTCGTCGGAGGCATCCGAGAACCAACAGGAACGCTAGGAAGCACCACGTGGTTTGCTCGTTAACCGAGCGGAAGCTCATCAATCGAGACAAATTTTCTGCGAGTCACTCACTCATTACCTGAAATGCACGTAGATGGAGCCGCTCGTCACCCAAGGTTCCACTGTCAGAAATCTGAATGGTACCTAAGTTTTGATCAGGTTTAGATAGATAGGATTTAAATTTTTCAGGGTATGCTATGTATTGATTTTATTTCTACTGTGTACATTAAGAAGACAAATCATTACTAAAGTTTCTTAATGTAAATTATAAGAAATGTTTGGCACTTTTTGATTTGGAAAGGGTTTTGCACTAAATTTATTTTCAATGAAAGAAATACGCATAATATACACTCACAAATAATTGTGTTGAACATCTTAACTGTGTGTTCCAGATCTACCTGAGTTCCTTAGGAAAGCTTGGGAGTATTCACAAGGTTGTGAGGATCAGGAAGCAAATTCCGAGCTGTATCGTGTTATCTGCTCTTCACTGGACTTTGGTGTTGACCTTTCTCATGAGATCACTCATAATTTGAAGCATTTTAGAACTGAGGTAAGTAGACTATGCTGGATAAGTGTTTACCTTCTTATATATATAATTGCAAAAGTTGTGTAGACGTTATAATACTGTATAAATTTTTAAATATTATTTATGCAAAATGTTGCAAGTGAAAGGATTAGTGATATGTAGTAATTTATCTGCCTTAGTGTGTCTGGGTGAAATGGGTGAAATGCCATTTCTTCAGCAATGTTTAACACTACAGGATGTTTGTATCTGATCACAATGACCACTAAAAGATTATCTGCGAGGGCTTTATCTCAGCGGCTCCCCAACCTAGCTGCTTGGTTAGCTCCAGACCAATCATGCCCCACCAGGCCCTCGCCAGGCCCTCGCCAGGCCCTCGAGTCATAAACACCTAAAGGAGATGAGAAGCAAAATCTGGTCCCTCATTAGAGGCAAAAGGAATCTGGGAATATTAGATGGACCAGAAAAGTAGTGCCACAAAACAAGCAACTATGTGAATAAATATGGCAATCCTGATGACTATATACACACACTTGAGCCAGTTCCACCAGTAGTTATATGCCTCCACCACCAGATTGCAGCTCTGGGCTCCATAGTTACCTTAGCTGTGAGTCTGAAGTGACATTGGTCAGAGCTCTTTATAGCCAAAGCTCCTTTCTGGCTTGTTTCAAATGACTTGACTTGTTTACTTGTCTATTTGGGCTGGCAGCCCAAGTAGAAGCCCTGGCTTCTGAGGACGGTCTTTTTTTATGTTTATCAGTGTAGCTGTGTTTGTGTGTACTTGTGCATTTGTTGCATGGCTGCCTTTCTTAACCCTGGGACCATCTTTCATGCCGTTGAATAGGCTAGCCAAATCTGCCAGTTCTGTTTCTTAAAAGAAAAAAAAAAACCAGCCCCTCTTGCAAGGCTATTGAGTCAATTTGAAGAACTAATGAGGAATTCATCACAGAAATAATGCATTGAATGTAATGAAGTGCCCTTTTCTGGTGGGCTGCCAGTAGCTCCCGGTCCTTGCTTTCATTCCCTTCTTCCCCGTTGGATTATGAGATTTTACACCGGCAGCTTCAAAGTGAGGGGCATGGGTGACCTGAGCTGCCATTTAGTGCCAGTTAGGCAGATCACTTCAGATATTTACCCACTGGCAATTATTATTTGCCTTGTTTACCAGGATACATAATTATTGAAGTCCTTACTTTGTTGCATCTATGCTTTTTGGTGAATTTTCCCCAGTTTTCTTGTATTTCTCTAATTCCTTGCTTCCTTTCCTCTGTCCTATCCCAAATCCCCTTCCAAATGCTATACAGTTGTAATGGCTTAGCACTTTCTCCTGATAATTACCTTTCCTTGCCTAGTAGTGAGGGAGACAGTTCGTGGGTGACGGTAGGCAACGAAAGGGTTCTCGGAGGCCCGGTGTGTTGGGCCAAGGTGCGGTGGTACCGGAGCAAAGAAAAGAGCAGCTACTGGGGATCCACCAGAAAACATAGTCATTATATTCACTGCTTGATTTGTCGTGCTGATTAGGACCTACCCTTCAAGTATATTATATGTATAAATTGAGATCTATATTCTTTCCAGAAAGTATGTTATCTGCAATTTGAATGTATTAAATGTAAATTAACATTCTTCAGGTGACCTATCAAATGAGCAAATCAGCAAGATACAGTGAAAAAATATCATCGCCTCAACAGAAAATGTCGAGCAACGCTCATTACAAAGGATGTGGTAAAACAGGCCGTGAGGCACACCCTGATGTGTCGTATTGCATTAACGATTCGGAATCCAGAAACATAATGAACTCCAGCAGTGGACCAGGTGGCAGTACAAGTGTTAATACATGCTACCAGGACTTAAGACAGGCAGGAAGCATTACAAGAAGTGCTAGAGGTGCACATTCTTATTCAATACAAGTTACAGTCAAAGGAGATGAAGCCATAAGTAACACAAATAATACAATGGAGTCCAACAGTGAAACCCATCGTACTACCGAGCTTATGGGTGGCAACAGAGGAAGAGCTGAGTCAAGGCGTTTCACCACAAGAAATAAGAGACGAAAGAAACTGTGGAGACGACCACTTATGCGCACTCAAATCACCGAATGGTAACCTTATATGAGTTAGTAAGGTGCACTCAAGGTGAGGCAAATGTAGCTATGTAAGCAGAAGGTAACCACAAACAGTAATAGCCACTTGCTCAGTAAACGTGTGAATATATCTTTGGCTACAAACTTAACATACAAGAATAATTAAATATACAGGTGTAGTCAAACATAAATACTTTGTATGTTTTACCACATAAAAGACATTTTCAGTTAAATTTCTTATGTATGATACTGTACCTAGTGATTTTTATATGTTTTGTGTTAATACTGTTATTATTACTAACCAATTATTTTAATGCATTCCTCCATAGATGCAAGTTATATACATTAAATCAAATGGTTCCCAACATTTTGGGAATGGCCCTATTTTTTAATGCTCAAAACACCACCAATGGGGGGTGGGGGTCGTGACCCAACAGTTGGGAACCAAAATATTGAATGATTACGAACACTTCATCCCCAAACACCCTTAACAATGCACCCCCTCCCCCCTACCCCCACAAAATAACTGCTAAAAATCATCATACATCAAAACATGTTGATGTAAAAAAAAAAGTACAGCACAATATAATTGCTACAATTCACATTAAAATTGTAAAATTTAATCATTTATTTTGATATTTCACCATCTTGTGAGTCTCTGCATTCACTTTTTATTGTTATACATGCTGTTGAAGGTATCTTTATTATTGCTTGGTGGATAGTTTGTGGTGTTTAAACACCTGCCAGGGGGACCACGGTGGATAGTTTGTGGTGTTTAAACACCTGCCAGGGGGACCACGGTGGATAGTTTGTGGTGTTTAATCACCTGCCAGGGGGACCATGGTGGATAGTTTGTGGTGTTTAAACACCTCCCAGGGGACCAAGGTGGATAGTTTGTGGTGTTTAAACACCTGCCAGGGGGACCACGGTGGATAGTTTGTGGTGTTTAAACACCTCCCAGGGGACCAAGGTGGATAGTTTGTGGTGTTTAAACACCTGCCAGGGGGACCACGGTGGGCGCTACCACCACCCATGCACTCATTCCATTACCAACATGCACATTTATGTAATCTTAAATTTAACTGAATTTTGTTAAATATAAAACTTATGTCATGATCATATATTTGTTTAGGAGTTGGCTGGGATATGCAGTGATATTATTTTAATGAAATACAGAACAGTATTCCCAAACTGTAATTATAGTTTGACAAAGTATTTTTGTTTTACAAATAACTCATGATGTTAAACAATTTTGGGATAAAAGTCTTAGGTTGGAAATATTTCATATTTAATATTCTCTATCATTATTTGTTTTTAAATTTCAGAAAGTGTCATTTAGGAAGTTATACAAAATTTCAGTGTTTACCTTAAGTAAATAAAATTGCCCCATAAATTTTCTTTCAGTTAAATACCAATCTACATCTCATGATTATTGTACCAATGAAGGCACCTCTAATAAATACTATGATAAATAGGTATCTTCTAGAGGTTATCTTGAGATGATTTCGGGGCTTTAGTGTCCCCGCGGCCCGGTCCTCGACCAGGCCTCCACCCCCAGGAAGCAGCCCGTGACAGCTGACTAACACCCAGGTACCTATTTTACTGCTAGGTAACAGGGGCATAGGGTGAAAGAAACTTTGCCCATTGTTTCTCGCCGGCGCCTGGGATCGAACCCAGGACCACAGGATCACAAGTCCAGCGTGCTGTTCGCTTGACTCCAATGGTATGGAAATTATTTTGATGCCAAATTTTCAGATACACTTTCACGCATGTGTTGATCCTTCCATGGGGCAGTGTGAAGTGCCGGCATCACAGATCACTCACACAGCCGAGATAAACTTCCCACAAATGCTCAAGCTCCCTCTGTAATATGCTGACAACCACCACAGGAATTTTAATCTGCATTTTACTTTGAGGAAGAAAATGTCGTCCTTAAGTTTTATTTGTCTGGATTCTCTAATATAAAATAGTCACCAGGGGCCAGATTCACGAGCAGTTACGCAAGTACTTACGAACGTGTCCATCTTTCCTCAATCTTTGACGGCTTGGGTTACATTTATTAAACAGTTTACAAGCATGAAAACTTGCCAATCACCTGTTGTTATTGTTATAAACAGCCTCCTGGTGCTTCCGAGCTCATTAACTGTTTAATAATTGTAAACAAAGCCGCCAAAGATTGAGGAAAGATGTACAGGTTCTTAAATGCTTGCATAACTGCTTCGTGAATCTGGCCCCAGATCTACAATAAGCATTGACCGCCACAATTTACACAGGAAAATGTTATTACTCGGCTCCCAAAAGTAATTTTTTGCGACATTAAGGATGGGAGTTTGAAGAGTCAATTGTATTGTGTTAATCTGTATTATATCGTTTTATTTTTTTTTTTAATTAAAGAATGCTTCATTTAAATCCAAACTGTTTCTCTTATTTTTGTTCTATATAATCAAGTCATATTGTTTGCTATATTGTAACATTATATACTTTGACTATATTGCATAGTCAACGTACAAGGTTTGCAAGTTTAATTTTTTGAGGTGACACTTGATGCTTATGGCACCAGGAAGTGCTTGTGACTTGGTTGCTAATGTGTGTGTGTGTGTTTTTTACACTTTACTCCGACTCATAAGTGTTGGTGGTGCCCTGCACCTTTTGTCAAGGGTTTGCTCAAGTCATGTTAAGTGATACTTTCCCTTTTCTGTGGTTTATACACCCTCTCGCTTCCACACATTGACAATTCATTATGTTCGACAGCTGCCGTTTCTCATGCACATCGGCTCATTTCGGTTGGATTGAACAACTACTTTCCGATGATTTCAGGGCTCATTGTCCCCACAGCCCGGTCCCTGACCAGGCCTCCCAGTTGCTGGACTAGTTCACATGCATCCAAGAGATTGTTTACTTCATTCTTTTGTTAATTAGTATGGATGGATTCTTTGTTCAATTCAGGGGTGGACTGCTACAGTGCAACTTTTGTTATAAGGTTGACCCCATCACTCTGCCTGTTGGGTACAGAAGTTCTATTACCCACAGATGTGCAACTTTGTCACAGCCAGACCTATGTATTGGCCGAACTGTTGTCTCGGGCAGCTGCTTATCAGGTTGCTTTGTGTACACACACCTTCCACTTCAAGCTTTTTTGTTGACATAGAAGGAATGGGAATTTTTTCGTTCTCCAAGGGCTTTGATGTTATGTTTCTTACAACTTAAGTCTAATTTTTGGCCTTCCACTGTATGTTATCCTGATTTGGCTGGTGATCTGCCTTCACATACGACCTTTGAGACGACACTGTTATAGGTATCAAGGCCCCACAATCACCAGCAACCCCAAGTCCTTGCCCTAAAATCCTCTGGAAAAACAGTGATTTGGTATACTCCCTTTTCAAGCTCTAAAATGGGTGGGGGGAAAGCCATGGTGGTTCCACTAGTAGAGGCTGAGGTAAACAAACTTGAAAATAATTGGGAAACATATCCACAGAACAAAGCTTCACCCAGAACAAAAGCATAGTCTAGTACAGGGATGGCCAGCAGTGACATAACACAGGATAACACCCTGGAAGACTGCAGGAACATTGCCGGGCTATGAACTGGGCGGTGATACATGTACATCACAGAGCTAACAAAGTAGACCTCCTTGAAGCAAGATAACTAATTTTCCTAAAATTGTACTGGACAGATTCAGGATCGGTGTATAGACACCCAAAGTCTTGTTACATTGACAAGAAAAGTTGTATTTGGCCTAGCGCCATAAAGCATTCATTCAATGCCACTTTAGCATAAACCCGGAAAACTGCAGAACTTTGTCTTCCAATGAGTGAGAGGAAGTACAACGTACAACAATGGCACAGTACAACTCTGCCAGGCCAGGGCGGTAATAGTGTGTAGTGATTGAAGCCGAGGGTGTGAAGAGAGAGAGGTAAAACCAAGCAATAAAACATGATTCCTTTAATAATTTAGACACTTGAACAATTAATTGACAACCAGATCATAATTCTTCCGTTGCATTTAAACGTCTCTCAAACAGAACTTTGCTTAACATCACCGTTTCTCAATGCATTACATGGAAAAGAAATAAAGGTCTTTACAAATGTATATATATTTATTTTATAATGTGATTAGTGTCAGCTGTTCTATCATGACAGCTAAAAACTGAATAATTCATCGGTGACTGTCCGAACATTATTTTGTATCTTTGCACCTTTCAGTGAAGTATACATTACATAATAATGTAAGTTTGAGGAAATGCTGCAGCCACAACCCCATTTATAACTAGTTATATACATGAAACTAAAAGGTTAAGCAATCAATAGGCTAATACTTTACCCTCACCATACAAACTATACACCGGTTACCCTTCATTGTTGGAAATCAAAATTTAATAAAATAAGTACCCGAAATCTTATATCAAACAAGTATATTTATGCATTTAAATGGAGCAACAAAGTAAATAATAAATTAAGATAAACAATGATTACAAATATCAACCAGCATTAACCTTTTAGGTAAACTAAAATTATTTTGAACCATGAAAATTCATTTATGCAGTACAGTCTTGGTTAACAGATATACAAGAATAAAGATGTCCTCTGGAATGTGCAGTATACCATTGTGGTAGGAGCAGTGTGCTTCATGGCACCTTGAAAATATTATGCTTAAGTACCCTGGCACCTTGAAAGTTATCAATAAATCATTAGGAGGCCCAAAATTTATTTTACAGCTTTCAGCTTAGTCAGCAAAGCACTGTAGTTTGGTCAGAGGCTCGGCTGTGGTAAGTCAGCCTCTTTCCCCACCAAGAGTTTGTACTTGTTATATGGTAATAATGTAGGTCTCCCAATACTTAAATCCAGCATTGAATGCAAGGAAATTCTTATTTCTGGTGGGTCACTAGGTAGCTCCCAGCTACTTCAACCTAGCAATAACCAAATTTTCAAGAACACACCGTCTTAATGCCTACTGGTGACCTAAACCACAATCTAACCCACTCAAAGGTAGAGCCTGGATATAGGACATTACCACAGAAACCAAGGAAAACCTCCCCAGAAAGCCAATGCACTCTTAACCAAGCAACTAAAATAGTTTATAATCCTGACAAAAATAATGCAAACAATAGTTACCATGGGGAAATTCCCACCGTAATGTGCCTGCCCACCAATAGATAGCAGCTCGGCTAACCCGGTACCTCGGGCACCCACCCACCTGCCCCATTTAGATAGTTTGCCAATTCATAGAGTATTTTGTTACGTTTATTACTGGATTTCTTGGAGGGCCCCAATGCTATTTCACAATGGGACCTCATCAGAGAAGCTGGCTAATCTAAAAAATAAATGCCCAAAGAAATGAGAAAAGATGGCCAAGGCTAACCCATGGAATCAGATAAAAGGACAGACTAATGAAGATGAGACAAGCCAAGACCATTCAACCACAATTGCATAGCTCAGTATTACCAATAGGCCACACTGCCCAGTGACTGACTAGTGGACAATCTGTGAAGGTCAGCCAAAATGGCCTTTAAAGGAACAAAGTTAATCCTTAATCAAAAGGACAAGACAACCACAACAGAAGTACATAAATGCCACAGCCCTAGAGATGGGGAAAGTAATGCCCACCCACCAAGCACAGAGTCTAAAGAAGAAACTAACCTCTGACCTGTCCACAGACAAGCAGGTAGGCTGGGCAGACACAAACCCCCCCCCCCCACCTCAACTTCATAGTCGCCCACTGAATCTAAACCAAGAACAATAACAACAGTCACACACACACACACACATGCCCCAAAACATTTTTTGGCCAAAGTGCTAAGTGATAGCCACACAATTGCTCAGCTAGCAGGACAAACAACCCCTTCCCTGGAAGAGTGGGTAAAACCACACCTTAACCAGGAAGCGAGACAAACAAACACTAACTCAAAGAAAATGACCCCAGGAAGCTAACCCTGATAGGGCAAGGAAAAAGAAAAACTGCCCATTAGGGCAGGTAACTTACCTCATGGCTCCAAAAAATGTAAACACAAGGCACACTCAAGTGGGTGGCACTAGACCTATGTAATGCTATAAAAAGAAATGGGAGAAAGCAATATCCACAAAAGACCGAACATTTTAGGGGTGGCCTACATCACTCGTCCAAAAGTGGACTATTGGTCCAAGATTGCAGAGCATCTCTAGTCAGTACCAGAAACATGACTGAGGCAGCTGGCTGGCCAAGGTCCTGGATCTCCTGGACTGCTATCTCTTGGCAGTCTGGCATTTTACTCTGGGAACTTCCCTATAGTAACAATGGTTTGCATTATTTTTGTCAGGGATACAAAACTGTCCAAGTAGTTGAACTTTCTATTGAGGTTTTTCTCATTTTCTATGGTAATCTTAGGGTTCCATAGTCTTCCCTTAAAGGGAGCCAGTTTTTGGTCCTGGTAGGTGTCCATAGGTTTGAAGGCCTGGTGTGTTCCCCAAGGTTTGGTTATTGTCAGTTTGTAGCATTAGGCAGCTACCGAGGGGACCCTTCCCCCCAAAAATAAGAACCATAGATATCTGAAGACAGTTATAAGTGTTCATGGCTTTCACCAAGATTGGTGTCACAATGTGGCTTTATCCCACACAAGGGTAATGCCAACAATAAAGTAAACTCCCAGCTTGGTGTTTCTCTACATCATTGTCAGCACTTTGTGCTTGGTCTAATCAATTAACTAACACTGCCTGAAATCCTAAGATTTGTTCACTGCCTGAAACTTCCAATCATATAAAACTAAAATGGAACGTTTCTCTACCCTGGCAGTGTATCGCCTAACACACTTGTGACCCAGCTTACACCAGTAATAAAGGTCATCTCAGGTACAAAAGTATGGCCATAAGCTGGCAATACTGTCACTCAAATACATGCAGACACATTTACTAGTCTGATAAAGGTTTTATTTCTAGAATATTAAAAAGTTATTTACATCAGAAATCTGAGTGGATGGTCTTTATTGCTAAAAAATCTTAGTGGTTTGTCTGTCGAGTGCAAACATGCTGTATTTGCTTTGGCAGAGAGGCACGGCTGAGATGCAACTTTTCGCAGTGAACCCCTTGAGGCCAAAGTGGCGTGGCTAGTGGCAAGATACTTTCCTCTACCTCGTCCCTTGGCTGGGGAGGCAAGGTGAAGTGTCTCCCTCAACCTCCTCTCCCGTAGTTTATCTACCGTATGAAAACATCTTGAAAAACGTGGCGCCTCTTCCAGAATAGACGAGTGAATGACCTCTTCTCGACGTCTTTCACCTATGCCAGCCTATATATATAACATGGATTAGTTATTACAGTATATCAATTTATGAGCAGAGGAACTGATACACAGCAGGACATCAGCATTAAACTACAGTACTAATACTTTAACTTTGGACGCAACTAAAAATATCTAAAAGGATGTTTGCTATTATGTACTGGGAATGGGAGGTACAGGTACTGTAATAATATTAGTGGAAACAATTTGAGCAACAGTCATCAAGAGCAGGAAAGTCTCGTGTAGTCTTGTCAAATTAAGTCAAAAAGAAAAGCGTGACAAGTTATATGACGAGCCTCACTGACTAGATACTGTATATTATTTAGGCACTAAATCAATGTTATTCATTTTCCCCACTCCCCTTATTGTTCCTTTTATATAAATCCTTCATTCATTTACTCATTGTCCTGTCAGTAATATTCATGAGGTCAATAGTTAAAAAGAGGAATGACTCCCAAAATACACTAGTGGTCATGTTTAATGTTTCAGTGGAAAGGGAAAATGCATAACCTGTATAAAGTTAAATACAAAATTATTTGTGGTTAATGAGTAATAAAATATTAGAGAAGTAAAATAGAGGCAGCCCAGAATAAGACGTGATAAGCTGTAGAAGCACAACACATGCAAAGCCAACACTCATAAGATTTGTAATTATTTTATTGCTAGCAAGTTCAAGTTTGATTTCAACATTTGCAAAGTTTAATACTGTAGTTGCTAATTAGGCAAATTTGTTAAAATCTGAGTATTATAAATTCAACACATATCCATCAGTTTAAAATTTAGCAAATTTTTGTTTACTATGTAGTGTAAATGACCTATGTAGTTGAACTGACAAACAAAAACAATGAAATAGTTCAACACATGAACAATTATACCTATATAAAATAATTACATATACACATGACACAAAAACACACAAAACTTAACATGTACTTGACGACCAAACCACACACCTCAGGAAACACCGAAGACACGGAGACAATTAGTTTGCTTTAAAGACAGTAACCCACATTAAAATAGTTTCTGTATTCCTGATTCAGCCTGGTCAAATGTGGTACTGTTGAGACATTCACTGCTACTTCTTAGCTTGTCCTGCAAGTCAGTAAAACAATAAGCTGGAAACCAAAATGATCTAGATTGCCAAACATAAAATTCTTTTTAACATCGTTAGAAAAAACTAAATTGTGGATGATAAATTGCTTTTTATAACAATAATTTAGGACTATAGACTCCTGGGTCGTCAGTTTTGACCATATATATATACATGCGAACAAGCCTGAATGGTCCCCAGGACTATATGCAACTGAATATATATATACATATATTGAAACTATTTACATACAGGATTGAACAGCAACATTTGCAAATTTGAAGACGGCACAAAAAATAGGGCAGGAAATAAAGTTGAATGAAAGCAAATGACAACAGGCTTTCAAAATGGATTAAAGATTGGCATATGCAGTTTATTGTTGAGAAATGTAGGGTTGTGAGCTAAGGTAGTTTCAGCTGATCAATATTAACAGTGCATAATCTGAATGTGAAAAACATCTGGAAGTTATGATCAGTAGCGATTTTAAGGAAAACAAAATCGATGCGTAAACGCAGAGAATAAAGCAAATACGATGCTGGGATTTATTTCTTGATATACTGTATTAGCAACGGGGTACTAAATCAATGTTATTCTATAGGTACTAAATCAATGTTATTCTATAGGTACCTAATAATATTCTTCAGCATTATCTTGTTAGGCCCCCCATTTACATTATGAGGTTCAGTTTGATTGTTCCCAAGGCACCTTTACCGATTGTGGTTGTATCTTACTACACCTTCCCTATTGACTGACTGTTTCCCAAGGCAACTTTTCTCTCAAACTTTTTGTTAAAATTTTCCTACAAGCAAATGTTAGTGGCATGGCTGTTTTTTTATTGTGAAAGTTATGAAATATTTCAAAGTTAAAAAACCAGCGTTGAATGTAATGAAACGCCATTTTCCGAGTGAGCCCCGGAGGCTCCCTGGAGCCATTGGACTAATATGCAATTCATGCATATTAGTCCTATGACCAGGGCATTAGTCATAGGAGTTCAGCCTACCGGGGACCACAAGCCAGAACCTGGCCCCATCAGAGAGGCATAGAGAGCAATGGCCCTGGAAAACCTCCGAGTGGTTGGGAGTTTTCCTTATCTGCCATCGACACGGGTTAGGCACCCAGAAAAGTAGGCATAACAAAACAACCCCCACATGGTAGGAAAATTGCAACCAAAAACCAGAGGCAGAACTCCCTCCAATCCCAAGCTTAGTGCAATGGATATAATAACATTTATTTAAATTTGTATTTGATATTAGGGAAATTTTTTTTTAATTATTGTATTATTTCTTGTTTCTAATATTTATCTTACAGGGCTGGAACTTTTGTCGGTAGGTCTTACCAGTTCTATTTTGTGAAACTTCATTGAAATTTATCAACTTTGGCTTTTAAAAAAATTATGCCCCCCTTCAGCATCATAAATACAAATTTGGTATTAAAGGCAGTTAGCTTACTGCCTTTAATACAGGTAGTTAGCTTACCTATCAGAATGGAGACAGGTTGTTACCAAGAATGGAGACAGGTTGTTACCAAGAATGGAGACAGGCAGTAACCAAGAATGGAGACAGGCAGTAACCAAGAATGGAGACAGGCAGTAACCAAGAATGGAGACAGGCAGTAACCAAGAATGGAGACAGGCAGTAACCAAGAATGGAGACAGGCAGTAACCAAGAATGGAGACAGGCAGTAACCAAGAATGGAGACAGGCAGTAACCAAGAATGGAGACAGGCAGTAACCAAGAATGGAGACAGGCAGTAACCAAGAATGGAAACAGGCAGTAACCAAGAATGAAGCTTCAACAACAAAGTCAAGAGTGTAGTAAATTGTACATAACTTACTTCAAATATATCATAAGAAATTGTCGATTGTAGGGAAGCTTCTATAGAAGTTGAAGTCACTGGGTGTAAGGGCAAGAGAGCGTTGTATTCAGTCAGCGGTTTTCCTCGTGGTGTCTGCCAGAGTAAAGCATCCACAGATAAAGTCTCACACACATTTTGCTTATATATGATATGTATATACATCATGACCAAGACATCAAAAAAACATTTTGAACGAGTGGCACGTTTTGTACGAGCCTTGACCTCAGGCTGGGCTCGGGGGGTAAAGGAACTCCCCGAACCCTCTCCAGGTTTGTACGCCAGCAAACAGCATAAAGGCAATTTACTTTAAAGAATGTATGCCACCCACTTAAAACTCAAATTAAAATTAGTTCTACTGACCTATGCCAATTTTTTATTTATTTGACACTGAAAATGTTTTAATATGAACCCTATTTACAGGAACCAACTACATTAACAATATTACTGCCTTTCAACATTCACTTTTTATAAATTTTGAATACTGTAGATGATAAAATCAAGTTAAACCTAAATAATGTTGTACAAGTTAACCTTCATGGGTGATCGCAGCGCAGACTTGGACGGAGACTTGAACATAACCCCTCCATTAACTGCCAGATGTTTGGATTTCTTGACACCTGCCGACTCTTCACCCTCCCGACCACGCTTCTTAGCCGAGGCTGGAAGTGCTACTGGAGTCCTAATGTTAGTAGCAACACCTGTACCACGCTTCACATCAACTGCCTTTGCCTGCAACTGCTCAAATTAAGTGAAAAGTTAAAACTAGAACAAAAATTGTTTAGTTACTATTAAACAGATTAAACTTTCTTTCTTTGAACAGGAAAAATTAGCAAACCTACATACATACATACATGTAAACAAAGGGAATTGCCAAAAGATTATCAGTCTTATTTGATATGATGTTACTACCATTGTTTGCCTGACTTACATAAACAAAAGTTGTTGACTAAAAAAATAATTACTGTGACAACAGTCACTGACACCAGATCATACCACAAATAAAATAACATACAAATAAATATATTCAACTATCATGAACCATAATTTCTATAACCATAACCCCCTGGCAAGTGGGACGCTAAAGTGAAGGTTGATGTAAGGTCAAGTGAACGAATATTGGTCAGTTTGGTTATCTGTTGATGCTTTAAGACTTCAGAGACGTTTAATTACACAAACCCAGACACCCCTCACACCAGCATAAACAGTTAAGGGGAAAGTTATTGAATCATTTATTACCAATCTGAGCCATGTGTAGTGTTAAGAAGTGATTTCTGCTCCTTTCCAATCAAAAGAAAGAATAAGAAGGAAGAAAAATATGTAAATTAAACACCCAGTAACAGTTGAACAAATTGCCAGCTTGACCAGCTACTAGTGGCTGCCTGCCTGCCTGCTTTCCCCAACCTCCCGTGCAGACAGAAAAGCACTGCAACCGGTGGACAACAGATTTGGCCTAAACTGAACCCTACGATAACTGGAATAAGGAAACTTGCGAAGGATCAGAGCATCTGTTTCTTTTTTTTAGTAACAAGAGTCAAAATAATTCACAAAGGAGGCGTAATCACATTCAAAAGCAGTTGGGGTAACAACAGATCCCTAATCAGCAAATAAGAACCATCATCAGGCCTGATAACTCAAATTCAAGAATCAATAACAGTAAATGAGACCCATTTCTCCATCAATGCTTCTGACCGAACCACAAAATCCACCAGTGAGATGCGAAAGGGTTAGTCAAGGTGCCCACAAGCCAGGAGTAGCACTTCACAACCAGGCAAATGACAAGCCAAGTGCCCCTCAAACGAGACTCCAATCTTCTCGATAAGGGAAAGGTGGCAAAACTTTTAGGCCGTGGCAAAGCAAACAATGCTAGCTTCTTGGAATACCCTTGTAGGAGGCAGAATACAAAATCTCAACTATGAACACACTCCTAAAGCACTTGCATGGCCACTAGATGAAACCATTTTTGTGTCATAACCTTCTCAGTTGTCCATAGAGTGGACAACTGGAAAGCTGGGGTCAGACTCAGAGGTAAACTGGACTAAAGAGTAACTCATCATCATAAAGGAGAGGAAGGTACTATGAGCTCAATACAGCAAAGATGCGAGACCACACGCATCGAGACTGTCCGTAGCCAAGAAGCAGCAGCCCAACAGGTACACCTAACTGCACCAAGAAAAATTGGACTACACCAAAAAGAGATGAAATGGCTTTAACACACAGGAAAACAAAACTAGGCAAAATACTAAAGTTCATGAAAACCTCCCAAAGGTAAAGGGTGAAAAAAAAGTTACCTAGTCACATGAATAGTATTCGCAACCACTTCTAACAAACAAATCCCTGTAAGATGATTGAATCACAGATGCATACCAAGTGTTCAGGGAGTAGCAGCAGCCGGGAGGTCAGTGTTTTTATCAGCAGCAGAGCACTACTGGGTAATTTTGAAATAAAGGTATTACTAGGAGCTTATTTGAATGTACAAGACAGTACCTTTTGGACCCCTATTCATAATTGAACTGAAAATTATTCATTCTCCTTTTTCCTATTTTCCTATTATGGCTCAGCAAAGGCGGTGCTTAAAGATCCCTGCTACATCTGGGATGATGAAGCTTGCCCTTACTCTGTTAAAGGAAGCAAATGAATTGTTTAGCTTCAGTAGTATACATACTGACCATAAAAATTTACATACCCTCTTATTTTTTTCAAGCTGTCTCTTCACATCATGGGACTCCCAGAGTTCGTCCATGTACTGAGTAATCTGCATGCCATAAATTATAAAAGGTTGGCCCTCTTGTTCTTCCCATGACAACACGCTCTCTATCAGACGTTCTTGTACACGTGGCAGTTCCTGAAAAATTACAAACACTTGTACTAAAACTCCCAAAAAATGAATAAGAACAATATACATTATTATTATTATCACCACCACCTCTCATAGCCACACCAAACTAAACCACACACCAGAAGATGAAGAAACGACGACGTTTCAGTCCGTCATGGACCATTATCAAGTCGTATGTCTCGATAAGACTTGATAATGCAGGCGATGAGTCACAATAACGTGGCTAAAGTATGTTGACCAGACCACACACTAGAAGGTGAAGGGACGACGACGTTTCTGTCCGTCCTGGACCATTCTCAAGTCGATTGTTCAAGTCGAGAATGGCCCAGGACGGACCGATACGTCGTCGTCCCGTCATCTTCTAGTGCGTGATCTGGTCAAAGACTTGATAGTGGTCCAGGATGGACCAAAACGTCGTCGACTCTCACTTTCCCAGACTCCCTCTTTGCAGTTATTTCCCACAAGTTTCTCTCTCATATTTTAGATTTTTTCTTTACAGTAGTTTCAGTGGTGGATGTTTTGGTTGATTAAAGGAATGGGATGGTTATGGAGGAAGATGGATAAAGTTACAGCACATGTACTGGTAGGGAGAAGGTCTGCCACACCACACTAGCTCACTTTATGCACAACTTTAAAACCACCCACAATCTGGCCAAAAGACTGAACACAAATAGTGTGTGGTTAATTGTACAACACAAAGTACAGTCAACATATACCAACTAGACGCCAACATCACCTTCATCAATTGATCAATTGTAATTATGGAGAATTTGCAACATTAAAACTACAGTATTAGGGTTACACAAAGCTATAAATTTACATACTTTATAGTTTTGTTCCAGGACATGCATTCAGAGAATATCTTTAATGGTTTGCAATCTATAAAAACCCATACAATTATCTGTACTGTAAGACTACCCAGGGTACTAATCAAAGTTTTTTCCCTGCCATCTCTGAAATACCAGAATCCTGAAACCATTAAGTACCAGTAACCATACTAGGAATACCAAATTAGTCAACTGATCACACTATGTATAAATGATTTGTGAATAACTTACTGCTTTTACTTTCTTCTTAGCCTTCTCCTCTAGTAGAAGCGCTCCTCCCCTCGTGTTGAAGAGCCGGCTTGGATCCTTGGCTCTCTCTTCTAATTCCAGCATGTTTTCAAATAAAGTCAGAAAATTGGCCACCATTCCTAACAGTTCACTATTCTTGTTGTAATACTTCTTCCATTTCTCAACCTCTTGCTCATAGGCAGACAGAACATCTTCATTAGCTTCACAGTCTGCAATATAAGACAAAGGATACAGCACATATTAACAGCTATATCAAGCAAGGAACATCATTTTTATTAACAGAGGTACCCGGCATTACCAACATCGGAAACACACAACCCTACTGCGCCCTGGCATCCTCGCACAGCCAAAATACAATCTTACATCAAACACAGTCACAATTTATTGTGACTGTACAGTCCCATACAGACTGTACCTGTACATAATAGGTACAGTCCCATACAGACTGTACCTGTACATAACAGGTACAGTCCCATACAGACTGTACCTGTACATAACAGGTACAGTCCCATACAGACTGTACCTGTACATAACAGGTACAGTCCCATACAGACACAGTCCCAGGTACATAACATGTACAGTCACAATTTATTGTGACTGTAGATAACAGGTAGATAACTCTCACTTGTTATGTGATGCAAACTTGCTGTTCCTCATAGAACCTGTCATTATAATATCTTGTTCAGTACAACAATTATTTTTCTTATATTATTTGTGATAAAGTGTGGGAAGCATAAATGATGTATATAAAGACAAAGATAGGGCAATAAAGGAACAAGCTGGCAGGAGCTATTTTGAGGTCAGCGAGCCAAGCTCTCTCACATACACAACCTTCCTCATGACATTTATGGATGCTCATCTTAATGAATAATGTATTTTTTCCATCTTACACTTATTTATGGTGAAATAGCTTGGCCAAGTTTATTGCCATTATCATATGAGTGTTGGCTGCCAACAACATGATCTGGTCAAATGAAAACCTACACCTACTCAACTAGTTTATAATATACTTATTTATTTATACAAGTTCAGTAAATTTATGCAATTCATGAAAACTGGCCAATTATATAACTGGCAGGTACTCAAGCCACATTATCCAGCAGGGGGTTGTAGACAGATAGAGGGATATATATTAACTTGGTCCACCAAAGATCCTGCTCCTGAGCCACCAACTCTAAACATTACAATACTGCTCAGCCACATCACGACTTGTTCACCAATAAAGAATGCAAGATTCTTTCTTAAGGCTGAAGGCTAGGAATGGTAATCATGATACAGTTCTTGGATATAAAGGATGGTCCCCCCCCCTGCTGGACTTGTGAACCTGTGGTCCCGGGGTCGATCCCGGGCACCGGCGAGAAACAATGGGCAGAGTTTCTTTCACCCTATGCCACTGTTACCTAGCAGTAAATAGGTACCTGGGTGTTAGTCAGCTGTCACGGGCTGCTTCCTGGGAGTGGAGGCCTGGTCGAGGATCGGGTCGCAGGGACACTAAAGCGCCGAAATCATCTCATCTCAAGATAACCCCCTCTCCTCTACCCTAAAAAAATTATATACTGAACAAACTACAAAATAGAACAGTATTAACTTACCAGAATACATGGCATTGATTCTTTCTCTCTCTCTCACATCAACATAACACTTGTCCCACCACACTGTCGCCTCCTCTTGAAGTTTCTCAATGAAAAGAGAAATGTTCTGAAAGCGCAGCAGTAGTAGTCTGTCAAGTTCTTGCCCAAGCTGCAAAAAAACATTACAAATACATTTTACAGACAGAACTCAAACAAAAATTAGGCTGAATTTTATGATGTGCCTTTCTGAGAGGATTGTTCCGAGTCACAGGAAATGAGGGTAAAACTATATGAGCCAAGGTACCATTGTAATGGGCACATATTTCTTTTCTCCTTATCAACCGATACTCTTCAATACTGAAGGTTAACCTCCAAAACACGGAAAGACAACGGAAAGAATAAAGATCGGACTATGAAGAAAACTTGCCTTAGATATGTTGGAGGGAGTGTGCTGAGGAGCAGTGGCCAGGAAAGCTTGCTGTTCCTCAGGAGAAACTTGCAAAAGACTCCACAGATTTGAAATTTTTTCTCGTAGCTCAAGTGATTTTGCTTCATTTTCATTAACCCGAAATTCAAGGTCACTATGGACAGTCTGAAAAAACATTAAATATTTAATTTAAGAAAATTACTGTACTTCAAAATAGTTACAAAATGAGGACTTATAAATTAGACTCCCAAGTAAAACACATAAATAGATAAAAACCACAAGATCAACGAGAGAAACAATGGTAGGGGATACAGGAAGGTGGGAATAGCTGTACGGTACTTTACAGGAAAACCAATAAGTTGAAGTCAGCTAGAAGAAAAGCACGTCAAGAATTGTAAAAGAAAGGAGATTTGAAAATGAAATGAGATCAACATAAATGGTGTCACAACCCCAGGGACAAACATGAGAAGTAAAGATTGAAAAGGATTGGAAGCAAATATAGAATATTAGATTCAGTTGGAGTACTCTATTTGGAACCACCACATAATACAATATAATTTGCCTCAAATAGATTGACTGGTATTGGGCCTTTTGTACAGTAAAGAATTTACAAATTTTGCCATTTTCTGCCACAATTAATATGGAAACTTGAGTAGAATAGCTCATAATCCTGAAAAACCCTCTTAGCTGCTGGTTCCAAAATTAGATGTGATACTAGCTACTAACTAGCGACTGTACTAGCTAGTCATAGTTGGTCAACATGCTACCTTGGTGTAGCATTTAACTTTTTTTAAACTGTCCATGCCTGGTCATACTGGAGTACAGTACAGTACTGAATACTCACTTTGGAACTGCTACTCCTCTTCAATATCTGGATAACTAATCCACTGCATTATACAATAACCATAGTGTAATCCACCAGTTGCCTTTAATTTTCCACAATTTTAAGGTTAATTTTCTCATCCTGATCATATCCTTTTTATTTAATTTCTCCAACTGAGACTTTAAAACAAGTACTTGACGTAACCTACCCTGAGCTGTTGTAAGTAAGCTTTTCCAAGAGGAATGTCTTCATCGTCAGAGCAAATGACTTCTTGTACAAAGGAGTCCTCGGGAGACTGCTCCAACTCTTCCAGGAAGTTGAGCAGTCCTGCTTTCAGCTTTTGAAAAGTTTTCTCTCTTTCTTCCTGTAAAAGTTAATTAAGGTTAAAGTATTTTTTCCTGATATCAGCAACTTACCTTAACTGTGGAGCAGGTTTAATGATGCCAAACTTTCCTGGCACAACACAATATTCAATTATTTATTCAGATTTCCACAATAACATTTCTCATGCACATAATACAGTATCTATCTAAGCACCTAAAGTATCTAATGTCCTTCAAAAGTAAACATTTTAGACATTTTTCTTACATATAATTCTTATCCTACATGTATTTTTTTTCATTATTTTAGTATAAATCATGAGTTAACACATTCCAGTTTTGACATTAGCACTCTCTCAACAATAACTACATACAGTAATATCTCCAGCTGCAAAACACAGATGAAGAATTTGTTCTCTTAATTTGAGCATTTGACCATACCTTTTCTTTTTCCATAGCCTTGACATGTTCCTCCACAGCATGCAAATCTTCTTTGGAAGGTACTAATTCCGCAGGAATATAATACGGAGTCTCACACAACAGTTCACATAGGCCCTGGAAGATAATTAGGAAACATATGCTAGTAATAAATTAATGGCTGAGTATACACACATGCAGTACATAATATGCTGCTTTGAGTATTTATATGTTTATGGCACATACTGATATAGAAATAAATGAATATTTATAGTTTACTTCTTTCATCTATAATATATTACATTCATGTGTGTTTACGAGTAATTTTCTAAATTTTCAAGAAATGTTATGCTTTGTGAACACTTTCAGCCAGATACAGTTCCAAGTGGGTTACACCTCATCCAAACACTCATTACTGGCACTGAAATGCAATAGAAGAGACTGGACCAATTCCTAACTAAATTCTCAACTAATGCAACCTACCACTGAGACTGACCCAACACATGCCCCATCCACATCTACAGAAAACGAAATCCAACCTTCTGCACCTACCATTGTATACAAGATGTTCAAACTGATGTTGGACATACTCCTAAATACCTACTTAGCAGACTTTATCCAAACCACTCCCCAAGCCGATTTGCCACAAACCACAACTACAGGAACTAAAAGTAAGACCTGATGGCTCAGACTGAAAAAAAACATACTTGGAGAAGGTTCTGAGAGTTCTTGTACTTCCCAAGCTCAGCCCGAGGCCAGGCTCGACTGGCCTCAGGCCTCATTCCCCCACGACTGCACTTTCCCATGACACACCTCCCAACTATACCCAGATTCCAAACACACTGGACAACTGGCACACCAAGAATACTAATCCAATTGCAACCTAACTGTACTGATCTGACATGCATGACTCTTTAACCTTACCTATCATACCCCAACCTAACCTGTCCTAACCTATCTGAATTGCGACTCTCCCAAACATAATCCAGTTCACAAAATCAATTTCATAAATACTAAGCCACACATATTCTACAGCACAACAACACATAGCTGACACCATCACTACAACACCCTAACTTTGCCATCATGTGTCATGTTTCACTCCATTTCTTATTATCATCCTTATAAAACCGGGCAACCTCGACAACTTCCAAGCCTTGCCAAATTACGAACATTGATGTGCGACTGTGAGTGCCGTGTCTCCCAGCATTATCCCTCGTGCAGTCATCGGGAGAAGAAAATCTTCATACAAACGGCACGTACCATCGAGATCTTGCCGTGAAGCACCCCCATACTGTTGAGAAACAGCATGTTGGTGCCCTGGGAACACTATTAACATGCTGGACAGTCTAAAGCACTAACCTCATCCTTCTCTTGTAGATTTCTTAGCTCCTCCTGTCTCTCCTCTTTTAATTGTTGCAGTTTCTCCACTCTTTCCTGCATCAAAGCATCCAAATCCAGCAAGGTAATGCCCTCTGCAGCCTCTTCTGGCTCAACACACAACTCCTGAACACAAGAAAATAATTACAATCAACCAAGTACATATTCTAAGAAGAGTGTAGCTTTTATGACATTAACAAACAATCTCTGGTTTTTCAATAACAGATTTTATAATTTACAAAAAAATCACATATTAGAAGCAACTTTTATTGCCCATAATTTTACTGATTACAGCTAACAGTAAACAAATTGTTTTAAAACATTGAGTATAAATCCAAATTCACATCCAGAGATAAAAGGTGAACCTAGCCCAACCTGACTATAAACAAAAATAATCACACTTTCAACTAACAACAAATATAAATACTGTATAAATATTTACTGTCGATTTATTTATTTTTTCTCTACAGCAATCAAAAGATTATTACAAGTCCAGTACAGGCACCTGCTGTTAGCCATCTATATCCCACTTTACGTAGGACTGTTCTACAAGTTGGTATATAGATCACAGAGGTGCCAGAGCACATCCCCTGTTGATTGACGGTTGAGAGGCGGGACCAAAGCCAGAGCACATCCCCTGTTGATTGACGGTTGAGAGGCGGGACCAAAGCCAGAGCTCAACCCCCGCAAACACAACTAGGTGAGTACAACTAGGCGAGGTGAGTACATGTATGCTTGAACTTACTTCATAGAGCTTCACGATCTCCCGAGTGTTCCGATCAATATTCTTGGTGATTCTAGTCTTAAGTGCCGTCTCATCATCAATAATTTTATCACACAAATTCTGAAAAACATTTTGAAAAAGTTGATAAACACTATGCATCCATTGCTAATACAACAATTACCGTATCCAAAATATTGGATATTGATCTAATATTAACTATTAGATTAATAACTACTATCAAGTTATTTATCTCCATATTAACTGTATGCAGGTTGCACACTGAATACTACAATACATACTACAGAACTGCTTGTGAATAACATCGCAAAATAAGATAAAGACGCATGCTACAAAACTGAACACCTGTAAAGTAAGCATGGTAGACATCTACCCAGCATCATCTTCATGGTGCATAGTTTCCTACTCTGTGCTTTAAATTTGCTCTGTATCAAGTGTTACCCAATCTCCCAATCTTTATGTATTTAATCCAAACAACTTTACCATTGTGATCATTGCTGTCTTCTTATATGTGCTAGCAATATGCTGTATTGTACCTATTAATTTTTGTTAAATTACCATTCAAGCTGTCAATATAATCAATATAATCAATCTAAGCTACCTATGTGCTTTAATATACTGTACCTACAAATCTCATCTTTTTTTTTCTTGCAATGTACCTGTTATTTTTATAAATTTTGCTAGTATTTACCTATTAAAAATATTCTGTTAGATTAAGGACCTGCCCGAAATGCTGCGCGTACTAGTGGCTTTACCCACATATACCTCTTATATACCCACAATCAGAACCTTTATCTGTCCTTAGGAAATCAGTTGCTAGTGAATCAATACATAAGCTTACCGCAACATGGCCATAAAAATGACGTCTTCTATCTTCACGCTGCTCCTCTGTGAGACCGATATCATCCCAGATAGCTTCAAGTCGAGCCAGTGTTCCATCTAGCTCTTGTTTAGTTGTGGTTCTGAGGCTGTGGATTACAAATGTTTGTTGATTAAACTTGATAGATTACGACAACATATTTAAGCCCAAAAAATAAACAATACTTGAACAGCTCTAAAACTGCTCCAGGAACTTTCCTTAGAAAAGTAAATAAGCATTTAATTTGGGCAAGTTACACTACCATTACTGAGGTAGACATATATACTGTACTCAACATATATAACAGTGCTACAACACCATATTGAAAAATATATATTTTATTTTTAGAACTTGTGCACTTGTGGTAAGACAAGGTTTGGCCTGGGTGTGTGGTGTTGGCAATCCGTCGCACAGCTCCGCCAGTCATCATGTTCAGCTTATTAGCTTTGAATAAGCTAAATTAAATTTTTGCATAATGTAATAATCTAACCCAATCGTATTAGTTACCTGAAAATATGAAAAGTATTTGAAGATAATGATCAATCAGTTTAATTTCCAGTACATTCCTCATTAACCACTCAAATGCAACATTGCACAACACACAAGAGTTGCACAACTCTGAGAGTTGTGTGAAAATCTGGGCAATTCATTCGGGGAATGAATTCAGCCCAAATGGTATGAGATTGAGTCCTGTAAGTACTTGATATACTCACGAATGGAAGATATTCTTGTGCTCTACCTAGAGTTGGCCACTTCTGACCAGTAGACTAGACTCTCACCTCATGATTTATCCTGATGATTGATTGATTGATAAAGATTAAGCCACCCAAGAGGTTGCACGGGCATGAATAGCCCGTAAGTGGTACAATTTATGCTGATGAAAGTAAAGATGCTCCGGAACACACCAGCCACACTCCACACTCAGGTGTGGCACACCTCTCCTAAACCACACCATATGCCACAAAATCCCTAAAACACCATACACCACAAGCCCCACAACACAGGGCCATGTGAGGGTGCCAGGCCAGGGTGCGGACTCACCTAGTATCAGCCATGAGGACTCGACAATCACTCTCCTACAGCAGCGACTCAAGTTTTGAAACTGGTGATGTTTACCATAGTGAGTGTGTTGCCAGCTCTCACCATGGATGCCCTCACCTCGTCTCTCCCTCAACACCTCATCTCTTCTTCTACCTCACATACACATCTTTCATATTTTGCTAGTTAATTTTGTATGATGTTATATGGAGTGTTGAAGCATTCATTTAAGTTTCTAGATGTAAATAATTATAAAGAAATAATGCTTGATAACTCCGCGAGTTTTTGCAGGGAAACAGACATAAATCAAATTTTAAATTACATTTATAATTTTAGAGAAAATAATCTTCATATTCCGGACGAGGCAGTTAAACCTGCATGCAATAAACTTAGATATTGAAATAAACCTAGATTTCAAAGTTCAGTTGTCAAAATTACATTATTTCGAGGAACTAAAAGCTGATAAGATAGCAATAACTGGCACTCAATTCTAATTTGTAGCGCACCACATTTTTTTTTATATATGTAAAATGTAATATATATGTAAGTTGCTTAACTTAGAGACTGTACTTGTTGTCGGTCTCAAACCCATTATTAATATAACATTATACATTATATTTGATAACTATAGTTTGTTAAGACTGCAACTTGCTTAGCTAAATTTAGGGTTCAGTCCCTGAGGCAATTATAATAATAATAATTTATTTATTTATTTATTTATTTATTTATTTATTTATTTATTTATTTATGTATACAAGAAGATAAACTGGGTTTATGAGAGTACATAACATTGATGTTTTTACATACTTGTAAAGCCACTAACAAGCATAGTTTAATCTAACAGATAATTTTAAGTAGGTAATTAATAGCAAAATTGAAAAAATGTAAACAGGTACATTGTAAGAAAATTTAACAAAGGTTAGTAGGTACATTATAGTAAAATTCGAGGGTTATCAACAGGTACTGTTCGAAGACCTCATCCAGCTCTTTGGAGGTGGGATGCTGCCCATAGTACAGCACGCATTTCCTCTCTGGATCGCGACACTGAGGCGCTGGAACAGGAAACTGGCCACTTTTGAGTCTAGTAAAATAGAGACTCAAAAGTGGCCAGTTTCCTCCTTTACGAACTTAAGTGCACATTTACCCCATGCGCCCAGGGTCTCAGAGACTATCAAGTTCAAGTTCAAATAAGTTTATTGAGAAAATGAAGTACATCTCAAAAGGATAAAGTAACTTAGGCTATTTCTACTTCATCTATACAACACTCAAGGGACTCACAGACCCATACAGTACACAATTATTAATCATATTCTACATTTCACATTCCAATGATAATCACATGGCATACTGGGAGATCTCCCATTGATTATGCTGCCCCTGTCATGTCTTGCTCTGGCAAAAGTATCTTAACACGTGGGAGAAGGTGGAAAATGAAGCCATGAAAATAATCCCAGATTATTATCATGGCACAAGAAATACTGTGTCTGAGTTCATGTTTAAGTACGTTTATTGAGAAAATAAAACACATCTCAAAGGGATAGAGTAGCTTAGGTTATTTCTAACACCCCAGTTACTAAGATAATGAGGATAAGATTAAACATACAGAGTATTGGGATAGAATTTCAAAGATAAATGAAGCTTCGGCGATTAGACTAATGAGAGGTGAGGGAGCTAATAAATTAATCCTCTCACATCACAAGGTGGGAAGAAATGAACAATGTATGTGAAAGCATAATAAGATCCTTATGTTCTAATGTCACAAAGCATGATGTCCTTCAAGATCTGTCTTGGAGGGTTAGCTGTACCAATTATAGAGCTGGTGAGTTAGTGAAGGCTTTAAGGTCTTCCGTTTTTTCTTTGTATATTTTCTTTTTATATATGAATTGTATACACTGGCTGCCTGTCCCCTGGGAAAATCAATGATTCCAGAGGGCAGGGTTAGGACATGTTGGTGACTCGTGCAGTACATTTAGAGTACATGTAGGTGAGTGCGCGGGAAGCTCGACTCAATCCGACTTACAAGAACGTAAACAAGGAGCCAAGAACTGTTGTTCCGTTGGCGAGAACTGTGGCACGTATCCCGCAGAAGACGTTGAAGTAGAAGGTGTTGCACGTCTTGCAAAGAAGAGATCTTCACGCTACTAGCATAAAGAAGACTAAGATTGAGAAACATTGGCGAGCTACCAAAGTTAGAGGCGTGAGATGTCTATTGAGGAGGAAGAGGATGCCAGCCTCAAGGAGCTGGTCACAAAGACCCTTCACAATAAAGGAGTTCTCGGCAAGATCCAGGTACGGCTTGCACCAAGCGACGGTGTTCGCTTTATGCAGGTCGGCGTTCAATCCCCGACCGTCCAAGTGGTTGGGCACCATTCCTTCCCTCTCGTGCCATCCCTAATTCTTATCCTGACCCTTTCCAAGCGCTTTATGGTCTTAATGGCTTGGTGCATTCTCCTGATAGTGTCCTTTCCCTTAGCAACACCTTTACGCCTCTCTACCCAACACATTGTCACATGTTTGAGTAAAATAACCAAAATAGTACAGTTGATTTCGTTCTCAATCCACAATCGACAATTCTGGGTTCACGTTCTGGGCAGGACAGAAATGGTTGGGTGCGTTTCCTATCAGCTCATGGCCCCTTTCCTCCTAACAGCAAATAGGTACCCCAGGAGTTAGTCCCACTTTTTGTGGGGGCTGTATCCAGAGGAGGGTCAGTAATTTGACCCTGGAAGTAATTTGACCCTGGAAGGGACCCAATATAAGCACCTTCACCCAATGAAACAATAAATATTCACCTATTTTCATCTTTTTCTTACATTTTGCATGCAAATTAATTATTATATAATGAACAATTATTTTTATTTTTTGTTGTGCATGAGCAGGTACAATATACCTGGTTATACAAAATATAGGTATGACCATTTCGCCATAGCTACTGTCTATGGGTTAAGTATATAAGGGGGAGCTTGTTTGATGAAAGAACACAGGAGACATCTCCCATCACGCAGGGTGCAGCCGCACCTCCACAGATCTCCAGTATCATCTATTGATACTGGTAATGGCTCAAAAGGGCCACCACTTACAGGCTATTCATGCCCGTGCCACCTTTTGGGTGGCTTAATCTTCATCAATCAATCATCTGATGAAAGAACACAGCCACCATCTGCAATTATCAGCTTACAACAGGGCAAGGTCACCTGACACGACCTGACCTCGCCCAGCATGTGAACATTAGCACCTCTTAGGTGTGAACTTTCCTATTGTCAAAGACCGACCATCTGGTGACAATTTCCTTGGTAACTGACTTCTTATATCAGTGAATAAAGTATATTAAATAAAACCATTTATGGTTACAAAGGACCTACGAAAAAGATGCTTTTTGTTACATTCAATATTGGTTATATATTTTTTTTTACTATTATTAGAAATCATAGTTACGTTTCAAGGAGTAAATGTAAAAAAAATATTAATCAGAAAACATGTTCCAGAGTAACCATGGCTTAGCCCCCTTAAGAGACATATTCCTTCCTTATTTCTCAAATTTTCTTCTATTCCTGTTCTTATGACATTCACTATTACATTGTTAATCATATCCTTTTATTTTTGTCTCACATAAACCTACTCTATGAAACATTCTTTTAAAAAATGTTGTCATTTTCAACTACTTTTGTTCGAGATTTACTCATCTGACATTCCACAAAGCTGTACAAACCTGCCTTAGTTTTCTGAGGCCTGGGCCAGATGTCAGCCCCATATCTGAGGCTAATTTTACCATTTATTTCTTGTTTCACCATTATACAGTCTTTGCACTTCCTATTTTTTCCTACAGGCACAATTACGGGCGAGTGTATTCCTGGCTCTGGAGGATGAATTTAAGGATGTAAGTATGGTTTTATTTTTTCAATAAAAAGTTTTCGGCAGAAAAATTTTTTTGCTGTTTACCGTCATAATTAACATGTTGTACTGTATAGATTGGTTGATATAACTTTTTCTGGATTGATTGCCTCTGTAGCTCCCAGTAGTTTAAGCAATGATATCACTAAGCCTCCAAATTATACTAGACCAATGAGATTTAGGTAGGCCTACCAGAAACCAGGATCAAATTCTAGTTCTCTCAACTAGGAGAGTGAAGAATGGATATTATAGAATATAGATTGACCCAAAAACTAAGGAAAACTGACCTAAAAATTCCAAAGAAATCTAAACAAATTATTGCTTGAAAGAAAGAAGTGAAAAATAGAGAATAAAGCTAATGATAGTTGGCACTAGGTGAACAACCTTAACCACAACCTGGCCAAGCCACTCAAAGTCCGGAACTGACACCCACCTCACTTGTTCTTATCTAATGAGACCTCTTTCCTGTATTTTTAAAGCAAATTGACTTTTGATTCTCCTCTAACAGTTGTTTATAGCACCCATATGGGTATTCCTTGGCTATTTTGCTCTAACAAGTTATTTATTCTCTTCCCTGGCTGTTGTTTTGCTCTAAATTTTAGTTCAGGGTTCCCTTCCCCGGCTGTTGTTTTGTTCTAACTTTGGTTCAAGTTAGTTAGTTATTATAATACTGTATACAAGTTATAAACAAGCATATGTTTATAGCCTCATTTGTTCTGTGAACTGTTTGAGTTGGACTGCATGAGTTGAGAGCTAACTTCCCCGAGTGTCCTGACAAAGTCTGGTGAAGAAACAGAGGGAGATATGATCACTACCCAAGAACCTGAGAAGGGGATAGACAGTGGACAAAGGAAGCCTATTTAAAAGAAAAGGAGGTAGAACAAGAAAGCTGGTGGAAGCGGGACATGCAATAGTCGCAGAAATGTAAGGAAGTTCTTGTTTCCTGTACATGTGGTCGGCAAGTGGAATGTATTAAAGCAAGAGGTTGCTGAAGCCAATTCTATCCACAACTTTAAGAAAAAATGTAACATTAAAGTTGGGAGATAATTAGCACGCCAGGTATAAACAGCATAGTGATGGGGCTTACAAAGGTAGATTTCGCTCTCCTCCATAGTCAGATAGGTAAGCACCTAGAGGTAGGGAGGTTGAACTACCAATGGAACTACAGTATTTAACTACTTGGTGGGGGGGGGGGTTAATTTAAGTCTTACTTATGTTTGCCTGAACTTTTCTGTTTTGTCAAGCTTACCCTTCTGGTGACATTTTCCTCGGTCAGGTGTCTTGTACTCTCTACATCTTTGAGAGGACCAGTTTTGGATTCTTGTCTCCTGCAGACTTTTAAGGACTTGCAAAGGCTTGATGCAGTTTGGCAAGTGTGGAGCTATCTAAGAAGCTAGCAATAAGGAGCCATATTGGACCTACCAGAAAGATGTTTAATTACATTTAGTGTTGGGTTTTCAGACACATTGACTTTAGATGAAGTGAGAACATTGTTTAGAGTTGAAATGTGAATAGTACAATACCAGGCATGATCAAGACAAAGTGAACCAAAAAAACAAAGTCCAATCTTGGGTGGCATGGATTTCACAGGCAAGTATTAAATGCACACAAGGACAAAGTGGAAAACCATACAATTCTCACCCCACTTAAAAACATAATTTTGAAATTCAGTTTCATGTGAATTTAATGTACCATATATTACATGACTGTAGTTTCCTAATTTATAATTTACAGAGTACTGTAGCAAAATTCTGTAAACTGATTTCCCATGTAACAAGGGATCCTTGCTTTACACTGTACTACGAGATTTAAATAAATCAACCCTGTATTATTCATTTATGAAAGAGAAAGCTCCTAATTAATTTTGTGTAATATTTTCCAGAAAAATATACCACTTGTCAGTGCATCGACCAGGAAGCTGTTGGCCACCCCTGAGGGCAGTGCTGCAGCTGCCCTCGTTCAGGATTTTCTCCAGTGCCTCGGGCTAGAGTTCTCTCTTGCTGTTTTTGCACCAGAGTCTGGCCACTCTGTTGTGTGGAGTTTTCCTGGTACTGAAGCACTTACTAGTAATCTTAACCTGAGTACTGAGAAAGGTTCGTGAGAATTTTTTTGTATTGTATCTTACAATACAAAAATTTTTGTATTGTTACTTGTGCACATATTAAAATTAGCTTTTAAAGGGCAATAAACAGTTTGTGCATTTGCCTGCGTACTTATAATTACTAAGTGTTATTACCTAAGTGTAGTTACTGGATGAGAGCTATGGTCGTGGTGTCCCATCATCCCAGTACTCTGTCATATAACGCTTTGAAAATACTGATGGTTTTGGCCTCGAACTTTTCACTTAACTTGTTTCAACTGTCTACCACTCTGTTTACGAAAGGGAATTATCTTATATTTCTACTGCAGTTTTGTTTCATTAGCTTAAATCTGACTTCTTGTTCCTGACGTTTCAGGCCTCAGGAATTCTTCCCTGAGATTGTCGATTCCCATTACTGTTTTTTACGTAGTGATCATATTGCCTCATTTTCTTCTAGCATCTAGTTTTGACATACATGTATATGATGCCTCTGACCTCTCCTCATAGGTCTTGTTTTTCAGTTTTAGGAGGTATCATGCCCGAAACGCTTTGCGTAATAGTGGCTTTAGGCATTGTATGTACTAGCTATACCTATAAGTTAAACAATCCTTGTAAATATTTATTGTATGTATGTACCTTACCTAAATAAAATTGTATTGTATTGTATTGTATTGTATTGTATTTAGTTGCATGTTTTTTTCCGGGTTGTTGATGTTCTTCTTAAGATATGGTTACCATACAACTGTTGCATATTCCAATTCTGGTCTCACTAAAGTTGTGAACAATATCTTTAGTATTTCCCATCCATGTATTTAAAAGCAATTCTGAAATTGGAAAGTGTAGCATAGGCTCTTCCCACAATATCTATGTGCCCCTCAGGTAACAGTTTTCTCTCTAGAACCCCCCTTCCCCCTAGATCTCTTTATCAGTATTTTTTCTTTTAACTTTTTAACATAATTTGTAGGTTGTGTGTGGTCTATTTTCTCCTACTGCACATTCCATAACGTGGCATTTATTCACATTGAATTCCATTTGCCAAGTGGTGCTCCATATGCTTATTTTCTCTCGATCTTCTTGATGGGCATAACAGTTGTCTAAGTTTCTAATCTGCCCTAGTGTCTTGGCATCATCTGCAAACATGTTCGTATAATTCTGTACTCCTTCTGGTAGGTCATTTATGTAGACATTGAACATTACTGGTGCAAGAACTGAACCCTGTGGTACTCCACTTGTGACATTTCTCCAGTCTGATACATTGCTCTGATTACTGCCCTCATTTTTCTATTGGTTAGAAAATTTTTCATCAATGTTAAAAGCTTCCCTGTCACTCCAGCATGTATATTCTTTCCTGTAAGATTTCTGTGGCTCAATCATAAAAACTAAATAAATTTGTTACGCAGGATCTTCCAGATCAAAAACCATCTTGTGGTTTTCTTGTTATCTTGTGGTGAGCGTGTGTTGCTAATGTGCAGTTCAACCTAAACACTGTGTTCCTAGTGTTGCAAATATTGTCCATGCAATTGTTTTTGATGCACTCTTCATTTTTGGTGGTTTCCCTTTTTATTGCTGTGGTGGTCTTGTAACTGCAGACTTTTCCTCCCTTCTTTTGAGAGAATCTCCCCTCTTTTGAGAAGACCTCCCCTCTTTTGAGAGGTCCTCCCCTCTTGTGAGAGGTCCTCCCCTCTTTTGAGAGGTCCTCCCCTCTTTTGAGAGGACCTCCTCTCCCTGGAACTGGTCTCAGTAGGTGCTCATGAATTGTTAATGCCTGGTGGAGTACCCAAGGTTTGGAGTACCCAAGGAAACTCCAGGAAGTAGCTTGGGGAGCCTCCAAAGGAAGCCCTTCCAGAAATGTGTAGGAATTTGATAATCAGGATTTTCAGCTTTATGGACATTCAGAGATACTGTACTAGCTGGTCCAGATAATCAAGGCTATACCACGTAAAGAAAATTAAGTGCTCTTGATATGATTAGGGTTATGTATGTGTTTTATACAACTTTGAATGACTGCATAATAAGTTGAATGCTTATTACTCATATAGAAAAATGCTGATTTGCAGATCATAAGACTCCATTGCTGATGGAGCTTGTGAAGGAGCGGAAATCTTCAGTCATGTCACATACTGAGGTAGGTACTTTTTGTTTACATCTGTTTATATGGGTTTTCTGATTAATTTGTCAGTATTTAAAGTCATTAAATAATCCTTCATTTGCTGCTTTATTTCAATGACTTAAATAATTCTTGCATTATTTTATTTCAGAAAAACAGTAATGAAATAAAGTCTTCTGTAAACAGCAACAATGGGTATCATTCCTATTTGCCACTCCCCAATGGTCTCCTTTCCCATCCACATGCACTCGGTAGTAATCCTCTGTCAAATGCACTCAACAGTAATCCTCTGTCAAGTGCACTCAGTAATCCTTCTCACTCTCACGCACTTGGCAGTAATCCTTCTCACTCTCACGCACTTGGCACTAATCCTTCTCTCTCACACGCACTTGGCACTAATCCATCTCATTCGCACGCACTTGGCACTAATCCTTCTCACTCACACGCACTTGGCACTAATCCTTCTCACTCACATGTACTCAGCAGTAATCCTTCTCACTCACATGCACTCAGCAGTAATCCTTCAAATACCTCTATAAAGAAAAAGGGAGCTGATGATACCGACATGTCTGACAAAAGGATGGTGGAGACCACAAGTGAATTGAACAAATGCAGTAAAGATTTGCCTAAAGAGGCAGAGAAAACAATAAGAAATGATGCTGAAAACAGTAATGGTTTGGTTTTCAAGTTAGCATCTGAAAATGAACATCTCGGCTCGGGGAACGTTAAAAAAGTTGGTACGAGCAGCAACAGTATTTCAGGGTACGTATAACTCCAGAAGTAAATGTGTCAAATATGCTCTGAATTTTAGAGATGACCAGTAGTATTTTTTCGTGATATTTTAGTCGTATTAGTGAATACTCTGTATGGCGTTATCTTTCTTCCTCAGGTTCTCCATCTTGCCACCAGTAGAGAAGAAAACCGGTCACAGTTCTCTCGCTGGTAAAACAAGCTTTATATTCTCGTTCTTTTTTTATGTTCCTATGAACATTATGAGCTGTCATTTTTATAATTTGGGTAACTTTAAATTTTAGTATATTGTTCTGTAATAATTAAATACAGGTAGTTGCAGATGTATGGAGTTATGTAACTCTTTACCAAGAAAGCTTGCTTGCCCCTTAGAGGCACTCTTGTGAATCAAGTTGCTATACTTTAGTTATGAATTGTGTCATACAAAACAAGTTTAAAATCAGTATTTGTGTTTATATATGAGCATGTATTAGCATGAGAATTAAGAAAACAGCAGAAGTCCTATTTATATCCACTAACTCATTCATATACATGTCTAACGTTCACTTGAAGCAGTCAAGTGATCCTATGTCTGTTATGTTGCCCGGTAATCTGTTCTACAAGACAGCAACCCTATTGTATGTCTATACTGTAGTGTGACAACAAAAATTTAACTGCATAATTTAAATGGGGCCTAATAAGGGAAAGATATAGCTGAAGAATAACATCAGTTGTTTTCATTCTAACACTTTTAGACTAATTGTTTACTAAATAAACCTAAATTTGTCTTAATAGGTGAAGAAAAACAATATGAAGAAGACTTTTCATCAATGAGTGATAAAGAGGAGCACGATGGAGAGGACGACGAGGAAGTTGAAGAGGATGAAGAGGGTATTGAAGAAGCCGAAGATATCGATGAAGACATTTCAATTGATGATTTAATTAACTCCAGTGCCTCAGCTGTAAGTTTATCACTTTAAACTTTTGTTATTTTTTCTATGCTGCCTTCCCAAACATTAGGCTCCCAAGACTTTCTCGGACTACCAGGAGCCAGGACCAATATCTGGCCTCCTGAAAGAGGTAAGGGAAACACACAGGATTGAGAGATCAACACACATCTGAGGTGATCCTCCCAAGAAGCTGAACAGCATCAGCATCTCCGCGAGTAAATGGATGAAATGGCTAAATACAATCAAATACAATCATTTACAGTATTAAGTACAGTAGGTGTTTGTTTACGTTAAGATGATAAACTGCCTGATACACAATTCTTGATAAATGCTACAAATTCTAAATGAATACGCCAGCCATGTAGTCTAACATTATATAAAATAAAGCTATTTATGTTGTTAATTAATGCTGTATACAATTTGTTGTTGTCAGGGGTCAGATCACACGAACGATGTATCACTGTCTCAAGCAAGTGAGGTGGCGAGCTACCAGGAGAGCCTCTGACACCACTCACGGCTCCCATTATGTCTGGCCTTCACGCACCACAAGTGCCACAACCTCACATACACTCAAATGATCATTATGATCATTCTCAAGTGCTTATTTGTTCATTGTATTAGGAACATTCACTTTTAAGGAATTAACCTAAATGTTAATAGGTTTCTCGTGTTTAACTTTTATTTCATTGATAAATTATGAAGGGGCCAATCTAAGCAAAGTTATGCTTCCTTAGGGAAATTGTTGGTTGTACGTAATTGTATGTTGTTATACAGTACTTATATTTGCATAAGAAGATTTGTTTATTCTATACACAAATATATTATAACTTCATCACAATTCTATACTTTAGCTATTTTATTAACGTCAATAATTGAATAATTGAATCATTGTCTGATAATCAGTTGTCTATAATTTACTTTGCATCATTAAAAATGTTGTTCTTCAGAATGTGCCCTTGACCTTCAGCTTTAGAGTGTTGGTAACTCGTGCATAGCCCTATCTCTCTCTCTCTCTCTCTCTTCCCCAATTTCAGTTTCACTTTTGAGCTATTTAAGTGTCACACTTTGCTTTTTTCTCTGCTTATCATCATCATTTAATCATTTGTCTTGCACTTTTTTCTTCATAGTTGTTGTATTAGTCAGCCATATTGTGTTAATATAAATAACTTTTTACATTACTTATTTCTCCTCTGTGATACCATATAGAGTATAGTGCTATGCAACTCCAGAGGCATTCACCATATACTAATATGAAGCACAGTATTGTCTGCATTCTGCATTGGGGTTTGATTTTTGACTAATAGACCAGGGGCCAGATTCACGAAAGCACTTACGCAAACACTTACGAACCTGTTCATCTTTTCTCAATCTTTGGCGGCTTTGTTTACAATTATTAAACAGTTAATGAGCTCGGAAGCACCAGGAGGCTGTTTATAACAATAACAACAGTTAATTGGCAAGTTTTCATGCTTGTAAACTGTTTAATAAATGTAACCAAAGCCGTCAAAGATTGAGGAAAGATGTACAGGTTCGTAAGTGCTTGCGTAACTGCTTCGTGAATCTGGCCCCAGTTTTGTCATCTTACTGTTGCACTTTTATCCAGCATCTGTATCTAATACAATACTGTCTCTTCTTAGAACCCATCAGGTGGTCCAAGTTGTTTCCTTTTACTTGGATATTTATACACTTTGTGTTACATCTTGTCTATCTCATCTAAGCACTTATCATATCTTTCTCAGTTCCTCTAACCCTCCAACTTTAAAGAGGATTTGATTATATATTTGGAGTAGATATGAAGGAGCCTAAAGATTAAATGAGACAGTGAGGGAGTAGTGAGCGATGTGTTAGGACAGATTAATTTACCTAAGATTGGGATTTTGTAGAGATGTGTCAGTGCATAGGCAAGCATGATGTACATGGGGATGGCAGAGGTGTGTTGCAAGCTCAATTTATTGTGTTTGGTGGATAAGAATGTGGAATGAAAATGTCTCGGATGTTAAGTGGGAAAAGTCGGCAAACTGCAAGATCGAGAAGCATTTTGAAATGGTTTGGTCGTGTTGAACAGATGGATACCAAGACTGGTGAAACAAGTGCATCAAAATGAATTTGAGGGTAGAAGAGGAAGGCATTAATGGTGTGTGACATGATTAGCAAGTGGGAGAGAAAACAGAAAGTGAGTACCATATTGGACATAATAGGAAACAAAGTGAGTACCATATTGGACATAATAGGAAACAGGAAGTGAGTACCATATTGGACATAATAGGAAACAAAGCAGTTTACAGCAGGTAGCAGCATTATGTGAAGATGGAGGGAGTGTTTTATTTGTGTATGAGAACTCGTGTAGAGCACTATACACCTAGTTCTATGAAGTAGTGAGGCACTGTTGGGTATAATTTGTTGAAATATGGTAGAGCTGGTTGTTTAATATGCAGGTGATGAGTCACAATAACGTGGCTAAATTATGTTGACCATACCACACACTAGAAGGTGAAGGGACGACGACGTTTCGGTCCGTCCTGGACCATTCTCAAGTCGATTGTGATGAGGAAGTAGAACTCTACTACATCTTACTTTGCTCCTCACCGCTCTTGCCTATTTATTGCCTGCATCTACTTCCTCATCACAATCGACTTGAGAATGGTCCAGGACGGACTGAAACGTCGTCGTCCCTTCACCTTCTAGTGTGTGGTCTGGTTGTTTAATGTTACACATTGAAAATATGATGAGTGGATGAGAATAAGTTGATATTTGTACCCTAATTCTTTTTCTATACTGCTCCCATTTGTTCTCCAGGCTGATGCTATCCCAACTCATGAAACAGAAATAGAATAATAGTGGTAATGATACCCATAGGCAAAGAAAGTAATCGTATGCTTTCTTTTTTGCTGTGTCATGTGAGCCCGTGTTACAAAGGTACATTATAACTGTATCATACAGTATGTTATGGCTGTTTTGAACTTGTGAGTACAAATGTTTAGAGTACTTTTTGGGCAGGTAATCCTAGAGTATTACACTGAAATTCAGACACAACTTCAGTTGCCAAATTTGTAATTGGAACAAAAGTAAAAGCAAACATTATAGAAATGACAAATATCCTGATATTGAGGCTGGAAGTACAGTACAGTCTTTACAATAATATAAACCATTTTCACTAGTGATAATCATGCTAATTAAACTTTTCCCAACACTAGAGATTGGAAATGCACTACTGTAAATAAATTTTCCAAATATTTTATTATGTAAGTGAAGGTTACAAGTTGAAGTTTGAATTATAGGTAATGTATTGTAGTAGTGAAGACCTATGGCACACAGTAGTGAAGGCCTATGGCACACAGTACAGCACGTGTCTTGACCAAACATTGATGCTCTGGCTCTTCTTCCTGTGGTGGTGTACTGTAGGAAGACAGGCGAGCTGCTCATCCTCCTTCACGAAGTGATAAACGTGTTGTCCAGAACAGAGCTTAGTATTTAAGGTCTATGTATATCTGTTAATTCAGTGTTGGCCACTACTTGGCTTGTGAAGAGATAAAATCAAAATGAAGAACTGGTCTTTCTTCATCCACAGATAAGTAATGTTTTATTGATTTGTGATAAAGCTCAGGAGCATGAAGAGGCTGTGGGTGTGTAAGTACTGTGATGGAGGTAAACATAATGACAGTACATTAAGTACATTGCAACTTTGAATGTTGTTATGTAGCCTCCACTTGGACAAAAAATACTGGATGTAATGCTTGATGACTAATAAATATGAAAACTAAATATTGCAAATTTATTCACCCTCTTTAGAATAGGTTTATAATGGGTGCCATTGAGAGGTCAGACCAAATCCGTGTGAAGCAGTATAGTTCTCATTCATATATGTCTAAACTATGCTTGAAACATCCAAGGGAACCTACTTCTATTATGTTACACGGTAATTGGTTCCACAATAAGACAACCTTGATACCGAACCCGTATTTACCCAGGTCTTAACCAAGTCTAAACTTAGCCAATTTATACCCATTGTTTCGTGTTCAATTTTTTCTTGATACTTTGAATACCCGATTAATATTCCCTTTGTTATGGCCATTCATCCACTTGTACACCTCTATCATGTCACCCCTAATTCTTCGCCTTTCTGAAAAATGTAAATTAACCTTTGTCAATCTCTTCATGTGACAGGTTTCTAATTTGCAGGATTAACTTTGTCATCCTATGCTGGACACGTTCCAGTTTATTTATACCCATTCTGTAGTATGGCGACCAAAACTAAACTGCATAATCTAAACAGGGCCTAACCAGAGCAAGAGATATAGCTGAAGAACAACACCAGGTGCCTTATTAGTAACGCTTCGAGAAATAAATCCATGTCCTATTTGCCTTATTACGAACATTTCTGCATTGATTTTTTTGGTTTAACTTCTTACTAATCATAACTTCCAGATCCCTTTCACAATTTGATTTTGCATTCTCAATACCACCTAGCTTCTATCTTGTAACTATCGTCATTATCTAGCCTCAAAACCTTTCATTTGTCAGCATTAACCTGCATCTGCCAATCTTTTAACCATTTCAATACCCTATTTAGATCGTCTTGAAGTGATAAGTTTTACTGTGTTTATCTCCCTCCCGATTTTCATATCGTAAGCAAATTTACAAATATTGCTGGTCAAAACTGAATATAAATCATTTATATTGTTGACATTTATTTATAAGTCATTTACAAATATTCTCCAAATAGTTACTTGTTTTGGTGCATACAGTACTGCATTTCTGGTGATTTTCCTTCTGTTTTGTGGTTGACCTTGTATCCCATCTCTAGTGAGGGAACCAGATTCTGGTCCTGGTCTCTGGTAGGCACTTGTGATTTATTGGAGCCTGGTGGGGTATCCAAATTTTGGAGAATTCTGGGTTCTTGAGGTTATCTTGAGATGATTTCGGGGCTTCACGGGGCCCGGTCCTCGACCAGGCCTCCACCCCCAGGAAGCAGCCCGTGACAGCTGACTAACACCCAGGTACCTATTTTACTGCTAAGTAACAGGGGCATAGGGTGAAAGAAACTCTGCACATTGTTTCTCGCCGCCACCTGGGACCACAGGATCACAAGTCCAGCGTGCTGTCCGCTCGGCCGACCGGCTCCCTTAACTTGAAAACTTGGGTGGGTAACTTGAAAAGATACAGAGGGAACCCACCCAGAAAAACTATCATATCTAAGAAATGCTTAACCTACCCATCATCTACAGTACTTTTAAGATTTCTGTATGGATTTCCCACGGCTGCACTTAGTTGAAAGTGCTGTTCCCATTTCTCCGCTTGTCGGCACTACACAGGATTTGAGACAAGGCAGTGAGAACCACAAGGGTTCTGAAGGTAATTTGTTGGCACTTTTGCAGAGATATCTGGTACATGTACTTTAAATATATTTATTTAATTACAGAGTACATGTAACAATCAGAAATTTACCTCAGTATGGGTCCTTGTCACGAGGGTAAGGATTAAGAAAAATTACAACTCAATAAAATTAATTATATTTGTCAATAAAAATAATAAAATCTATTTTAATAATATTTGATTTCTATAAAATGGAAAGATATAGTATTTTATCCTAAATAGCTTGCAGATGATGATTGAGTTCGTTGCAACTCTAACTGAATAGTCTGCGAAAGGAGCTCAAGATGAAACCCAGGGTTTGGATCCCGTGCAGCATGGCCTGGTGTAGAGCAATGGTCACTAGCTGACGGATCACCTGAATTACCAGTTAAACCAAGGTCTGATCGCTGATTATCATCTAAGCCAGGTTCATCTGTTGAAGAAAAAATATCCACGAGGTAATACTGTACTGCATACAGAAAAGAAGCGGACGACGAGTCACAATAATGCGACTGAAGTTGTGATATACACACCACACATTAGAAAATGGAAAATAACCATGTTTCAGTCTGTCCTGGACTGAAATCTGGACATCAGGTAGTGTAATGGTCCAAGATGGACCAAAATATAGTTTCTTCATTTTCTGACGTGTTTGGATATCATGCAGAAAATAAATTACAAAAATATGGCTAAAAACAAATAGCAGTTTCATATCATATGTATGAGATGGGTTATTTAATGCAAAGATGGTTTTTACAAAACTGCTAAATGATATGGAGAGAGATGAAGTGCAATAGTTTATAACCTGCACAAATTTATTATGAGTATACTGTGAATGTTGGAGCATTTTTTACAAATGGTTGGTAGACTATATTTGAGTCAGAAAAATTTAGCAATATGTTCAAAAGTTACTAAAGAGCTGCTCACATGAAAAGTTCTATGTTAGAATTCTTACTTTGCTAATTCTTCATAATGTTAACAGTTGTCATTAACTCTTAGTAATATATATACTAAAAAATATACTGGAAATATATAATATGAAAAGCAACAGAAGACAAGATAATACAGTATGACCAAAAACCCAGCATTGACTAATGAAAAGTTTCTCGAGGATCCCCAGTGGCTCCCTGAAGCTATCTTGCCAATATTGCTCCATGCTAAAAAGCCACACCAGTTAAAGAAGTTTTGTTTGGCCTATGGAGACCAGAGCCAGAACCTGGCCCCCTCAGAGACACAGGGAGCGAGCGACAATCTGCCACCAGAAAAATACCTTCCAAAAAATTGGCAAACCTTTACAGACAACTGGAGGGTTCACAGAAAATGAAGCATCAAAATCGCCAAACTATTCTGTAACCGATTCATACAGGAGGTGATGAAATCGCCAAACTATTCTGTAACCGATTCATACAAAATAAGGGTTTCACTCAAACAAGCTTGAAACTCATTAGTACTGATTACTACCACCAGGTGGCCTGACACCATCTCAAGTCAGGAGGTGATGAACAAGCCAATGACGAACTGACGAGCCTGGAGGGAATTAGGGAGCCACTGGGTCTCCTTCAGAAAGAGGCATTTCATTATATTTAATGCTAGATTTCTGCAGGATTTCTCCCTGAACTTATTTAACCATAGAGAACACAAATGGAAGATAACAGGAAGGAGGAGTGGAGGTGGACACTAGGACAGAAAGAGGAAACCAGACCATAAGATATGACCCAAAACAACACACTAACAACATGGACCAGGAACACTGACCAAATACTGGGCTGCCAGAACTTTGTTAGAATGCCACACAATTCCTGAGCCTGAATATCAGCTCATGACATGTTGAAGACTGCAAGCTAGGTAGATGATGCAGATGACTTGAGAAATGAGTCTTGGAATAAGGGACCAAGGAAAAAGTCAAGCAACATGGTGTCCATTGAAAAATAGAATTGGTGGCTCACAGGCAGCAGCAAAGAGCCGCCACCCAAAACAACAAATGGTGAAACCTGGCAGAACCAACCAAGCAAAGATGACCAAAGGGGCCCCTTCGAACATCTGCCAACTCCTCCTCAAACAGAAAAGTAGAAGGCTGCAAATGAACAAACTGCTCACCAGGGGTCAAAGGGACAGAACCTACTTAACCACTGGGTGGATCATTTTCTGAATTGTTTACATTTGTCTTGTTGTTGCGTGTTTTGGTTCCCTGTACCTTTCTGGTGGTTGCTTCCTGGTGAGTGTGATCACAGATTCCCTGTTCTCTGTGTCTCTAAGTGAGACAGGGTTTGGCCTCTGGTACCCCAGTAGGCTTTTAGTGACTCAAGGTCATAGTGTGACTTGATAGAGTGGCTAGCTACAGGAAGCCACTGAGGTCTCACCAGAAAGAGAAGGCCTAGCTCAGAAAGTAATTCTTTAAGTTTGCTATGGTCTCTGTTCCTCTGGTAACAGAACAGCATACTGGAAGGCAAAAACCATGATAAATATGGTACCAGTAAATAAACATCTTTGATGCTTATTAAATAAGCATCTTTAATGCTTATTTACTGGAATGAAAGGCAATAATGCAATAACTAAGCAGAAGTAAGGCAGTGATTATTACCTGTGTTAATTGTTGCTGTGTCTTGTCCTTGATGCTGTCCACCAAGAGGGTGGTGGAGGCTCGAGTTTTGAAGCCGCCCATCACCTCTTACTAAGGATGATCCAACCGATGATGAAAGGTGTTGCATTTCATCAAGATGACTTCCATCAAGGTCAGTAACCTTAAACAAAAATTGTAACTGATGTACATGCATGATTGTAAATCCCCAGCCACAATAAGTACAAGAAGACTGAACTCACCACCATATCTAATGCAATACAGTACATGCACGTTATCTAAAATCCAATGCAGACATTACATTCATATTCCCTGGGAACAAAATCCTAGGGTTATTAATTTTGACAGCAACTTTGAAGCCAACCACATAGCTTCCAGTTCCCTTATTTGGGCTCAGCTTCAGGTCTGCAAATGTGTTTGAACAGATTCTGTTTGGTCCTTTCACTATTAATGTTTTAATCGTGATATGTTTTATTTTGTTACTGCCCCTTTTTCACTTTCCTTATTGCATACTGTACATTTGTTTACACGGGTACAGAAGCAGACACCTGACTAATGTTAGCAGGCTTAGAGCTTTCCCTTCCATACCTCATATTAAGCCTTACCCTAATAATTTGTTATTGGAACATGACCTTCTAATCAATTAAGGGACAACCAACTAAGGATCGGTGCCCAGTTAATCATCCTGGTCGGGGGAGCCTGTCGGCCAAGCGGACAGCACGCTGAACTTGTGGTCCTGGGTTCGATCCCAGGCGCCGGCGAGAAACAATGGGCAGAGTTTCTTTCACCCTATGCCCCTGTTACCTAGCAGTAAAATAGGTACCTGGGAGTCCAGTCAGTTGTCACGGGCTGTTTCCTGGGGGTGGAGGCCTGGTCGAGGACCGGGCCGTGGGGACACTAAAAAGCCCTGAAATCATCTCAAGATATCCCTGGCTGGGGTTTAGAAGAAATCACTCATAAAATGTGGGGCGAGTGTTATCACTACAGCACAGGGACTAATTTGACTGTTGTGACCCTCATCCTCTCCTAATTCAAATGTTCCTATGGTAAGCAAAGAAATCAAGAGGTTCTTTTGTTTCAGGCGAAGGTTAGGCATATATATGAGTGAGTTTGGGTGGATATAAACAGGAGCTGCCTTGTATGGGTCAAAATGTCTTCTACAGTTTAATTTATTATCTTCTCATACCAAAAAAATATAAAAACAAATATATAAGACAGGAGAGGAGATAAAGAGTGACATGTTGAGAGTGCAAAAATACATTATATGAGATAGTGAAAATTTAGGTGTCTATATAACTACACAGTAAAGACAATACACTGACTTTAATACTGGGCAAGATAACTTATTGAATACATTACACATGGACAGAGAAATAAATGTGTAAGTGAATCATGCACATACAAAATCATTGGAGCAGGATGGTGAATGCACCAGCATCATGGGGTCACCCCAGACACTGGTTTGATCTCTATCCTGCTCCAATGATTTTCGTGAAGATATATCATGCTACTATGATTTCCTAGTGCATCCACACACAATTTTGACTGGTACCTGTTGTGCAGAAGCTGGAGTGGTGGTATACATGATGTTAAGACCATCTGTTGATGATACCGTATGAGGAGCAACTTCCTCATCACCACTGTTTATCATGATGTAAGTTGCATGATCCCCCATGGAAGAGCTTGCTCCTGGGCCTCCTGCAGGTGTTGTTAACGCTACACTGTATGAACAATTTACTCCATTCTCTCCTGAACCACTGATTGGAATGATTGATGGGACTGATAATGGATCGCTGCTGATAAAAATTCCATCTTTTGCCGAAACAGAGCCGCCGAGACTCGCAGATTCCAAGTCAGACGGCAGTAGCTGCTCTGGGATGAGATGTGCGGGCGTTTCTCCGGGCAACAGAAATTCTGTCAGATCCTTTGACTTGACTTGACTGTCCTGTTCTTGCTGCTGGTGTTGTTGGGGTTGATGCTGCTGCTTCACCAGCTGAGGTTTTTTATCACTGTGATGAACCTTCCGGATGTGAGACGTGAGATCAGTTTTCACAGCAAATGACTTAAAACACAGTGCGCAGGTAAAATGCCTCTCTTTTTCGTGTCGCTTTTTATGTCTTACAACACATTTGGAAGTTCTAAATAATTTACCACATATATCACAGGAAAATGGCCTTTCTTGTCTATGAAACACCATATGCTCTAGCAGGTAATTGCTATCCACATACCCTTTCCCACACACTTTGCAGATGTTAGGCCGCTCATTGGTGTGGCGTTGTAAATAGTGATGGTGATGGTCACGCTTGGCATTGAACCCCATCCCACACATTTCACACATCCAGGGTTTATTTAAGTTGTGCAACACCAGGTGCTTGGCTAAATTGCCTCTAGAGCTTAACACTTTGTTGCATATGTAGCAAGTATGAGGGTCCCGACTTCCCTGACCTGCAGGGGGCATCTTGTATTCACGCTGTCGAATTAATTTGCCATCTTCTCCCAATTTTCTCACATACTTTCGCTTTTCAGTCTTCTCACGTGGCTTTGCTTTAGGCCCAGGCTTTCTCTTGAACTTTTTAACATGTTCTTGAGGAGGAGTATGAGGAGGTGTATCTCCAGGATCATCTACCATTTCTTCTTCTATTTTAGTGACTGCTGTATCTGTCCTCTCTTTATTCCATCTACATTCTGAACTGTTGGTCTGTAAGTTCTGAATAGTGGTTGTGGTTAATGAACTCGGAGCAGCAATATTTTTACGCCTCTTGACTTTCTGATGAGGTGTTGTAAACCTGAATAAAGCTGATGAGAGTTCCTGAACTGTGTGAGTCATATGATGCCGACTTAAATCTTTGGGTTGGGTAAACTCGCTGCCACACACAGCACAGCTCCACATTGTTTCGCAGTCTGCCTCGTCCTCCACATCATCTTCTGGAATGTGTCCATCAAGAATATTATGTGCATCATCACTTCTCATAGGCTCTCTTTCTATCTTAAGTTCATATGTAGGTTCTTCAGGTTGTCTCAAAGGTGACATTAAAGCATCAACAGTAGACTGGGATGTTGATGTTGCAAAAGTCAAGTTGTTGGGGTTCTCTGTGCAATCTTTCTCCTGGTGGCATGCAACAGCTTCTGAGCTAGTGAATACTAGGTTGCAGTAGGCACAAGTCCACACCACACTGCACGGTGTGTCATTCTTTCTTTCAGATCTAATTGCTGGTCTGAGCACTTCATTCGCACGGTACTGGTTAGAACCCACACCATTTATGATACTATTCTCCGAAATTTTGGTGTGCACAAGTGTACCAGCTCTTGTCAGCATACTAAAACCATGTAGATGATGTGGTATGCTCTCAACGTCCTGTTCAGCAATGATACGAACCATATCTAGACTAAGGGAATCTTCACCCAAAAGCTTTACTATCACCTGAGGAGGTAATTTGCGGCCATTTCCAGTCACATCTTGGCAGTCAGAGGGAGCTACCATTGATGTGACAACAGCATCAATTGAGGATGAAGTAACAAGGTTGCCATCAATGACTGCATCATCAGATGTACTGACAATCTGATTCATATCTACATGAGATGCTGTACTTGGTGTTGATGAGCCAACAGCAGACATAGTAGCAACAGTAAGTGTGTCACTTGCAGAGATGGCTGCATCCCCAAAGTTGTTATCCGCATTCATGCTTGTAGATGGAATGGCATTTGCTGTAGTGTGGGGAGACACATTAACTGTGTTTGCACCAGCATGAGACGTAACGGCCAGCGTACCGGCAACCGAGAGAGGCGGTGCCGAGAGCGGTATTGTCCTGGTATGAGATGTAGTTGTGAGTACTGTGGTTGAAGAGAGAGCATTGTTAACCAGAGCCGACGAAGCCAGTGCCTCACCCTCGGACAAGGTAACCGTGTCCAGAGATTCCGTACCAGACACAGCAGGAGACTGATTGTGTACCACAGAGGTCAACTTAAGGGTTGCTGCTGGATCCTGAGGCAGCTTGATATGATCATAATGCTCGTACATAATGTGGTACTCTGCATCTTCCACAACACTGGAGTCCTGATACCTGTTAATATTAATTCACATTATAAATAGCTTAACAAATTTTTTTGTATAACTTTCGCTGCACACCTATTGTCAATGATACTCTTGTATGCATCACTTTTTTTAACTGATAAATTTATGATGGTTTGTTGCTCATTTGAAGTGACAGTATTGCATAAAGCAGGTGATAAATGCATGGAGGGAAAAATGTTAAAATATATAATGTGTAACAATATTGTATTTATATAACATAATATAATAAATTGCATCAGAAGAACAACAGATATTCTAAGGTTTTATTTAGACAAGTTTAGAACAATTATTCTACATCATAAAACAGTGCTTTCTGAAGTTAGAGAAAAATACAAGAACAAGTCTAATAACTTTAGTTTGGCCATAGTGAGGTGAAGAAAGTTCATGACATCATATACTGAGCGATAATTTTCAAGTTAATTATACTGACTCCATTTCTCATCACTAATATCTTCCAAGTGAATAAAAGTCCTTGAAATTTTGCGGTGCATCAATGATTCCTAGCTTGGGGGCCAGAAAATGGATGGTGACGGACCTGATATGGTGGCCATCTTTTTACTACGGTCTAGCATGGAAACTAAGGCTCGCTCACATCATGTTTGGTTTCCAATATGGGAACAATTTTAGCATTAAATGACATCTTCTTGAGACTGCTAGCATGACTGGTGCTGTGAGCGACTGATACCATGACTATGTGGTGACATCCACATAGTCACAGCACCAGTCATGGTATCAGTCGCTCACAGCACCAGTGACAGTCACAGCACCAGTGACAGTCACAGCACCAGTGACAGTCACAGCACCAGTGACAGTCACAGCACCAGTCATGGGATCAATGGGTGCCAGCAGACAGGGAGAGGCGGTGAGGGAGTCATGTGTGCCAGCAGACACCACAGGAGCCAGCAGCAGCAGCAGGAGGAGGAGGATCAACTCACATGTCTGGCGGGCGAGGAAGCTCTCACACACAACACACTAGGGATCACTAGCCATCAAAACACACGACCCGAGACACCTTGTAATCCCAGAAGTAAATATTGACACACACATCCGGGAGGCTGAGGAGGAGGAGGAGCATCAGATGAGCCTTCTTGTAGCATCCACTCCCACTCGAACGCTCACAGTAGGTTCGGATTCCTTTTAATACGTTCCAATCCGATGTTAGGAGCATCCGCTTGTATTTTGTAGACTCTGATCTCTTATGGGAAGGATCCGGGGGTTCTGGAGTAATGGATTAACTCATTAGCTGTTAGCAAGACTAGTTTTGGGTTATTTTCTAGTTTAACATCAATAGCTATGATGATATAATAATATATACCTTCAGGTATGTATTATTACCTGAGAGCCGGTGGCTGAGCGGACAGAACACTGGGCGCGTGATTCTGTGGTCCTGGGTTCGATCCCGGGCACCGGCGAGAAACAACGGGCAGAGTTTCACCCTGATGCCCCTGTTACCTAGCAGTAAATAGTTACCAGGGAGTTCGTCAGCTGTCACGGGCTGCTTCCTGGGGGTGGAGGCCTGGTCGAGGACCGGGCCGCAGGGATACTAAAGCCCCGAAATCATCTCAAGATAAGATGTATTATTATCTTTAGCTCTACAGTACTCATATTAATTTAAGATCCATATGTATTTTATTTGATGGTTGTAGATGAGGTACCAATCAGTGCCCAATAGTAGACAAAATACGTACAATGGTGATAGTGGTGCCACGTTTCCCCCCTTTACAACTTTATCAGTACTCAGAAGTCAAATATTATTATTAATATTATAATATATCTAAGCTCACCCCACCCACATGTCAAGGAAGAATAAGATGCTACGAACCAGACCAAACATAATTAGGTGCTGAGTACAGTTAGTGTTGTTTAACACGTGGGTAGTGATGGTGTAAAGTTTTGTGTGTGTGTGTGTGTGTGAGAGAGAGAGAGAGAGAGAGAGAGAGAGAGAGAGAGAGAGAGAGAGACCGAGAGAGAGAGAGACCGAGAGAGAGAGAGAGACCGAGAGAGAGAGACCGAGAGAGAGAGAGACCGAGAGAGAGACCGAGAGAGAGACCGAGAGAGAGACCGAGAGGGAGACCGAGAGGGAGAGAGAGAGAGAGAGAGAGAGAGAGAGAGAGAGAGAGAGAGAGAGAGAGAGAGAGAGAGACCGAGAGAGAGACCGAGACCGGAATGAATGCACTATAATATCGTGCTATTGTTGCATGTGATCACAACTCAGCCATACTCACTTCCGCCCAGCCTACTGCTGCTAGAGAGGAGACATAATTACCGCATACAAAATACCGAAAGGAGTTGATTGATAAAAACACATTTAAACTTGAGTAGTACATGAATAAATAGACATAAATTTAAACTAAATACCCAAATGAGTCACATGTCAAACATTAAACAATATTTTAGTGTCAGAATAGTGACAAATTAGAATGCGCCAAGATATAAGACTACCATACATACCTTTAGATATAGAACTTATCCACCAGTTTATTACACGAGCCATAGCCCAAGAGCCATAGCTCAACCCTTGCAAATATAACTTAGGTGTGTTAATTTAGTTTATTTATTATGCACCCCATACCGCGTATATACGAAAGGGTTGCATGAGACGAAAGTGACTTTCATACATAGCTTTATACATAGAACTTATCCACCAGTTTATTAAACGAGCCATAGCCCAAGAGCCATAGCTCAACCCCTGTAAATATAGCTTAGGTGTGTTAGTTTAGTTCATTTATTATGCACCCCATACCGTGTATATACGAAAGGGTTCCCTTAGTCGAAAGTGACTTTCATACATAGCTTTATACATAGAACTTATCCACCAGTTTATTAAACGAGCCATAGCCCAAGAGCCATAGCTCAACCCCTGTAAATATAGCTTAGGTGTGTTAGTTTAGTTCATTTATTATGCACCCCATACCGCGTATATACGAAAGGGTTGCCTTAGTCGAAAGTGACTTTCATACATAGCTTTATACATAGCAGTTTATTACACGAGTCATAGCCCAAGAGCCATAGCTCAACCCCTGCAAATATAGCATAGGTGTGTTAATTTAGTTCATTTATTATGCACCCCATACCGCGTGGATACGAAAGGGTCGCCTTAGACGAAAGTGACCAATGAGGCAGTAGAGTGTACCAAAGGAACTAAGCCCAGCTAACCCAAGCTAAGCTCTGTCTACGGCGCCTTAGTCAAGCTTAGTTATATGTTGTAAGCTAAGGTTATAGCGTATAGGGTTGTGAGGGTGACAAGAGGAGCAGCGGCACCCTCCTGGATGGCTGCCTCAGACACTATGATTAAACTAAAGCTTCTCAGTCACCAGAAAAGCTATAGGGGTATGTATATGTGTATTACCTTAGCTCTAGGGGTATGTATATGTGTATTACCTTAGCTCTAGGGGTATGTATATGTGTATTACCTTAGCTCTAGGGGTATGTATATGTGTATTACCTTAGCTCTAGGGGTATGTATGTGTGTATTACCTTAGCTCTAGGGGTATGTATATGTGTATTACCTTAGCTCTAGGGGTATGTATGTGTGTATAACCCCAGCTATAGGGTGTGTATATGTGTATAACCCCAGCTATAGGGATGTGTATATGTGTATGACCCCAGCTATAGGGGTATGTATATGTGTATAGCTCCAGCTATAGGAGTATGTATATCATGTATGACCCCAGCTATAGGGGTATGTATATGTGTATAGCTCCAGCTATAGGAGTATGTATATCATGTATGACCCCAGCTATAGGGATATGTATATGTGTATAGCTCCAGCTATAGGAGTATGTATATCATGTATGACCCCAGCTATAGGGGTATGTATATCATGTATGACCCCAGCTATAGGGGTATGTATATCATGTATAAGCCCAGCTATAGGGGTATGTATGTATATGTGTATCATGTATAACCCCAGCTATAGGGGTATGTATGTATACGTGTATCATGTATAACCCCCAAAGCTCTAGTACCTCAAGCTACACTCGACGCCCATATTGTACGGGTCCTTATGTTCATACAGTGGCGTTGGGGGGACAGGAAGCCTGAGTATATGTACATGATGCTGGCAGCAACTCAGCCGTCAGGCCCCTATAGTATGTGTATAGAGAACACAAATACCCTAAATGTTTTTAGACCATATTTTCTAATACCCGTATGACAATTAAAATTGTTGAATTATTTTTAATTTCAGTTTTAATTTTATCTGGAAAGACTTAAGTGATTATCTTAAAAAATCTATTAAAAATGTGATATTCTAAGTCCAGTTTTTAGGGCTTTATTTTGAGCATCAGTATTGGGTAGGGCCCAAAAATGATGTGACAGCCAATGGGATAAGTTAGTGTCAATGTTATTTTATTAATTTAATTACATATTAAATGAACATATCAAGTTTTACTATACATAAAAATTCACCTAACAGTAAGTTAGGTGAATTTTCCTGCCCGAAACGCTTTGCGTAATAGTGGCTTTAGGCATTGTATGTACTAGCTCTATCTATAAAGCCAACAAACTTTGTAAAATCTCTTTATGTATGTACCTTACCTAAATAAAAATTATTATTATTATTATTAAGTAGGTACCCTGGAGCCAGTCAATTAGTTAACTTGCTGTAGAGTTCCATCCTAGTGAGGGTCAATAGTACGACTTTGTTGGGAGCCTCGATACCATCTTAAAGATGGTATCGAGGACAAGCTGCCTGTCCTCAACAAAATTAATAAATTATTATTTTGACATGTGAGAGTTTGTATTTTATAGATGAGGATCTTCTGGTGAACATCAGAGACTTGGGTCCAGATATTAAGGAAGGCGATGTTATTGAAGTTTATCACCTGGAAGATGACCTGCCTCGGCTGCTTCTTCAGGTTCCCAAGACAAATGAAGATGTTACTGTACAGAAAGGTCTTATAAACTGCTCTTTCTTTTTTATTGAAATAAACATTATTACAATACTGTACTTATATTGGAGTTTTACTAAGCATACTAACTATTTTTTTCATAATTACAATAGACTGCACAGTTCTTGTTTTATTTAGTGTAAATTTATTTGTAGTGGTTTATTTGTTACAATGCTTAATATTTTCTAATTTTTGTTTATTTCAGATACTATCAGTATTGAACAGAGCATTGCATCCACCTTCCAGCTGCGGAATTATAAAGATGTGATCATAAACAAAGTTGAGCCAAAGACTGTTGCGCTGGAGATGGTTGAACTCACCTTTAAGGACCAGTATCTTGGCCGCTCTGATATGTGGAGACTTAAAATGAACTTGGTAAACATCCTTGTTTTATTACGAATTATTCTGTACAATATTAAATTTTCTTTGGGAACACACAGCAGGGTTTTAGTTCATTTGGTAGAACAAAACATAGATCAAAACATAGTTCATTTGGACTATGTTTTCTCTTATAAAATTGAGAAAATAAAAGCTCATTTATATTAATACTGTAGCATTGGTGGAATGATCATGAGATTTTCCTAATAGAAATAGTATGATAAAAACAGTAGTTTCTTTTTTTTGGGCTGCATTTCAACTCTTGATAAGGATTAGCCCCCAAAAATTGTATTAGTGCTTAAGTATTAATTCAAGAATACTGTATGTTGACATGAGTGCAAGATATGTAGAGAGATGTATTAATAAGTACAAATGTAGCAGTATGTTGGGAGAATGTTACAGAAGTTGGGTGACGTTGAGTACAGTGAGGTAATATGGACATGTTAGTTGAATGTCTGAAAGGTGTTTCACAAGACAAATGTACAAGGGAGAAATATGTTTTGATTATATGGTAGAGAAAGTGTAACAATATATACAAGAAAGGTGTGGAAGCAGCAAGAGAGTTGGAAAGAGTTAATCAATATCTTGCTTATTTTTAATGAAATACAAAGGTTTGATAAAAAAATTATGTATTTAAGAAAAATCTACAATATAATATGATTTTGATACATATTTATCGTATATTTGGTGAATTAATAACAAAAATTCTTAAATGTGAAAAAAATCAAAATTTAGTCAGGATTAATTTTTATTGTTAAATTGCATATGAAAATGTTATTTCCAATAGAAATGCTTAAAATCAATAAGTCTTCATGAGATAAAATGGTTTATATGGTGGTAAAGCTTCTTGAGGAACCTCTGAGGAGCCTCAGAGCCTCCTGGGAGGCTCCTGGGAGGGAGCAAGGCATTGAGACTATAATCAGATATTATACTACAGTATACATGTGTATTTTAGGATCAAGGGCAGTGATGCTGAATGATCAATTTTGCAATAGCTATAAGATGATAGTAATGTAATATTTCCTTTGTTATTTTATGCAGGTGGATTCTGTTGTGTATCTGAACAAGAAGATAGAGTTTTGCTGTGGAAGCATCCGCTGTCAGGTTTATGAGATGTGGGCCCAAGGAGGAAAGGTTGCGTGTGGAGTTATAACAGACGATACGAAGGTAAACACATAGTTTATCTTGGTGTTTGGTAGTATGGTATGAATTGAGCTGTAACTATAATAATGGTGTGATAAGAAAGTGGTTTATGTTCAGTCATTTAGCAGAAGGTAAAAATCTGTTCACCTACATGGTATCTGGATGCCTCCGGACCAAGACCATTAAAAAAATATGGGGTATTATACAAAATCCTGTGTATAGTACTGCAAAATAAAAATTGGTTATCTGGTTGCCAGTGGCAAGAATGGTGAAAATATATTTGAAAATTGTTTTAATTGTATTTTAACCACAGACCCCTTGAGTCGACAGTCTCCCGATGTGCATGAAAACTAAAAAGACTTGGATATTAAATTATTTATTTTTTATTTTTCTTACTTTTTGCATGCAAGTGTATATTTTATAAGAATTAATCAGGCCTTTAATCGCAGCCGCACTTCAGGTGTTATTAATAAATAAATAAATAAATGTTTATTCAGGTAAGGTACATACATACAAGAGATTTCTACAAAAATTGCTAGGTTTATAGATAGAGCTAGTACATACAATGCCTAAAGCCACTATTACGCAAAGCGTTTCGGGCAGTTATTGTTGTTTCATATTGCATACAGAAATGTAATGTATGTAATGTATGTTTGCGATAATCCCAGTCAATCAATTATATATAATCCACAGTGTCTCTGATCCAAGCAGTGTGGAATACGGAAACTTGTTTGTTTCACACACAAAAAAAATGAAGTTTTTGGTGCAAGTAATTGGGGTTCAGAAATGATGTACAGTAGTTGACCACATTGCAGCATAGTATTTGCATGTATCTTTATGTATTTTTCCTATTTACTGCAGTAGGTTGGCAATCTGAATGTGTGTGTGTGTTCTGATGAATAATGTATTTTCTAATTATTGCTACATTGCTCAGTTAACTTGTAAGCATCACAACACTCCGAATTATTATCTAACAATTTTGGAGATGCGAGATGAACCCATAAAATATTGTGGTATTAAATGAACAAATCTACAAGGGCCGTGACGAAGATTCGAACCTGCGTCCGGGAGCATCCCAGACACTGCCTTAATCGACTGAGCTACGATTGCAGTGTCTGGGATGCTCCCGGAAACAGGTTCGAATCCTCGTCACGGCCCTTGTGGATTTGTTCATTTGATGCATCACGTTAGTGTGATCTGTGTGTGTAATTGTGGTATTCTTGTGGTTGATATATTGCTTAGGAAAGTACCAGTCATGTGCTACTGTGTATAATATAGTTATTTTGATTTCCCCCCCCCCCAAGGTTGTTTATCGGTCATCAACAAGCATGGTCTACCTCTTTATCCAAATGAGCTCCGAGATGTGGGACTTTGATATGTATGGGGATCTATATTTTGAGAAGGCTGTGAATGGATTCCTTTCAGAGCTTTTTGCTAAATGGAAGGTAAGATATCTAGTTATGTCTATTCTCAGTAAGTTTGCCAGTGCCTCTAGCATGGGGACCTACCCAGATACCCTCCATATTCACCCTACTTTCAGATGTGCATTCTGTTCTAATACTGTATATTTGCTAAAATAAACTTTCATCTGAATACTGCTGTATTGCCCATATTTTGGGCACAGGTAGGCCACATTACTGCCAGTTGGATGCATAGGACTTCTCTTGAAAACAGAAGAGTCAATAAAGCGAGTTATTAATCTAATAAACAATTCAATCAAATTATGAATGAGAAATATTTCCCATTAATGCAGGGAACTTCAGTTAGGACATTTCTTTTATACATTGTTATACATATATACACATTGTTGTTTGTGAAGCATGCATAACCACTTGTCACAGCAAAAGCATTAACAAGCTTCCAGTAATGATGATGTTTTGTTTCAGAAAGAAGGTAGCAACCACGATGTGACCATTGTCCTCTTCTCACGCACCTACTATAAGGCCACCAATATTGATGAGTTTCCTACTTACATGAAGGAGTGTCTCCAGGAAGACTACAAAGGCAGATTTTATGAAGATTTTTATAGGTATGACTCGGTTTATTGTCCTTATACAATGAAACATCTTCAAATAAAATTAGTTTTCCTCATAATTTTTTTCATAAAAGAATGCAATGCACTGTGGAATGCTGAGGTGAAAGTATTAAAATAAACACAAAAATATTTCACTTACAGTAATTTAAAATATGAAGTTTTGAATTTAAATTACATGTAATTAATAGTGAGAATAGCAACAAGTTTTATATGGTGGAAAATTGTCATCTTCTAGTGACACTAATGACAAGTTCATTAGATATTTTTTCAAGGTAATCAAGGATAAAATTTCTAACACCCAAGCAGATAACAGTGCAGTGCACATTGTGTTCAAGGCTACTGATGCCTGATGAGTGCCATGTTTATTAGTAAAGAATACAGCTGGAGAGGGAGAAAGGGGTATGGTTTTACAAGTTAGGGGAATGCCTTCACTTTCTCATGCGGAACAGCCCCTTTAAATAGAGAGAAAATAGGACAAGGTGACATTGGTGGAAGGTAGATACTCACTTGAGTTTTAAAGATGTAAGGAAGTCAATATATTTTGTACAGATGAGTCAACAAGTAGAATGCAGTGAAAGAGGAAGTTGTCTAGCCACTCCCACCCACAACTTTATCAATAAATATGATACAAATTGGAATGTAGAGAGAAAGAGGTAATTAAGATGCCAGATATAAGAGGCAAGGAGGAGGGACATAAAGTGCTATATCTCACTTCCCCAATCACTGATAAGTAAGCACATAATGGCAGGGGAAAAAACCACAGCAGAGGAAAGAAAACATGCTTACAGACACCACTTGAGGAAATAATTAACTGAGAGCATACAGCATGCAAGGCAAGCTCTCATTAACCGAGAGCATGAGATAGTGCCTTCTCTGTTAACTGAGCAGTCATAAGAAAAATATATATTAATTGTTCTTCTTCAGTATTTTATTTGCAATCCGCGTACAATCAGGTGCTATAATGAATCAGTGCTATACAGGCAGTTCTGAACAAGGAATGCCATTACAGTATTGGTATCTGAAATGAGCATTTTAGGCCAGATTCATTTGGTTACCCCTGGTCCTTACTCCTTTCCAATATCCCTTATGTAGGACTTTTTGTTTATTTTATTAGGAACAATGTGAGGAAACACAGTTTGAAAATATTGTTGTACTGTAGTGCCAGTATCTGGAATGTTTCCGTGCCTGTCTATATTATTTACTCATCATTGATAGTGTCACCTTTCCTTAGGGGAGAACCACATTAATCTTTTGAAAAATGTGCTTCTCCTATACCTCATATACTATACACAAGTTTAAATTCGTAAAAAAAAGTAAAAAAAAAAAAAGAAATTAAGGAAATTCCTGTTTCAATTTTCCTCCGTGGTCTGACACTGTCACTATATACAAAGTCTATGTTACATTGTGAACTGAGAACAGGCAATCTGCATTTGTTGACAGGAAGGGAATAGTGATGTGTTAAAATCCACTCTTTAGCCACCTTTGGAGAATTAACTTGGCTAGCTAGTCTGCTTAAGAACAATTTATTTCTGTTCAAAATGTGATTTGCTTAACCTTAAAACTCATGCTAAGTGTTAAGAAAAAATATTTGCTTTAATAATGTTTATTACAATTTCACAAATTTAATATTAGATACAGTAATTTATTTGATATTTAAATTCCATACTGCATTTACAATGAGGTGGTGTACTTTCTCAGGTTAACTATTTGAGCTTGGCATTGTAATATTGTGTGTTGGGACAGGGTTGCCGTGCAGAATGAGCGTTATGATGACTGGTCACCAACGCTAACCCGTCTCCGTCGTATGTTCAACAACTATTTGCCAACTGTGTTAGACTACCACCGGAATCAGGGGGCTGATGTGCCAGAAGCAACAAATTCCTGTGCCTCACAGGGAAATTTTCTAGAGGTCCTCAATATTTCTCTTAATGGTAAATACCTGTACTGTAATGTTAGAATCTTGTGTAAAAAGAATGAGCGTCCTTTGTAAAAATATAATGAGAAATGTTCCAGTGTTTGTAAGGTGCTTTGAAATGTGATAGGCGATGTATGATGCTACTTTTATTATCAAAATTATCCTATAAAATTACATGCAGAAATCACAATTGCATGATGCATCAAATGAACAAATCCACAAGTTCAGTAGAACTTGTGGATTTGTTCATTTGATGCAACACGCAATTGTGATTTCTCTGTGTAATGAAGTAAGGGCGAAGAGGGAGAACGGCCTATTGACATAGCTCGTGTGCATGGGGGGAGTTGTGTAAAACCCTGGTTTGTGCTTCAGAGAGGCTGCAGGATCCAGTACGTTCAGTAGAACTTTGGTTTCAACTCCTTTTACCATGTTGTAGCTCAGTCGATTAAGGCAGCGTCTGGGATGCTCTTGAATGCAGGTTCGAATCCTCGTCACTGCCCTTGTGAATTTATTTATCCTATAAAATAATCTCACAGAGTAAAGGCAGATAATATCTCAAGAGTGTTGTTTAAGGCACCAGAGGCACCAGAGGGCATACACCCAGGTTCACAGAAAGTAAACAATCCACCCTGTAGTTAGGTCTCATGTCTCTTCCCCCTTTAGTTACTGATTGCCAATGCCAGCTCCCCCCTGTCAACAATCCTCAGTTCTTTACCTGCTGTTTGACATGTCTGACATGCCTCTTGAATCACTAGCCCTATGGGATCCTGATTCTCTTGATAAGTGTTGGCCATCCTTGGGACTCTTTCTTGTGGGGTAGCCCTTTTGTTTGTGTATTGTTTCAATATTTAGTATTTGTTTCATATGAGTGTGTTTACAAGCCTCACTTGATATGTGGATGATGGAAACTGTTCACCTCGAGCCTTATGCAGACCTTCCTTAGGCTCTCATTCAGTGTAGCTCCTACCCCTCACAGGATTGCTTCCCTGGTGTGTTTGGGGTGTTCATCCAATAGATACCAGCCTACTTAGAGGGTGTCTTACCCTGAGTAGTGCAAGTCTCTGAGGTTGGAGCATTCTGGGGTTATTATTTATGGGGTGCACTAGGGTTTATGTTTGTACACAAGGGTCCCAGTAGTACAATCTGGTTCGTTTTCGACGCACAATCGAGAATTCCAGGTTCAAATCCCGGGCGGGACAGAAATGGTCGGGCACATTTCCTTTCACCTAATGTTCCAATTCATCTAGCAGTAAGTAGGTACTCAAGAGTTAGTCAGCCTGTTGTGGGGTTGCATCCTGGGCGGGGTCAGTAATTTCGGCCTTTGGTGGGTAGGGGGGGGGATGGGACCTTGATAAAATTGACGTGTATAAATCTACTCTGGCTTCCTGTTCCCCCGACATAATGAATTATTACAGTATAATTATTATTATATGGCATGCAGCTGATGCCATTCACATCTGCTTTCTTTTGTGCTGCATACAGTGTTGGTTCTTTTGTGAGCATCCTCGTGCCTGGGTGTCCTGCTTGGTCTTTACCTTAGACAGTGAGTATGTACACAGTTTGCTTCAGGGTCACAAATGTTGTCCAAACAGTTGCTGTGTTTTGATGCACTCTAATTTTCTGATGGTCTTTCGGTTCTGCGGTAATCTTTTATCCCCAGATTCCTCCTTGCCTTAGTTGGGGGTCAGATTCTGGTCGGAATGTTTGGTAGGCGCTCGTGATTTGTTAGAGCCTGGTGTGGTGCCAAAGGTTTGCAGGTTACCAGGTGGGTAGCTCCGGGAACCATGAGGGATCCATTAGAAAAAGGCATTTCATTACATTCAATACTGGATTTTTCTGGTATATTTTTGATTTTCTGCTGTACTGTATTAAAATTTTTCTGCTTACAGTATTTGAGAAGCATTATCTGGATCGAAGTTTTGACCGCACAGGTCAGGTTTCTGTGGTAATAACTCCAGGTGTTGGAGTTTTTGAGGTGGATCGCGAACTGACAAATATCACCAAGCAACGCATCATTGATAATGGTGTTGGGTCAGACTTGGTGTGTGTTGGTGAGCAGCCACTTCATGCAGTTCCACTCCTAAAGGTACTTTTGTGCTGACTTGTATTTAATATATTAATGCTATACTACTGTTTTACCATAATTTTTTCATGTCCTTATTCTGTTATAAGATTGTTCATACACACTTGTTTTCTGGGAGGACTTTGTCAGTAGCTCCAGAGCTAAATCAATGGAATTGCCAAGACTTAAAAAAACCCACACCAGGCCTCTGAGACACACCTGAGCTTACCGGAAAATAGGCCAAAATTTGGCTGTCTTTCAAAATTTGGATGGGCAGAGTTTAGACATCAGAGATAAGCCTAAAATTAAGACAGTTTTAGACACTGTCTAAAACTGTGTACTGTTGACACAGTACACAGTGTCAGAGTACACTTACACTGAGACACTTGGAACCCCAAGCCAACTCCTTGGCTTGGAACAGATACAAGACAAGAGCCAAGTAAGACAACTAGTTGTAAGACAACTAAAACAACTAAGATAGCGCTAACCAGACAATGGCATCACATTAGCCACAGATCATACACTCATTGAAAAAAACATATACAGTTTAAAGGTTAATACAGTAATACACACTAGCGTATACTGTAGCCTACACATATTTTATTTAAGTGTAATCTAAGAAAGTTCTCTATACTCTTATTACTATCAGAATACAATACTAGGTGTCATTTAACACCTAGTAATGTTATATTGGTAGTTGGTTGAGGGTCTGTATCTAAGTGTGTAGGATGAAAGCAGATTATTTTGTGTCATTTCAGTTCCATAACAAGAAAGGCAGTATAAATGCTGATGACTACAGCATGCCCCACACATGGATCAACCTCAGCTTCTACTCTGCCAAGAAGAAAGTTGGCTATGGCACGTTTGTTCCTCGGATTAAACTTCCGCCTGAGAAGCCAAAGACTCTGAAGCGAGAGAGGTTTGATGCCTTGGGCAAGCCATGTATGAAACCAGTTCAAGAAACAGCTTTACCAAATTCCATATTTGATTATGATGCTTATGATGCTCAGGTGTTCAAGTTACCAACAAATCAAAACAATAAGTAAGTGGTATACAGTATATTGATTGTCTTGCCATTTATAATAATAAAAAATTATTTTTTAATATTTATTTCTTCAGCGGCACTTTTGAAAATCTCATTTTCTTTATTATATGCCTAGTAAGGGAAAGCCCTGAAAATGACACCTGATCCATTCATGATAATGTCCACTCATCACAAATTTTCCACACGTCAATGCTAATGTTCCACACGTCAATGCTAATGTTCTACACGTCAATGCTAATGTTCTACACGTCAATGCTAATGTTCCACATGTCATTGCTAATGTTGCACACATTGCTAATTTTACACAAACATTTTACTGTTATTATACTGTCTCTGAATTGTGTTTCCCATTTCACTTTCTTCAGATTGCATCCGCTGAATTCACATTATATGTGTGACAAACTGCTCTTGCCACTTCATCCCATCAATATTTTCTTTCATTCTTCTTCCAGTTTGTGCAGCAGCACACAACCTCCTTAACATTCCAACCACACACACACACATGACTTATATGCCTCTCATATTGCATCGATTCATCGTATACAAGTTGTGTGAAAGTATGATGTCAGCTTAAAAGTAACAGAAGTGTCAGGGGGGGATTATCAAAGTATGTTATCAGCTTAAAAGTAACAGAAGAGTTGGGAGAATTATGAAAGTATGTTGTCAGCTTAAAAGTAACAGAAGAGCCAGGAGAATTATGAAAGTATGTTGTCAGCTTAAAAATAACAGAAGAGTTGGGAGAATTATGAAAGTATGTTGTCAGCTTAAAAATAACAGAAGAGTTGGGAGAATTATGAAAGTATGTTGTCAGCTTAAAAGTAACAGAAGAGTTGGGAGATTTCGACCAAAAGTAAAAGCTGTGTTTCACCACAGGACTTACCGGAGCTTACAGAGAACAACTACAAGAAAGAAGAATAACATCCAGGCCTCCTCTGTCCAGCCTCTGACAAGAATAACATTCCAGAGGAAGCTCTCTGACCCTGATCTCTACAACAGCGTTGAGCAGGTAAGTTACAGCAGTAGGTCAATGACGGTGCTTTAGTGTTACAATAATCATGGCATGGTGAATGGTTTTTAAAAGACAGAATAAATAGGATTGTGAAGGGTGGAAAGTCATTGAGGTAATGTGATAATGGCAAGTAAGTAGGAGATTGCTGTGGTGCAGAGAATAGCATGTACATGGAACATTCTTTTATAAACATCTTATGACAAATTTATTATATTATTACCCAATTTGTTGCTGAAAAATGTGCTAAATTATGAATTGCCCCTAGGATTACTTCAAGGATTTGTTTGTATTGTATAATATCTGAGCTAAAGCTCTCACTTGCTTGTTTATGCAAGGTCATGCTGCTCTCCTTGACGGCATCATACACAGTCAGCATAAGGTTAACATTCTGCACTGAAACACCAGGGAGTGATTTAAATGTCCTTGCTGGACCATACTAGTGTAAGGGATACATTGACAGAAACTTAATCAAGTCTTCAATGACCTTTAGAAGGCTCATTCAAATAACTTGAAATAATCATTCAAATAATAAGCCTAAATGTGAGCCTGTGGGCCGCTCCAAGCAACAGCCTGTTGGATCAAGCTCTCACAAGTCAAGCTTGGCCTCGGGCCGGGCTTGTGGAGTAGAAGAACACCCAGAACCCCATCAAGCAGATGTCAAGCAGATAAACTTTCATGACAGAGACTTGCCAAGCTGCACTCCTCTATAATCACTAGTTTACCCTACCTGCTTGCTACTCCAGAACACTACTAGGTGGCAGCACTTACACATAACCACGGTTCACAGACTTGGGTCATCTTTTATTCTTTTTAATTGTTCCCCTATGTACGTAAAGCGCTGTGGATCAGTTTTTCAGTTCAGTGACTTGTATTTATCCTCAGAAAATCATTTCATTGTGTCGTATGCTAAAGCTATTAGTGGACGCTTGCTTACCATTGATTTATTTCAATTTTGGTTTGGGGGTATGCATCACTAGTGGCATTCTTTTCAGTTTACTAATTCATTCCCTTCTCTTTGGAGCATAGTACCAAGATATGAAGCTTTTTCAACATGTTGATATCCTTCAACATTGCCAATCAAATACCTTTACTGACTCCATTTACCTTATTCCCTATGCAGGTTTTTTAATTAAATATTTGTTCTCAGCTCAAACTTCAGAGGTACTTCCAGTTGCTACGTCACCTGAGTGTGGGATGTATGATTCCTTCTACTACCCTCAAGTGATGTTTTGGCATAGTTTTTGTGGCTGTATTGATTTCTTTTTCTTATTTGTTTCAGTCTTGGTTTGCTCTCTCCCATTGTTAATGTTTGGTTGGGCAGGCATGGTTAGGTCAGGTTATACGGAGAATTCTTGCCTTGGTACACCCACTTGTCTTTGTACTGTGGTGGAGCAGAGGTCCTGGTGGTTTGGGTATGAAGGATACCAAACATATATATATACAGTATATATAATTTTTTTTAACTCTAAAGGCATTCCTTTCCACCTCAGACATTCATTCCGTTGCGAGCATGGTTCCATACACCCTGGTGTGTCATGTGTAAACCGTCTGTTGTATATGAGCAGTAACTTGGAGTTATTGTCTTGGAAGTAGAGTGCGATCCTGATTATCCAGAATGATTGGTACGATGTCTGGATAACTGATAATTTGACAATTGAAGAAAGGCTGGTGTGATATAGAAGCTGGACGTAACTGGCTTTGAGGGAGCTTGAGGCATCTCTTCACATAAACACTGATTACCTTGAATCTCCTCCCAGCTTTCCTTTACCGATTCTTGCATCAATAATCACTCTGGCTACTCAGGAAAGGACACTTCCTTACATTCATGCTTGATTTTGTTCTTTTAGAGTATTAATGATTATATGTGTATGTGTGGCTGTATTATGAGATAGGGATTGGGGATACCTCTCTTGATTGTCTGCAAACAAAAGAGGTCTAGCTTTTAATATATCCTTTATCTTAGCATTTAAAACATGTACTGTATTATTTAACATTTGCTCAGTCATGTTGTAAATAATTACTGGAGCAATATTTCTATGCACAAATATTCATACAATATTAAAAAGACTGTTGTTTCAGATATCCAGCTCAATGGTTGCTCTTGGGAGCTCTGCAACCTCTGTGTTTGACAAGTCTCCGGCCATTAACATTCCTGCCCGCATAACAGAAAATAAGACTTATTCGCACTCCTTTGGTGCTCTTAATGTTGAAGGTATGTCCCTTGTTCTTAATCTTAATACTGTATTGTTTTTGTCTGCTTTGGAATCACTAGTACTTGAGTAGGAATGAGGTAACCCCATTACCCTATGGTGCAAGCTGCCTGGTGCAAGCTGCCATGTATCTGTTGCAGTACAAGAGGACAAAATTAGGATGAGACTTGAGCCCATTGCCTCCTTGCTTCATGATTGTGAGGGGGCAGCATAATGATGGTGAATGAGTCAGTGAATGGAATTGTACTTCCAGAATAGTAACTACAGTACAATCATAATATGCTATAGCTGAATAAATGTTGGGAATTAGTAATGGTAATGTCTTTGACACGTGGGTGTGGCGTGTATTTTCTTGCAAGGTGTAGGGAAACAACCTAGTAGATAAATGACACAAGTGTATATTTATAAAACACACACGACATTCCATAACATAATTCATTCCTTATAAATCAATGCATTTAGAAGGAAAACAAACTTATATCTTATCACTCAAATGGGATGTGGTCTCCATATAGCTCTTAGTCCAACACTGGAACTGTGATCTCCACCACCACTTCTGTCAGCCGGTGTGACACGCACCTAAATCCCTAGGAAATCTGGACTCTCTCTTAAAAACTGCTCAGGAGGCTATCTGAGTATTCTACTCTTCCTTTCAACTCTGTTAATACACCCCTGTGGCTTATCTTATGATAAAGCCAGAGAAACCACTCAGAAAACAAGGACTGGTCATCATCGTTCTTCCTTACATCAGGTCAAGATGGCGTCCCTCGCTGTCCAGTCACTCGCCCCTTAATATACTATCCTTCAACATTCCCAATCAAATCCCTTTACTGACTCCATTTTCCATATTCCCCATGCAGGTTTTTTAATAGAATTCATTTTTCTTCACATAATTTTGCTGTACCAATACACATTATTCCTGAACAATCTCCAGCTCGAGAGGTACTACTTTGCTGAGGGTAATACTGCAGCCTCCCAGTTGCCAGCTGCAAATTTCTTTCAGGAAAACATTCTCTAATGCCCTCCATCAACTCTCTGCATTAATAAACATTTTATTATAAAGACGAACCTCCGCAGGAGGTAAGGTTTGTAAGAATTTTCTCAGACATAATAACACGTCTTAAGACTGTCTTACCTATTGCAGGAGTTAACAAGCCATGCACACAAACACTTTACGAGGGAGAAGAGATGTCTCCACCACATTCAGTAAAGATTGGTTCAAGCAGCGGCACATCTCCTAATGAACATCCCCAGGTAATGTCTCAACTTTTTTCCTTTTAATTCCAAAGGACCATTGATTACGGTTACCTCCTTGAACTTAAAATTAAATAACCTTGTTTATTCCCAGTACTCGAGTTTTCTAAACCTTCACAAAATGATTGGCCTGTTGAACAGGCCAATATAATTGGCTTGTTACATCATTACATAAAATATAATTGATGTATTTGTTTATATTTTTGTTTTTATAGTGTTCTTCTTACGGTGTTATCATTGTGTATTAACCGTCTTTTTCCTCACCAGTTACAGAAAAATAGACAGACTGTCCACCGTCCGGGAAGATCACTGATAAACCCCTTTGACCCGTCACATGTTACCATCAAACTTACTTCCAATCGTAGGAGATGGATCCACATATTTCCCAAAGGTATTTATATATAAAGTTATTGATGCGTCTAGTTTAATGTTATCTATGCTAGCCCCTCAGTAGCTTGCTTGTGCTTCAGGCTCTGGTATCAAACATACAAACACTACTAGGTTTCTAGGCTTATACATGCCTATTAGAGACCAGGTGCAAAATTTGGTTTATTGTAGAAATTAGAAAACAACCCAGAACCAAGAAAACACATCCAGAACATACAGGCTCAGCCAACCTGTTTTGTTTTTGTTTTCAAAAACATTAATTTTGTTTTCTGCATTCTAGTCAAGCATAGACCTTTTTTGTTTCACCAGATGCTGTCTATTGCAACTATTCTTACAACTTGAACTAAACCTTTCTTTGTCATTCAATTTTCATGTCGATCATTCATGTGTGTGCATAACCACTTGTATTGTATGTTCAAAGGTAGATAAACAGACTATTAGATAACATTGCTTGATTAATAAGAGCCTCTTTTCAGATCAGTCTGGTGTTCTAATCCAGCAGCATCACTATCATGATTCTAGCAGCAGGGCTAAGGAAAATGAATTGTCGTCTTCTCTGAGCACCCCCGACAACGAAGTACAGCATCCTCTGCACTCGTCGTCTACACCCACCAGGAGCCCTGCTGCTGGAGATCTCGTCTCACTGCGTCCAAAAATCATCACATCCCAGCTCAGCCAGGAGAGTAAGTTCTTATATCTTATACAAGTTTTATAATTACTGCTGGAAACTAAGTCTAAGTACCCCCATCACCTTTACCTCCCTCACCTGCCTTTGTAACACTCACCTACACCCCCTCCTCTGCCCCTGTACCCCCCTCATCTGCCCCTGTACTGCCCCCTCACCTGCTCTCCTGCCCCCCCCCCCCCCCTCACTTGCCCCTGCACTCCCTTCGCCTGCCCTGTACCCCTTATTTCCCCAGTACCTGCCCACTTAACACCTTTTGTCTATATTATTCAATACTGGTATATATACTGTATGGTACAGACACAGTGAAGGACTAGTAGTGATTTTTAAGAATGTATGAGCTAGGCAGAATGTTTTGTCATTGAGTGTTAACTATGTGTAGCTTAATGTTTTATGGCTTCAAGTTGCATGTAACGAAATTTGTACAGAATGTTCTCTTATTTTTGTGCAGGTATTAATGGTGGTCGTCGTGATCCTCGTCCCTGGACATCATCATCACTTGCCAGCTCAGTTGCATCAGTTGACAGTAATGTAGCATTTCACATATAGAAGCTTATCTAATTTATTGTACCATCTGTCATTTTTTTATTATATAATTCAAATTAACATTGCCAATTTACCTTTTAATTTTCTAAACTATCCAGCTTGGTTTCCCACTTTAGTAAGATGCCACTTTCACTGGGAAAACATATATATCATGTAATGTGCTTCATCTTGCCATTGACTAGAAAAGCACCCAGAAAGGTAGGAGAATCAAAACAGACTACTGCCTGGTTGAAAACTGTGACCTACTTCTTCAAAAAACAAGAAACTCCCCACAAAGAAAACGAGCAAAACTTTGTCCAACTAACCCCCCTGCACGTTAGTGCCACCCCCATCCCTGCGGGGGACGGGAGAACCAGCCTGGATGAGCCAGGCAACCCACCTGCCAGTTCTTTGAATGGTGAAAGCTGCTGACCAGAGGGAGGGAGGGAGGGTGTCAGGGAGTCTCTGGGGCTCACCCAGAAACTGATGTTTCATTACATTCAATCCTGGTTTTCTGCGGGGAGCCCTGTCAGCTCCCTGAAGCTAACTACCCACAAAGAAGAAAAAACAGGGACCTTTTAGGGAGACAGAAGCACTGCAGGTCTCAAATTAAGGAACAGACGGCCACGACTGATGGCCCAAAGCAACACAAGGCTGCAGAGGATCCGGGATGTACACTAGATATCTGGCTCGAAGACCTCGTTGCACCTCCAAAACCCCCAAGCCCGACTAATATCCTAAAACATATTCACAAACACAGCCACGAGAGCGACATAGTTCGTAACAGGATGGACCCTGTTACTACTTTTGAGGATGTAAGTTGCACTTTTTAACCAGGTTTTGATTCGCTTACTTTTCTGGGTGCCTTCCCTTGTCGATGACAAGATGACATACTTCACATGGGCTATTGCTCCCTGTACCTCTCTGAGGGGGCTAGTTTCTGGCTTGTGGTCCCAGTAGGCATACAAAGAACTGCAACTGATGACACTCAAGTAGTATGGCACTTGATCAGTAAGATAGCTTCAGAGAGCCTCCGGGGCTCACTCAGACTTTAGAGTTTCATTACATTCAGCGCTGGTTTTTCCTCTCAAAAGGTGGCATGGATTAGTGAAAGAACTGGTGAATTTAGTTGGAACTCTGAGGACAGACCTGGGCATGGGAAATATGCTAGATGTGGTTAAATTTCTTTACAGACAGGTTCTCTTGGTTGTTGTCTTTCATGACAGGTTGAAATGATAATTTTGCTCAGTAAAATCAGTCAATAGAGCATGGGAAATATTAGTCATGAATGTGGTTCCAATATCTCTTAATATGGTTCCAATCATGTTTCAAGTGATTTATGTTTTAAATTTTTTGTTGGTATTGGTTTTCATTCACTCAGGTGAATGAAAACTTCACCGTGCAACATTTTGAAAATGAGTTTTGAGACCGGAGACGGGAGAAATAAGCTAGATGTTGTTAAATGTTTGCAGACATGTTCATTTGATAGTTGTCTATTGTATTATAGGTTGAAATTAATATGTTGCTCAAAATTAGCCCATTGGGAGTGGGAAATGCATCCTGGAGGCATCTCTAGTTGCAACGAATTGGGGTTAGTTCCATCTAGTTTATTGATCAAGTTTTTACTGGAACTGGTGTGAAATAGGTGTTAAATATATAACATAGTAGTCAAAATAATGAAAACATATGCAGGCAATGAGTCACAATAACGTGGCTAAAGTAAGTTGACCAGACCACACACTAGAAGGTGAAGGGACGACGACGTTTCGGTCCGTCCTGGACCATTCTCAAGTCGATAATGAAAACATAGTTTGATATTGCAGCTGTTACCAAATACAATATGTATACTCTTTATACTTTTCTTAGGAAGAGGAAGCCATTATCATCATATCTTGTATATTAGGGCACATTAAATTACTTTGCAATATTTTAATTTGTATTACATCAGTTTAAGAAAATAAAAGTTTTTGCCGTTCTCTATAATAGGCAACAATTCTACCATTGAATTATTCTGGCAAATTCACATGAAGATTATTACACTGCAACACTAAAATATGATCCTCTATATATACCGTAATTAACTTTGACACGTGATAACTGATTTTGAGATGATAGGATTTAAGATAGATCTGGTGCAAGACCCGAGACATATTACTGCAACTGATGTTTCAGTATCATTACGAGGCGTTGCGACACCTCAGAAGACAAGTGTGGGCAGTGGAGGACTGCGAACTGTAGCTGGAGGAACCAGCGGCAAGGTCAAGTGCCCTGCAACCTTACTCTGGGGCGCAACTGGAGAGCAGGAATGGACAGCTGCTCTTACAACAGGTAACTCTCTTCCCCTATGGCAGATTGCCTGCTACATAGTTTAAACACCATTGAGAAAGTTATATTAATACTGTAAAATGTTTTTTGTAATTTTGTTTCTGTATGTGGAAGTTTTCCTATACAAACTTTTGCATATTTAAATTTCTTATTTTATTTTATGCTAGTAAGGGCCCCCTCTCAGTAGCTCCCTAAACTCAATACTGGTACAAATAAGTCTTAGGGAGATGCACAAGTCTTCTGAAACTTGCACCATCCTACACTGAGCCAATTCTGGAATTTGATTCTCGTTATGAGGTAAGGGAAACTTGAGGATTGGAAATTCTGAATTTTCCTCAAGAAATTTTAAATATGTATTCCTTGGAGTGCAAGCAGGATTCATAATAATTTACATTTGGAAAATAATAGGAGGACTGGTTCCAAATCTGCACACACCAACAACACCACGTGAGACCAGAAGGAACAGTGAGATGTACAAAATAGCCCCATTGAAAAGCAGAGGTGCAATTGTCATGCTGAGAGAGAACTCTATTAACATCTGAGGCCCAAAACGTTTCAACACTCTTCCCTTACACATACGGGGCATAACTGGCCCACCCTCTCGCAGTGTTAAAGAGAGAAGTCAACAAGCACCTTTAAAGGATACCTGATCAATTGGGCTGTGACTTGTACGTCAAGCTGCAAGCAGCTGCATCGATCAGCCTAGTTGATCAGACCAGCAACCAGGAGGCCTCGAGGGCTGCGGGGACATTGATCCTCGGAATTATCAACAGGTAGTCAACAGGTAAATGTTGGCTCGATGGCGTTAGCATGCCGTCTCTCTCGCTGGTAATTCCCTAAGTGTAGATACAGGATCGGAGCTATGCTTATGGTGCCCCGTCACCCCAGCACCCTTCATCATATGATGCTTTGAAATTACTGGTGGTTTTGGTGTCCACAGGTTGTGTGTGTACTCACATAATCACCTAATTGTACTCACCTAATTGTGCTTGCTGGGGTTGAGCTCTGGCTCTTTGGTCCTGCCTCTCAACCGTTAATCAACAGGTGTACAGGTTCCTGAGCCTATTGGGCTCTATCATATCTACACTTGAAACTGTGCATGGAGTCAGCCTCCACCACATCACTTACTAAAAGTGATGTGGTGGTAACTAGTAAAACACACACACACACACTAGTAAAAGTGTGTAATTACCTAAGTGTAGTTACAAGATGAGAGCTACGCTCGTGGTGTCCCGTCTTCCCAGCACTCTTTGTTTATTTCCACACTCTTTGTGTGTGTGTGTGTGCGCGCGTGCGCGCGCGCTTGTGTCAACACTGCCAGCACTGTTTACACCCCTATCCTTGAGAGCTGTTGTGTTTAGCCATGTTCACTTCCTCAGCTTAAGAGTTGGTAGAATCTGGTTCTAGAGAAAAGTACAGTACTGTATTATAGGTTTGAGAAAAATACAACCTAGAATATGTCTTAACAATGTATAGTGCTGTTGATGTTACAATTATAATTTTAGGCATTAAAATTGTTCAAAGGTTATTCCAATTTATTATTACTGTATCTGCATGTGTAAAGCTATTACTTAATCTTAAATAAATTACAGAACTAATATATGTACAGTACACAAATACTAAAATCTAAATTTAAATTGGATAGAGGTGATGTATGTATGTATTTATGTATACTGTATACTCGCCTAGTTGTGCTTACGGGGGTTGAACTTTGGCTCTTAGTATGTATGTATGTATGTATATGTGTGTATATATATCATACCTAAAAGCCATAACTGCACTTCTCGGCCTAGTATGCAAGGTCTGATGTGCCTAACAGACAGAATGATTTTCATTATTTTCAAATATTTCTTTCCATATTGGTTCTTTTCTAACAGTAATAATCTAATGTACTGTATTAGGAACATGAATTACTGACTTAGTTGTATTTGGTTATTTTAGGTTAGGATAAGTTTGGATAGGTTAGGTAGGTTAGGTTAGGGTGATAAAATTTTGACGTTAATTTTGACTCATATAGTGACTCAAATAATATGTATAGTGTAGTAACTAGAGAGATGATAAGGTGTGAATAATTGTTGAAGAAAGAAATGGACACATGCTCAGAAGGTTAAATGATATGCAACTTTTATTTAATTTGAGGTAAGTGTTTAGGCAATTTATAAAATCAGGGGTAATATTTGTTCGTAATAGGGTTGGCTCTAACCTGGTAAGAAGTGCTCGTTGAGTTGTGTTATGAATTACCAATCCAACCACTTTGACTAAACAGTAGAGCAAGGTGTTTAATGGGCCCAGCCAGAGGCTTAAAAAGTAAAGCAACGGCCCTGCTTGTTGCAGGTTGGTGTTCAACCCTCGACCGTCCAAGTAATTGGGCCCCATTCTTTTCCTTCATCTTATTCGAAATCCTTATCTTCATATTCCTTCCAAGCATATATAATGCTTTCTTCCAATAATTTATGTATGAGTTATAGGTTATAGTTATGAGTTTCTTGTTTTCACACAAGAAAGTCGGCCATTTGGCCCCAAGTTCCATGTGGGTGACCCCTACATGGAACTAAATATGATGTGAATATTTACCATAGATAAGAAAGTTGCAATTATAATCTAGTGTACAATTTTGCCTGGTAGTCTAAAGATTTGATGGTTGATATTGTAAGCAATAGTATGATATGATGCTAAAATATGTTGTAGGTCATACATTTTCATGAAAGGTGTGTGTGTGTTTGTCGAGTATTTGAGTGTGATGAGCCAAAGGCATTAGGAGAACTAGAGACCAGAGACAAAGGGTAAGAAAGTTAGAACACCTGGGAATGTGGCATGTGCTTTGACAAAAATGTTAAGGTCCTTTTAGTTATATATTTGCAGAGTGAGGAAAACTGTCTAGGAAATAGGTACACTGATAAGGAATCATTTCAGTACTGTTGATGATTTTGATTGGTTACAGTAGTATATACTGTACTGGTTACAGTAGAATATACTGTACTGGTTACAGTAGAATATACTGTACTGGTTACAGTAGAATATACTGTACGGGTTACAGTAGACTATACTGTACAGTTACTTAGGCTAAAGTGAAGATTTTGAAAAATTCTTCTGTTTTGATAATACAGCATTTATGTTAATGAATTGTGCTCATTAACCTTCATTACATTATTCTCTTTGTTTATCATCACTTTATATTACTGTATCAGTATATCAAATTCATTCACCTAAATATTTCTAACAATTGTGTTTTAGTATAATTTTCTTTAACGTGGATAACTATTGATTATATTTATTTCAAGAAAACAAATGGTCATTATACATTTAAAAAATTGCCATTGATTCTTCAGGACTTGGAAATAGGTGACTAATTATTTACTTGTAGAATATTTTGACTCAAAAGCAAAAACACACATGCTCACACAGGCTTACTCACACTGTCTCTGTTTATATATCTATATATCCTTCAATCTCTATCTCCATCACTATATCTTGCCAGATAATACATTAAAGTGCATAATTTCACAATGGGTTGACGATCCTTTCAAGGTGTTGACTGGAAAAGTTTAACTCTGCCTGCATGTCTGCCGATTACTACCGACTACTTCCCCGAAGACCAATCATTGCACAACGACTATGTGGTGGCCGATTATAACCTTCTGCCAGATGACATGGAAGAACCAGCCAAGCCAAGCAGTGGGAACAAACCACTAACAACGAAGATGGTGTTTTTGGAGCTGGTGGCACAGAGGCTTTCTCAGGTACTCCTCACATTTGATTAGTTGACTGGCTTCTCTACCTATTTGTCCTCTTCTTCCTCCCTTTCCTTTTTGAATATGGTAACTAGAATGGAGCTGGTGGCACAGAGACTTTCTCAGGTGCCCGTCACATTTGATTAGTTGACTGGCTTTTCTACCTATTCCTGCCTCTATTCCTCCCTTTCCTTTTTAAATATGGTAACTAGAATAAAAATAATTTTGCTTAGATGTACTCTTGCATTTTGTGTTGCTTAGTTCCTCTTCCATTATATATTTAAGCAATATATTTCCTTCACGAACTAAGTGTTTTAATTTTGTGTTTCTGAAATTATGCACACAAGAGAGCTGCATCTTTTAGGATGATAATATGAACATGTTCATAAAGAAATATTTCACAAGCTCAAAGTATATTTTTGTATAGTATGTCAACATCTATTACATTCTATTATACACTTCATAACAAAATATTTACAGAAATTAAAATTGGAATAAATAAGCCGTATTGTATAAATCTCCTCTGTGCTTGGCTTGCAGTTCAAGTACAGTACCATCATAAACGAAGGTCATCTTGCTTTATCTGTCTAGCAGACACAAAGGTCACTACATTGTATCTGTTTAGCAGATACAAAGGTCACCACATTGTATCTGTTTAGCAGACACAAAGGTCACCACATTGTATCTGTTTAGCAGACACAAAGGTCACCACATTGTATCTGTTTAGCAGACATGGTTAAATTTGGCTGAGAGTGCATATAAAAACATTAAATATCACTTTGCATATCTGTTACAGTATTAGATACTTCATCATATTTTACATGTATATTGATCTTAAATCTTAAATTAAGCAGGCGATGAGACAATAACATGGCTAAAGTATGTTGACCAGACCACACACTAGAAGGTGAAGGGACGACGACGTTTCGGTCCGTCCTGGATCATTCTCAAGTTAATTGAGAATGGTCCAGGACGGACCGAAACGTCGTCGTCCCTTCACCTTCTTGTGTGTGGTCTGGTCAACTTACATTAAGATCTTGTACTCACCACCATGTATAAATAGTTAACTGTTTTTCTCACTATATCACTATTTTATATTTTGCTCATCAGACAAATGTTTACAAACTGTGACTGGTTGCTACCACAACTGTGTATGCTTGACTGATGCTTTTACTGACACAATGTGTGCATTTGGAGCCGACATGGTGCATGGATGTTCCTTAATTGGGCAGATATGTCCAACACAGTCAGTGGGCAAACTAGGCTGCCCCTACCCCCCCCCCCCCCACCTACCACCCCAGGCTGCCCGGTTGGCGCGAGGCTTGGCGGACCGCTTCTTCACTTCCCGAACTTAGTTCGTTTAGCTTGAAACCGCAACCCTATTCGGGAAACTGGAACTTTCGGATAACTTAAGTTGGCAAATGAAGTGGCTGTCTGTATTAACATTTTAATGTTTAATTTTATTTCGTTTATAGGCCCAGTATTTTTGTTCATGAATTATTTTTTAAGATGAAAGTTGAAGAATTAATTTCCTTCGTGTACGGTAATGTCTTTTTGGTTTTTGTTTGTGTAGGGCTTCCAGATGATCATGCTACCAGCAAAGAGTCAGACGCAAGCAGTTGACATCTATGGCAGCAATCCTCGGTACTCTGGTATTGGGTCTCTCATGCGGACAAGGAGTCACACAGACGAGTCATCTCAAGAGTATCGTCTTTCCATCGGTAGAATCTTTCATAAAATACTTTTATACGGATCAACAATAACAGTTACTATTTACAGACCGAGGTAAGCATGATGTATCTCTCCCATCTGCTAGATTGAGAGTTCATTTAAACGTTTTCATAATCAAATATGCTTTCTCACATTATTTTGTCTTATCAACTTTTTTTTTGAGGGTTTAAATTAAGATCAATCCTCAAAAAAATAGAAAGATTAATGGTTCATCGATGTTATCATATGAAATATTGTAGATACATATATTTAATTTTGTCCTGCAGTTAACAAAAGCAGAAATAACTTGCTTATTTTAACATGTTATGATAAGATGCATTTTTCTGTAAAGTATCCAAGGTGGCTTCCTATTGCTAGCTTTTTTTGATAGCTTTACACCTATCAAATTACACTAAGCCTTTGTGAGTCATTAATAGCCTACCAGAGACGAAGGGCCAAAACCTTTTTGGTAGCTATGAGGTAGTTCAACCGCTAGTTCCACCTCCCCACCACCAAGTGCCAGCACCAAGAGCTAGTGGCTCAGGAAATGAACCACCTGACATACACGTGATGCTATATAGTACAGTGCCCCATCTGTTGACTTGCCCTTTGACTCTCAGTTTATATTCAGATAAGTGTCGGTCATCCTTGGCTCTTTGGGGCCCATTGGCTTATGTATAGTTTGACTTTTAGTATGGTTTCATGTGCATGTACCCCGCCCGGGTTCGATCCTGGGTGCCGGCGAGAAACAATGGGCAGAGTTTCTTTCACACTATGCCCCTGTTACCTAGCAGTAAAATAGGTACCTGGGTGTTAGTCAGCTGTCACGGGCTGCTTCCTGGGGGTGGAGGCCTGGTCGAGGACCGGGCCGCGGGGACACTAAAGCCCCGAAATCATCTCAAGATAACCTCAAGATGTGTTTACTTGCCTCTGCTATTTGCCAGCTGGGTGGGTGACACCTTCCACCCTGAGGCTTGCAACATGTACCATCATTGGGTTTTTGTATTATATGAACCCCTATCCAAAAACAGGACTTATCAGGGAGCAGCTACTCCAAGGGAATGTTTTTCCTGTGTGTGATGATTGAAGTTTGGTGTCAACATTGTTTTATGATCCAGATTTGTTTGATTTGAGTGGGTTTTGATTTCCACTGAATCATTTACTGGAATGTAACTCATATACAAATTGAGGGTTGCTTGTACTTTCATGGGTCATTAGGACCATTTCTTGTAATAGATAGTGGCTTCATAAATGAAGCCACTAAGAAATCAAAACCAAGACACCAAGAAATCAAAACTTGGGCTGGACGGTAGAGCGACGGTCTCGCTTCATGCAGATCGGCGTTCAATCCCCGACCGTCCACAAGTGGTTGGGCACCATTCCTTCCCCCTGTCCCATCCCAAATCCTTATCCTGACCCCTTCCCAGTGGTATTTAATCGTAATGGCTTGGCGCTTTCCCTTGATAATTCGTTCCTTCCTTCATAAATGATTTTTGTCATATTCACAAGTGGGAAATTACAGTTCTGTAAAAAATCAGGAATAGGAAAATAGAGGCATGATTTATGGAGAAGAATATATTTGAATATATAATGTATATTAATGTATATTTTAAGTTTCCACTTTTCACTGTATTGTCTTCCTATATTTTAATATTTTACAGGCATCCGTATCCACAACTGAGACGGCAGTACAAGTATAGATTCCAAGCCCCCGACATGAGCAGCTACGAGGTGTCATGGGTTGAGTTTCGTACAGAGAGGCTAGAGACTTACATGTGGAATCATTTGGATAATTATATTTGCTTTCGTGGAGAATCACCAGATTATCCACTCATTGAGGTAGAATATAGACAGTTAATTATTACAGTACTGGAATTCCTCTATTTGTGCTCAAGATGCATTCCTTGAATCATGGTTTTTAAATTATGCAAATTGAGACCTATTTTCCAATAAGATTCAGTGGCATAATGGGACTATGCATTCTTCAGAAAAAGAAATTACAAAAATACATGAAATAAAAATAAAGCAGCATACAATACAAATACAATACTGCAGTATCTACCAGAGATAGCAGCTTGGTGTATGTGTTGAGACCTCATGAGGGCTTAATATTACTTGGAGTTGTCCAAAGAGGTAAGATGGCATTTTCATTGTCTCAGGAGATGTATGTTCTTGATGCCATTCATTTCTGTCAGTATTGTAAACTTACTAGGGCGAGCCTCCTCATTTGATAATTTCTTTCAGTATCTGAGGGTATTGTGCACAGACCATTCTGAACCATTAATTCAATTTAACACTTGCATTTTCACCCCTAAACTAATAGTTTAATTCTCTCTCTCTCATTTTGAGGCACCAATGTCACTTGATGGATGACTGACTACCACTTATGTTTGCATGTGGTTGCTAAAGTTGTACAGCTGTAAACAGATAAAATGTGTGTGACGTGCGTATATCTCAAGTGGCAACTTGGACATTGAGGGACAGCACTTGAAGTACATTGTGCCCCACGTTCATCCCATTGTTAAGAAAGCACACACACAAGAAAAACAATTAAATTACAATTTTTGTTGTCAAAGTCTCATGTTTCATTTTTTTAAATAAGGCCATACATCAAATTGAATGGTTGTAAATTCAAAAGGAGTTTTATAAGGTCATTAAAATTCAATTGGAAGCACTTAAATAGAGGGATGAGAGTTCTGTTTTTCCTTAAGAGGTTGTTGAAATATTTATAACCTACTACTAATTTTATCATATTGATGGGTGATATATTGTGCTGTGAAACTTGTTATATTCTACCATATGTTATCTGAGTGCTCTTAGCCTATGTTGTATCAACAGTAATTCATAAGGACACTAGGAAAAACAAAAGTATGCATGTGCTGCATCAGGCTTGGATATGCATATGCATGGGGAAAAGGCTTACAGATTTCAGAAGAGAGGAAATGTCAGCATTGTGAAGAACTGCCTAACAAACTCCTGGCACATTATCTAACACAGTGCAAAACAGATTACCACTGAGATTTAACACGTTGGGTGCCATGTGGCCGTCGGTGGGTTACTTCTCTTCTACACTTGTGGCTTGCATGGCCATCAGTAGGTCTTATATATATTTGCTTTCAGCTCTGTACACCCACAGTAGTATTTGTAGTTTTTGTACGCCAATAAAATCTAGTCCCCTGATGTATTAGTACCTTGGTTAGGTGGGTATGTTTTGATCTACCACATATTACAGTGGAACCTCTACTTACGAATACTCCTTCCTTCGAATTTTTTGAGTCGCGACCCCAATTTCATCGGAAAATTTGACTCGACTTACGACCTTTGCCTCGACTTGCGACTTTGTTGATACATGTATGAGTCGGTGGAGCATGTGGATCCTAGTGGCACGGGCGACCCCTCTTAAGTTTACCAGACCTCCTGCTCAGTGATGATCGCGCTTGAATTCTTTGTAAAGAATTTCATTGTTTTTGTGCTTTTTTGTATTTTGAACATAAAAGTAATTACTGTATTATATATCACGCCATATATCAAGAGAAAGAAAGAAAAAGAAGGTCCCAAGAAAGTCAGTAATAAGGTTTAACCTAAGAAAACACATGTGAGGATGACCATAGCAGAAAAACAAGTCTCTATGGAAAGGTTTTTAGTGAGACAAACAAGCAGTGAGCCACACAAAGGTCCAAGTGGTATGCAGACAAAACGTAGGAGAGAGAGTACCCCCAGAGAAGCCATCACTGCCTATTGTTATAATGGAAGGGGACTTCCCTTCCAAACACTAACACCTCTCTTAATCCCCTCCTCCTCACCATCTTCCATACGCCAACAAGTCATCAATAAAGATAAGCTATAATTACATACTATAGTACAAAATATGTGTGTGTGTATTATGTATGAAATGTTTTTTGAAGTTAATATTTTTGGGAGTGTGGAACAGATTAATTCAATTTACATTATTTCTTATGGGAAAATTTGTTTATGACCCATTTCTGGGAATGGATTAAATTTGTAAATGGAGGGGCCACTGTAGGTTTATTTTCATACAATGAAAGGGATTCATTTTCTTGCAATATATTTATTTACTTGCAAACTAAAATTACAGGTAATAAAATACAGTATACTTATTTTTTGAAAGAAACTTTCACAAAGAGAGTTTACAAACTAAACAAATATCAATACAATTTTTCCTTATGCTAATCTTGAAAACACACAAGACACTTTGGTAAGTTACATAGTCCACAAATTATATTAACTTTTTTAGTATATATGCGAGCATATTTGCTTGCTTCCTCTCTGAACGATTTCCTATAGCAGGTGCTACATCATTTTTGCTCTAATCCTCTTTAACTGTTCAACTTCCTTCAAGGTTGCTGTTGATATTGAAGGTGCTCTTGATGTTAAGAGTGTTCTAAACCTTTAATGTGGGACTGTTAAACCTGGCTCCACTTTATAATGGCCTAGGGAGCATGAGGATAACTGATCAACTGAGAACAAGAAAAGGTCTTCAGACAGTTCAACAAGTCAATACAAACAATCGCCAAGGTAAACGTACCGTGAAAACCGTAATGCCAGACTGACTGAAGCATTTGTTCATGAAGCAGACCCCTCACTAGTTACATCTGTGCATCACCAGGTGACCAAGCACCTAACTATTCACATCCCACACTTGACATATCAGTTATTTTGCCAGTCAGATCATATCAACTAGTCACAATTGTGCTGCTCATGCGCACTAATGCTCTTCAAGTCCTGGTTATTCAGGTAATTGACAGCTGTTTTAGACTTTGTCCTGCAGGAGCCATTTCCTTGTGTATTTCAGTACATATTTTCTTCAAGAACATGTATTTCTACATGATAGTTCACAATAATGTCCAATATTGTTGTGTAGACTGCTTATATTAATGCTTTCCTTATTGAATCCACCAAAATCTACTTCTTGTTTTGTTTTTCTTCTTGTTGGTGGCCATCTTGAATTTCGTCATCTGCCTTGTTTACACTATGCAACTTTGTCTCGTCCACTTATTTCACTTCCCATGGCACATAAGTGTTATCTCGCCAATTTTTCAAATACACTACACCTTTATGTTTTTTGGGACACCACTCACGGTCATCAACTTGTTCTACAATACTTAGGAATTTGAAATGTCCTGGAGCTCCTCTGATGCAGGTGTTGACTCAGGCTGGCTGCCTGAGAGTTTGTAATTACCTAAGTGTAATTACCTAAGTGTAGTTACAGGATGAGAGCTACACTCGTGGTGTCCCGTCTTCCCAGCACACTTTGTCATATAACGCTTTGAAACTACCGACGGTCTTGGCCTCCACCACCTTCTCCCCTAACTTGTTCCAACCGTCAACCACTCTGTTTGCGAAAGTGAATTTTCTTATATTTCTTCGGCATCTGTGTTTAGCTAGTTTATATCTAGCCTATAGTGTGTCATATCTAGGATATAACACACCAGGTAAAATAATTGACATGTCAAGTGGGGAAAGTGAATAGGTAGGTGTGTGATCGCCTTGTGTCATGCAGGTGTAACTAGCAAGTAATCTGCTTTACAATCATGCGGTTCAGTGTTACATTTTTTACGTTATTTTTACCTTGCTAATTGTCTGTATTGTCTCTCTTCCCTTTCTTGTGGCTTTTTTCTAGGACCGAGTTGATCTAGTGTCTTCATGCTCTTCACACCTGAATAGAGGGGGCCAAGTTTTGGCTTCTGGTCCATGGTAAGCTTACAATGACTTGCAAGGGCCGGGTGAGGATTGAATTGGGTGGAACTATCCAGGTAGCTAGCAACAGGGAGCCACCATAAGAATCTTCCCAGAAAAAAAAAAGTACTAAAATAAAAAAAAATTATTATGCAAGTATTCGTTAGAGCGCTGCTATACAGGTATTCATTAGAGTGCTGTTCTTTAAAGTGAGGACCCAATGTACTAATAGAAATAGTCTCTGGAAGATGTTAACCTATTTTAACATGGCGCTCAATGTGTTAACAATGTAAAAGTTGTAAAACACATCCGATATAGCTTTACTGAAACTAACATCAGTCATAAACACTCATCTACTACCTAAGTAATATTGACTTGCATAACATGCAAAAAAAAACAAAAACAAAAGTAAACCATACAAGTTAATTACAGAATGACTTATGTGATAACCATCTTATGTCTGTAGTGTTGCCTCTGCCATGGGTGCTCCTGCTGGACCGCTGCTTCAACTCTTAAGGTAATGAGACAACTATTGTAGGCTAACTGTCCACACTGCTCGTGAAGAATGCATTTGTAAATACATTGTAAAGCATTGTTCAGCTTGGTTACAGGTGCTAATTTCACTGTGCTAGCATGGTCTCAATTTTAAAGGCAGAAAATGCTATTAAGAGAGGATGAACATACTCTATATGTTTTCTTAAATTTTGTGAAACAAGTAAATAATAACACTGTAGTTATAAGATTTTGTAAATGTAAATGAATACATTGAAAATGGTGATCATTAATGATGCTCGTTTAGTGTCTTAAAACTGCATCCATTTATTTAAATGTGAACATTAACGCTATCATCAGCATTGATTAATTGGTTTTGGCTTGTAAATATAAAAACTGCATATTTTCCAATATTTCTCTCAAAATTAGTTCACCCCTAATAATATTTACATTTTACAGTACAGTATACATGTACAGTATTGATAACATAATTTTCTAAATCAGTAATGCCTAATATGTTAGACAATATTGAGTAGTAATCAGCATATTTAGTTTAGGTTTTATACTCAAATGTAAAAAAAATGTATTATATAAAACTCTTTATAAAAGAAAATATTTGAGAAAACTTAATATTTAAATTTGATATTCTGTACATACAATCTTTCTTTGAAACTACACCATACATGGTTTTCAAAGTGTAAATACCGTTACAAATATAATGACTCGCTGGCCCCCAATACACTACAATTGTGCATATGAGGTAAAAAGTAATAATGCTGACCAGCTATTAATTTAAAACCATAATACAAATATCGAGCTAGACTGGCCACACCGAAATTATTTTTCTGAGAACTTTTCTTGGTGGCTCCCCCATGCTATCCACCTAGAACCTTCCAACTCTTGGGCAATATGCCAGACCGGGCTCAAACCAATCATGGGCATCTACCAGAGACCACGACCTGAATATTTTTCCAATACAGTATGGCCTTGGGGATGTTAGGCTCATGGTTAGTGGTACTCAGACAACGTGCCTGCTGCTCAATACCTCATCAGCATTGCTAGGCAGCACTGGACACAATCTTGGTGTTGGGTTGGTTGACCCGACTTGGTACCTGATCAATGTTCCTAGGCAGCATTGGACAATTTTGGATGTTAGGTTGGTTGACCCGGCTTGGTACCTAATCAATGTTTCTAGGCAGCACTGAAAAATCTTGGTGTTGGGTTTGTTGACCCGACTTGGTACCTGATCAATGTTCCTAGGCAGCATTGGACAATTTTGGATCTTGGGTTGGTTGACCCGGCACCGAGTCCCAATAAAGTTATTAGCTACTCCTCCCTCTTACCCCAGGGTAAGAACATAAGTACTAAAGAAGAAATGAAACTGCAGAAGTCCTTTTGGCCCATACAAGGCATCGTCTATTTATATTCACCAAAACTCATTCAAATGTAGCATGTCTAACTTATAGTTGAAAAATCCAGCAATCCTACAGCTTATGTTACCCAGTACAGCAATTTGTTCCTTTAATCTACAGCCATACAGTATTTTCAAGCCAGTATTAACCCAATTCTTTCCTGATTCTAAACTTGTTCAGTTTATTTCCATTGTTTTATGTTCTATTTTGTGATGATGTAATGTATTTAAAACTTTATATTCCCTTTGTTATATCCTTTCATCAATAAAAATACTTCAATCCTGTCATCCTTTACTTTTCAGATTTCTTGAGATTGTAAATTAAGCTTTTTAAATATTTTCATAAGGAAAGTTTCTAATTTCAGGGATTAACTATGTTATCTCCCTCTATACACATTCAACTGAATCTGTCCATTCTGTAGAAGTGACCAAAACTTAACTGCATAGTCTAAATAGAGGTTTAACTGGAGCAAGATAAACCTGAAGAATAATAATAGATGTCTTATTGCTAATGCTTCTAGAAATATGTCCCAAGTACAGTATATCCTATTTGCTTTATTCTGTACATTTATGCTTTGGTATTTTAGCTTAAATGCCAACTAATCATGATTCCCAAATCTTTTTTGTATTCTGATTTTGCTATTTCCCTTCTTGCTGAGTTTTTTCTTCATGAGCTAGCATTGGAACCCTCTGAAAGTGCTCTCTTAAAAATCCAACCTTGAATGCAATAAAATGCCCCACTTCTGCTCTGCCTCCTTCCCATGGTATTCAGGGGGTCGTTGCTTGGGCAGCATGCGAGGGACTGGGACCCCCGGGTGATAACTAGTGGCAGGTCCTGGACGACAAGTGTTTACATACACACACAGAAATCGCGATAACGTGATACATCAAATGAACAAATCCACAAGGGCCGTGATGAGGGTTCGAACCTACGTCCGGGATGATCCCAGACGTGCCTTAGTCGATTGCACCACAACATGGTTAAAAGAATTGCAACCGGGAGTGCTACTGCCCTCACACGGATCCCGCAGCCTCTCAGAGAGACAAATCGAAGTTTTACACAATTCTTCCATGCACCAGGGCTCTGTCAACAGGCTGTTTTACCTTTTCACCTTACTTCAGTACACACAGAAATCACAAGATTTGACAGAGCCCGGGTGCATGGGGCAATTGCGTAAAACCCCGGTTTGTGTCTCGGAGAGGTTGCGGGATCTGTGTGAGGGCAGTAGCACTCCTTGTTGCAATTCTTTTAACCATGTCGTGGCGCAATCGACCGTGGCGCATCTGAGATCATCCCGGACATAGGTTCAAACCTTCATCGCTGCCCTTGTGGATTTGTTCAAGTGTTTACATATTTTTAAATAGGGTTGCAAATGTTATCCAAGCAGTTGCTTGTTTTGGTGTGCTGACCTTTCTGCTGGTCTTTGGCTCTGTGGAGATCATGTATCCCCAGACTCCCCCATGCTTTTATTGAGCCTGATGTGGTACTCTAAGCTTGGAAGGTTCCATATGGTTAGCTTGGGAGCCACCGAGGGACCTACTAGAAATAGGCATTTCATTACAGTCCATGCTGGATTTTTAACTTGATAAACAAAATACTTCTGACTTCACTGAAAATCACAAAAAAAGATGGTTAATCACTGGAGCTGAGACCTTTTTCCACCATAGCATATTAAATTCAATGTCCTTTATGACTCCTCACTAACATCTATGTTCTCACAACAAATGGGTGATCTAACTTAGCTTGGAAAGTGTCATTATCCTGGTTAACTCGTGACACTATCCATTGACACTATCCGTGACACTATCCGTGACACTATCCATTCATAAAACTTTACCATATTCCACTCTTATCTGTTGATGGCAAAAATGCAACTGTACTGGCAATGTTGAAAACTCAGCAGACAATGTGTAATGTGTTTAAACATAGGGCTGTGCAGCCAATAGTTTTTCTCTAATGTTCCTAGAACGTGTCCACTAACCTTCGACTTTTTAAAAAAAGGGTTACCATGGTGCTTCTGCTTGCTTAAGATGACACCTGTTTACTTGTAGTTAATATCACACCTGTTGCCCAAAGCCCACCTGAGACGGATATAATCGACTATATGTGCTATTGGCCACTATCAGAAATGTCATTAACAATAAATATATTCAGAGCCATGTATGCAACACGTATCGGGCCAAATTTGGAATATGTGGACATCTTTTGTCATTGCTGTTTAAGTTACTTAATGTTAGATTAACTGTGAAAGTGCAATGTCTTATCCAAGAAACCTCAAGAAACTCATTAGAGGCAGAATCAGATTTGGTGAAGAAACAAGAGCTGGTAAAGAATTAGAAAAATTAGAAACGCCAAAAGCATCTACAAAAGAACGGGAAGACAAGTGAGAAGTGAACCATCGTCGGCACCAAAAGGATCATGACACAGAAATGTGATGAGAATGGTGTGGTAGATGAAAGTAAAAAGCCGTCGGTGCTCTGCAAGATGAATGCTACGTTGATGAAACTATCAAGGACTAAGGTAACATAAACACATGCCAAGGTATGGCAAAAATTGATGATAATAAAGGTAAAAATAATAATTATTAACTCTTAGATTAGATACATAGACTCTGCATTCTGCAAAGTAAGGAAGAAAATAGGAAAATAAAATTCTGTGGCGCGGGTTCGATTCCCGCACGAGGCAGAAACAAATGGGCAAAGTTTCTTTCACCCTGAATGCCCCTGTTACCTAGCAGTAAATAGGTACCTGGGAGTTAGTCAGCTGTCACGGGCTGCTTCCTGGGGGTGGAGGCCTGGTCGAGGACCGGGCCGCGGGGACACTAAAAAGCCCCGAAATCATCTGAAGATAACTCAAGATAACCTCAAGGATGTCCATACGTTTTCTTTTGGCTGAGAATGGGTGAGGAAGTCAATTGGATGGATTAGATTTTGAGTAGCAATAATTACAACCTATTATGGTTATCCATTTCCCAGTGTTGGAGACAGGAAGCCTGTTAGGCTTATCAAGGTCCCCTTAGGTCTTTGATTTTCCGAAAATGCAACCCACAACAATTGCCTAATTCCGGGTACCTATTTTCTGCTATATGAACAGACATTAGGTGTAAGGAAACATGCCCAAATGTGTGTGTTTATAAAGGAAAATGTAAGCATGAAGAATTGCTTGTTAATTTAGGGTTAAATGTAGGTAGAATTAAATTCAGATGAGGGATCCCAGTCATATGTACCATTGTTCCAAGAGGAAGAGTTAGAAGTGAATGGTTGCTAAGGCATTTGGTGTCAATTACTGACTGGGTTTCTCAGTATTTAAACTGTTAGAAGATGTAGGTATGGGCATGTATTTGGAGAGGCAAGATCAAATAGAAGCGATAGACATGTCTTTGGCCAAGCAATAGACAATAGTCTTGGGCCAACTCCTGGTACGCATCAAAGAACCCTGCCTTCTTCATGAGGCGGGCAATACCAGCATTAGCATTAACATGCATGGCTACATTAACTACAGTCTCTTCCTTCAATAACCCTCACATCATAAACCAAGTTCCTAAGAACTTTGTAGGACAAATTCGACTCGAGAGATGTCTTCCCAGAGGAAGAAGTCAAAAACCTCGGGAAAGATCACTATGCTGGTTATTGATCTTCACTTGTGGCACCAGGGAAAGGAATCTTGAAGCAGTGCCAAGGCAGTTTAAAATTCAAGGGCAAATTTTCTTTCTAGGAGAGGTCCTTCAGTGACTGCCTATAGCTAACTGCCTGGATGGATCAAACCATTATAATAAATGGATCAAATAAAGAGATTCTTAACAAATATATTTTGTAATAGTTCCTCACTGGGAAGGGATGCAGTGGAAATATACCGCAGCATTGTTTAATATCTATGCTTTCATAATCGTCATTTTCTCTTCCCTCACATCTTCACTTGCACCATTACGTGCCAAATAATATTATGTTTTACCTTATTAATATTCATTATTTAGACCCATTAGATGATCATCACTTTTAAAGAAAGGTTATATAAAGAATAATTAGGTAGTAAACAGATTAGTTGTGGTGAAATGCATATTAGTTATATAACACACATTTGGCCCCAGCATGATAGATAAAGAAAGTTTTACTGTACCACAGTGGGAGACGTATTTGTGAAGAGAATTAACAAATGAATACTGAGTGAAGGGGCCTTATAGATATACAAGAATCAGAGAGTAGGATTGATGTGGACTATAAGCAAAGTTCGGTTTAAATATTAAGGTAATCACTCCACAGGTGTGTGATTAGGTGGTCATATAAGAAAGATTTGCATGTCTACAATATTGTTCATGTTATAAAGAGGAAAGATCTAACATGCACTTATCTTATTGATTTGTATTTCACCTCCCAAAATGCACTAATTCATTTGTTATAATTTTCTTTGATGCCTTGTACACTGTGGGAGCTTCCCGTCATTGATGAAAGACGTCCTTGGGCATTTTGCCTTCACTGTATTGGAGAGTTCTCAAGAAATATTTGAAAGTATAGTATGTTGAGAATCATGCTTGATTATGCTTAACAGAAGTTGCTTCTTTCTTGCTCTGAGACGCTTAAATGACTACTTTTAATGAGCGTGACTATGCACAAAGTAGAAATACAAATTTGATAAGGCAGAACAGAAAATATAAAAAAATAATATTGTATGCTATGGAGATTCAGAAAATATTATTTTCCAAATCAGTTAATTTTATGTGTTATATTTATTGTTTAGTTAAGTGGTGTGGAGGTAAACCTAGCCTCTTATTATGGTGTCCCTTGATTTTGTTCCAAACTATCCAGTGAAGAATGTGGTAGGATTTCTAGATGTTTATCCTTATATTTTTTGTGGTTGAATACTTTCCTTATACATGAAGATATTTTTCTTATGCTTCAATTGTGTACCTTATATTTCAGCCTTTAAAATTCTGGCGTTTCCGTGTATTGCTTGTCCCCGATTGCTTCCGCACCTCCACTCGGACTATCATGGAGGCGGTAGCTGGCACACCCTGTGATATATATGACCAGCTAACTCTGGAAGAGCAACAGGTATTATCTTACAGTAGTTATTTACAAATTGCTTTGGTATAACTGTTTACAAGTAAACCATATTAAGTATACAGTACAATATGTACAGTTAAACCTCATTTATTATGAACTGATCATTTTTGTGTAGCATGGGTTTTTCATGTCTTACAATTTTTGGATTATATTCTTGTATCATGGTCCCTCCCAAGTATTATGCTACCCATGTTAGATTCCAAGATTGCAATGAAAGCTAATGCTTGATCTTATTTACATTATTGGTAAATGTACACATTTATTTTAATTAGTACAGTATACATGTGGCTAGGAAAGAATGAGAGTACCTGTACTTAGTAAATATAAAATAATTTAGTCATGGAATCATTTGAAGCAAGATCATTCTCCATCTCCAGCACTATAAAATGCCTTCGCTATGTTGAGTTATTTGATTACACAGTCACTCAACCAGGACTAGTTTTGATGTTCAAATATTACAGGAAACCTGCATGCAAAAACATCATAATTCACTTCTACTCTCACCATAATAACTGAACTAAAGAAAACTTAAAGATTAGATTTTTCATCAAGAAAATTAGGAGTTGTAGCAAGCATTTCCTTGTTGACGAGTGCCAGTGCATCACCGATTCTTTCCTAACACAAGTATTATTGTGGAACTAGCTTCATAGACTGGTAAGAAATGACTTGAGGCACCAGATGCAAGGGTAGCGAGGCCACCTCACTCACCCTAACACACCCTGATGAAGAATGCAAGCAAGGAAAGGTGTTAAGTGCCGTGGAAATATATAAATCAAAAGTATCCTCTGCACCAACCAAGCGGGTCCCATATATGAACAGGGTCTACATAAAAAAAGAATAGAACCAAATACGAATATTCCTATGCTGTTATTATTTTTTACTTTTTAAATTCACAGTGAGCTTAATGAGTTGTGATCAACAGGTCTTGTTTAAAGACAAAGTCCCAAGCACTAGCTGAACACTGGGGCACCTTGAAACGGGATGTCCAAAAAAAGGACACTGAAACCCTCCTCAAAGAAGATAACTTTGTTGAGGAAGTGAGAAAAGAAAGCCAACTCAATGGAAGAACCCTGAAACATCGGTGGTGAAATACTTGGCTAAGGACATTCCTGATGGGAAGCATTAACACAATAGTGAAGCATAATGAAAAAAAACAGAGGAATGCCAAGTATGGCCCAAAAGCCAGGAAAGAAGTCCCAATTAGCTTTTGCAAAAAGACTAGGTAATCCATACAGAGCTTAAGGGGAAATTTGCAGCTTGATTCCAGGCATGCGAGTGATCTAGGTGGGCAGTTGCAAGCTTTGAATAACCTGAGGTGTCGTCTGGTGGTGTACTTGGATTCTTGCATTTGAGATTAGGTAAACTACTGCTTCCCATATCTTCTCCTTTGGTTTCCTTCACCGAGGGATGTTTGTTTGGGTTATGAGGTTGATCTTGTATCCCCATACTCCTCTTGCCTCTAAGCATACCAGATCCTGCTCCTCGTGTTCAGCAGGCCTGCTCATTTTGTGAATGTCTCTGTGGCGTTAGAACCAGTGCACCGGGAAGGTCGCCCAGATGGAGGCATTTTATTGCATTTATCTCTCAATTTTTATTAGTAATAAAGATAATTATCTTATTCTTTACTATCAATAACTGTAGCATTCATAATAGTGATGAACAGAAGGTAATTATTCCTAATGAATTTAGATATACTGCATTGGTGACATTTTCCTCTATCACCGCACTACTGCATCTATTAGGCTGAAATTCTGTTGTGAAGGCTAGACGTCTGGACGATCCTTTCAATTTGTTGCAAGTACAACATTGTTTCAATACATACTGGTACTTTAAAATTTGCCTATACAGGTATCAGTACTGTAGACAAAAAAAAATTTCTTGAAGCAAGCATTCTTACTTGTCATTGAGAAAAGATTAAAGGATCGACAATGAAGTTGAATTAATTAATGGATTAAAGGACTTTCAAGGTTATTGATAGAGAATATTGTAATTGAAATTTGGAGAATAGTATAAATTGCTAAATCAGGGAATTTGGAAATAAGATAAAAAAAAATGGTATTGGTTTAGAAGTGCTAAATTTAAAGGTTAGCTTATCTTGGAACTATTTTTTTTTATGATTTATTAAAATTGTTATATTTTGCAGACAACCACTGAAGGCTTTCTACGATTTTTTGAGATGACAGTGCATCGCCTCAAGAGACCTGTGAATGCACGGAAGAGCCGGGTGAATATCCTACAAAATGTTTGTGTTCTATATTTATACATAGTACAGTATTGACATTTTTTTAGTGCTCATCTCTCTGAATTTGTTTCAAAAACAAAAGTTCTTCTTGCAGTTGCTTTTAAAATATTTACGCTCCTTAACCAATTTTCTCTCCTAAAAACAGCCTTGATGATACGTTCTGGCCTGCCATAAATTGGCTGTGATAGTTATAGGTAGATGCCTTTTGATTGCATGATCCTACAGTAGAAGCTAACCCAATCTACTTGGTAAATTATTTTCCATGCCAGTCAACTCTTCATAGAATTGAAAGCTTAGCAGAGATGAAGTTATTAAATATACAGTTCTGTATACCAGGTAGCGTATAGGGCACTGGTTCCCAAACTGGGGGCCATGGCCTCGTGGGGAGCCTTTATTGTAATATGTAGGAGGCCATAAGTTGAGGCAGTGACCAAGTTATGATACCAGAAGATATCAGACGGAGTCTTTTACTGAGTGCAGGGAGGCATTAATAAGGATAACATATGAAAAAGGGGTAATGACTGAAAGGAGTTTGGAGCCACTGGTATAGGGTATGGTCACCAGTCATCACCCACTCATGCTAAAACAAAATTCTCTCATCTAATGTGGTGGCACAAAACCAGGCCAAAATAATTATGAAAACCCCCTAAAATATATTAGTTTTATATATGCAAATGTGGAAATATATAACCCCTTAAGAAAAGGGGTTTAGGAAAAAAAACCTAAAATTTAACGAAAGGATAGAAATTTTGCACATAATAGGAGAGAGAAGTGTGTCAGTGACAGTTTTTGAGAGGAACTCTTCGGTGGCTCCCTGTGCATGCTAAAGGATACTAGATCAACCCAAAGCAAGAGGTATTACCCCCAGAAAGGTAGAAAACTCCAAAACATACAACTGCAAGGAAAATATTAAGATCCCTGACACATTGCACCACCCCATTGCAAGGGGGCGGACCCGGCAGCTTAGGGTCCACCATGCAATGCCAAATCAGTTATGTACCTCCCCAGAGCCGGTCGGCCGAGCGGACAGCACGCTGGACTTGTGATCCTGTGGTCCTGGGTTCGATCCCAGGCGCCGGCGAGAAACAAAGGGCAGAGTTTCTTTCACCCTATGCCCCTGTTACCTAGCAGTAAAATAGGTACCTGGGTGTTAGTCAGCTGTCACGGGCTGCTTCTTGGGGGTGGAGGCCTGGTCGAGGACCGGGCCACGGGGACACTAAAGCCCCGAAATCATCTCAAGAATCTCAAGATAAGATAATAGGCCTTTTATGGCTCTCAACGACCTGATGTGACATGCTTAGAACTATCCAATCACCTAGCACAATGACACCACCAAGGAGCCCACCAGAAAGAGGTATTTCCTTATATTCAGTGCTAGAGTCGTGCAATCCTTATATGAGGGATAATGGCAAGACCTGATTAGCCAGGTCCTGCCATTATTATTATTATTATTGCCCAGTTAGTAGACTGGGCAATTGTAATCACAGGTAATGAACAGTTCCCATCGTTATTCAATCTTAGTGATTTATGTGGAATATTAGGTTTCTGAGTTTTAAGAATATACTAATATCTCAATCATAAGGTCAATAATAGGTTACAAGTACAGTAGGTCATCTTTAATCCACAAAAAGAACCTGAATAGAGTAAGATTCTTTTGTCAGGTTCAGAATCATCTTATTGATCTCAAATTTCATATGAAAGTGCTGATCAGAGCACAGTTGACTGAGTTGCATGTAAAATAGCAAACATCTACTCTAGCTTGAGATAGTTTGTGTGTGTGTGTGTGTGTGTGTGTGTGTTTGTTTGGTTTCACATTTATGACACATTGTGGTGCTGTAGTTCTTGTATTAACAAAATCACTTGATATTTATTAAATGCCTAATATGTACATTGGTAAATTACTTACAATATCTATTGTGTGCTGTGAATTGTGACATGTAAAGTAATGATATTACCAAATACTGTATCGTTAATGTAAAATAAATAGTTATTGTTCCTTTTGTATAAAATATTTCATATGTATGTTGTATAGTTACTTGAGAGTGCAACATAATTATCTTTAACCCAATTTCCTTTTACACGCACTCATTCTCCCCCTCACCACTCTACAGACTAGACACGCACTCATTCTCCCCCTCACCACTCTACAGACTAGACACGCACTCATTCTCCCCCTCACCACTCTATAGACTAGACATGCACTCATTCTCCCCCTCACCACTCTACAGACTAGACACGCACTCATTCTCTCCCCTCACCACTCTACAGACTAGACACGCACTCATTCTCTCCCCCTCACTACCCTACAGACTAGACACGCACTCATTCTCTCCCCTCACCACTCTACAGACACATAGAAACTAGCTCTCACTTTAAACCTTGTGAACTATTTCAATACATCCGTTCCTTTATATTCACTGTTAGGAAAATTGTCTCTTTAATATTTCAGTTTTGATATGATGGTCCACAGTATAAATGTTTGTGTTGTATGATGAGTAATGTTGTTAGTAGTGTTTTAAAGTGGCCGGAGTAGATGATAACTCGGCGAGTGTTCTCTAGACACCTGCTGGTGTTGTGCTTCATCACACACCTGTGTTATACTTACACCTGTGTTATACTTACACCTGTGGTATACTTACACCTGTGTTATACTTACACCTGTTATACCTACACCTGTTATACCTACACCTGTGTTTTACCTACACCTATTATACCTACACCTGTTATACCTACGCCTGTGTTATACCTACGCCTGTGTTATACCTACGCCTGTGTTATACCTACGCCTGTGTTATACCTATGCCTGTGTTATACCTACACCTGTGTTATACCTACACCTGTGGTATACCTACACCTGTGGTATACCTACACCTGTGGTATACCTACACCTGTGGTATACCTACACCTGTTATACCTACACCTGTTATACCTACACCTGTGTTATATCTACACCTGTGTTATACTTACACCTGTGTTATACTTATACCTGTGGTATACCTACACCTGTGTTATACTTACATCTGTGTTATACCTACACATGTCTTATACCTACACCTGTGGTATACCTACACCTGTCTTATACCTACACCTGTCTTATATCTACACTTGTGGTATAACTACACCTGTGTTATACCTACACCTGTGGTATACCTACACCTGTGTTATATCTACACTTGTGGTATAACTACACCTGTCTTATACCTACACCTGTGGTTACCTACATCTGTCTTATACCTACACCTGTGGTATACCTACACCTGTGGTATACCTACACCTGTGGTATACCTACACCTGTCTTATACCTACACCTGTGGTATACCTACACTTGTCTTATACCTACACCTGTGGTATACCTACACCTGTGGTATACCTACACCTGTCTTATACCTACACCTGTGGTATACCTACACCTGTCTTATACCTACACCTGTGGTATACCTACACCTGTGGTATACCTACACCTGTGGTATACCTACACCTGTCTTGTACCTTCCTTGTATATATAGTGTCTACTTAGCAGTGATGGCCACTCTCAATATTTCTCCTTAACAATATTTCTCTCCTAATAAGTAAATAAATATATATATGCTGTATGTATTTGTTCAATTATTAGCAGAGTTAATATTAATTATAATATATATATATATATATATATATATATATATATATATATATATATATATATATATATATATATATATATATATATATATATATATATATATATATATATATATATATATATATATATATATATATATATATATATATATATATATATATATATATATATATATATATATATATATGTAAAATGTCTTTGATATTGAGTATATATATATATATATACACTGTATTGCTTTTATTTTTGTGTGTGAACAATGGCTGGTGTGAAGTTTGCTGAAAAGTTAGCTGGCAGGATGCTGTGGCCACTATTCCTACTTGTAGGATCGAGTGTAATGTTTGTACTCATTGGTCATGATAATAAGAGCTGGAGGAGGAAATTACCCTGGAGTAATTTTCAACGTAATTCTCATGGGAAACGTTAAGTATGTTCGCTTTGATGTACTTGTAAGACACGTGGTCTAGGCATCCTTGGCAGTGACCTTTGCCTGTTATTAGAGTATCTTCCCGTTTTAAATTAAACATTTGCCGCTGGTTTTATTTTTGGCTATGAGTGCATATTGTAATTTGGCGTAGTGCTGTCTTGTGTTTAAGTTGTGCATGTTGTGCTGGTATTGGCTTAGTACAAGTTGTAACTTGCAGAAGGCAGGTGGTGGTGGGAAGGTTGGTGGTGTGTACGGGAATATTGGCAGGCGCCACAGCCTAGGTCCGTTGATATCTTGTCTGCCCTCCACAACCTCCTCCACCTCCACCACTACCACCGCTACATCTGCCACCACTGCTGCTGGACTCCCGTCAGGTGGATGTGGTCAGGTATAACTTTTACCTAGTTAAATGTATTTATTTGTCATTTCAAACCTCATAATTTAAAGATTTTGCTTGCAACTTTTTGAACTGCATTTCTCAGAATATTATTTGAACTGGATTTCTTAGAATATTATTTAGGACATATTTTGTAGATTTTAAAGTAGCATTTAGAGTATGACTAATGCTTTTCAGTTAATAATTTCCCTTTAAATCATTTCTGAATAAGATGTGATGGTTAATTATGTATACTGTACATGACTGTCTATTCAGTCTTTATTTTCTAGATCTGCAATATTTTGATTTTTTTTTTAATTTTGTTAAACTTGTTAGATCCCTGGAAACTATATTCTTTTCTAACACTTCATGTACGGTAAATACAGTGCAATTCCATTCAAGAATATTTGCCAATTATCATGGTCTTTAGCTCACTTCAACTGTGGTTTTAAAGTCATCTTCCGTGTCGTGCACTTCAGTGAAGGTCTTGTGCAAACTGCACCCATACCCTTGCTCAGGTTTGTGGGTGTCTTGTCTTACCCAGAGTTTGGCTCAGTGGGAATGGCTTCTCCTGTCGAACTTTGACCATATGTCTCAACTCGACCCGAACATTTTCAAATACAGGTACAGGTCCTCTTTCATTTCTGTCTACAGTATGAAATTCCCACTTTGTCTTGACTTGCAGAAAATTCCTTGTTTTCTGTGGACAAGTGGCAGCTCTTCTGTTGCATTCAGGCACATAAGTGGAAGGAAGTACCTTCATTCCACTTTTAGTAAGTTTAGAAGTTTAGTAAGTGGATACTAGAAATAATCTATCACAGAAAATGGGTTCAACTACAGTACAAGCAGTTATGAAGATTGGAAATATAAGGATAGTTACAAAAGATAAATTTCTTGATTGGCTAAACTATACCTCCCTAACTTTTCCACTGTTTCAGTCTAAATGCTCATTTTGCATTGCTGTGTTGACCACCTCATTTGTGTACAGCTCAAGAAACCTTTCTGGAGTAATCATGGGTTCTTCTTAGCTGTTTTCTTGAGGATCTCCCTCCTTTACCTTCCCATGCTGTGGCTGGGAACTCTGCTTTCTTGTTGGGACTTTGAGCATCTCTTGGGCAACCCGAACTCTGCCTAAGAGTGTTTTACCCTTGTGACCTCATGTAGCTGAAGGCATTTTATCGCATCCTTTTGGTGGATGTTCTTTCTCCAACACCAGAGATATGCAGTGCATACCTATTTCACCGAAGATGGATCTTGCATACTAGTTGAGGATACACACCGTAGTAGTTGAGGATACTGAACATACTAGTTGACGGTGCTGAATGTAACAGTTGAGGATACTGATCATACTAGCTGAGGATACTGATTATACTAGTTGAGGATACTGATCATACTAGTTGAGGATACTGAACATAGTAATAGAATATACTGAATTTATCAGAACAGAAGCATTTGACCAATGTTTCCTTTCACCTGTTGCCTGTATTCACCTAGCAGTAACTAGGTACCCAGGAGTCAGGCCACTGTTGTGGGATGCATCCCGCAGGTGGTCAGTAGTCATTGGAGGACCTGGATAAGCCTAACAGGCTTCCTGCCCATAACTTTGGGCACCATCTTTGGGCAGGGCGCCTCACAGCTGGGTGGACAGCGCTTCGGATTCATAGTCCTGAGGTTCCGGGTTCGATCCCCGGTGGAGGTGGAAACAAATGGGCAAAATGTTTCTTTCACCTTGATGCCCCTGTTCACCTAGCAGTAAACAGGTACCTGGGAGTTAGACAGCTGCTACCGGCAGCTTCCTGGGGGTGTGTAACAAAAAAGGAGACCTGGTCGAGGACCGGGCCACAGGGACGCTAAGCCCCGAAATCATCTCAAGATAGCCTCAAGATAACCCTACTGATGTTAGCTGAGGATATTATTATATCAGAATTTATATTTTTATTCACTTTAAAATGTTTTTATTAAAGAAGTAAGGATGGCATAATATATAATACTTTGAGTTGTATATGTAACAGTACGTTCAGCTAATGCTATATTTTATGTAGATTTAGAATTGTATATACAGTATATAATTTGTGTTGTAGTAGTAGTATTGCTTTACTGTAGGGTTGGCCATCATCTTTGTGATGTTTGTGTGTGTGTGTTAATATTAATATATATATATATATATATATATATATATATATATATATATATATATATATATATATATATATATATATATATATATATATATATATATATGCAATTGACGATCACAAAACACTGATCATTTTATGCGGAAAATCCACAGAGAAATATCAAATGAGGTGAACGTTTCGGCCCTGTTAAAGCCTTTGTCAACACCAGACTGACTGATCAGTCAGTCTGAGTCAGTCTGGTGTTGACAAAGGCTTTAACAGGGCCGAAACGTTCACCTCATTTGATATTTCTCTGTGGATTTTCCGCATATATATATATATATATATATATATATATATATATATATATATATATATATATATATATATATATATATATATATATATATATATATATATATATATATATATATATATATATATATATATATATATATATATAATAAAAATACTCCACTTCCCCAATATGCATAAGACATCATACATTCAAGCCAAGAGATCCAAGATTAAAAAACTGTGCTCAAATACTCTCTTGCATATAGAGTGGTATGGAACCATTTAAATGGCAAGGTAGTGTATACCAAAAGTTTGGTAGCTTTAACACTTCAAATGACAGACTATACAGATGACAGAACACCAATCACAGGTCACATCCTGTAACTACACTTATAAACAATTACCACTCACACAATACAAGTATTCATTCAAAAATAAAATTCTTCAGAATTTTGAAGATATGGGTGGGGGGAAATACTGAAGAAAATGTTCACGACATTCATGAGAGCGAAGAGATTTAAGGGGCGAGCTTTGATATTAAACTGCCTCTAGGGGACAATATCAAGAGATGATATTAGTAAGATGAGAGATAGTAAGAGATGAACCTGCCTGATTCTGGCTAATATCATATTCACCTTTAAATATACATAGAGAAATGGTTAGCAAATTGTTTGGCATACATGAACCCTAAATAGGAATACCGTATACAACTTTTGTATGATGCTCGTATCTCAAAAAAGTTTACAAATAATGCAGGAAAAGTACAGACATAGTACCATGACATAGGGACCTAAAAAAAAACAAGAACTACAAGGCTAGCCTTAGTGATGTTAACACTAGTAGGTGCAATAATGCAACATTTTCAGAGGAATTAATAAAATTGATAAGGCGATATTTTTAAATCCACAGCATCGAGACCAAGAAATCATAGATTCAAACTACAAGACATCAAAGGCACCAAAAAAAACCACACACAAATTATCTTTTTCCAACAAAGTGGTAGATAGAAGTAATAAACTAAATAATAGGGTACAGCAGTGTTCGGAATACTGAAGCCATCATTAACATCAAAACTTCATGACAAAGATTAAATGGAAGACTAGACAACACAAGCATACACATACATAATCTGCAAATTTAGCTCTAAAATAAAAAAAAATTGTATTGCATTATAGTATGGGAATCTGAGTAAACTTGTATTATCAGAATGTAGCAGCCTTCCGAGAACGCCTGGGAAGTAACAGAGTTATGGAGCGACCCAGAACTCGCTCAGGGAGTAAGCCATCAGATCGCTCAAGATTGGAAAGCGGGAGTCGTGAAATACACCTTGATATGCCAGAGATGAAGTCACTGATTGAGCCAGAAGAGGAAAACAAAGATGAAGGGTAAGTATATATACAAAGGTGTAGGAATGAGTATAGTGAAGCAGGTATAGTTATTGTAAGAGAGTACCATAATACGTAGTCGGTTTGACTTGGAGAAGCGTCAGGAAAATTATCAAAACATGGATACGTTTAGTATTTTTTAGCTATTCCACTTGAATGCTTCATAAGGCAAGGTCATTAAATGTGTCATTGGACAGAAACTTAACTGTCAAGCCAGGGTGATACTATGTGCCAGCAGAGTAGAGATATTGGATACGTCCCTACCAAGCCATACACATGCTAGTGAGGCACTGGAGAAAAGCTCACTCTAGCCCAGATTCACTGCAGAAAGTTCACTCATTAACATCTAATGCATTTTAAAGTCCTGCTTGACATCACAGGAGCAGTAAAGTAATATTGTAACCCAAACCACTAATATTCCCACCTGGCTGCTTTACCTAACTTCAAACTTCAGAAGTGGGTACTCAAGATATAAGTGCAGAACTGAGGAACATACCATACATAGGGTGGACTAGAACAGCCTCTTTAAATTAAAAAAAAATCAAGACAAGAGGAGATAGGTTGAAATTTGAGGCACAAATTAGGAATGAAAAAATGAGGAAAGTATTCAGCCCATCCTCTCAAGTTGTCAGTGGTCAGAAAATGATGCATTAGACTGTCCGAACCAAACCTAAGCAATAGACCCATGCATAGAAAACATGAATGTTTGTGAGTTGCTATGATTTGTAGTATATTATATTTTGTCCTTTGGGGATTTTGATGTCAAAATGAGATGTATTATCAAGGAGATAATGGCAAGGGAAACACAGTATCACAACCAAGAAAGGTAACCAGGCTCAGAGTTGGAACAAAATACATAACTAGGGCATATAATGTTTGTGGCATAAAACAATAATATTAAAAGAGAAAATATACTCTATATAATATATAATATAGATGAAGGGTAAGTATATATATACAAAGATGTATATATACAATAACAAAGGTTCCCAGCTGATCTAATATTCTTGTGATAGTTAACACCACTTAACTGAAAGCATAAAGTAGAAGCCGAGGATGGGTCCTGTTAGCAGTTCCATGTTTCCTGTCCTGTTTTGGGCGGGTGAGATGAAGGAGAGGGGTGGCAGGCTGGCTGGAGCCCCAGGTGATCTGGGGCCGGATTCATCAAGCAGTTACACAAGTACTTACGAACCTGTATATCTTTTCTCAATCTTTAGAGGCTTTGTTTACATTTATTAAACAGTTTACGAGTATAGAAACTTCCCAATCAAATGTTATTACTGTATTGTTATAAACGGCCTTCTAGTGCTTCGAAGCTCACAAACATTTTAATAAATATAAACAAACCCACCAAAGATTGAGGAAAGATGTACAGGTTTGTAAGTACTGGCATAACTGCTTGATGAATCTGGCCCCTGGACTGTCACCTGGTAGCAGATCGTTGCATCACAATTAGTGTTTATCCAGGTTTTGAATGCCATTTTGAAAGGATTATAATTCAGTATACAGTAGTAAGTAAATAAGAGCTGAACTTTGCAGTAGTGGCACGTATTGTAGATTATGTATGCTAAGTATTGGTTTTCAGCTTTAACTGCTAAAAAAAATTAGAAACTTTGATAATTTGATGACAGTTCAGCATACAGTATATACATATTCAAGTAAGATACAACTGTATCTTTTAAATTTCTCTCAAGATTGATTAAATATGTTTATTGTGACATTTTATAATGATATTTTCATTTCCATTTGTGTGTGTGTTCAGGGAAATAAAAAAGGTAAGCATAAATTCATCATTGGCTGAAATTGTGGAACTGATGCGTGACCCGGTGAAAGGTGTGAGCCTGCTCAACCGACAGGCTGGTCTTCCTGCTCTTACCTTTGTTGCTGCCGATGCTACTGCCTGGGTGTGCGAGCACGTGGATGGAGCTACCACTGAGGTCGTTGCTGTTGACTTGTTACAGGTGGGTTTCTTACACTCAACTTCACAAATTGTCAATATTTTGGGTCATGGAGAATTTATAAGTAATTTAACCACAGAATTTTAGACAATTAAATATCATATATTTGAATGTATCCATTATGGTTAGCAGTGGACCAGGGACATAGTAACTCTCTGGGTACAATAGGTAATAGGGCCGGCCGGCCGAGCGGACAGCACACTGGACATGTGATCCTGTGGTCCCGGGTTCGATCCCAGACGCCGGCAAGAAACGATGGGCAGATTTTCTTTCACCCTGATGCCCCTGTTACCTAGCAGTAAATAGGTACCTGGGTGTTAGTCAGCTGTCACGGGCTGCTACCTGGGGGTGGAGGCCTGGTCGAGGACCGGGCCGCGGGGACACTGAAAAGCCCCGAAATCAACTCAAGATAACCTCAAGAATAGGACTTAACTAACAAAATATAGTTGTTCACTACTGAAAATAAGTGTTACAAACAGCCTCAAACAAAGCATTTCTACCTTACTTCATGTTCCTCCAGACATCTTAGTCTTTAAATAGAAATTTGGGCCCTGTAACTATAGCTATTTGGTGGCAAGTGCAGAAAATGTCACCTTATGTGATACCTCTGTCAGAAGTATCTTGTTCCTATTCAAGACTCAGTGACTGTTATGAGTGGTATAATTAATGTTTGTATCTTAAGATATGCTGGCCAGAGATACATGTCTTCATATTCCTCATGCAATTAAAATATATTTTGGTTTGTTATGTTTATCGTGCAATAAATTATCATGAGCACTAATTTTTGCTAGGTTTTATAATATAAGTGCAATACAATACATGTATAATTTTGTAATCTGATTTTAGATCTGTAGTAGTAGTAAATTTGTAGTAGAGTATATCGCCTTATGTATTAATTTTAGAAAATGGTGAAGAGTGAACTAATCTGCCATGCATCAGGGGATCGTCAACACAAGTTTGTCCATGGCTTCTTTCTGTACTTTATTTTGACAGGAAATAAAGGTTGGTGGAGCTATTTATCAGTAACAGCATACCTTAAATGTTGTTATAGCATATTAGTTATTATCAGATATGCAGGATTGTCTGTAATTACCTAAGTGTAGTTACAGGATGAGAGCTACGCTTGTGGTGTCCCGTCTTCCCAGCACTCTGTCATATAGCGCTTTGAAACTATTTGTCATTTAACGCTTTGAAACTGTATAAACTTGTGTGTGCATGCCAGTTTTTGATCACTTGTGAACACTGTTGTATGCGTTCATACCCTTGTATGGCTCTTCCAGAATGCAGTAATCCATTAAACTCTACCATTCTACAACTTGAAATATTCTCTACTTGCATCAAGGTTTGTCCAACCACTTGGACTGGATGGTAGAGCGACGGCCTCGCTTCTTGCAGGTTGGCATTCAGTTGCCGAGCATCCAGGTGGTTGGCCAATATTCCTTCCCTCTTTATCCTAAATCCATATCCTCATATCCCTTCTAAGGGCTATATATAGTCAGAATGGCTTAGTGCTTTCTCTTGATTTTACATTAAATTACCTTACCTCTGATCCTGACCTTACCTTAAATTAATGCTTGTGTATTATACTTAATGTACCTGCAGTGAACTCTTCTATATAATATAATTTAGTTATGATGCATTAATATACATTGTAATAGAATCTGTGCTAAAGTGCTCAAGATTTAACCTTGTAAAATATAAATTTTATTTTATATTCTTCACATTTTATATGAATTTGTAATTTGATATACACCCTGTATTGTATTTCTCTCTCCTTCATATTACACCTATTTATAGTCATCAGATTGCTTGCCTCTTCATAGCAACATTGCATTTGAAATTATAAATAAAGGTTGAAACCATTGAATCATATATTTTAGTTAACAAAATAATATAACAACGTCCAAAAAAATAACGTAAGTCTCTAAAAAAACCTGATATGGTTACTCGATAAACTTTTCAAATAAAAATAAAAAATAAATATAAATTATACAGTACTGTATATGGTTTCTGGCTATACTTCAAGAATTTTAAACATAAGTTTGATTATTTTAATTTGTTGAGAAGAAGCAATGTGTTACAGAGCAAGACCAGGTGGGCTACGATCTGTGCACGTACCGCTCAGAGTGGCACGAAGTGGAGGTGGAACCTCTCAGTACTAAGCCTGGGGGAGTTCCTACCACTCCACGATCAACATCACCACCCGTGTCTTGCCCCGCCTTCCTGCAGCCTCAACTACCTCTCTATATTCCTTGGAGAGGATGCTTCAGTAAGTGTCATTCCATTTTATGGATATTAGTTTGAAAATGCTTTAACCCGTGTACTGCACTCGCCGAGATATCTCGTTTGACGGGTGGTGCGCTCGCAGAGAAAACTCATTTGTAGGTACAGTATAGCAGACGATTCAAAACAACCGCAGGTGCACAGGACTCACATCCTGTTCTTCAGGCTTCCAGTAATAAGACACCATCTTGGAAAACAATTGTCTGCATCCCTCCTAGCTGTGAGAGCCTCAGTATTGATGGCAACAAAAGGTAGGGCATGCAGCAGCAGCTCACGGCACCGCTGTGCACCTCAGGGCCACACCACCACTTAACAATGATGAATAAAATAAATAACTGATATTTTGTGATGATAATGTCATAGATGAAGGTGAATGTGATCAAGGCTGTGTACATTACAAGGTTTAGATATCAATGAACACAATGCTAGTTATGATGTTAATTAACAGTGCGAGGATGACAGCCACAGCACTCGGCCATTATTTCATGCATTTACTCATCATGGAATGATCTCCTGCTCCTTTAGAAAATAAACTTGTGGAAAATGATTCATATTCAGGATTTAGTGAAAAGGAATTTGATAATAGCAGCATTGTGCCTAGGGTTAGCAAACTGCATATTATACTGGAGGCCTTAAACCGCGTCAGGTGGCATTGTCAGCTGCTCAGATATGGGTATGATTCTGTCTCTTATATGCATGGCTTAGCAGGGCATCTCATTGTGTGCTGGCTACCTCCCTGGAATCCGCTTGTGCCCTGGCTCTCGGAGTTTTCTTTGCCTTTTTGTTCTTTGCTGTTTGCAGAGTCTGTGGTGGTGGTGCAGTATTTGCAGCCAGCTTCTTCCAGTTCTCGTCCCATGTTGGTCTTGTTGACATGGGGAGGGGGCCCATGGGGGGTGTCTTCCCAGAAGGGTCATGCCAGGACTCGGGGTTCTTCCAGTCGTGGTAGGCCAGTGGTGCCAGTTTCGGAGCCGGCGCAGCCTTCGGAACCATTTTCGTCTGGTCGGCATGGTGATTGCTCTCTGCAGGGGTCGGGTTCACATAAGAGGCGTTGACACTTCTGCAGTTCGTCCCATTGACAGGGCGATGGGAGGGGGGAGGCTTGCGCTGTTTGCTCATGCCTGGTCCCACGATTTATGGGGCCTTTCGAGTCATTTTGTGGTGCCTGCGGTGGCATTGGGTGGCCCTCCTCCTTCAGGAGGTTCGGGGTTGACAGGGCAGGCCTCTTCTCCTGCGCTCTGTCGGGTCATCTTGGAATGGGTTCGCTTGGGCGTGGTTGAAACGACCTAGTCCCTCCTGTGGGTTTCCCCACCTGTTTCCAGTTCCGAAACCAGACTGCGCAGACCTCAGGTTCATTCTGGACTTGTCACGTCTGAACCCGTGGGTTTATTGCCCCTCCTTTCGAATAACTACTGTCCCAGGTCCATCTCCTCTTGGAGCCATGCACTTGGATGGTGTCCGTGGACCTCCGGGATGCGTACAGTATTGGCACATCCCGATTCATCCGAGGATCAGGGACTGGCTTGGTTTTGTTGTAGGGTGTCAGGGGTTACAGCTTTCATTGCCTTCCATTTGGCTTGAATCTGGCACCTCGCGTTTTCACATGCCTTATCTGGGTTGTAGTGGCTCGTCTACGTCTGTTAGGGGGTTTGGGTTCTGGCCTACCTCGACGAGTAGCTGGTTTGGGCTCCCAGCTGGTTCGCGTGTCTGCTCGCCAGCTGTATGTTTTTGACATCCAGCCTCTGAACTGGGGTGTGGGTATCTGGTGTGAGGGGGGTCTGGGGTTCCCCCTTTCCCCCCCTGGGGAGGGGGGGGAGCTGTGCAGACGGTGGCGCGGCAACGTGGTGATGTCATGCTCATTTGCTTGTTTTTCTTTGGGGAGTTCTGTCCATTCGTTTGACTTTTAGTAGTGGTTTCAACCAGAATAGGGATTTGTTTTGGGAAGCCTACCTTTTCTGGGTGCCTGACCCGTTCGATGGCAGACTTAAAATGCTCCAAATCACATGTGCATTTCTATAGGCCATTGCTCCTCGTGCCTCTTTGAGGGGGGCCAGGTTCTGGCTTGTGGTCCCCAGTAGGTCTAAGAACTCCATTCGCACTGACTGATGCTAAAGTCTAATACATATAGCCATATCAGCCTGGATAAGCTCCGGGGAGCCTCCAGATATCACCCAGAAAATGGCGTTTCATTTCATTCAACGCTGCTTTTATCCTATTTCCATATTTAATTATCTTGAGGGGGGTAATTTTTGTCTTTGCATTGTCCTATTCTCTTGTCCGTCTCGTATTTTTCTTTCTGTTGCTTGCAAACCTGAATGTATTACAGGATAGTAATTGCTTTTTCAAATATGCATTTACTCATCTGTCACCTCCACTATTTCAGGCCATCTTCCATATCCAGCTTACAGGAAAGAAGTTTTTGTGCTTCAGTATTGTAATCTTTCCAGAATTGTACAGAATTGGGCAGTTGGACTTGGACTGCAATAATCGCAGTGATCGGGTAGAGTGGGGACACATGAAACACCACTCCCTCTTCAACCCTCTACAGTCTTTTGAAATCATTATCCAATGGATGTGTGCTACAGGGACCATCGTGACTGACCTGGTGAGATTACACAATAAAGTTTGTGTGCGGCTTCCTCACCTTCATGCTGAGTGGAGTAGGTGCTTTGAGCCTCATAAGAAATGAGTGCTAATACAGTACACACAGTGTCTCTGATGCTGAGTAAACGATGCCAGGAAAAGTGAACATGTTTAGACAAATGTCTTGTCAATAGTGCCCTTATATTTGTTTAATATGAGATATACATTGCAGTAAGTGATATTTTACAAAGGACCATTTTTCTAAATTATTTTATTTATATTATGTGCGCAGATGATGACATGGCAGCGTAAAGCTCAAGCTTGTGGGCTCCATCTTTTTCCCGTACCAAGTGATCCATTTGCACTTCCGTATTCTTGCAACTCTGATCCATTACGCGGTCCTATACTGATTCCTCTTAATGTGGCATGTCTTAGTGTTTCTGGAGCTGAACCATTTGCTCAGTTCACATCCAGCACTTGGGGAAGGCGAATGCATCTTTTTCAGGTAGAGTATGAAGCCATAAATCTGAAAGATTTTGTACACTTAATGTTTACAGCATAAACATTAATTTCTTTGTGTAGTTTAATCCCCGAGCTACTCATTCTTCTGCTCAGAGAGGTATTCTAGCCTGCATAATAAAAGTTATTTGACTTCATTTAGGCAAGAGAATATATAGCACTGGTGCCACAGTACAATAAATGGTAATGCTCAGAACACTTTGCATGTAAGTAGTTTCATTAACTGTACCCACTCTGTAACAATCAGCTAAACACTGTAACATGTTCTGTATATTTTGTATTATATTATTAAGAGTTTTACATAAATGTGTTCCATATAAAAATGTACAATTATAACAAAAAAATGTAATGAAATGCCCTTTTCTGGTAGGCTACCAGTAGCTCAGCCCATTGTACCAGGTCTCTGAGACTTATTCACTGCGTAGTGTAAGCCTGGACCAGAGTCTGGCCAAGGCAAGGCAAGCTTTGAGTAAAGTGATTTAAACCACAAGGAAAACCCCATCAGAAAGCACAGGAACATCAAGAAAAGTAACTGTTTGAAGGAAATTAGGCACTCCAAGGTAAATGGAGCAAATGATATTTACTGCAGGGGGTAACTACTGTAAGCGTGATACCCCAAACACCGCCAGATATCAGCCGTGGTCACTGGGTTCTCATTCAGCCTACCTCCTCACTCTGGAGCCACCTGTGCTTAACCTTTAAACCCCGTGAAAAAGAAGGGACCAGGACGAGAAGCTACATGGGGTCCACCAGAAAAAGGAATTTTATTACATTCAAAGCATCATTTCTGGGAGGAACCTTTCAGTAGCTCTTATACCTTATTGAAGCTTTTGTTTGTTTCTCTTATTGCTTCATGTGCATGTTTTTATATCATTTCCAGCAAGCTTAGTGTAGCCTCCATTATTCATGTCATTTCAGCAACCTCAGCTTAGCTCTCCCCCCCCCTTATTCTTGTTGAGTATGTTCCTTGTTGAGTATGCTCCAATGTTCTCTTCATGCTTGTATGCTTGGTCTCTTCAAGCGCATGTTCCCAGAGATGCCTTCTCTGTTTGCCATTAGCATTAACCCTGCCCTTGATCAGGGTTTTATCACCCAAGTGTATTTAGTAGTCCAGCCCTTGGGGTCTCCTCCTCTCAAGGAGCCTAGCTGCTGGTGGTGCATATGCCTCAGTACTTCTGCTGAGCCAGGTGTTGAGGCAAATGAGGCATTTGTTTATATCTGGGGTGAGCTGTGGATTTTTTGTCAGCTCATGCTCCAGTGGCAGGTTACATTTATTTTTGCCACATTTTTACCTGGTCAAGGGTTGGACTAGATTTCAAGTAGGTTCCCCAGTGCCCAGTTGCCCTTATAGTCTTTCATGCTAGGTGGTGGTATTTTCCTGCTGGTCTCGTCTGAATGAAGTTCTTTTACTCCCCTCCGAGTATGCTGCTATTCTTGCTGTTGAAGCTCTTCCAGATGTTTCCTCACCTTTGTTGCTTGCTTCTAGCCTTCTGTCTCCACATGCAGGGTTGAGGTTTTTTTTTTATCTCCAGTGATGTTTTAGTGATGGGCTTTGCTGTTCAGGACTGGTTGTGTTGCGTTTTGGCCATGGTTAGGCCTCGGTGTCAAGGCCATTTTGGCTGGTTTCATTTATTTTCCTTTCTTCTCTTGTTCTTTGCTGGTCACCTCTTCTCTCTTGGGTTGGGTGCCTGGCTGCTGTGTCAGTACTTCCATTAAATCCCTGGTGCTGTTTTTAGACTTTGGGTCTGTGTTCCCCCTGGAGTTTTGAATATTTGCAGGGCCTTCTATGATTGCCCTGCTCAGGCGTGGGATGAAGACAGTTGAGACTGCTGATCCTTTTAAGGACTCTAAACCTTTTGGCTATTTGGGGCAGTTGATGTTTGCTCTGGACAGTGTTTTGGCTGCTGTTGGTTCCTCTCTTCTTTCAGGCTTCAGCCGGGGTTCTTTGCTCTGCCACTTCTTTTTTTTATGTCAGGAGCAGAGCTCTTAGGGCTCTGCTCCTCCTTTCCCAAGCGTATTTCTAGAGACCTGTGGTTTTCCGAAGTCACCTGTTTTTGGCAGGTCTGCTGTCTTGTCTTCTCTTAGGCATTTGTGAACTCATTTCAGCTTGTGCTTGACTTGTGGCAACTCACCTCTGGTTCCAAGAATCTTTTTAGTTAAGGTTTGAGGTTCTGGCCTCTCCCTCTCCCTCTCCCTGGCTAGCAGTAGTTTCCTTGCTTGGAGTTTCGGTACACCACCTGCTGTTGTTGAATGCTCCTGTGTCTCCCTTTCACCTTGGCCTGTTCCTTCTTGGTCCTGTGGCAGTGGAGAGTTGTCTGCCTTGGCTTCTGTTCCTTGTGTTGCAACAAGACTGGTGGGTATACTGTCACATTGCTGCTCTGGGGTGTCTGGCCCTTGTTGCTCACTTGTGAGGTGGGCCTGCTATTTTGGCTGTAGATGCTGGAGTGAGGTGACACAATTTTTCCATTGTCACCCATGGTAGAGGTTTTGTCTTGATAGTTTGCCCCCCCTGCTATTGTGTTATGTTGGGGATGAGGCTCATCAAACCTTTGGATGATGTTGCTCTCACTTTTTCTGGAACCTTCCAGTTCTTCTCGTTTGTGGTGCCTTTTGCATACCTGGCACACAATAAGTTGTTTGGTATAATGCATATTGATTTTTGTTTTTGAGGGCCAGTGATCCTGCCTGCCTCAAAAACTGATTGGTTTAAGAATCCAGCAAGTCAGTTTGTCTGCTCACTGGGGGTTCATGGGTCATTCTCATTTGACAGCTTCAAACCCCTAGTCAAGCACCTGCCTGCTAGTTGGGTTTCGTGGTTCATTCTCGGTTAACAAATTCGGGTCCCTTGTCAGCTGGCAAAAGTTCTGCCTCATGCTGTCATGGGCTCAGTCCTGGGTCAGCCTGGTCTTTGCCTCTGGAATGTTGTTCCTTCTTTGCCACTGCCGACCTCGGTTGGTGTTTTGATTCTGTTTTGTGGCGTGCTCAGTTTCCTCGTTGGCCTTATGAATGATTCTTCAGTGGCAACTGTACTGATGAAGCAGCAGACATTAACAAAACAAATGGATTTAGTTTTAAAACAGAACCAAGATGGCAAGCTTAGATGATGAGAGGACTGTGTTGTAGCCTAAATTGTATGTGAGATGTCATTATTATTATTATTATTAATCAAGTTTCTTTGGGTGGAGAGACAACATCCTTTAGGATAATTGGAGAGTTGTGTAAACTTTCATCTATATACCATATCTTATATTGACGAGCATCTTGCATAACCGGTATCGTCAAACTCCAGCAAAACGCCCACAACAGAACTCTACTGTTTCATACAACCACAGTGCTTGCTATGACAAATACTGTAATTTAGTGTGATTAAAGCTATCACATCTTATTAACAAACTAATTCAACGTAAAACAACTCCCAACTACTACTCGTGTGATGATGATATTCCCTCTGTATTTTGAATACTTTGTATATATTCAAGTTGTTTGATCTGTATATGACATCTGTGAATCATGTTAATTGTATCATATCCTATTACATTTCTGAAAAATTTGCAACATTTGGTTGTATGTTCTCATACAGTATTCTGTTTTTCTCTACAATAGGAGGCCATTCTAGAGAGGTTTGGTTTTGTGCCTTATGTGACTGAAACTCACAGTATGGAGCAGAATCAGTACGTGCACGTGACAGGTAACATGTTTGTCATGGTTCATTCACCGGGAACAGGGGTGCACTCCCATACCCCATACCCCCTGGAGACCTCCCGAGGTCGCACTCTCGCCAACCCTCTCACTTCAACAAGCTCCTCACAGGTATGATTGAGATGGTGTCTTTCCCATAAGCCCCAGAACATTACTGTCAGATTTTATCTCGGTCTACGATCAAAAATTACAATTTTCTGTCACAGTTGCACGCTTCTATTCTCTGAGACCCTGTACATAATGCAAGGTCACAGCATTGACCTCAGACCATCATTATTTCCCTCTTTATCCAGCATAATATCCTGTCATATATGTATCTAGGAATCCTGTGTATGTGTATGTGTGTCCAGGCAACATATTGAGGAAATACCTGTACACACAAAACATTTGAATAAATTCAAGTACATTACACTATAGATACTGTTCTCATAATATTTTGTTCTTTAAAGTACAAAGCAACACAGTTTTAGTTTGTTTTTTTCAGTGATTTTGTTTCTGTGATTTTTATCTTCTTGTTTAGATTTACAATACAATGTTAAGATTTATTATGTTAGACTCTTAGATTGAGATTTATCATGTATTTTTTAAACATTGTGTTTATAAACATTAACATGAATGGTATAGGTAAACATTGCATGTATTTGGTGCATGCTGCTTCCCTGCTGCTTGAGGTATGTGTGGGATAAATTAACCAACCACTAATTCCACCAGTTTATGATAAGTTTGTCTTGTAGATGATTGCATGATTACCGTGTGTCTTAAGGAGTAAAGCTTTTTATGTTTACACTATTTTGTTTTGTCACTGATTTTGATTTTGATATATATCTTAATATATATAAGTTTACTGATGAGGTGTTTGATTGATTACTAAATACAAATAATGCAGGGAACTAATATAAATTATACAGTATTGCACTAATAGAGATGTAAGACAGTATAATTTTATTCTATAAAACATACACTATATTGCAGTGCTCTTCAGAAATCCAAATCGTATCTTTCTAGACAAAATACGTTTTTCTGTGGGGAGCCTCTTCGGCTCCCTGGAGCTACTGGGCCAATATGCGATACATTAGACCAGGGCTTTAGTCAATGGAGTTCAGCCTACGTGGGACCACGAGCCAGAACCTGGCCCCCCTCAGAGAAGCACAGGGAGCAATGGCTTATGGAAAATCCCACTGTGATTGGGGTTTTTCCTGTGGTTGGGGGTGCCAAAAGTGCTGCTCGGCACTTACCCCGCCCTTGGGGCCAGCTGGGGTTTCATGGCCCTTGTTTGGCCCTAGGTAGAGATTGGTACTGTGCTAGTTGGGGCATCAAGGTGTTGTGCAGCCTGCCTACCTACGCGGCGGCCGGGTCCTGTTCCCTCTGGGGACGTTGTACTTTTGCAGGGTACATCACCAAAAGGCACAAAATCTAAAAAAAACTGCTACCCAAAATGGAGGCTTGGCCAGAATCCAGATCAGCAACAAAACTTAAAAAAATCACATGTTGGTACCCATCACAGTCAGGAACATTGAGTCAACCAGCAAACCTGATAATGGCACAAGCTGACTCTGAGCCAGGGGTAATGCCAACTACTGTGGAAGAACCACTAAAACTATTCAGTAAGAGCAGGACGTAAATCAGTCTTGTTGCTGCTCAAGAATTTATATAAATAGCCCAACCTCCTCATAGGAAAATGCAGGTGACTACGTTTCTGTCTGTCCTCGACTCTTTTTACCAAGTTGAAACTGAGGAAAGAAGAAAAAACCAATATAAGGCAAGAGAGACTGTGATGTTTAAGTAGATGAAGGTAAGCGGGATATTTAACAAAGTAAACAGAGAAGGGAAAGGAGAGTAAATGCAAAAACTAAATAAATACAGAGGAGAAATAAAACGAACCAAATTAGACACACGGAGAGATATTAGGAGATAACATTGGGGTTAAATAGCAGTCAAGTCAAGCTTGCTTAGAAGATTACAATTTTTAACTATGTACTAGGAAAAGCAAGAGTCAACAGCAACAAAGTCAGGACAAAGGTTCATGTTGGACATGTTATGTACGTCAGCTAATTCAACGAGACCGGGTCTGTTGAGAGTAGAGACAGGAAGCATTATTTTGGAATAAGACAAAGCTATACATGCAAGAATGAGTGTGGCGACATCCCAAGACTGCAGGTGGCTGGTGCTGCCGCCTGGACCAGTGGCTTATCTCGGGTAATGATTGTTTATATAGTTAAGAGACACCATTGCCAATGGTTACCATGTAGGTGTTTGTTTTAGTGTACTCTTACCCTTCTGGTGGGTTTTCCCCTTGCTGCTCTAGTGATCCTAAATCCCCAGACTCTCCTGCCTGTTGAAGGAGGGGGAGGGCCATATTCTGGTCCTGGTGCAGACGACGAGTCACAATAATGTGGCTGAAGATATGATGACCAAACCACACGTCAGAAGATGAAGAAAGGACATTTCGGTCTGTCCTGGAACATTATCAGGTCATATGAATTATTATCAAGTCATATGATTTGATAAGGGTCCAGGAAGGAATGAAATGTCATTGTTTCTCTATCTTCTAATGTATGGTTTGGTCTTCTGGTTCTAGTCATGCGGTAGGCGCTCTTGAATCAAGGGAGCCTGGTGTGGTTCATAAGAATGTCAGCTAGCCAAGTGCGATGAACCAGGTTGGTTCAGTAGCTAGATAGCTACTGAGGGGACCTTCCAAAAATAGAAATTGTATAAAGAGCTGAACCTCAAATGAAAATTTTAGAAACAGCACTACTGCAATCAGACAGACACTAGGCTAAACAAAGAATTGGTCAATTCTGAAAGTGAAGGTCCAACACAGCTGAAGGTCAGACAAAAAACATGCTCCACCATGCATAGGAAGTGAAATTTGACCACAAGCTAATCTTTGAACAGAGACATCAGCCTCCAGAGACACTACCAAGACATACTGCACATAATCCAGCTCTGAACTTAGTGGAGGTTCATTATCATTTCAGAATTTCTGAAAAGAAGAAAACAAGCTCCTCAAAATACACACAAGAAAATTTCACCATTGGTCTATCTTTAAGGTAGACATTTTAGCTGTGATTGGTGTCCCCCATCTTCAGTTTCTGACTAGCCTGGCAGCTATGTTCCTTGGACTCCTGGAGAGGAAAGGGGCTCCTGTGGGCCTATAGTGCAGGTACGTGCACTTCTGCCTGCTCACTCGGTTTATCTGCTATTCAGATGCTCTCGGCACTCGCCAAACTTTGGCAGTCAGCACGATTCATCCTGCCAACACTCCTGTGTGTAATTAATCTTCTGGATTCTTGAGGCTTAGCCCTCTGCATGGTGCTCATGCTGAGAGTCCTATGTTCTCTTTTGTTTGTCCCAATTTGACAGAGTGGACCATAGATGTCATGTCCTTCCTTTGTGTTTGGTGTCGATACTTCTTTGGCGCCTTTTTGCCAGCTATCTCGTGTGCTTTTTTTTAAGAGTACCTCTATAGCTCCCCATATCCTACCCTGTTTTATTATTCTACCCATTATCCTACCATTATTTTGTCCCTCTTTATCTGAGCAAGAGTTTGGCTAGACAGAAGTTGTGTGAGATTTGGTGGCTCACTCAACCTGTTTGCACGGTGGCACTGTCATCTAGTGGCAGTCAGTGTAGTTACTTTTTTGTTTCTCTTAAATAGTTCAGAGTGACCATTGGCAACTTTTGAATGATCAAGGCTCATTTGGAATGATTCAAAAGTTAACCTCAGTGGGTATTTTGCCTCAGGGTGGATAGAGCAAATGCTCTTCATTTAGCTTCCTTCACATGGAAATAGGATAAGACAATTTGAAAAGTTGCTTATCTCCTAAGACATGAAGGTCACTAAAGCCAGGACAATTACTGAGGAGTCCTGGAAGACGTTACCAAGACGCTGATCAGAAAGACATTTCATTTCACTCAACACTTCAATTTTTGTCATTCATCATGCAACTGAGAAAACTTTAGATTTCATCAATGTCTCAATGTAGAGGGACACCAAATTGAGAGTCAACATAATTGAAGATCAATATTCACTTGTAAAGTCTTTATCAGACCTCAAAGTTATTAGTGTGGTTCCTCTGCTAGCTACAACAGTACCATTGGATGATAAATTGTCTTCATGTAACTAATGCAAAATTTGTGTAGTATTAAATATTTCAACTAATTTCCCCTAATCTAGATATACCTAATGCAGTTGGATGATAAATTGTTTTTTGTAACTAACTGACTAATGCAAAAATCTGTGCAGTTTCTAAACATTTCAACTAATTACCCTACTCTATACATAATGCATTTTGGCGAGTTTGTTACTGTGTTTTGTATATTTAATACTTGTGTCAGATATCAGTGTTGGCTCCTTGCTTCTTATAGGCTGACTTCCTCTATGGCGTATCCAGCCCTCATGTGGAGTATTTCCATCGCTTGATTGCAGACTTGTATTCCCACGAGATCAGCGAAAAACAGGTTTGTTGAAGTATGAGGCTCAGAGTACTTAAGACCTCAATGACAAATCAATGCCAATGTTGAGCTGGAATGTGTACTTATAGTTTATAAAAGAGGATGTACAGTATATCTTTTGCAATGCTATAAATCTGCATTCATGGCAGAGTATGTTTGGATACTTCCCTATGGATTGTCTTAACTGAAAAGAATTCTGAGTATTTGTACATAAAACCTCACGAGTATATTGCTTCATTTCTGTAACGTTTGCCCATACTATTATCACGGTAGGTGATACCATTTTCATATTTGCATGGTTCATTAAAGTCCATGCTATATAAAGCAGGGCATCTCACACTATGGTAGTACTGTAATATGTTATTAGGCATTAAGTTGCTGCTAAAGTCAGTCAAAGCAATAATTTGTTAAGAGTACAAAGTAAATGTTATCCACAGTACACAGTAGTCATGTCATGTCATTAATCAAGCCATAGAAAAATTCGGTTATTATACATGAACCCTCCCCCTCCCTCATATCTGTCACCTTTGAGTGAAATCCGATTTCCCTCAAAGGCTTTTTAATCCCCTCTGAGGCCTAGTAAAGAGTGCTTTAATTCACAGCAGGTAAGTTTGTTTTTGGTTTGTGGTGTTTGTGGTAATTTGCTGTAGCATGGCCAACGTTGTTCAGCTTCCCAAAAGTTCCTGCGTGTGGCAGTCGACTTGCTAGGGATAATTTACTTGGGCCTGTGAGAGGTAGCATGATGCTTATGGCATTACTAATCAATACATTTTCTGCATGTGAGGTGTTGTTTATGATGTCTTAAGTTAGAATAATTTAAGAATATATACATTGCGACTCCAAAATATACAAGTAATAACTTTTAATTTTCAGAGGTTACTAACATGACAAAATGAAGGTGGTGTTAGTGACCACAGTGAGCCACTGTTAACATTGAGGTATAGCGTTATTATGTACCGGCACCAGTTAATGCAAGTTATGACCCTCAATTATGTTAATACTCAAGTGTTGTTCCCAGACCACTGTGCTTCATATCCATTTATTATAAACTTAGAAACTTTGTGCTGGACTGAAGGTAGAGTGCCTAAGATAACGACGTTTTCAAAATGTTGCGGTGTCATGTGCTCCATAAAATCCTTCTTTGGAAGTTCTGAATATGATCTCTTTTGCTGATTCTTCTATAAAATTAGAGCATAATTCTTGCATGGTGCCTGACGGCTGAGTGGACAGCGGTTCGGATTCGTAGTCCTGAGGTTCCGGGTTCGATCCCCGGTGGAGGCGGAGACAAATGGACAGAGTTTCTTTCACCCTGATGCTCCAGTTCACCTAGCTTAAATAGGTCCCTGGGAGTCGGACAGCTGCTACGATCTGTTTCCTGGGGGTGTGTAACAAAAAGGAGGCCTGGTCGAGGACCGGGCCGCGGGGACGCTAAGCTCTGAAATCATCTCATGACAACCTCAAGATAATAGGATAAGTGCTACTAAAATAATATAGTTAAACACTAGTATAGATAGAGAGTTTAAAAAAAAAAGGTTTGAAACAGAATTAGAAGAGAAATAGGGAACTTACAATGTTATTGCCTGGGATCTGATAAGATCCCAGGCATTGATCTGATATTATATTGATCTGATAAGAGGAATTTATGCAATTAAAATTGAGAGTAGGGTGAGCAATAATGACTGGTGGTTTGTGCACTGGAAGCCCTACCCGTTGAAAATTCCAGGTATCAATGTCCCCGTGGCCAGGTCTGTGGCCAGGTCTGTGGCCAGGTCTGTGACCAAGTCTGTGACCAAGTCTGTGGCCAGGTCTGTGGCCAGGTCTGTGACCAAGTCTGTGACCAAGCCTCCTGGTTGCCGGTGTAATCCACACTAATGCAGCCAGAGCACTGCACAATGGGCTGGTAGTGTTGACCCTAATGTTGGCTTGCAACACTACTGTGCTGTATGGTGTGGTATGAATGTGAACATTTAAGTGTTAGAGCAGTAGACATTGACACTTGAGAAGCATGTGTGGTATTGGCAGAATAGAGTGTGGAAATGCAAATATCATGGAGAGGTCTGGAGTGCAAACGTCAATAAACTGCAAAATTGAGGAAAACCTGTTCTAGCTGGTTTAGGCATGTTAAATGAGTGGTCCACAGTAGTGAACCATTCTCCAACTTGATAATGGTCCAGCATGGACCGAAAAGTCGTGTCTTCTTTATTTTCTGATGTGTGGATTGGTCATCACATATTCACATTATTGTGACTCATTATCTGCATAAAATGGTCCAATTTAGGGTGGATTCTGAATTTGAAATTACAGTACCAGTATTGTTGGTTTTTGGCTATTTATTGCCAAATTTGGTTTCTCATTGCTGTGGAGAGGGTGTATGTCTCTGAGGCTTATTGAGGTCCCTCTAGCAAACAACTGGGCATTCCCCAGGATGCAACCCATAACAGTTAATGAATACCCAGATACCTATTTACTGCACGGTGAGGAGAGGTGTAAACAAACATAACTCCGAAACGTTGCACCTTGCCCAAGAATCAAATCCAGTTGATTATGCACGTTTAGACAAATAACAATGACTATGTAATAGTCTACAGTTTGGTCTCACTTAAACGACACATTTCTTCAGAATGCCAATTGGGCAGGAAGCTTTTCTGGTTATATTGGATACACTGGACATTTTGGACTCTGTCCTGCATGGGCCATTTCCGTGTGTATAGTTCTAGTTTTATAGTTGTATATTTGCTTCTCGAGTGTGTGTGTTTACAAGCCTCATGCCTCACTTGTGTGGACTCTGCCCAACTATTCATCTCGAGCTGCATGACTGAGGTTTGCTGGTGTTGCCTCTACTCAGAAAAAATTGCCTTCCCTAATTCAAGAGTCCATCCGTGAGAGTGCTGGCATCCTGGGGAAAGTGCCTCGCCCTGGGTAGTGCATGGATCTTTGATTCCTCTGTGAGGCTTAAGGTTGGGGGCAGCCAGGATCTTCATTGTTTAGAGATGCACCTGGGGTCCACTTGCTCATTATACGTAATGCTGCTTATCCTCTTCACAGCCACCTTTGTTATCTAGGCAGGTGTTTTGTAATGCATTCCTTCCCACTCACACGCACATTATAACCAACCATTAACACACCAGCCTGGGGTCATTACACCAGCCTGGGGTCATTACACCAGCCTGGGGTCATTACACCAGCCTGGGGTCATTACACCAGCCTGGGGTCGTTACACCAGCCTGGGGTCGTTACACCAGTCTGGGGTCATTACACCAGCCTGGGGTCATTACATCAGCCTGGGGTCATTAGAGCAGTCTGGGGTCATTACACCAGCCTGGGGTCATTATGCCAACCTACAATCTCTGCACCACACTGTACACACGTTGCCTAACATGTGTACAGTGTGGTACACATGTGTGTACATAACATTACACCTAACATGTGCACAGTGTGGTATGTGTGTACATAACATTACACCTAACATGTGTACATAACATTAGTGTATTAGGATATCAAGAAGAAACTACTGTACATTTTTTGGCATTTTAAAGCTCCATATTAACGATAATGAATATATTTTATTCCTAGAAAGCATTATAAACACAAAATGTTTAAAGCATGGTATAGTATTTATACTGTACTTAATTGTATATATATATAAATTTAACACATTAATTCATATCATCTATTCTACATTGTTTTAGCTCTTCCTAAGGCAATTTTATTTATGGCTTTATGTTCAAATGTAGTTAAAATTATTTGTCTTGAAAATCAGTATTTCTATACTGTACTGTGTATATGGTATTCAAATAGTCTTAAGAAATATTGTTATCCACTTGACTTGGGAAGTGGTTAATGACACTCATGCCTTCTCCAGCCTGGGTTTCTCTGGTCTTTCAACCACATGTTAACAAGACGTTGGAAATATTCAGCCACTGGGGACGAGGCCATGGCTGAGAAGATGCTCCAGGATTTCCGTCTCTTCTGCGCAAATAATCAAAATCGACTGAGAGACTTTTGGGACTCCCACCTTCCTCTTTTATCGCCAGTTTCGCCTGCTGATGAACTGATTGCCGAGCCTTAGTTTATTGGCACGTCTGTGCTCATTTCTGCCTTTCCTCTTGTTAGTATGGAAATTGATGTAGTTGCTCCTAATTTATATATTATATTTAGCTATGATAAGTAGTAATCATATCACAAAAATATTGCACCACTGGATTTTTTACTTGAAACTTCTAAATGTTATTCATATTTCAGGCATTAAATATAGTGCTGTTGTTTTTTAAGAGAAATAATTGTAAATTGTATAATAATTTCATGATTGTATTTTTGTGGTATACCAGTGCTACTTACTCATATTAAGTGATCACTGTGATACAATATTAAGTGCATATACTTCATGTGTGTGCATACATGTGTAAGTAATGTATATAAATTACAATATTTTGACCTGTGTACTTAATGCTGCTAGTGCAACAGATGTTGAGTCCGGTCAACATGGCGAACACCTGTTCAAGTCAGCAGGCATTTGTCATTACTAATTCACGTTAATCTCGCTCTTATTATTAATTCAGAGTAGGATTGTCATGAAAATGTCATACTTTTATATAAAGAAATGTATTAACTATTATATGGTATTGAGAAACAAAAATTCAAAAGAATCCTCTTTTTTTTATTTCTCCTTTTTTTCTAAGATAATAGTGGGTAATAGTGAAGATGATTATACAGTATTACATAGCAAAGCCTTTGATACTGTCTCAAGAAATACTAATTAGAAAGGTAGAAGAACGCAGTAATGAAAAGTATATTTTAAAATACACTAAGGCACAAAATTGTCATACACACTTCCGTGGAAATAAACATTCCATTCACCTGGGCAGTATGTGTCTTGAACCGTGGACCCCGCACAAGTGGGGGTCCAAGGTTCGAGACCAATACAGCCCAGGTGAATGAAACACTAAAGCACAGCTGTTACGAAGAAAACACTATCAGCATCAATGAAATACAGTTTATTGACCAGACCACACACTAGAAGGTGAAGGGACGACGACGATTCGGTCCGTCCTGGACCATTCTCAAGTCGATTGAGAATGGTCCAGGTGGTCAATCGACTTGAGAATGGTCCAGGACGGACCGAAACGTCGTCGTCCCTTCACCTTCTAGTGTGTGGTTTGGTCAACACACTTTAGCCACGTTATTGTGACTCATCGCATGCAAATAATTTGAGTCATGAACTGTCATAAGTGGAGTGCCTCAGGGCTTGGTACCAAGACCCATTGTTTACCGTATACTGTACAGTATATAAATGAGTTAGCGGACTAAACACTACAGTATAACCTCATTTGGGTGAACTAATTGGGACTTGACCTGTTTGACCTCCAAGAATTCCAGATACAGTACTCTGATAGTGTTGACATTTTTTATCATTTATTACTTATTGTTTCTTTTTTTTCCGATCCCAAACAACAATAAAAATTATGAAGGTGAAGATGAAAAATCAAATTTTTGGATGTAACCAATGTCCTCCTTCAAGGTGCTGTATATAATGTTCAGAACATTGCATACAGTACCTTGAGAAAGGATGTAGGTTACATAAAAAAAATTAGGTTTTTAATACATTTATACATATATTGGGTCTTTCCTTCTTCAATCAAGCACTACAGCATTGCAGTAAGTTTTTTCAATATAAATTTCTGTACTCTATATGAAAATAAATTATATTTAAAAATACTTTGCTTCTATAAAATTATAAATTTGCATGCAAAAATTAAAGAAAATGCAATAAAACAGAAATGTCTAGGATTTTGTCTCAAGTGCACATAAAGGATTCCAGGTGACGTAAATTTGTTGACATTCCAAGAGATATTCATATTTAAGGATTTATATGTTTGATGTTTCACTTTAGTTTACACAATATTTGGGAGAACTTAATTTATTTACACATTACTGACAAAAACAGCAATCACGTACTCTATATTGGCCTGCAATGTAATATGTACATCTATATTACATGCAGATCTGTTTCTGGCACTGTACCAACTCTTGACCACATGTGGACATACACATCGTGTCAGAACCAAAGAGCCAGAGCTCAACCCCCGCAGCACAACTAGGTGAGTACATCAGGCCATCTTGAATTAAGTCATTTCACGGAAAACAACTGATTACTAATCCTACCTTCTCTATTACCAACATAAATAAAGAACCCCTCAAAACACTTCAGACTATACTATGAATCTCTAATAAATAACCTCTCTGAAACCTTTTGCACTACAAGCTGGGAATCGGATCTACTTAATGTGGAAGATAAAAATACCATAACCAACTACGGCCTCACCTAGCCACCATTAACACTGTCCAAACACTATCCCATATATTACGTGCTGTTATATATGAAATTGGTCTGTCCAATTTTTTGTAAGCCCTCAAAACACGTCTGTCCAATGAACAAATCCACGAGGTCCGTGACGAGGGTTCGAATCTTCGTCACAGCTCTTGTGGATGTGTGTAAGTCTATCCAATTTCCTGTGAGCTCTCAAAAATTTGACTAATTATCCCATTTGTTGTAAGGTTTAAAGCTTCGACAATGTCTCCTATTTGTTTTGACCCTTCCATCTTATTCTAATTAGCACATTAAATGTAAATACTGAAAGCATTCTAATTGTCTTATTTGTTGCAAGCCTCAAATTTAGAAGTATTTTTAGATTCCTTGGGAGTATTGAATTTAAATTTTGTCTAAATGTTCTATTTGTTTCAAGCCTTAAACTTAGATAATTGTTACATTTGTTGTGAACCCTTCAACGTAATCATTTGCCCTAAGCTTTGTGCAATTGTCCCAGCTTTGAGAGTCCTACACATAGTTAATTATGATGTACAGAACGAAGTACCATCAGTAGAGTTACAAGTCATAAACAGGTAAAAGTTGGTAAACTGTAGTATCTGCTAGTGATGTACCAAGAGAATAGTGACAGTAGTGGTATTTAAGTGACAGTGAATTTGCAGTAAATTCACCAACAACCTTAAATTAAGAATGCTGAAAAAATCTAAGTAAGTTGTTTGCCACATTTCAGTGTATGAGACAAATATCATAATTTCACTTTTATTTATTAATTTATTTATTGTGAAAATCAGTAGAAGCCATGAGGAGGATTTGAACCCGCTTACTGGGTACTCCCAAGCTAGCACCCTAGATCACTACACCATGACATAGTCAAAAGCAATGCAACCTCGGACTCTACTGAATACTTTAGGATTCCTGAGGCTTACAACTGAAGCCCAGTCAGGGTTTTAAGCATTGCCCCCCATGCACTCTGGGTAATTGCCCATTAGTTTTCCGACGCTTCTCGTCAAATGCACAAATACCTGATTGGGCTTCATTTGTACGCCTCGGGAATCGTAGAGGATTCAGTAGAATCCCAAGTTGCATTGCTTTTGACCATGTCATGGTGTAATGGTCTAGGGCACTAGCTTAGAAATACCCAGTGAGTGGGTTCGAATTCTCCTCATGGCGCCTACTGAATTTTTCATTGATTCATCACGTTAATGTGATTTCATTGTTAATTTATTTATTAATATACTGTATATACAAGAATGTACAATGCATTGTGTTAGTACTGTGTATAATTTGATGAATAAGTGGTACTTTCTTGCAAAACCTGGTGTACAGGTTCCTGAGTCTATTAGGTTCTATCATATCTGCATTTGAAACTGTATGGGCCCTGCCTCTACCACATCACTGCCTAATGCATTCCATTTCTTAACTACTCTGACACTGACAAAATTATTTCTAATTTATCTGTGGCCCATTTGGATATTCAGTTTCCACCTGTGTCCCCTTGTTTGTATTCCACCTGTGCCAAATATTTGTCTTTTTCCACCCTGTCAATTCCTCAGAGAATTTTGAAGGTGGTTATCATGTCCCTCCTTACTCACTCTTCTGTCTTCCAGGGAGCAGAAGCCTTTAAGGTTAAGCTTCCTTAGCCTTTCTTCGTAACTCATACCTCTCAGTTCCGGGACTAGTCTGGTGGCATACCGCTGAATCTTCTCTAACTTTGTCTTGTGTTTTTCTATGTATGGACTCCATGCTGGAGCTGCAGACTCCAGAATTGATCTGACATAAGTGGTATACAGGGTCCTGAACAATTCCTTACACAGGTTTTTAAAGGCAGTTCTTATGTTGGCCAGTCTAGCATATGCCGCTGATGATATCCTTTGATGTGGGCCTCTGGGGACAGGTTTGGTGTGATATCAACCCCCAGATCTTTCTCTCTATTTGTCTCTTGCAGGTTTTCACCTCCCAGATGGTACCTTGTGTTCAGCCTTCTTCTCCCTTCACCTAATTTTATTACTTTACACTTTCCTGAGTTAAACTTTCGTAGCAATCTTCTAGACCATTCCTCCAGCTAGTCCAGGTCATCCTGCAGTCTTTGTCTATCTTCATCCGTCTTGATTCTTCTCATAATTTGTGCATCATCAGCAAACATTGAGAGGAACGAGTCTATACCCTCTGGAAGATCGTTTACGTATATTAGGAACAGGATGGGTCCAAGTACAGAGCCCTGTGGAACCCCGCTGGTGACATCTCGTTACTCTGATGTCTCCCTCCGCCACCCCCCCCCCCACTCACAGTTACTCGCTGTTTCCTGTTGCTTAGATACTCCCTTATCCACTTAGCTTTTACTCCTGCTTGTTTCTCCAACTTTTGTAACAGCCTCTTTTGGGATACTGTATCTAAGGCTTTCTCACAGTCCAAGAAAATGCAGTCTGCCTTATCTTTCTTGCCTAATTTTTGATGCCTGGTGTTACCACTTCCAATTGTTAAAGCTCGTGTGTCTGATGACTGTTTCAGAACTCCTCCTCGGCCCATTACCACAAATAGATTACTAATACCCAGAGGACGATAACCAAATGAAATAACTATTACAAACTAACCCACTGGTTTAATCTTGGAAAGTGAACAAAATATAAACGAAATATCATGACCCAGTTATCTGATATCACTTCAATCACTGAAGTTACAATGCACCAAAATAAACATAATAACTATTTAAACCCAGACAACAAGTACACACTTATAATTGTAAGTAAAACACACTACTTTAGCCTTGGAGACAACATCCAGTCCATCTGGTCCACTGAAGGAGTCACTCCCTGACATACACTTTTTTAAATGAGTATTAACTACACTATATATTACTAGGAGCAATATACTCATATAATAATACTTCCAACCCAAAATCTGGACACTGCTTGAATGAAAGCAGTGAAATTTCTTGAGGGGGGGGGGAGGGATGAGAAAAACATATTAACAGTGCTTTGTGGCAGGTCACGACTTTACGGGCTATTCATGGCCGTGCCACCTCTTGGGTGACTTAATCTTTATCAATCAATCAGGTCACTACTCACAAGTTACAGCCTTGCTCCTGTGTCAGGTAAGTCCACTACGGGCTCACCATAGCCCGTGCTACTTGCCCCGCTCCTGTGCCAGGTAAGTCCACTACGGGCTCACCATAGCCCGTGCTACTTGCCCCGCTCCTGTGCCAGGTAAGTCCACTACGGGCTCACCATAGCCCATGCTACTTGCACCGCTCCTGTGCCAGGTAAGTCCACTACGGGCTCACCATAGCCCGTGCTACTTGCCCCGCTCCTGTGCCAGGTAAGT